TTGGTGGTTTGCTTGATTTTTAGTGTGTCATGGAAGCATCTGTTTAGACAGACATTTCGTCAAAAAGCCCCTCCTTCCCCCCTTTCCTCCTTCCTCCCTAACTCAAACTCAAGCTTACTTGCTATGTTACCACAAGCACCACGCATTTCGTTAAAGCAGCCCTACTGTCTCATCCTTTTATTTTCTGCTGCCACGGCTGTTTGAAGAGATAACAGTATCACTCCGACTGTTCCTTTAACGCTGACAAAGACGTTTGTTATGTCCAAACTTGAGAAAACAAGACGAAAAAAGAGCTAGCACTCGTCGAAATGACAAAGCAGAACAAGAACAATAACAAGAAAAATTAATTGAGAGCTATGGATGATCGTGATGGATCACAGAAGTGGTTCTTTCGAGGATGACACCAATCATTTGCTTCATAGGTCACACACTTCCTTGGCCGTTGGGGTTTGCTGGCTGGTTGAAAGGAACAGCAGGTGAAAGTACAGGGCAAAGGTTGCTAGAAGGGCACAAAAGTAAAGATGTATGTTCGAGTGGGGTTAATTGGTTCGTTCCGAATGGCGGATCACCCGCTGTATGTTCAGGTAACAGATAACTGAACGCGAGAGTTATGCAAGTAAGATGGAGAGGCAGAGAGAGGTGGAAAATAGCACAGGTGGCTCAACAAGTGCATGCTAGAAAGCTAGACAGCCACAACGTTTTCAAGCATCAGATAAAAGAACCCCCCGCGATCCCCTCTCGTTTCTCATGAAGTAAAGTAACAGGTAAATGGTGTGTAGGTTCGCTCCCCAATTGCAGATCAACATATTTATCTTTTCTTCTCAAGCGTGTTTTTTTTTGCTGCTAGTCTGCACGACCCGCACTGCAAAAGTAAAGTGACAGGATAGCACAGAGCACCGTCAAAAGCGTAGACTACTGTTCGCCCCATGGGACATGAACACAGGAAGGCAAAGACCCAACCTTTGTAAGCACTTTTAACCCATTCTTGGCAGAGCCATGACGGCTAGTCAGTCGGCCGGTTGTCATGGCAAACAAGAACGTGGAAGCCAAGAGGGGCCAAGAGAAATGAGAGACAAAGTGACAAAGAATCGGTTTGCGCCGCGTTGTCGCTGCTGTCGTAAACCCCTGCTGGTTCCGTGTTTCTAAGCAGTATATAAAGAAGAGTGAACAAAGCATTTCAAATTTGTCATGGGAATTTGTGGGAATGGGAGTACAAGAACAAGGCCATCTTGTACTTGTTGAACACAACGGCATTCACTCACTCACGCTCCTCTGTTGGCCTGGGTGGGGCTGCAGGAAAGGAAGGTCCGATCACCTCTATTTTATGGAGGAACAGTCAGGAAAGCTAGGGCACTAAAGGCCGATGAAAAATGCGAGTGTGTTGCCAACACTGGTTGCTACTCCGTCCCGAGGCAGAAACAGGCACCACAAAGAGTAGGTGGTTCAAGACGATCTCCAGTTCGAATAAAAAAAACGTAGGGTATTAGAAAAGAGAGTGGAAGATACGTATTGATTGTCGGCTCAATTGCTTGCCGATGAAAAAATAGCATCGACGGCGAGCGCCCTATAGCGCAGCAAGTTTGCGTAAAAGAAAAAAAATGAACTGACGATATATAGATGACAGAGTGATGGATAGGGAATGGAATCGGCGATTAGAGGAACAGATCGAAATCGAGATTTGAAACGTAAGAAAAAGCGGGAGCGACAAAGGAAGACAGTAGACGGGCTGAAGAACAAATGCACGGAAAAAAGGTTGGGAGGATTGGCGTTCTTCCTTCAGCGAACAAAGAGGGGATATCGCAATCTTCAAGCAGACTGGACAAGAACCTAAGTCTCATAGGATAAATGGTAAATGGTACGGAATACTAGTAGGTGCCGCTTCGTTTTTGCTAGAATGGTGAACTATGGTGTGGATACCCGTGTTTTTGTTCATTCATATTCCTATGCATGACTAGTGCCAAGGTGAAAATCATGATCAAGCATCGCCTCCTTTGTTCCCATTGACCCTTCCTCTTCTCCTCCTCTTGCCCCTGCCGCTCAGCCCCTGGTTTTGCTCGTGAAATTTCCAATTCATTTTTTGTTCCCAGAAGGCATGCATGGATGAAAGGACAATAGCCATTGCATGGAGAGGTAGGAGCGAGCATACGAGACAAGAAGGGAGAAGGGAGTAAGTGGAAAGGAAAGGGGAACTCGGTCCTCTTCTGCTGCATTTGGCATGATGAAGACGACATTTTATGTTTTGTGGTCAAGGCAAAGGCAAAGGCGAGGCAAGAAAATCTAGCAGGTAGGAGGCATATCTTGTACTGTATCAGCATTACAGAGGGAAGGGGTAATAAGTCCGACCACAGAAAATGAACTCAGGGAGGACACACCAGTCAACCAAGGGAGAGAGAGTGTGTGAGTGAGGAAGAGAGTGATAGACAGGGACTCCAAATGGGCAAATTGCCTTTCTTTTTTTCTCCAAGCAGATCTATCATGTCCTGTATTGGTTTTGATCGCCGAATATGAAAAGCGTATCGTATGGGGGATGAATGGAGAAGATGAAAAAGAAACGCTCGAAAAGGAGAGGCGAGATCAGATGGGCATTCTGGTGAAGAGAGGTGGGATCGACATGTGGAAATTGGATCGAAAGTGTGAGAGTAAGTGAGAGTAAGTGAGAGAGGAAGTGACCTCCGGGCTGGCGATGTGAATGAGTTCACTACCGTATTTTCTTCACCCCGGCATTGAGGTATCCGGACCAGTCCGGACACCGGATAAGAGGAAGAAGAAGATGATGATGATGGCAATGTCAAATGCTTACTTACTTTCTTAGTAAGAATATGTAGCGGAGCAGAACTGTGTCTCTCGCTCTCTCTCTCTTTCACTTCCACTTCCACTTCGGATAGCGGGTGTTTCTTTTGGTCAATGGGCGAAATGTCGTGACCAGGCAGGCGGTGTGTTTATCGAGAGTGTGTATGAGAGCAGCCACACCATAAGAAGAAAAAAAAAGTCCAAGCCCAGCAGAGTAAGCAGCCAGTGATCAGGGCCGACGATGAAGTGTTACGGGCAGCAAAGAAAAGGGTCGAGCAGCCAGTCAGGCAGGCAGCCGGTGAGTGAAATATCGAACAAGAGAGTGGAGAAATAAAAAATATTGAGCTGGAGGTACATTAGGAGATCGGTCTCTGCCCATGGTGTCCCCGTTATGTTCATAGTCAGACAGCCATTAAGGCTCCAGTACACTGTCCACTTATCTCTGTCGATAGTCATTGAATCGATCGCTTTGTGTATTGAAAAGAAGGTTTTTTCTTGTTCATGCTGAGAAACAACGACCAGAATTGTTTCCCAGCACTCCTCCACACTTTTTTTGTTTGTCCTTTTTTCCCTCCCTTGCCTTGCACTGCTCTGGGCTAATAATAATGGTCTTCGTTGGGGCTTTCACATGCTAATTGGAGTAGAGATACACAAAAATCACAACCCACAAACAGAACAACCCCCTTCAACAACAACATCATTCAATTCAGCGCTCGAGGACGGACCAAGTGCAATGTGGTAGTACGACCCCTTACTCCCCCTTCCCCCTCTTTCTTTTCTCTTCCCTTTTAGAAATGCATATACAAGTAATAAACATCGGATTCGATTCAATTGAATCGTTTTCGTCCTCTTCTAGATTAGCCCTGGCATATGTTTCCTTCCCTTATCCACTTTATGAGAAGTTAGGACGTGGAGGGAAGGAATGACCATTTTAGTTGTTTAGACGACAACGTGCACAAGAGCACTCAAGAATGGTGTGCTTTCTTATTTATTTATTTACTTTACATTATTGTCATTTCAAACAAAACAAAAAAAAAAGTGATCGATCCTATTTCCCTCACCCCCTGTTACTGATAACAAACACCTTCTTGTGCCTTCATAACTGATTCTTTTTTTTTTTTGATCATGAACAACAAAGTATCCTGTTTTTTACCATGAAGCACGATGGGTAAAAGGAGATGGGTGTGTGGAAAGGTGTGGGATGAGCGCAAGGAGAAAGGGAGATAGACGGGAGGGATGATGAGATGGGATGAAAGAAGAAGGAGGTGGGAGAAGGTAGGAGCCGAGAAGGGGCAATCCGAATGAATGAGTGAGTGGAAGGGTTTGATGAGTCTTGCTGATTAGAAGGTGGTGGTTACCAAGGACAGGCACCTGCATATGAAGGTGTGGTACTGCGACCATGTATGATATGAGTGTCTCTTTTCTTTGCGGAGAGAAAAAAAAAAAAAAAAGGACGGACGCTATTGTGATTTGTTGCTTGAGCTATGATAAGGCAGAACATATGTTTGTCTGTCCAGTTCACTTTGTTTTCGTTTAAAGGAGGGTACGTGTTCTTCTATTAAGACTCAATAATCCATTCCAATTGAATGGAACCCTTGTGTTGTTCACAGCTCTTATCCTTCGCTTGGGGACAATAACATGGATAATGATCGCTCTGTTTGATTGTTTGTTTCTTTGCAGGGAAAATAAAGTCAACCGGCGGCAGAGCGTTCTTTCTTTTGTTTGCTTGTTTGTCAACAACACTTTCAAGCAACCCGCCTTGGCTTTTAGAAGTTCAATTGTACCATGGGATATTCTATTGTTTAAGACCCACTCGATAATAAGCCCGTTGTACTGAACTGCTATAAAAAGGAACCCTTATCCCCCCCTTTGGATCCCCGTTTTCACTTTTATTCACTTTTCTTCACTTTGTTATTATCATCCGCCTCTTTCACTTACTCCCATTCACGCATTGAACCCTCTCAACACATCCTTCCAGCTTCAACCCCCTTTTTCCTCTCTTTTGCACGCAAACACTCCCCCGACACACAAACCCCTTCGCTTTCACGCTTTCCTTCTTTCCTTTCCTTATCTCGGTTCCTCCTTTATTCTTACGCTTCAATTGCAACACACTACTCTCATCCACAGTTCATATAAAAACTACAGACGACTCCTCCTCTTCCTCACTTCATCCTCAAATCATCAACTCTAAAAATCAAACAACTACAAAAATGTCTTCGACAACTTCACCATTCTCACTCGCTGCCATCATGAACGATCCCGCCCCACAGAGCGCACACTCTTCAAGCGGTGAATCCGACCATGAATCCTCAGAGCAGGCTCCTCGCCCTTATGAGTGCCATCTCTGCGACAAATCTTTCTTGCGCCTCGAGCACCAGACCCGCCACATCCGCACTCACACCGGCGAAAAACCCCACCCCTGCGACTTCCCCAACTGCGACAAGCGCTTCTCCCGATCCGACGAGCTCACTCGCCACATGAAGGCCCACACCTCGGCCTGCAAAAACGGCAATGCCGATCTCCTCTCGACCTCTCCTCACCACTACGCCACCTACCAGGATTACCTCCAGGCCCAAGAGTCGGCCGAGTGGGCACGGAAACACATTTGCCCCGTTCCCAACTGCTACAAGTCCTTCACCCGGTCCGGCCATTTGGCTCGCCATATCCGCTCCCACACCTCTGAGAAGCTGTTTGTCTGCCCCGTCGAGAGCTGTGGTCTGGGCTTCACTCGCTCGGATGCCCTTCGCGAGCACGCCCGTACCCACGTCCACCGCACCCGTAGCCGCAAGTCGGACGAGTCCAAGGACGGAAGCAGATCGGCATCCTCCAAGTCGGCCTCGCATTCGCCTGCCAGCACCGCCCGCTCTTCAATGTCGCCCTACCCTATGTCGCCCTCGCACTCTGAGTCTGAGGAGTCGATGTCTGATTTCCCCTCCTGGGCTAGAATGACCCCTATCCACCCTCCCAACAACATGGCTCAGTCGAACATGGACCGCGCCTTTGCCCAGCATCACCACAACCAGGGTTCTTTCAACCATAACAACAACTTCCAGAACCTTCAGACTCCTCCTTACTCTCCTCCTACTTCGCCCCGTTATGGCAGTGTCAGCTCGACCCGTTATTCGGTCGCCCCTTACCCTCAGTTCAAGAACCAGTCGATGCCCCAGCCCACGCTGCCCTCACTGATGGAGGCCAACTACCACCTCCACCAGCACCGTCGCCAGCAGAACAGCAGCAGCCACCGCATCAACGACATCCTGAACGGCTCGACACATTTGTCGCTCCCCCTGCCCACCCCTAGCAACAACAACAGCAGCAGCAGCAATCATGGACAGGGCTTTGGATCGGATTACAACAACAACAGGACCTTGCCTCCCATCTCGTCCTTGCTCCCCATCTTTTAATTTCCCTTACCACTTCTCATTCCGCATATTTGTACATAGTCCTTTCTCACTTCTTCTCATTCATTTTTGTCTGCTTGCCTGCATCTTTGTAAAAACTTGCTTTTGTCTCCTGTAATAACACCACATCCATACACGTCCAATACCACCTTTTTTTTTCTTTTCTGCTGTACATTCGAAAAAATAATAAAATACTACCCTAATACATTTCATCTCTTATCTAAAGACACCGCTATCACGTTTGCAATTGGTTTTGAAATGCATCCAGGAGGAGAAGGAAAACTGACCCTTGTTCACTCCCGCCTTCTACCCCCTTTTTGTCTTCTAGCTCGTGTTTCCTCACGCCTCCCAAAGTGAGGGAGCAACTCAGCTACGCTTTCGTCTTTTTTAGTTACAGCTCAGTTCAAGTAAGGTCCAGGGAGGAAGGAGCGAAAAAGCGTTTTTATCTTGGTTGATATTCACCATCAAGGGCCGGCTCGGGTAACGAAAGCAATCTATAGAAAAAGGATTCGTTGTTGTTCTTGGAAAATGAACACTGTTCTCTGGTGAAATAGAATGAGAGAACGTCGGTCTATGTGCAGCACCACACTCTCGCTTTTTTTTTTTTGGTGGATCATCAAGATACCTCAGCTTCATTGTTGGCCCGTTTGCCCCTTGCCTATCTGATCACTACTCTCCCACATTCAAGTTCTCAGTTTATGTTCTTCAAACATTATTTTTTCTGGATCAACCCATTTTGAGTTCTTCAAAGTTCAAACCATCCTCTCGCCAGCAAAAAGCCCCATTACTCCACGCTCTTTTGTTTGTCGTTCAATGTTGCACAGAGCCCTTCTTTATTTCTTTGTTTCTTCACATTCTCCCAAAGGGAAAAATATTTGTTGAACACAAGAAACATGCCATTCCTCAACATGCTCACTTTTCGGATCAAAATCGCCCTTTTGGCTGTCATGGTGTGAAAGTGAAAAAAACCAACAAAAAATGCTTTATCAGCATTTCGGACACACGCATATATATATCACCGAACGAAGGACTCGCCTGCCGTAGGAGATAGTGTGCTTGTGCGTGTGCGTGTGCGTGTGTGTGTGTGGATGGATGGGTTGCTTGGAGTAGGCGATGGCGTGTTATTTTTTATTAGAGAGCAGCGAGCGCGGGAGAAGAACAACATTGTAAGCCGTTATGTTTTTTTTGTGTTTGCGGGGAAAGAAGAACGGTGGTGGTAGGACGTGATGATGAGGTGGAGGAGGGAAGCGAGGGAGGGCGGCTCAATTCGTCCACTTTACTTGATCGGCGGGGACCCATGCGAAATGAGTTGAATGGTCAATGACTAGTACGTACACACATGTATCTGTTTTGTATTTTGTAACAGGGAGCGTTGTCAGTGGAGTGTAAGGGGTAATAGGATTGGTGGGTTTTTTTTGCCTGCTCAATGTTGAGTTGGCACGTTTGACAAAGCCAACTTTGAACCTATTGTTACCTTTCCTTCAAGGAGTTTGGCTAGAAAAGGACAAGACAGTTCAGGCATGGCCGCGAATTGTTGGGCTCGCTCGTTTCTTTATGATATTCCGAGTCTGTAGAGAAAAAAAAATGCTATGAGAGTTTAAACCCTCATAATGAAAGCTTCCAGCCGGTTGGTTGGGTTGTAGGCCTACGAAAAAACCAACAAGTAATAAGCATTTTTGTCCTACTCCACAAAAACAACATTCTCTTCCTTTCCACCCCAACACCATGCAACCCTTGGCATTGATGATGCTTACTTTTTTCACTTCGTCCCATACCTTCTACTCTTCCCGCATAACGAGAGAGAGAGAGAGACCGAAGACCGGAGAAAGTGCTTGAATGGGGCCGATGACAACAGTAAATCACGATTGTTCTTTTTCTTTTTCCTTTTCTTTTTGTTGTTTACTCGCGCTTGTTGTCCTCTCAGAAAGAAAAGGGAAGGAAATCTTCTTGCAATGATGATGGTGCACGAAAAACGGATGTGAAACTGCCGAGCCGATTCTTTTATTCGATTGCGTCTTCTACTTCGTGCTCTATTTTTTTCTCCCTCCTTTCTTCTTTAGCTTTCCCACCTTTTCTTCTTTTTTCGTCACCGACAAGCAGACGAATAATCGGAGGAATATCTGATCCTAGAGAAAGCTAGCCAAGAACCGAACAACTTGACGGTCTCTCTATCCCTTCGTCAAGTCTATCTCCAGAGAGAGAAAAACGTGTGTGCCAAAAAAACAAACGGATCGCCCAAAGAGGGAAAATGAGATAGAAATGCTGACAACTGTTTATTGCAATCATTTAAGATTGGGAGGGAAGGAAGGAAGGGGCAGGGGTATATCGAGGAACGGGCCGGTTTCTCGATCAGATCACAGCTTTAGCTTGGGCCTAACCCACTCTTCTACGACTCCACCTTTTTGTCGGTCTGGTCTGTGGGTTTGCGCTATTTTAGTTTTGATTTTTGTTTTGGGTGGGATTGATGAGTGAATGGATATGTAAAATATCGCAGGCACAACCCTGCTTTGTCATACCCTAACCGTCGGACACCGTTAGAACGTCCAGAGACTGAAGACGGTCCAGTCTTTCCACTTCTGTCACTACTCAGACATGCCAATTGGTTCGCCAAACACAATCACAACTTTTTGACGTGTAGGAGTAATGTACATCTATACACATAACTTTTCCAAGAACAAACAAACAAACAAACAAAGAAACTCCTACTGACATGGGGAAATAAGAAACAATAAAAAATAATATCCACGCTGGCTGTTTGTTGGAAGTTGCAATATTCCAATATCTTCATGTGTCTTTGATTGCTCATATTCTTATTTCTTCATAAACATAACACACGGTTCTTTGTTTTTTTTATTTTCTTGATTGTTGTTGTTGTTGTTGTTCGAGGGTGTTGGTATCTCGATTTTTTAGCGTTTATGAGGAGAGGACATACTTTGTGGAGGTATTTTGATTGCGGGTTCGGGACCATGCAAACCAATCGTTGTGGGGAGAGAAGAGTAGAGCGCAAAGGACTAGTACCTGTCAGTCCAAAGATCGAATAATTGATGAGAGCCGACTCGAAATATTTTTTAATGCTCTTTGTGGTTTTTTTTCAGGTCCTGGGCGATGATGATAGTGATGACCGAGCAAGGTCACCTTCATTATTTTGAATAAACAAAAGCGGAGGTAGGGTTGTTGCTTTACCCGACCTATGCTTTGGTCTTCTTTGAGAAGACACAATCCTTCGTTAACTTAACCCTCCAAAAGTGAAATAAAAAACCTGAATTGTAACCCAACAAGAGATGGTGACCCTGCCGCGTTCCCTTCCTTGGCAAAGCATGTTGCTAAGCCGATGCTCTGAAGTTTGCTTTTTTGTATCTCCGAAGAGAAAGGGGCAGTTTGCACGCGTACACCAAGCCGGCAGGGTCATAATTATGAAGGACCATGTTTTGTTGCAGTATTTTCTTGTTGGGTAGGTTTGGATTAGGCCCCTCCCCTGATCGTTGGTATTGCGGATAGTTTGCATCTTTAGTCTTGCATCGGTGATAGCGCAATGTCGGGCTTGGTGACGATAGAAATAGAGATATGCTAAAGAAAAGTAGTTTACTATACCTGCTATCGTCACAATGGAATGATGGGAAGAAGACAGGGAAGTCTCCTTCTTTTCGCCCTGTTGCTTGCTATATACATCAGTTCACGGATCCCGGGTCGGAGCTGCTTTGGCATCTAATATTTTATCTGCAACAGAGCATATCTCACAATATCTTCGTAACCAGGGGTTACAACTCTATTCAGCTCTAATTTCTTCGGCTCGCTTGCTTCCACCACCACCACCACCACCACCACCACCACCACCACCACCACCACCACCACCACCCCTCTTACTCCTTTGTACCGCTGGAACCTTTGTTTCTCCAGCCGAAGAGCGAGGGAGCGAAGCCAAGAAGGGTTGCATGGGGAATGCTGGCTGCAACCCTCCGCCCCCTCTCTCCTCTAACGCGTCCTCTCTTTTTTGGAAAGGTTTAATCGGTTTCGTAGACGCGTAGTTTGATCAAACTGATGAAATAGGTCCGTTATAGCTCGACCACCCCTGTCGCGGAACGGGAGGTGGCCATGGTCGAGTATCAGGGAGGAACGACGACGACAGGAGGAAGAGAACCGGTTCAAGGAGTTGGAAGGCAAGTTCTGGGAGGAGTCGGCCCTCCCATGTGTCTTGCTGTCCACGCATCTCAAGACTCACATTCACTGAACATTCTATAGAGAAGGAGCTTATGTTCGTTCGAAAAAATGATAAAACAAAGCTCTTTTTTGACGGGCGTACAAGCTTTACACGTGGATGAGGGCTACTTCAGACTTCACAACTGCATCTCCACAAACGTGCCCGCACATGCAAAGGTTGTTGTGGTGCTGTGTGGAACATGACCGTCGCTATCACAGACACGCGAGAAATAGTCACGTGCAGTTTTATTCCTTTGCAGCCATCTTCAAGCCCGACGAAGTCGTTGCGGTGCAGTGCATGTATTGTCGCAAATGATAAGGACCACGAACCATGAACCATGAACCGGGTACCAACAACCAGGAGCCAAGGGCCAAGAACCAAGAACCAATAGTACAATTGATAGAGAGGCTTTTATTCACAGGTAGGTATTAAAAAGGAGGGATGACCTCAAACTCATAAAACTCAAATTTTACAGCTTCTTGCCGGCAACCCAGGTGTTGAACATGGCCAAGGACTCCTCAGGCTTGTCATAGGGGAGCATGTGTCCACCTCCAAAGGCACGGAGGAAGGTCAATGGTCCGGAGGAGCGAACATCACCAGCATGGTGACCGTTAGCAATCCACTTCTTGTCCTTCTTCTCCTGCATCTTGGGCTGACCCGACCAGGGCAACGACAAAGCCCAAGCCTTGTTACCCATCCAGTTGCAAATGAAATCAGCGTCACCAGAGTACAACAGCACACGGATACCGTCCTCGAGCAGTGGGGGAACCATGTGGTGGAAGGGCTTCATCCAGTCACCCTGGAGCATGAAGCGCATGTTGATCTGCATGTTGCACGACTGGTACTTCTCGACCTGGACTCCGAGCTCGGCCTTGACCTCCTCCTTGTTCAAGTACTCCTGAATGACATCCAGGATAGGGTAGCAGAGTCCACCTTCGCCCTCGCACTTCTTACGGACATCGTAGGGGTTCTGGCCAGACATCTGGTAGGGCTGGATCATCTCCTTGTTGCAGTAGGCAGCGGCGGGCAAGCAGCGGAAGACAGAGTTGGTGTCATAGCAGGCCTGGATCAAATCGGCACAGGCGGGGTAGGCAGCCGTCATTTTGTCGCAGGTGGCATCGTCGAGGACGGGGCCGTACGAGTTGCGGCAGGCCATGTCAGGGTAGTACTCGTACTGGGTCTTGGGGTCCGTCAGACCGTTTCCGATCATCAACGAAGCCAAGTTGATGTGCTGAACACCAGGGGCGCGGAGGAGAGGGGTAGCCATCTTCTTGTTGCCGTCGTTGATCTCCTTACCGATGGCGGGGATGTAGTGTCCGGCATAAGACTCTCCAGCAATGTGGAAATCGAGGCGCTGGTACTTGGGGAACTCCTTGAAGAAGACCTGAAGGAGGGCATAGACGTCCTTTGCGGCGGTGAAGGTGTTGGAAACAGACTCACCATAGGAGTATCCGACGTTGGTGGGCTGGTCAAGGAAGATAACGGATGAGTTGGAGTTCCAGGAGTGGGGGTTGTACTGGGTGTCCGAACCGTCCTCCTTGACGCTGCAGGGTCCGAGCTCCATGAAGAGACCGGTAAGGGACGAACATCCTGGGCCACCGTTCAACCAGAGGGTCAGGGGGTCTGACTTAGGCTTGTTGCGCGACTCAAAGAACCAGAAGAAGAAGTGCTTATCTGCTCCCACATCCAAGTATCCCGAGTACTATTCATGATACGTAGAGTGATAGTGGTTAATATAGCTGGTTCACGTTCCCTTCTAAAATGCATGATGGAGTGCCAAGCCTATTCTCATTTGAATTAAGGGTCAAATTAAAGCTGAGAGGGAGAGGTCATTGGGTCAAACCAGCTCACCACCCCGGCCCTCGCATGACGCCCCCTATTTCCTTCTTATTCGCCACCATCAACCCCTTGGTGTCCGTTATTTTGTTGGTTTGTTGGGAGACAGCATGCCTTTGAAGGGTTCCAATAGCTGCGCGTCCTGCTGGAGAGTGCAGGTGGAATATCGCGAATGGCGCTATCTGGCATCATCTCCGTCTCCCATTGTGTTTGCTCTCCTCCTTTGAGTTCAGAAGAAAGAAGAAAAGACAAACTATGAATGCGGCAGGTGTTTTTCCCATCCCTGTCCTTTTTGTTCACAGCCAGGCAAAAGGAGAAAAACGCCACTCATTGAGAGCTGTTGTTGTTTGCAAAAAAAAAAAGACGGAGGGGGAAGAGGGAACTGGAACACTAGGACGGTTGCTGATGGGATCCCGTGTCACCCACCCCTTCTTTTTTTTCCCTTCCATTATTACACGACACTACACCATATGTGACGCCGATTGATGGACGGTGATGGGCGGTTGTTTCAGGATCGCCCTGAAAAATCTCATCACTTTTGGAAAGCGATAACGTACAGCTATCATCAATTATGTGACAAAGACATACCTGCTTGACAGAAGGATCACAGAGCTTAGGTTCCTTCAACCGCATCTGCACACCAGGGAAAGACTCATGGGTCAAGGTGTGAACCCACTCGGTCGCCTTATCAACGTTGGACTGGAGCTTGTGGGAGAGGTCGTCGAGGACATCGTGGACTTTCTCCTCGACATTATCCCAGCTGAACTCGAGCTGGCCGATGGTTTGGTCAACGAACCTGTCGGCGTCGTGGACGATCGAGTCGAACGCTCCGGGGGCTGGGGTTGCGGAGGTGAAGAGGAGGGTTGAGGTTGCGAGCGAGAGGATGCAAGCGATGGTCAGTTTCTTGGACAGACCCATGGTGTTGGTGCAAATTGGTTGTAGAGTGTTGGAGAGGGGTGGTGGGGAGGGGAGGGGAAGAAGGGCGGGTTGGAGAGGGACAAAGAAGAAGAAAAAGAAAAAAGAAAAAAGAAAAAAGAAAAAAGAGAATGGAATGGGAGTGAAATGGAGAAGCTCAAGAAGAAGGAAGGGACAGAAACCAGTCAAGAGAAGTCGAGTGAGGAGCGCGCAGACAATGCAGGCGTGGTGGGTGTGAGCACTGTTATGACCGCATTTGCTTTCTTTGCCAAATAAGGCGCGCAAAACCAATCTTTCTCCCTCTCTGGTCCCACCGCGCGGGTCCATCTTCCGCGCTCTATCTATCCCATCTCTTCCCTTCTCTTCCTCCTTCACATCTGTGATGGGCTAACAAGCAGGTCAATATAATTCTCACGGGAGAAACAGCATTGGAGTGCAATGGCAATAGGGAATAACGAGGGGCCGACAACCAAGGCAAACGGACATTCCAAAGGTACGCGAGGGTCCATGCCCACCTTGCAAAGACCAAGGAACGCCGTCTCAGGCCCAACTCAACTCCCTGGGCAATGCTCACACCATGCAATACCAAGAAACGTTACAGAGAAGAATCCTCGCCGTTTGCTGTGGCCTGTGTTACCAAGTGCCATTACGGCGCGCCAATTTCCACACCTGTTCATGACCACACCTAGTCATGACTACCACGATCGTAACGTGTTGTTTACAATGTGCATTTGTGTTCTTTTTTTTTTATTTTGTTCTTGCTGTTCATTATCGCAGATACTATTTGCTAGAGTTTCGTGTCTCAATACACCAAAGATGCAATCCGGAAGGTCACAGCGCAGGTACACTGACCAAAGCTTCAAACACCCTGCTGCTGCTGTTGCTGCTGTTGAGCCTCCACTTGTTCAGGCAAAGCACAAGCCGACCCCTCAGACCCACCCTGATCCTGCGCCTTCCCCTTCCCAGCAGCCAAAGAAGAAGCTTGCATCTTATCATGCAGTGCCCGATGGTCCTTCTGAGCCTTCAAAACCTTCTCCTTGTTGATCGCAACCCCCGAGACCCGACTGGCAGCCTCCAGGACTCGGTCTGCACGGGCAATGTCTCCCCAGACCTTCTCGATGTGCTCGTATGCCAAGCCTTGGTCTCCTTGTTGGACGAGCAGTACGCCTCCTAGGATGCTATATGAGACGTAGAAAGAATGGAAAGAGAAGGGGTTAGTGCTGACCGGGTGAAAATAAAGTCTCAAACAATGCGTGTGAAAAAAAAGAAACGAGATAAATGTTTTGGACCCTTGCATGCTGACTAGATTTAGGCAAGACATTTGTACCAACAAACACGAGAGAGCATAAAAAATGCATAATGCGGAAAAGTTACCTCCCGTCGCCAATAAAGTTGCCCTTGACGCCCGACCGCTTGTTACGGATCAAGTTTCCCCAGAACGAAGGATGAATCAACTGCCCCCATCCTCCCGTTCGCAGACGACCGTTTCTACAGCGAGGTTGAAGATGCCTTGAGTTAGACAACACTGATCGAAGGATAACAAAACGGAGCACCGTCACCATCATAATGATCAGCATCAACAGCCTTACATCCATCCGCCGCAGCATACATACACCTCGCCTCCTCTTCCGTTGCACTTACCCAAGAGCCTTGTAGAAGTCCTTGGCCTGGTCATGGTAGACCTTTCCATGCCAAAACTCCTTCTGGAACTCATCCGCGCCCTCCCTCTCGTGCACAATACACACCATCTTGATACCCTATTTATTTTTTGTTGCAAAAGCGAAAACATCGTTAGTGCGCTTAAATGACGAATGCATGACGAAAACAAGGTAATGAGCGGAAGACAGCAAAATAGACAAATGGAGAGAAGGGCAACAATGGAATTGATTTACCATGTCGTTCTCGATGGTTTCGCGTTGGGCGTCAAAGATCTGGGCCTCCTCACGACAGAACTGGCATCCGGGGCGACGGATCACTAACAACAAATACCAACACAAAGCAAACAAAACCAAACAAAACAAAACAAAACCAAACAAAACAAAACAAAACAAAACAAAAAAAGAACAGGGTTAATATCCTCGTTCCACAAACATAATTGGGAGAGACACATTTTGCTCACACCCACCAACTTTCCTTGCACCCAGCAAACGACGAGAAGAACAGAAGAAGGAAGAGTAACTTACCGATGACGATGGTGGCCTGGTCCTTCCACAGTTCATGCGCGAGCAGAGTACGCTCAGTCTCGACGTCCAAGAAATCTACCAGGGAAATATCCCTGATGTCGGCGTAGCTTGTCTTTGTCTTTTGTGCGATGGACATATTCGTGTTGCAGTTGTTGTTGTTTGTTGTTGTTGGTTGTGGTGGTTGTGGGTGGTGGTAGTCGTTGCTGTTGGGTTGTTCTTTGTTAGTGAAGGAAGAAAGAGCGAAAGAAGGAAAAGAAAGAATATTATATACTCATAGGATGGTGATGACCAAACGAACAAAAGAAGGAAGAGACGCCGTGGCTGACCCTGTGCATGATTAAGCATCCAACAACATCAATCATCACTTTTGCACGAGCTCTAACAAACGAAACAAACGAACGAAAGAACGAAAAGGCATAAACCAGCCATGTATCTATCCGTGCTGCGACAATCCAATGCCCTGCCTCGTTTCCTTCGGTTAAAATCTCTCCGAGCAGCCAAGAAATACAAACAAACGTCAACGAATGCTATTGATCTTGTTTATGTTTATGTGTATGTGTATGTGTATGTGTATCTGTATGTGTAGGTTGTGAGATGCCGGGAGAAGAAAGAAAAATAAACATTGACTACGGAGTGGAATAGGGTGGTGTGTAACGAATAAACAAACGACCGAGCCACCTTCCAGAGAGCCTCATCGCCGCCGTCCTCATCGTAGGTAACTCTCCTGCTGACCCGGCTGTTTGACCTAGAGATCAATCCTTTTTCTTCTTCGCCTCAATCCTAGCACATCCCTAGCATCCTGACACCTCCCGTCCATGTCCTGTGTCCTGAATCCCTGTGTCTTGCAGTCAGAGCTTAGACGAGCTTCTTCTCATAGACCTCCAAGAACTCTGGGTTGACCAAGTTCTCAAAAGGCCTCTCCTCCTTACCCGTCTTCTCGTTAATCCAAGTGAACTCTGAATACCTAATCCGCCCCATCAACTCAAACCCCAACCGATTCCCAAACAAATGCTGTGTCGCAAACGCACTCGCAACAACCGTCACCGCTTCACATCCAACTTCCACCGCCTTCTCCATCGAAACCTTCAACAGATCCTTTGCCAAACCTTTACCCTCATATCCTGTATCCACCCCCAACGCCATAAACTTCATCACCTTGGCCTTTGGGTTCTTCTCAAACACAGTCGATTTTGCGAGCCAGAGATCTGACACCCGGTTAAGAATCGCCTGGATCGCATCGCCATGTCCTTCCTTTGCAATCCTGTCCTTCTTAGCCTGCAACCCTTCCGCGGTAGAGATGCAACTGGTCCTGAAGGCGACAAGGCGGGAAGGTCCGGGGAGGGTGGTATCTTCGGCGACGAAGGAGACGGGGTCTTGGACGGAGGCTTGGGCGACGGAGGTGCCTTCGCCGGGCTCGACGCCGTGGTATTCACCGAGGGGTTCGCGACGGAAGGTCTTTTCGAAGAGGAGGGCGACTTCTTGGGTGTCGGCTGGGGTCATGAGGCGGATGATTAGATGCTCGGGCCGGGTGGTGCCTGTTGGCTTGGTAGCTTGTGCTGGTGCTGGTGCTGTGCTTGTCATGATGTTTATCTGAGATTGGTTTTGGTTGCCTGTTGCCTGTTGCTTGTTGTTGTGATTGTTGTTGTTTGTTGTTGTCCTTGAAGGAGGAGAGATCTGAGGGTATAAAAAAGCGGGAAGGTACGGGGATGTTATATGGTCGTCCGTGAATGAAAGTGAAAGAAGGGAAAGAAAGTGAAAGAAGGGAAAGAAAGAACAAGACAGAAAGTGAAAGAAGATAAAAGAAGAAGAGATGATGTGAGCGTGAGAGAGTACCGCATAGAGTAGTAAAGTACGCTTCCGATCGTGCTGAACCACCACAGATCAAGAAAGATGACAGAGAATGACGTTGTGGCTTGTTGTGCCAAGTAGACATGGACTTTCTTTACCCAGAGACCGACATTGCACACGATAAGGGACGAAAGGAAAAAAAAGTGCCCGCCCCACGTTCACAACGTCCAATGGTGCAATTGTGCGCGAAACAGACTCTATTATTTTTTTCTCTGTACTCGCTCTCGTCTTGCCCGCAGGTGAGACATGGTGACGCCCAATCTGGGTGCCAAACTGGGAGCGCTTCGTTCACCAGAGTCAAACCATCGCCACTAAAACAAGTGCACATACGCTCTTTTCTTTACTCTCGTCATCAACAGAATCAAAGCCACAGAGGATACCGATGGTGTCGGTACCAAAAAAGGACGTTGTCTTTGTCTGTTTACACCCAATGGACGATGACATCGCAATAAGCATTTTCCACCGCCGCTGCTATCATTATTGTTGACAAGATTGTAATATGTAAACGAGCTACAGCGACAGCGACGGGAAACCCTTTTTACGACAGAACTAAGCGCCATGCCATCAACTCACTGGTCTCCGTCAACAACCCGTTGTTTCTTGGACTCTCCTCGTCCACCAAACCGACCTCGTGCACGCTTCAACAACCCCGACTTCTCCATCGCATCGTGGGCCACCTCAAACTGCCTGGAAGCCTGTCGGGTCTTGGTCAAGTACGTTATCCTATGAACCACCTCTATCGCAGAATGCTTCCCAAGCAAACTTTCCACATCCTCGTTCTTGCGCGAATACAACTTGTAATCATCTTCTCGCGTCCAAAACCGGTCCTCGATATCCTCTAGTGACAATTCAAAACAGACAGTAAGAGGGGGCGTACATGCATACATAAACATAATCAAGTACCTACATCCTGACGCAGTAACATTACACCCTTATCAACCGACAACAAATACAACACTATCTTACCGGTCATGCCCTTGCTGATAAGAATCTGAGCCAGCTCAAGGTCTCCACTACAGGCATCCAGAACATCGATCGACCTCAACGCTGGTACAAGCTCATGCAGCATTAATGTCCGGATCTCTTTACGGTAGAGATCGCGCAGGTACAACAACAGCTGCTCCCGCTCCTTTCGCCTTTCCGATGATTCATCCCCCCCTTCTCCCGAGTAGTAGTCCAACATCACATCCTTGTACTCTGTTCCCGACGAGAGTGCTGATGCCTCAATTGCAACTTGTTCGAACACTGATTTAGGAGTATCAGACGGTGGTGCAGGGCTGGATGAGACATGGGCTTCTTCCTGGATATCTTGAGCTGTGTCGCTCGTCCGTTGGTCAGCCTCGCCTAGTTGCTCCTCCTCTTGCTCCTCTACCTCCTCTGGATCTCCAACATCAAGATTGTCCTCCGGCTCGCCCTTTACCGTGAGGAGCGCGCCGACTCCTTCGGTAATAACCGTCTCAGTCGACTCGGTAACAGTCAGGGTCTCCGTCACTTTGACCTGGACGTTAAAGTCATCCCCCCGAGGCTCCGATGCTCCTGGGTGCCTAGGATGCGCCTCCTGACCCTTGCGTGAAAACGATAGCCGATCGGCCTCCACTTCATTATGTGACACTTCGCCATCAGTCGCTGGGACCGAGCCCTCCCTGGACACTGGGATCGAGTTGGCGGCACTCACACCTCCCTCTAGACCAGGACTGAAAGCAGACCGCTTCTTGAATTGGAACGACATTCCTCCACTCCAGATAGTCTGGGACATCTGCTTCTGGTGTCGTTTGGAAGTAGCACCAGATAGGAGCAGCTTGGCGGGAAGCTTGTATGTTGATTGGTCGTTTTCCAACTCCCGCTCTTCCTGCGCCTCGGATTCAAGGTTGCCTGCAGGGGTTGGAATGGGTGACGAGGGTTTCTGCCCTCGGGGTTCAGGTGGAGACAACAGTCGGTGCTGCTTCTTCCTCATAATCCTCTGCTCAATAGTCTTGTCGTCCTCGTCCGTCAAGTCACTGTTGTAATCGTGCCCAGGCACATCTGCGTCATCGTGCGATCCTGCCGTGTCTGACCCATCCACTCGATCCTGCTCTGTATGATCGTCGTGGATATCATCCAATACCAGCTCGTCTTGCCAACCGTCCTTCCAATCGTCCAACACAGCCTCATCCCGAATGTCCTCTACAGCCGAACTGCTTTGCGGATCCTCGATGGCGGGTTCGGTGTGTGCGTCTTTGACCGTCGCCGGGGGTGGTGTATTGTCTACAACAGCTGCACTGTCCAAGGCGTACGTGTTAGGCGCACCCTTTTGACTCGCTGAAGTAAACACATCTTGGTTGGGGACTGGAAGAGTATTGGGTATCGAGAGATGTGCTTGGGGCGAGTTTCTCCAGGTTGGTAGCGATGGCGAGGTAAGTGAGGTGGGCGATCCCTGTACAGCAACCAAATCGTCCTGTATGGGTGCTCCTGCCTGTTTCCGCTCGTCTGGATGGGCAGTCTGATTCCAACTCCTGTTAGGCAGGGACCTCCTTGAATTCCACTTCAGCGCTGGGTCTTGAAGTGAACCCGGCGATGTTATCCTCTTGGAAACCGGAGATAGTGTCGCAGGTCGGGCCCTATCTGCCTTGACCGATTTCCTTGCATGAGGTAATGGCTGGGGCCACCTTGGCTCAGAAACGTCGCTTTCGTCTGCATCACTAGGATGGTTGTGTTGGTCGGCGGTAATGTTGAGGATATCCGTGCTCATAGGGCTATTTCCATTATGTATGACGGGGTTGCTGTAGTTGCTACCGGAAGGAACACCGTAGCTCCTATCCTGATCCTGCTGGAGGCCCTTGTTGGAAGCTGGAGTAGCGTCTCTCGACTCGAGTGTTCGTTTTGTTGGTGATCGTGCTGGCGATGAAGGCGACGAAGATGAAGCTGCATCGAGCAGAACATTTTGACTTGACGTAATCTCCATGTCCACTGCTTGCGTAGCTGAAAACTTGGGCAACTGAGACGCGGTGCTCGTCTGGGTGCCTGGATGGCTGCGACGACGAACAATCTCGTCCCTCACGGTCCTGTGGCTTCGATCCTCAGAATCAGTCGACGCAATGTCAGATAAATCCAGTATTGACCGCTGGGAAGATGGAAACTGCTGCGTAAAGAACTGATGAGTCGACGGTTCCAGTTCCTCCATCGTGTCATCTTTCTCTTCTTCCGAATCGCTCTCGATGACTTCAATAGTGATGTGTGCGTTTCCGGTCAGTGTAGGTTGCACCACCTTCTGTTGTTGTTGTCGTAGCTCTTGGATCTCGAGAAGTTTCTTCTGCTCAGTCTCTAGCAACTTTCTGTCGGTCGCCAGCTTTTCCTGCATCTGCCTCCTGGCTTCCTCCCGCTTTGCCTTGCTCGCCTCGTATGGTGATGGTGATAGTTCTCCTGTCAGGTTCAAAACATTGACCGCGCGCTCTCTCCAAGAGTGTGCCGTGTGCTGGGTGTGCTATATCAATAGGGATTATTAGAATGATGGAAATGGAATGTTAACACTGGGAACGAGACTCATACACATGCTGTCGTTATCCAAGTACGTGATAAAGGGTATTTACTTGTGCTGCAAAGTCCTCGTAGATCTTGTTCCCGTTGATAGGGGCATTCACTGCCCTATTGGACTTAACAAATTCCTCGAGTAGCCTATCCTCCTCGCGTGAGAAAGGCCTCCGGGTATTCTTGGCAGCGGTCTTCAACCGGTAGGTGAATGTGTCGAGCTCAACAAGCTTTTGGTCCTTTATACAATCGTCCACCCAATCCACTGAGAACATGACCTCCTGTGTAGTCCGTCCTGGCGCTCCCAGCTTGATGGCAGCCTTACTCTCGTCATAAGTCGGAATACCTCCATATTCCTATTGCAATAAAAAGAACCTTATTTTGTGTTAATACATAAAGGTGGTCGACATCGTCGGTTGGTACGATTCAAACTATTTTCCCTTGAACAAAACGTACCCTAATCCTCGACTCTACAGATTCCCGATCAGGTACGGTTTTAGAGACGCAGATTTGTAATGACTGTCCTTTCGGGTCCACGAAGATCCGCTTCTTTGTTCTTGTTGTTGCTGACGAGCCGTTTCTGGGAGTTGTTGTAGTTGTTGGTGTCTGGTGAGGCTGTTCTGAGCCCTGATGAGTGGTGTTATGGGATGGCAACTTTGCCATCGGAGAGCGGAGGGTTGATGGCCTTCCGGAGGGGGGTGGTGCGATGGAGGAGGAGGAGGAGGAGCCTTCCTGATGGGTTGTGTTGGGTTGGTGGCGTGTCTTGCAGAAGTTGGTGGGCAAAGCTTGTAGGAGTGATGGAGTAATGGAGTGATGGCTTCGGGGGTGTGATAAACCGAGAGCTTTTTTTATGGATGGTCAAGTTGAGGAGTGATCTTGGGTTTGAAAGGCCACTGGGATCGACGGTGAAGCTTCCTGGTTTTTGTCTCGGTGTTGTCGGTCCTTGTATATTGTAGTCTTGTGTCGGTCGTCGCGTGTTCGGTCAAAGGTGATGGTTGTGCGGCACAATGAGTTTGAAGGAGAGAAACTTGCAATGGACGTGCTGTAAGGTTGACTCGAAGAAAAAAAGACAAACAAAAAACCTGGCAACGAACATAGTCAAGTCACATGATAATTTTTTTTAATTTAGAGAAAGAAGTAAAAGGTTTGTTACAAGCGAGCATAGCTGCTCTCCAAGGCGGCATGCTCCCGGATGGCCTCGATGTCCAGCGCACGACCATCGACGAACCACGACCGGACAACGGAGTTCCACAGCTTTTGCTTGCACGAATTGAAAAAGAACCCCATATGTCCGACCTTTTTCATGTTCAAGTCCTCGACTGGCTTCACACCAACACAGCGCCTCTGCGTGTTGGGGATCAAATCCATAATGATCGGCGCGGACGTCGACGAGTAATCGTCGTCCGAAAAGTAAAGCGAATAGATCGGCACCTTGAACAGGTCAAAGTTGGGCTTCCACTCGGGGTTCCCGCCCAGCATATAATCCCTGTGCTTGCTCCAGAATCCCCATGTCTCTTGACATCCTGTCGGCATGTCCTCCATCGAGCCCCAGAACGTCTTGCCCGGGTAGTATCCATAGTGCCTGTTGACGATCGGCGACGCCATGTGGAAGAACCAGTAGGTGAACAACGGGCTGTTCATGTGGCGCCAGTAGGCCGACGTGACACTGACAAAGAGGACACGCTCCAGATTCCGGGTATAGTAAGAGTCGAGTCCTGGCAAGATGTGTCCTCCGACCGAATGTCCGACATAGAGTGTGGGGCTGTCGGGGAAATGCTGGAGGACATAGTTGAAAACGCCGGGGAGATCCTTGGTCGACCATTCTACGATCGTCGCCTCGAATCCGATCAATGGGTTCTTTTTCTTCTTGTCGTCCTTCTTCTTTTTATCTTTGTCGATCGACGTGTCCGCTGCTGCCGATCCATTGCTGGCTGAAGTCGACTTGGGAGGCAAAGGTGGCGATGCGGTACTGCCGGTGGTGGGGAGGGGTCCATTGTCGGCGGCAGCCTTGAGGAATTGGAGCGATTCAGATCCAGGGAGGGAGCGACCGATGCCTCGGTTGTCGTAGGAAACAACGATGAAGCCAAGTTCCTGAGAGAGGTAGATCGCAAACTTGAAATAGAAATCCTGGATCGTGGCTGTGGCGGCACTGATGATGACGACCTTTGTCAGGGCCTCGACGTCCTGCTTGTGGGTTGCACCCCCGGCGAGGTTGGAGTTGTCATGGTTGGAGGGTTGAGAGGTAGGAGGGCGGGAGGTGACGATGGGCCCTGGAGGGAGGAAGAGGGAGCCGCTGAGTAGGTATCCGTCGAGAGCGGTGAGTACGATCGGCTGGGGCTTGTATGAGCTGGAGGCCTTTTTCTGAGCAGGGGTTTGTTGCTTGGCTGCCGTCATGATCGTTGATGTTGAGGGAGGAGGAGGAATGAATAAATGAGAAGAGGGGAAAAAAGGAAGGGAGTTTGAAACGATCGCCGGAGGGTTAATGGAAATGAGGAAGAAGGAAAGAGAAAAAAGAGAAAGAAGGGAGAAGAAGAAAGGAAAAGAAAAAAGGGAGTGGCAGCCGAGTGAACTTTGAAAGTGAACACAGAACAAAGTTGGAGGATGGAAAAGGGGTTCTAGAAATAACAGGTACGGGTTCAATTGCTGCTCTGTCAGCAGCAAAACTGCTACCGCGATCGCTCTCTCACTTCTCTCCACACCTATCTCCTACACACTCATCTTTTTCATTTTTGTCGATTGTCATTGGATACGTCGACAACAACGATCGACCTTTCTTCATCTCCCTTTGACAAAGTGAACAAAAAGTGTCCAAGGCCAAGGTTTTTTTTTCTTTGTGCTAGATCCATCACGTGTCAGAGACCCTTCCTCTCGGCAATCGAAATTGCCGATTTGCAACAGGCGAGCATGGTTTGCGAGGCACAAGGACGGGGAAAGGGACAGGAAGAACAAAAGAAAAACAGGGTTCGTTGTTTCCTTCCTTCCTTCGGACTATAATGCTGTGGACTGGCGCGATCGAGTACCAAACGGAGACTGCAGTGTTGCTGCTGCTGTGGAGCAATTGAGCCACGCGACGCGCCTTGCGCTAGAGGAAGAGAGTATCTATGGAACATAGGCTGCAGGTGTGCAGTTCTTGCGAGCGAAAAGCATTCGTTTTGTGTTTCATTCCAATGCAGATTGGAGCACCGCCATATCAGAAATGGTGGCAAAAGATTCCCGCTCTAATTTGATCATTTCCTCAGCCCAGGTGGGCATTTTGCCACCAAGAGCCTAGGAAGTGGTGGCAAAAACAGTAATAGAGAATAAAACGTGAGCACATCATCTCCTTTTCTTTTCTCATCAACACACACTCATTCACACACACTCTCTCTCTCTCTCGCTTGCTCATTCACTCGCACTCTCGTCAACACTCCCTTCATCTCCATTAGCAACAACTTCTCATTCTTTTCATTCTATTCATTCGCCTTCTTCTTTCATCAGCAACCAACCAGCCTCTCTCTCCTAATCAACACAATAATAATAATGGCTCTCGACGCACAACAAGTAATGCTGGCGCACAGCTGGACTGAAGACTCTGGCATCGACCCCACTGGCTACTGGATGGCTGAAAAACTGGTACGTTACCAGCAACTAGCCCTTTTTTTTCTGCTAATGCCTATCTCTCATCTTCAACTCACTCTAACCATTTTCTCCCCCTCTTACCCTCTCTCATTAAAGGACGGTGTGCGTGCATACTTTGATGGCACAAACTTCTACTCTCGTGCAGGCAACAAGTTCTACGCACCCCCCTTCTTCAGCAAACACCTCCCAAAAAACCAACCCCTCGACGGCGAACTCTGGCTTGGTCGCGGTCGCTTCCAACAATGCATCTCCATCGTCAAGAACCAAAAGGCTGACCGTGCTGATGAATGGAAGGAAATGACCTACCTTGTCTTTGATGCACCCAAACTCGACTTGACCTATGAGAAGCGTCTTGAGTACCTCAAGTCTATCATGCCCACTTTTGGAAAAGACGCTATTCAATCTTCAGATCCCAGTGCTGCCTCCAATATCGTCCCACCTTATGCTCGCATTGTCCCCGTCCAAAAGTGTCTCTCCAAGACTCATCTCCTTCGTGAACTCGACCACGTCCAGACTCATGGTGGCGAGGGTATCATGGTACGTTTGGAACTCTACTCTTTACTCTCTTGAACAAGGTCAGATGACCCCAAGCCCTAAGAAAACGCTGACCTTATTTATTATTTTAATTTCTCTCTCCTTCTAACAGTTGAGAGCCCCAAGGTCAAGATACGAGTTCAAGAGGTCCAGAACACTGCTCAAGGTCAAGACATTCTTTGACGAAGAAGCAATCGTCGTTGGCGTTGCCAAGGGCTCTGGTAAACACTCTCATCGCATGGGCCACCTCGAGGTCAAGACCCCCGACGGTCGTCTCTTCTCGGTCGGGTCTGGGTTCACAGACGCCCAGAGAGACAAACCCCCCAAGGTCGGCACAATCATCACCTACAAGTTCCAGGAACTGAGCAACAAACTCAACCCTCGCTTCCCTACCTTCATTGGCGAGCGTATTGATGTCAAGTGGGCCGACTACTGCAAGACCTACACCCCTCCTACCCTCAAGGCTGCCACCCCTGCCAAGGTCGTCTCATTGCTCAAGCAAAAGAGTTTGATTTTCCAGGGCGGAGACAGTGATGACAGTGACAAGGACAAGACGAATGGAAATGACAACGTAAACGGAGATGTCGACACTGACGAGGACGATCCAGCAGACACCCGCCCCTCATCTCCCAGCTCAAAATCACCATCATCGTCATCATCCAGTTCTACTCCATCTGTCGCCACCACAACCTCGACTCTGAACCGTAAACGGAAGCTCCAGCAAGCGACAAACAAGAACGATGGTAGCGATGACGATACCAACACCACCTCAAAACAGCAACCCTGCAAGTACGGCGCCGCTTGCTACCGTCGGAACCCGGATCATCTCAAACAGTATAGCCACCCTAACAAGCGCACCAAGAACTAAAATTACCCTTGCTCCATACATAGACGATACCACTTTTGAATAGACAATACTCTCTATGCAACTATGTCCATTGTTTATTTGTTCCTCTTGTCAAACGCCTTTTTATTTTGTACATATTTTTATTTCTCCAAAGAGTCAATTTGGGTTAAGACTAAACTTTTCATTGCGCCATATCCGGAACCTGGATTTGCAGTCTGCACAGCAATTGTCGCTGCTCTTTACAGCTTAAACAAAAAAAAATAAAACTAGATACGAATGAAGGGGATTCTTCCCATCCTCTCCATCATTGACAACCTCCTCCTTTCTAACAAACGCTTCAACCACCGCCCGTCAGCAGCGCGTGGGTCCTTGGTTGCTCCAGGGTATATTCCTTCATCGTGTGTGGCTGGCGAGGCGCCACATAGGCAGAAACCATCGCGGGTGATGTAACCATATCCTTGACTCCAGTCACCTCGGGGGCCTGTGTACTTGGATGTCTTGTCCTTGGCAGAGATGTCCTGGCTCTGTTCCCAACGCGATCGTCTCGGAGCACAGAGGTTTCCAGATCAGTTCCGAGGCCTGCGCCCCCAGGTGGCTTAGGAAGCGCAGCACATGCGATCACGGCCATAGCAAACATCTTCCTGCACGTGATTTCAACAAAGATGAATTGTTGGAACTGATTAGTCCTGGAAAAATTACAATTATCATCCGAAAATAGCTCAGTTGGTAGAGCGGGAGACTGTAGTTTGTCTGTCATCTCTAGGTCCCTGGTTCAAATCCGGGTTTTCGGATATCTTTTGCTCTTCTCTGAGAGTTCTTGTTTTTGCTTCGCCCAATCGTGGAGATGGCTCTGCTTGAGGAGCAGTGTTGCTACCTTGACAATCGAGGATAAAGATATTCTGACACCGTGCTTTTGAAGACATGTCAGAATATCTTTTCGTACAAGAAAGACGTTATTGATGTCAGATCCGTTATTTTGACATCCAATGTCATATTATCTTATTCCGACAATGGGTCGATGTTGACAACGAGCGCGGATGTCATGCTGAGAACTAGAGACACATCGATAGAGAAGTACGTATTAGTCGAGGCAACAACAGAGGCGAGGAGATGGCTTCGTCTTCTTATGTTTTGTTTTTTTTATGTTGACTGGTGAGAGTCCACATATGTCCAGTTCTCACGATTCCATGGTGCCAAGACGTTGTATCTTATTTCTTGCTTTGCCCAAAATTAATCAAAGTGTTCGTTCCTTTTTTTCAGGTATTTGACATGACCGGGGCGGAAATAGACTGATCTCTTCCTTTCTTTCGCTCCCTCCCACTCTTGACCGCAGAATAATGCATGCGGACTTATACTATACGCAACGGGAGCTTTGGGAAGCATGGAGCGGGTTATATTAATCGTTTCTTTTTCCTTTTCCTTCAAAAGTGTAGAGAGCAGGACACAAAAAAGAAGCGAGTTTTGACAGGCAAAGGAAAAGAACCCCTCGAGAAATCTTTCATTTTTGATGCTCAGCCTCCGTTAGAGCAACCGCGCCTCCATCCCCTTGGCCCCTCTTTTTTTTCTTGCCCACTCTTTTTCGCTACTTTTGCAAGAAAGGAGAGAGTGAGGTATAAAGTAGCTGCCTCAACTTTCAGTTTCAAGGATGTGTCAGCAACCTACACAACATTGAACTTACAAAAACGTTTATCCAACAACGAGGATACACAGGATCAAACCTGTCCCTCCGCATCCCTCTCTTTTTTCTCTTTTGTTCCTTGCTCCTTACACTATCTTCGTTGTGAGTTGTGTCAAAATTTCAACATTGAGGGTTACCAGGTGCACAGTTGTCTCTGCATTGCTCGTGCATTCATTTTTTTCTATTGGGTTTTTATCGTTTGTTACCTCAGATCATGACTTTTGTGTCAACGCTATTTTGTGAGGTCTTCTTCCCTCTCACATTCCTCTCTCCATCACCATAACATACCTTTTGTTTGCGTTCCTTTTGTGATTCACGTCAACCGCGCCCATCACTCTACGTCTCAGTGGCCAACCCCTGAGCCATTCAATCCCCCCCTCCCCCCCAATGATGACTCCTCATCCTACCATTCCTGCCCACTCAACGGTCCATTGTTTCTTTTCTTTTCTTCACTAAGTAACAGCTACAGTGAGGAAGAGCCGACAGGCGGGCGAAGAATTAGATCTGTTGAAGATACCTTTTTTTCTTTCTCCACCCCACCTTAACCACACCCCTTATGTTCATTTTATTCTTGTTGTGGCCAAAAAAATATTATTCCTGCGCTAGAAAAGGCGAAAACTGATTCTATCGAACAAAAAAAATCGGCGAAAGTGAACATCGACACTTCTTTGTAACAGGATTGTAGATTGCCTCCTGCTTTTGGCTGCCTTGTTCCTTACTTCCTTGTTAATATCTTGTGTGTCTGTCTTACACACTACCCCTGCTTATTATTACCTCACCATCATCCCTCATACCATAGACGTATAAATACCCTGTCCCTCCTGTACAATAAACCTCATTCCTTCTTGCCCTTTTCTCTTGTCCCTACACCTTCTTGTCTCTTTCCCTTGCTATTATCCTTGCCTCTTGCCTTCCTTCCTTGTCATCACCCTTGCCTCTTCCCTCTTGCTCTGCTCCTATTACATTCTTCCTCTTTTTGACGCCCGAGAGAAGAGATGGACTAACTGCAGTCAACGTACCAGTGGCAATCATTCAAATGAGCATGCTCTTCTCCTTCCATTGATTTGGTGCAAGAGAGAGAAAGCGAGAGGGCGATTTATATTATGCGTACATGCTGAGGTATGTGAACAAAAAGCGAAGGAACGTTACAACGAAAAAAAAATATCAGAGGAAATCAAAGCTCAATTCGATCGTAAAAAATAGATGAACATCAACGAAGGTTCAGGGCACCACAGCCAGGCTCCGAGAACCAGAATGCGCTACAAAACACCACCCAAGTTCTTTTTTTTTCCAAACCAACATTTTTCATCACTCAGAAGTTGGCCGAAGAATGAATCCCAAAAAAAGCGCGTGAAAGAAAAAATGAAACGAACAAGAAAGACACAAAATGGCATGAGAATGCGGCCTTGGGTCTGATCCCACGCGATCGTCGCGGTGTACCGGGGTTTCCAGATCACCTCCGAGGCCTCCACCCCTAAGTAGCCAACAAACTTGTGCAGGACCGTCTTGACGATGGATTTTGGAACTGATCATGTTTACACGGCCAGGAACCAGAAAAATTGAAGCCCTACAAAAAATCACCCAGCATTCATTTTGGTGGCGCAAAAACTTGATATCACGTGAATTCAAGACCTGTTGATACAAATCAAAAACTAAAAACTCCATTCTTCATAGAAAGTGTAGTATATGGGTATCATTCCGGCCTTCCAAGCCTGAGAACCGGGTTCGAGTCCCGGCACTTTCATCCTCTTTTGTTTCGGCGATTGTTTTGCGTTCCCGACTGGGTGGCTGCCTGGGCTTCGTTCCTCCCTTTTTTCTTTTTAATTCGGTGTTTCCATTTCCATTGTGCGTCATCCGCCTTTTAATTTGACACGCTTACGAAGAAGGCCCGCGGCAGAGCCACGGACGTCCTCCTTGTCAAGCGTGCTTTGAATGTTCGAGCAAGAGTTACCTATCCTTTTTCTACGCGTCATTTCACATCTTACTTTTCTTTCGCCTTCATTCGCTTTTTAAATTTGATACTCTCAAGTAGAAGGCCCGTGGTTGAGCCACGGTCCACGGTCGTCCTTCTTGCCAGGTGCGCTTTGTGAGACCACTCCCCCTCCCTCTCCCTTTTCCTCTTCCTCGAACTTTGCTGGTCTAGTTGTGACCGTGTGGGACCTCTCGCTAGTGTGCCTGAGTTGCTTTTCCTCCACATTGACTATTTTTGTTTGCCCATTAACCAACTGACCAACTGGCGAAATAACTAACTGAGTGAATAACTGCCTAAAGGGGAGGGAATGACAGATACGTTTTTTTCTAACTACAATGGCAGTGATCGCACCTTTTTTTTCCTTGAATGAAGTTATGGTACCTGAGCAGCATCAGTGGGACGAGAGTACGACACACATCATTTTTTTCGTTAATTTAATGGTCAGTTGCGGTTCAAATCGCTTGTTCGTACATTTGAAGGGAATCGTGGACAGGAGTACGTGCTGGATATGATCATAGATACATATTTGAACAATCGCGATGGACGCGCACACGTCCATGAGTGTGAAGGGTGTAGATCATTTTATGATTCCCGCTTTTAGTGATTGCGCGCCATGCGTCAAAGAGAGAAAGGAATGGTCAAATGTGTTTACACACTTGTTTTACTTCTTTTGAAAGTTGCTTGTCGATTGCACTTGGCACTGCGATAGAAAGACAAGAGAGGAACGAAAACTGGGATGGCCTGTTCCAGTATTGTCAGATCCCTCTTGTTAATTCACTCCTTAATGTAATTATCCCGTTGAAAACGACAATGCTTATATACACCGGACGTGGATATTTGTTTTATCCTTGAAAGCAAAATAAAGGAAAAACTGGTCCCTGCCTGGTTGTGACTCTCTCGTAAGACGCGAGTGGTTTTTTCTTTTTTGGGTGCATAAACAAAGGGAGAAAAAAACATTTGAAAGACGAAACGATGTATCAGGAGCAGGAGTGGAAGGGATCAAGAAAAGGAACCAGGTGCATGGTTGTCTTTTGTGTCTCCGTATTTTTTTTTACTTTTTTTTTTAGAGAGACGATGAGCGTGGCCTTTATGGTTTTTGTCCCTAAAGAATATTATCTACTCGAGTAGACTTGTCGTCTCTCATTGTCTCTCTCTCGCTTCTATGTGCGTGCGTGAGTGAAGAGGAATACAATAAGATCGCCTTTATTGCATGTTGTTTATCCCAGCAAAACGCGTTCTCGAAAGATGCTGGGGGAAAATTAGTTCTCAGGGCAACCACACATGTTCATTCCTCACGAAGTGTGCAGTTCACGGACCAGTTCCCCAGCCAATGATCTCACCCGTCGGCAGGTTATAGTGTCTATGTGTTGTCTGCTGTCCATCCTTTCCTGTCCGTGTCTCGGTCCGTCCCCCGTTCATTCTTGGGCTTTTTTTTTCAATTGAGTGAGCGCCCTCATTTCTCGCCCTTGCTGCACCCCCGTCCATTTCTTTATTCATTTTTTCTCTCCAGGTCAGGGCACACATCTTGTACACACTGAGATGTATCCTAATGCTTCCAAAAACTATTGCATTAATCTTGTTTTTTACCCAGCGACAAATAGATGCATGTTGACCGATACATGTGCGCACCGTCTATAGTATGTGGTCAATGGTTGCCAGGGTTCTCTCGCTGTTGTACTTCCTCCATTTCTCTCGTGCGCTCTCTTCCTCATCCCAACAACGATAGCGGGAGCATCGACGCCAAGTAATGTACCCTTGCCGTTTGCCCTTTTGCCAGATCGAAGGTAAAAAGAAGCATCGCCACCTGAGCTCTCGCGCCATGCTCAAGACATGCATCATATTTATTATTACATCTTTTCTTTTCTCTCGCCTTTGTCGACCGTTACGCTATTCCAAGATCTTTTGGCGTGAGTTGTGATGCGAGCCACTGGGTTTGTTGTTGTGTTTTGGTACTTTGCGCCTTCGGGTGCAGTGCGGGAGAGTTTTTTTGTGGCGCATCTATACCATGGTTATGTTTGTTGTTGATGATGATGTTCTTTGGAACAAGCTGGCAAACATTTTTTGTTAGTTCGGAAAAATGTCTAACCTGTATTGTCAATCCTACTGCCCTTGTATTGTTTGTAAGTGTTCTGGATCTACGGCAACAGGGACGTGAATGTCAACGAGAAAGATGACGAAAAGGTAAACAAATGGACTCTCCCGGTTTGTTGTTGTTGACAGAGAGAAAGGGAGAAAAAACCAAGAGCACTCTTTTATCGTCCCTTCTACTTATTCTGAGCAAAAAAATAATAATAATTGCTGTTGTGGTTGTTGTGGTTGTTGTGGTACATGTAATGGATAGGCCGTTTCGTGTTTGTATTCATGGGTGCACGCCCACCCATCTTCAGGTACATGTTGGACATGTTTTGTGCATGTCCCCTCCCTTTGTTGGTGTATTTTTTTGCTCAAATTTTTAGGATTTCCCAGCTTGTTGCTCTCGTTCTTTATCCCCTTCTGCCATCATACCCCATCTTGAACGCATACCCTCCTCCCTCCGACGACCATTTCACCCGGTTTTTCTGTGTCTCCGTCCGTGTGCCTGCATGCTTTGGTCTGGTCCCCTTTCTCCCATCTTTCTTCCATCGTTGTTGTTTTTCCCTTGCAGTGGCATGAGGACGATGATGCATGAAGGATGAAGGGACGCGAAAAAAGTACAACGAGCGACAAGGAAACGCGAAGAGACGCGACAAATTCGAAAAGATCAGTTCATTCAGCCTGGAAGCTGGATGGCTAAAACATTACAGAAAAAGGGAGGCAAAGGAGGATAACCAGCCCCCGCCCGGATGGCAAAGTTGAGTTGGCTGACTAGGAAAAATAAAAAATGCTCTCGTTTGTTTGAAAGAAGAAGCGGAGGAAGGTAATGATGATGATGATGATGTTGTTTGGGCTGGATAGGCTTACACTCAGGACACATACCTCACCAAAACCAAGACTAGACACAGAGAAAGAGTGAGAGTCACGAAAGGTGAGAGATAGAACGGAGTTTTAGGCGGTGAGTGTGTAGGAGGAAGAGGGTTTTAATGTTTCTGTTTGGCGGAGGCGACGATGTCTCTGGGTCAATCGGGTGTTGTCAACTTGTCATACAACCAGAGACCTCCCAAGGTAACTGTTGTCGGTCAATTGTGGTTGGCATGACAGGGGCGGGTGCTGGTGTCTTGTATAAAAAGCAATCGAAGTCGTCGCTGTTGTTGTTCTGTTTGGAATTGCTATGAGAGTGGCCAGACAAGCAAGTAAAAGTAAAGAGATGAAAATAGAAAGATAAAGAAAGAAGAAAGAAAGAGGAGGAAAGAAGGAAGCATAAGCAAAGACCCAAGACGAAAGGCTAAGTTGCCCTGGGGACCAGGTGTGCATTAGTATCTTCCGTGGAATATACTTATCTCCCACTCGCTTAATTCTCTCTGTTTTTCTTACTTCCTTTTCCTTCCTTCCTCTACTCTTCCTTTACTCTTCCTTCCTTCCTTCCTCCCCTCTTCCCTCCTTCCTCCTTCCTCCCACTTTCCTTTACCCTCTTTTCTCCTCTATACGTTCTTTCATTCTTTCACCCTCCACTCCTCTTCTACACTTCTCCACGATACACCCACATATCACCTATTAATATCATATCCATCACTACATACAGTACTTCTCAATCAATCTCATTATTCTCAAACACATCCTCTCATATCCATCCACTCGCCTTTACTTTGTTCCTGAATATCACTCTCGTATTCACACTTCACTCAACTCCTTTTCAGCATCTGCAACAACTGCAACCATTCGCCATTCACACTTCCTCCTTCAACTCGATTCTTCCCTTCTCTCATTACACACCTCCAGCCACACTCACACCCTGACACCCTCAACCCCAACGTCTACTATTCTCGGGAAATGCGCACAACACACGGCTGCATCGCCAACGCAGCCGTCTATTCTCTCCTCCTCCTCCAGCCCTTCTTTCTCCTCCAGTCAACTTTAGCCCAGGCACCAGGTAAACAATAAGAAACAACTGACAACAACAAACAACAACAGCAATCACCAAAAAAAAACGCCCTCGTTCTATTCATAAAGCTGCAACAACAAACAGCAAACAGCAAACAACTCCCTTCGACAGTCGACCAACGACAACGACGATAACAATAGCAACACACAACTCTGCAACCCAACCTATAAGCAACATTTTTCATATTCAGTCGTCGTTGTTGGCTATTCTATTATTATCACTTCTCTACCCTGCCCTCGCCTTGGTGGTTTCCCTTGCCTATTCCTGCGTTTGCCCTTACACCTTACACCTTGCCGGTTGTACCTTATATGCTCGCGCCTGCCTGCTTGTGCTTGTGCTTGCTGCTTGTGCCCGCCCTCGAACACATCCCTAGCCCTGTCATCCCGTCCTTCTCCTTTCCTGTCCTTCTACCTACCACCTACCACCCCTTTCCCCTTTCCCTTCTCCTGCACTTCTTCTCCCCCCTCGTCTACTGTCCTCCTGTTGACCGTTGACCCCATCTCGCTCTTTGTTTTTATCACAAGGGAAAAGGGAACAAAAACAAAGGCCAGAGCAGGTGTCCAAGTGTTCTTTTTGAAGTACACAAACAAAAAGAGAGAGTGGCTAAAAAGAGAAGGAGAGGGAAGAAAAGAGGGAGGAGAGATAGAGATGGATGATGACCGATGTCCATTGCAAAAACAATAAGAAAGTAAGTGGGCGGATGGCGTCAAAGAGGGGGACTAGGCTCGACTTCAGTCCCTTCCCTCTTTTCTGTTTTTTTTCCCTTCGACACTCTCTCACATAAGAAATGAGGAGAAGTGGACTGTGGGCGAGGTGTGTAATTGTAATTGGGCGGATGGCGTCAAAGAAAGGGGACCAGGCTGGACTTTATTCTCTTCTGTCTATCTCCATCCCCCCTGTCATGTCAGGCCACCTCTCCCCTCCGCATTGCTCGGACAGCAAAAAAAAAAGTTCACAATAACAGCATAACAACAAACAATAGCAAGAACAACGACATGGACATCAACAGGAAAGCAGACCAACGACGGCACTTGGTGTGTTGTATTGGCTTGGATGGATGAATGTTGTTTGCATGTAGAAGTATGTGTGTGCGACAACAATGACGATGGATTCGGGGCTATTTTTATCGGCATTATCTACAGCCATGGATGAATGGAGAAAAACACGCCACAAACAACAGCATCTCTCTCGCCCAGCCAGACATACATATCATACATACCCCCTTGTTTCTGTCCAATCTGGCCCAGACTTTTTCCCTCTTCATGTCTGTACACCTGCAACCAGCTTATTCAAAAAACAAAACAAAACAGAAAACAAAACCAAGGAAATGGACCCTGTAGGAGAGAGAAAAGGATGACCAATACAGTCTGCATATGCCTCTCTTCCCTTTTCGCTCTCATCCTCCTTCTATGTCTTTCGCCTCTCCCCATGGATATATAAGAGCCTCAGCAATGGACATATCTTGACTCGTAATTCACTTTTCGCTTATTTATTTTGACTATCGATCGCACAACTGAGCAAAAAAATAATAATTTCATACCTCGCTGCGGCACGCTCATTCCTCGTTCTGGACTCTTGGACCTCGACGCGATTAGCTTTCTCATTTTTACATATGCACTGCATTACCTATTTACTCCATGACCTCGATATCTAACCCATACATACCCCTTTTTTCTCCTCGGAAAATACCGATCGCAATATATAGCATGTCCAACGGGCCCAATATGTGCTCCAGCACCAGGAGATAATTGGCGACAAGACTCCGTTGGACAGCTACTTTGGAACTCTTCGCTGATGTCTCCATTCGGCAAATACGATACTGTCGATATCTACATTGTCGACGAAGATTCCGTGGGGCGGTCGTACATGTTTAAGCAAGCCGCCGAGATCGAGTTTGGCTCGGCCGCCTCAAAGCTGGAGGCCACTCTCTTCCCCGAGGACGTCTCCAACAATCGATCCTGCCACATCGTCATCACAGGCAACGGCAATGCGCTCGATGGAACCCACAACACCCTCAACTCTTCCTCCTTTTTCATGATCCGTAAGCTAACTTTTGAGAGTCTACTCTTTGTGCCATTATTATTGTCTTCTCAATGCCTTCTTTGCTCTTATTTCACCTAGTGCTTTTCATTGCTTTATCTAACGGGCATGAATGTTCTTGGTTACTTTCTAGGCACACAACAAAACGTCAGTGGAACGATGGTACCTCTTCCATCACCAACGGCAACGGCAACGGCAACAATCAGCACATCCCTCACATTCACAACAACAGCAACGTCAACTAAAGGCAGGCCTACCACATACAACGGGACAACCGTCCCTGCAGTATCCACTGGTATTCCCACCAACGGCGCACTCCCCTCCGACAAATCCGCATCTCTCTCACCACTCGTCATTGGCCTCATTTCTGCAGGATGTGGCGCACTGTTGATCGCAATCGTGGCAGTCTTTTTGTTGGTTCGGGCCCGTAGACGATACAAGGGCAACACAAGTTATTTTAAGAGTTTGGACGATCAGCCAGGTTCACCCACGGACGGGAGTACAAAGGGATCGTCAAATTTCAAATCGGAGGACGATCAAGAGTCAGCAGCAGTAGCGGCCCGGGGTGAAGGTGGTTATGGGGGCGCGTTGTTTGCAGGATCGATTGCTGCCGAACGGAGTTCATCCAACACTGCACGGTCGGCAGAACCAATGATCAAGGGCGTGCCAGCCATGCTGCCCTACCATAGTCAAGCACCGTCGTCACCGATAGCACCGTTGCCATTGTTGGAGCGCAAGACATCGACATTATACAACGTGCCCGAGAGTGCAGAGAGCGCGGCTGCAGCAGCAGCAGCAGCAGCCACAGGAGCAGCAGCAGTGGGAACGACGGGACGTCAGAACTCGGTGGAAAAGAACCCTGTCCTGACCGCAAACGACGCACAATTGATTGCAGAGACGTTCCGGAAATCGATGCGGAAGCCTCAGTGGGAGAATAAGCACGATGACGACGACGATGAGACGGATGAGGCACGGAGAGCAGCAAACACGTTGTTGATGAAGGAGCTGAGCGAGGAAGGCGTGGATGTGCAACGGGGCGTGCAACGCCGTGTTACTATTCAGGACCGTATCATTCGTACGCCTGGCGGATCTACACTCGCGTCGCGTTCTCTTGCCATTCCACCACCATAGAACGCACAGAGATATCGACCATTACGATAACCCTTTTTCCATTTATATATTTTTTAATCCACCCTTTCATTCATTTTCATGTCTATGAAGCATACCTCTTCTCAACTCTTCCCAACTCTACCTTCTTTCATTCACCCATCTCTCCTGTTCACTATTCCTCCACTACCCATCCCCATTACTCATCCTGTGTACTAAAACAAATAAAAAGCACCGCCCTCCATCCATACTCTTACATCTCAGCATCAACAACGATATCGTTTTGTCCAAGGTCTCATGTGTCATGGGGAGTGGTATCTGCTGATCACTTTGCTTCTGCTGTGTTAGGGCGCGTGAAGTGGCGGTGTGGGAGACAGAAGCAGGAAAGTAAAAGAAACGCGGGTAAATGGAGCATCGTCGGTTGGTTGTGTTTCTACGAATGAGGAAGTGGCAGTCTGTAGGTTGAGAGGTGTCAAGAATTTGTATTGTTCTTCGGAGAAAAGGTAGATAAAGTGACAAAGCACAAACAAAGAATGCAAGGCTACTCCATCTATTTCCTTCTTCGAAAAAGACAAACAACATATGCACATGCATTCAACCCTTGTTTACCAGCCTCTTTCGCCGGCGCTCCTTGGCGTTCTTTTTCTTCTTCTTCTTCTTCATGATGACTGAATAATGATGACAACGATGATACGCTTTATTATTTGTGTTCGTTTGTGTTGCGTTACTCCTTTGGCTACTCCATATTCCCGTTTGGACCAAGTGTTTTTTTGTTTTGTTTTGCTCTTGACCTTTTGACCCTTGACCTTGTGGCTCAATTAGGATATGTTGCAAAGTGCGGGGAAGCTGCTTTGTTTGTTGTTGGTTTCTTTTTTTTTGCGCCCATTGAAGGAAAAAAGAAAGTGGTGCGAGTTCCAAAGACAGCGCATATTATTAGCGTTCTTTTAGGGTCAATTGTTGTTTCGGAGGAGGATGTCCTTTTGCAGTGAGAAAGGAGGATCGATTGTCCTTCCTTTACCTTCTGCCTCCAGGGTGCCAAAAGGGAAAATTAACCTTCAAGCCGAGAGTTAGAGAGATATGAGAGAGAAAGAGAGAAGGACGAAGGAGAGATGTGATTACGATTTGCACGCGTTTGCTCTAAAAAGTTTTCCGAGGCCGAACCCTAACCTTCAACTTCAATTGCTATAAACAGAGGCGATATGAGGGGTAAGAGAGAAAGGGAGAGACTGGCTGTCCGAAGGGGAAGGAAGACTGGCTGGGTGACTGGTTGCTAGTTGTGAAGGAGGGGGGAAGAGTGGTGTCGGATCAAGAGGTGTTTGTGAATGGAAACTGAAGGCGCGGAAAAAAAAAGAAACAAGGCGCAGAGAAGGAAAAAATAAGAAAAAGAGAGCAAAGAGGTTTAAAGTAGCTTTCGACGTCGATGACCTTGTCAAGGGGATTACTTGCGGTAGTGTCGGTGTTTCTGACAGACATGTATTTTTTCGTGGCCCTAGGGCCAAGCACAGTTGAGGGGCGAATTAATGAGATCGAACAAAAACAAAGGCAAGAGCCATGTCGGACTCTTATGTACTGTTGTCGTTGCTGTCGCCGTTGTTCCTGGGTGAGTGAATAAGATACACCCATAGAATATGTCTGTTATCAACTGAATAAGAAGCGTTAGAATTACCACATGAAAAGCAAGTGTACACGACAACAGGGAGAGTTCACTTTATATGTCCTTCAGGCAGAGTAAACAAGAAAGCAGCCAAAGCGAGTCTCGGAGATTCGGACATTCTCATCTCCCCCCTATCTTTTGAAGGGATATAAAGCGTCCGTCTTTACGCACGCGCGCGCCCTCTTTCTTCTCTCTTTCTTCCTGTTTTTTTCCCCACCCCTCTCCCCTCTCCCTCCTCCCCTTCACCCTCAATCAACTCCTCATCAGAAAGAACTCCTTCTTTTTGCTGATTCCTTTTCCTTTGATTGTCGACTCCTCTACTTCACTGAACACCAAAAGAGATTCACCTTTTTTTTCGGATCAACTTATAACACAATATGTTCTCTTCCGGAGCTCTCTCCCGCACCATGAAGGTACACTTCTCTCTTTCTCACACTTATGCGTGTCTATTTCATACACACAGGCCTCTCGTCACTTGTCTTCTCCGCTTCGTTTCACAGTTCCGGCACGCCCTTTTCTAAGCATAATTCTCTCCACTTTTATCACGATCTTGTTATGACGAATAATAGGCGGCTGCCATCAAGGCTCCCCTCCGCACCTTCGCTCAGGCCACGACTGCCTCGTCTGCCCGCAAGGTCCAAATGTCCAACTTTGAGAAGGACCAGTACATCAACTACCAGCGCATCGAGGACAACCTCGCCATTGTCAGAAAGAGGCAAGTTCTTTCTCCTTTGTTTAATCTGATAATATCGTTGACTCTGGAGATATGTAGTCATCGATCGGGATGGAGTGACATGCTTTTGATCGGATCCGACAACAACAGCAACAGCTAGAAGCAAGCAACACGGACAATGCAAGGACGAGAAGAACAGGAAGAGAAAGATAAACGAAAAGAAGCTAACCAGTCTCTCTCTCTCTCTCTGCGCCTGTTTATTATTATCGTGTTCCATATGTGTTCCATCATCATGACTCGGAAATTCCCTCATCTTGCCCTTGCTACTCCACTACAACACCAACAGACTGAACCAGCCCATGACCCTTGCCGAGAAGATCGTCTACGGTCATTTGGATGATGCACACAACCAGGATATCGAGCGTGGAAAGTCCTACCTCAAGCTCCGCCCCGATCGTGTTGCCTGCCAGGATGCTACCGCCCAGGTACCGTGTTTGCTCTTCTCATTGCAATCGCAGATGGCTTGCATGCTTATCGATCGATCCTTGCAACCAGTCAACTAACAAAGAGACGCGCTGTTCATTACATCTATTAGATGGCTTTGCTCCAGTTCATGTCGGCTGGTCTCCCTAACGTCGCTGTCCCCTCGACCGTCCACTGCGATCATTTGATCGAGGCCCAGGTCGGAGGCGCCAAGGACTTGTCCCGCGCCAAGGACATCAACAAGGAGGTTTACGACTTCTTGGCAACCTCCTGCGCCAAGTACGGCCTTGGTTTCTGGAAGCCCGGCTCTGGTATTATCCACCAGATCATCCTCGAGAACTATGCCTTCCCCGGAGGTCTCATGATCGGAACTGATTCCCACACCCCCAACGCCGGAGGTCTCGGTATGGTAGCCATCGGTGTCGGTGGAGCTGATGCCGTCGACGTCATGGCCGACATCCCCTGGGAGCTCAAGTGCCCCAAGGTCATCGGAGTCAAGCTTACCGGCCAGATGTCTGGCTGGACCTCAGCCAAGGATATCATCTTGAAGGTCGCTGGTATCCTTACCGTTAAGGGAGGTACCGGAGCCATTGTCGAGTACTTTGGACCTGGTGTCGACACCTTGTCCTGCACCGGTATGGCCACCATCTGTAACATGGGTGCTGAGATTGGTGCTACTACCTCGCTCTTCCCCTACAACGCCCGCATGGGTGACTACTTGAAGGCTACGACCCGTCCTTACATTGCCGACTGGGCCGATTCCTTCCAGCACAACTTGAAGGCTGATGCCGGTGCCAACTACGATCAGATCATCGAGATCGACCTCAACACCCTTGAGCCCCACATCAACGGACCCTTCACCCCCGATCTTGCCACCCCTCTCTCCAAGTTCAAGGAGGCTGTCAAGGCCAACGGCTGGCCCGCCAAGCTTGAGGTCGGTTTGATTGGTTCCTGCACCAACTCGTCCTACGAGGACATGGCCCGCTCGGCCTCGATCGCCCAGGAGGCCCTCGACCACGGATTGAAGGCAAAGTCGATCTTCACCATCACTCCCGGTTCGGAGCAGATTCGTGCCACCATCGAGCAGGACGGTCAGATGGCCACCCTCAACGCTGCCGGCGGTATTGTCCTCGCCAACGCCTGCGGCCCCTGCATTGGTCAGTGGGATCGTCAGGATGTCCCCAAGGGCACCAAGAACTCCATCATTACTTCCTACAACCGTAACTTCACCGGACGTAACGATGCCAACCCCCAGACCCACGCCTTCGTCGCCTCCCCCGAGATCGTTACCGCCATGACCTTTGCCGGTGACTTGACCTTCGACCCCACCAAGGACACCCTCATCGGTGCCGACGGCAAGGCCTTCAAGTTCTCAGCCCCCACCGGTAACGCCCTCCCCCCCAACGGATACAACGCTGGTGAGGAAACCTACCAGGCTCCCCCCAAGGAGAAGGGTGAGGTCTCCGTCAAGGTTTCGCCCACCTCCAACCGTCTTCAGCTCTTGGAGCCCTTCGCCAAGTGGAACGGCAAGGATATGGAGGACATGCCCATCTTGATTAAGGTCAAGGGCAAGTGCACCACCGATCACATCTCCATGGCCGGTCCCTGGTTGAAGTTCCGTGGTCATTTGGACAACATCTCCAACAACATGTTGATCGGTGCCCTCAACTCTGAGAACGAGGGTGTTAACTCTGTCAAGAACCAGTTCTCTGGTGAGTACGACACCGTCCCCGGTGTTGCCCGTGACTACAAGGCCAAGGGTCAGCCCTGGATCGTCATTGGTGACGAGAACTACGGTGAGGGATCCTCCCGCGAGCACGCCGCCCTCGAGGTCCGTCACCTTGGAGGTGCCGCTGTCATCACCAAGTCTTTTGCCCGTATCCACGAGACCAACTGTAAGAAGCAGGGTCTCTTGCCTTTGACCTTCGCCAACCCTGCCGATTACGACAAGATTGCACCCTTTGACCGTGTCTCTATTCAGGGCTTGACCTCCTTCAAGGAGGGTGTCCCATTGAACTTGCACGTCAAGAAGCAGGATGGCTCTGCCATTGACATCAAGTTAAACCACACCTTCAACGAGGATCAGATCAAGTGGTTCAAGTTTGGTTCAGCCCTCAACCAGATGGCTGCCAAGGCCCAGGCCCGCGCTTAAAGTCGTCTTTTCGCTTGAATGAAGTTTTTTGCCTTTATGACCCTTTTTTCTTTCTTTCCCCAATCCATGCAACATTTGCACCCTGTAAAATACGAAATAAATATTTTTTTTCCCTCGCGATATGATTCCCACTGCTACATTCCTACACTCTGCGAACTGTTCACCATAAAGAAAAAAAGGAGCTCTATTTATTCTCAACCGACCAAGGAAAAGAAAAAAGATAAACAAGTTATGAAAGAGGTCGTGGGGAATGAAACATGCCATACTGGCTCTCGGACTTGACGACCTTGAACGACTCCAAACCATCATCGTCATCGCCATCATCATCATCATCCTGACCGTACTGCCGTTTCGTCCCCCTTTCTCCCATCGGATATCCAGTGTGCATCTGGAACAGTGGCGCTCCTGCTCCTGCTGCAGAACGCGACGGTAATGGTGGTTGAGGTAAGAGTAGTGGCGGCGGCGGGGATGGCGAGATGGAGGGATTGGGTGTTGTCGCCGACGAGGAGATGGGTGTTGTCGCCGACGAGGAGATGGGCGGTGTCGCCGTCACTGTTGAGCTCAAAGTCGGCACAGACCCGGAACCAAAGACATAATCAGAGACCAATGCGGGCAACTGAGCACCTGCAGCAGATCGAGAAGAAGGAGAAGAAGGGATCTTCTTTTTGGACATCAACAGGCTGGCGAGTGCCTTGGTCTTGGGCGTCATCAATCGCGCCTCCAACGGATCAACCACCGCCCTCGACTTCCGAGGCGTCCCCATAGCCGTCGATAAGCCGCTCATCTCTCTTAGTAGCTCTTCTTCCACCTCGTCCAAGACAAGAGCCGGAACCGGTGGCCCTTCTGGCTGCTGCCGCGGCAAGAAGGTAGATGTCGCAAACTCTGACCCTGTCGCTGCGTTGTAGAGTGCTTCGACGCTGCTACTCAAGGCAGTGGCAGTAGTAAGAGATGGAAAGGAGGACGGGCTGTCGAAGAATCCGTAATCCTGTTGATGAGTAGTAGTTTTAGGTAGTGTAGGAGGGCTGGCCGGGATGATGAGGCGTGTGTATTCTTGTTCTGCGGTCCTGCTTGGATTCGAAAAAGGGACGCTCTCGTGCCCTTCGTCCTGGAGGCGATAGAGGTCATTGATCGACATGAACCGTAGGGCCTTGGGTGTCGATAAATCAAATTCCGGTGGTTGCTGTGTTTGTCGCCTCCGAGGAGTGGTCATAGGCGATCCTGCAACAGAGAAATCCGGAAAAGCATCAGGAGACCACAAGTTCCCTGTAGGTGATGGCGAATCTGAGAACGGTGGTGGCGATGATTGCATCCCGTCGACGTCACTCAGTCTCCAGTTGGAGTCACCAGCAGCAAAAGGGTTCAATCCTGACGCCGTATCGAGAAGGCGAAGAGGTGTAGGTGAGACCCGCTTTCTGGGTGAGAGGGCAGCCGCTAGAGCTCTTGTCTGTGGCTTCATGTGTAGCCGCAGCGTGCCAGACCGGTTGTAGAGTGCTGTTGATTCAAAAGTCAGACCCTTAGTTGCTGTTGGTGACACGACGGAGGCTACTGGTGAGAACTCCTCCTCCTTCCGCTGTTGTTGTTGTTGTTGTTGTCGCCGCGGCTGAACACACTGGTACTCTTGCTCAACCTCTGTGTTACTCTCATCACCATCGTACGCCGCCTCCTCATCATTCACCACCTCCTCCCTCTCCTCCACCACGTCCTCCTCACCGCTGACTTCCTGCGGGTCGCCTCTGTTCCGTGCAGAGCAATCGTGCCTGGAGGCAGAATACCATCTCCACTTGTTAAATGCCCTCCTCATGATCATCAGGTCGCTGCCGCCTGGCTTTGGTAATGGTCCATAACGTGGTTGATCCCAGCGAAAGTTGAAGGTGTCCACAGAGTCACCTTCATCCCGGCGATGCGATTCGGTTTGGTAGTCGTCCATACTGACCACGGTTCCTTTCGCTGCTGCTTCCTCGTCTTCTCCTGTCGGGTGTCGCGCCCTACCCGAGTGAGAATATCTTTTCCCCGATTTTGCCTGGATGTCAACATCTAATCCCGATACTCTGTTTTCCTCCTTCCAACGGCGGTCGGTATCTGGAGAGTCGAACAGATTGAACAGACGGCTAGAGTCACTGTGATGGTGTTGGCGATCCTCGGGTATATGATGTGACCTGTCTGATCGATCCTGCTCCTCCTGGTCTTGACGACGACGACGGTGATGATAGTGGTGGTTGTGGAGATGTCGATCCGGCCTGTGAGTGCGCGTTCGATGCCGAGAAGGAGATGGAGGATTGCTGTTGTCCGATATGTCCACAACGGCAGCGTCCTTCGTATTTCCCTCTTCATCCCGCTGCTCGTGTTGGATCCTTTCCCTCCACACCCTCACAGTTTCCTCTCCCTCGTCTTCGTCCTCGTCTTTCAGAAAGCGTCCGAGTCTATCCGTACTCGTCTTGACGAATTTCTCCTCATCCTCCTCCTCCTCGGTCTCCAACTCTCCCAGCGATTCATAGACTTCTTCCTCCTTCTCCTCGTCGTCGTCTTCATAAAATTCTTCTCCCTCTCCCTCATCCTCATCTTCCTCCTCACCCTCCTCCTCGGATGAATAGATATCCTCCTCATTGTCCGAGTCTTGGGCCACAAAAACATTCTCCTCAGGCTTCCTAGGCTTAGCATTGGCCCTGAGCTTGTGTCTCTTCCGCCTCCCGTAATTCTCTTTAGACTTCGGGATATAATCCTCCACTGCAAAATCGACTTCGCTGCCCTCCTCATCAATGTCCGAGTTGCCGAAGCGATCAAAGATGGACTGCCAGGCAGATGCAAGTCGTTCACAGGATTCCTTGCGGAGAGAATAGATGTAGTTGTTCAAATCCTCATCTGGTCCCGACATTTCAGTGAGGGCCGCTTCCACATCGGCGTCCGGTAGCTCTGTTGTGTCTGTTTGTGTTTGTGTTTGTAGTTGTGGCCGGTTTAGTGGTTGTAGATGTGGTGGAGAGCTGCTTTTGATCCCGCGCCCGCTCTGTGCCATGTCCTTGTAGGGTTCGTAGTTGGGTCCGTGGATGAATCTGTTCTTGTACTTCTTGATTCGTGGCGGGCCATTGCTATTGTCGCTGTCGCTGCTATTGTCACTTGGGGGTAGTTGGGGACCGGATTTGTCGATATTGCGGTTGAGGCGTCTGAGGGTAGCTTTGACATGGGCGTCAAAGGAGCTGAGGGGCCGTGGGGTTGGCGGTGGTGGAGGCGGCAGCTCGATAGGATCTGCGATCCGTGCCTTGAAGGAGGAGACCCATTCCTTGGTAGGTATCCATTGTGAAGCTTTTGGTGCAAGTGAAGGCTTAGGGACGCGTTGTTGTTGATGGTGGTGACGATGATGATGTTGTTGATGTTGTTGTTGTTGTTGCTGCTGCCTCTGCTGCTGCTGTTCCTGTTGTTGTTGGTTGTGATGTTGTTGGTTGTGATGTTGTTGCTCGGGATCGGGGTTGGGAGGTTTGTAGGCGTCCGAGATGAACACGCCGTCGTCGTCGGTCATGGGGGAGTCGGGGGAGTCGGGGGAATGGAGGTTATAGTTTGGGCGAGAGGAGCGCGGAATCTCTGTCCAGAATGCAGGACGAGACTTCTGTGGCGATGGTGGTGGCGGCTTCGGCTTTGGGGTTGAATGTGAGTGCGAGTGTGGGTTATCGTCAGAGTGCGAATTGTAGCTTGGGTCTGGGATGAAGTGTACGCGCGAGTCTTTGTTTCCGTCCTTGATGATCTTGGGTGGTGTCCTCCAAGTGAGGATCCTGGATGATTCCATGGTGTGGAGGGATGTTAATGAAAAGAAGAGAGGAGTAGCTTGTGATTGGTTTGAGAGAATACCGAAAACAGTGGCGCGCGAAAGAAGTCAGACGGCAAGACAGGAGACTAAGTCGGAGGACAGTCACATTTAGCGCATGAAGTGTGGAAGTTGCTCAAGAGAAAATGCGACTTTGGGCCTCGTGTTGCTCCTCGCTTGAATATATTCAATACCCGAACGCACAACACAACAATGCAAAGCAGGGAGTGAAGTGGGGGAGAGGGGGTATAGGGAGATAAGCATGAGCACAAAAAAAAAAAGAACACTAGCTGAAGCTGAAAAGGGTATGCCAAGTGTCAAAAAAAAAACACCTCAATGGTTGTTGCTGTTGTTGTTGGGGCTGCACATTGTATGTGGCCCATTGTACGAATTCGTTGGGTACAGGGTAACAATTGTTGTCAGCAGCATTATTGAACAAAGGGGAATTAGAGCGAGGAAATAAAAAGAGGGTTAGAAACAGATGAAGGACGGAAGGAGAGAGAAAGAGAGGAAGAAGCAGGCGTAGAGTTGCCCATGAGTGACACAGAGAAAAAATATTCAAAGAGAGAGTGCGTGAGTTGCTTTTAGTTGTATTAATACTTTTGAAGGGTGTCTACAAAATGAGAGTAGTAGTGATGGTGTGGTGGAATGCTCACCTTGTTCAGCGACAAGAAGAGAAAAGCACCAACAACATCAACAAGAGGAGAAAAAAGAGCAACGAGAGGAGAGAAAGATGGCAAGATGGCGACAAAAAATAAAAAAGATGAGAGCAAACACACACAAATACACAACCTACTCTGCAGGTATTAAAGCAGTCGACAGCCCTACCAGCCGCAACGCATAATAAAATAAATAATTAACGATCCAACTCTCTCTCTTCATTCTTTCTCTTCACTCTTCACTCTTCATTCTTCACTTCTCACTTCTCACTTCTCACTTCTCACTTCTTCTCACTTCTCACTTCTCACTTCTCACTTCTCTCTTCATTCTTTCTCTTCTCACTTCAATTCCTCCCTCTCCTTCTTCCACTTCTGCTCTCTTTTACTCTCTGCTTTTCTCCTTCCACTTCATCTGTCCTTCATATCGTTCCGAACATATAAATACTATTCTCACTCCTTTTTCCTTCCCTGTTCACTCCAGCATATTCATCATCATTACTGCTCTCCTCCTTTTATCTGCCTCACCTTTCGTTTCTATTCTTCACTTCTGCACACTTTTCTCTCTCTCTCTCTCTCTCTCTCTCTCTCTCTCTCTCTCTTCTCTTTCTCTCTTTCTCTCTTCTCTTTCTCTCCCTCTTCGCTCTTCTCATTCATTCAACCATCCAACCAACAAACAACACTCATTCACAGCGAGCACAAGCGATGCTTTCCTCCCCAACAATGCCTTCCCCATTCAACCCCCTCGACTACTCCCTTGGGGATCTCCACTCTTCTCCATCACTCTACTCTTCTTCCTCCTTGACAACTACTTCACGACCAAAGACGTTTACCCGGGTAGCGAGAGGCGTGCCGACCAACAACAGCAGTGCCAGTCTCTTCCCTACTCCCTCCCCCAAGCCTTCTCCTTATTATTCTTCCTCTTCTACTTCAACAACTACAACAACAGCAACCTCTAGCCCATCGTATTTTTCTCTATCCAATCCCTCTCTCTCTCCTTCGGAATGCACTGCCGACAACAGTAACAAAAGTACCCCCATTTATAGCTCTGGCAACGATGTTACAACATCAACAAAGGGCGAACAAAAGCACAGCCAGCAGCAGCACGGCCTCAACAAGTTCCGCCCATCCCTCTACCCCTCCTCCTCATCTTCGCGCAAACCGGACTTTCTCGAGGATATTCCCTCTATCGTTGATATCCAGTCCTCCTCTTCCTCCTCCTTCACTGCCCTCCGCCGCGTCGATCGCAAGGACCTCCAGCTCCACCTCGACCCAGCCTTAGTCTTACTCTCCCAGGACGAACTAGCCGAGAAACATGTCGCCTCTGCACCCTCTTCTTCCCTTTCACGCTACTCTCCCTTCAACAATGCTAAGAACACAACCGATAGTCCCGTTGACAACAACAACAACAACACCAACAACAACAAGGCCGTTTCCAAACCATGCCCGACTTTTACCAGGATTACCAAACCGCGTACAACCACACCAGCTCCAGCGACAGGTGCACGCACCGGTTTTTATAGGTTGGGTGACTTGGGAAACACAAACACCTACGAAGGCAACGCTGCTGGAATTGACTTGCTTGGCGGTGGATCTTACTCGTCATTATTACACCAGGAGGACAAGAAAAGGACTATGCCGTCTTTATCCTTATCGACATCCCCCTCATCATCGTGCATGCCCTCCCCTTGGTCCCCACCACCACCACAACCCCCGCCTCTAACAACAACATCATTATCCCTATCATCTTCCAACAACAAAAAACCTTCACAATCCCAATCTCTTAAGGCGCCCACTCTCCTCTTGCCTCCCCTCTCTCTGTCGTTATCTCCTCCTCCATCGTCTGTCCCATCCCTCTCATCCTCCGCTTCGTCTGCCTGTTCCTCTGCCTCGTCCTCGTCTTCCCCGCCAACCTCTCACTTCCTCTTCCCGACTGTGGACCATCATGACTGGTGGCATGGTCATGGCTCGTCACCCGCTGCCTCACCCACAGCTGGACTGGAACTGGATCAAGGAGGCGAAGGAGAGGGAGGAATAGGTTCTCGAACTGCACCACCTGGAACTGGATCTGGATCAAGTTTGACCACTCTGGAAGACCGCTCCTCGCAGGATGATCTTCTTACACCAGCAACAATAACGACACCCTCGTCTCGCACATTTTACCGCCAACAACCCCAGTCGAGAGACAAGCTGAACAAGTCCGACGATCTCCTCCTGGACAAAGACCCTGTAGTCGACCATTTGGCTCTTACCCCAGCTGGCTCAGCTGCCTTGGACCTCAATCAAAGCAAGGACAACAGCAGTAACAATGGCTCTAGCGGCAAAATGAACGGTTCGACCTCAGCAGGAACAATGAAGACAACACTCTCGACCAGGAAGACGTATTCGTTGGCTAGGACTCGAGCTCCTTCCCCACCCTGTGTCATTACTGGGTTCTGCTCGATCTCCAAAAGCCCGATCAAGTCCAGCGGAGAACCTTCACCCCAAGACTTTCTGGGTGAGGCCGATCTGCCCTACCCTTTGCCGTCAACTTTGCATGATCGTCAAACCCGTCAACGCAAGCGGGCCGAGCAACTGAGGCAGCTCAAGATCCGCGAGGAATGTGAGGCTAAGGAAAAAAACGACAGCATCAACAACAATCGCCGGAGAGCGATCCGTCGTCGAGTCAACTCCTATTCCGCAGGGATGGTGTACTCATCCGCCTCTTCCGCCTCTTCAGCTTCAACCTCCTCAACCTCCCAGCATGCACTCTCACCCCCTTCTTCTTCCAGCAGCTGCAGCAGTTCGACCCCTAACTCGCCTGCAGTGTTTTCGGATTCTCCCAGGATGCAGCCGCAATCCGAACAATCGTCTACTACCTGTTTCCGATCAGCAGCATGGCACCAGCAGCGTCTCAGTTTGAACCAACATCTCAAGCTGTCTCCTTCCTCACCAACCCGTGGCAGTAGCAGTGCCAACAACATCCACCTCCTCAACCGACACTCTACCTCCAATATTGGCCAACCATCCAAGGACAAGCTGGCCATACTTTCGGAATTGTCTTCTCCTCCCTCACGTCCCCATCGGAAGGTTGCATTTGATCTGGAAAACATACAGGTGTTTGAGTATGATGTCAGTGGCGGTGACGATTGGTCTCCTTCGTCCGAGTCTGGTCCCTCTTCTTCTACGATACCACCGGCGTCGACTAATGGTCGGGATAGTTACGTTCGCTATTGTCCGCCGTCGGATTGCAGTAGTAGCAGTGGCAGCAGTGATGAAGAGTCTTCTTCTCCCAGTCCTCCTCGAGCCCTCACCCCTACTCGCGACCTCAAGTCCAAAGCTTCTTCATGAGATTGTGGATCTCGTTTTTTTTTTATGACCTCGCCTTCCCCTCTCTCCCACACAAACCCATTCAGATAGACGCCCAACGACCCACAACTCCCAACCCTCTGTAAAACAGCTTGTATTCATAGATAACGACTTTAACGAACAAGAAAAGAAAGCATAAAAAAAAGTTTTTTTTCTTTATTTTTCGAAGGAGTGGAATGGACGAATTGGATGCAACGAACATGTTATCTTTACCGACACGACATGGCATGAAGCATAATCGATTGTTGATTTGTCTCTCGCCCTTCACTCTATCTTCAATCCCCCTCTGGCCATGTTCCACACACACACACACACACATGCATAAGCATAAGATATCAAAACGGCGCCATGACCAGTTTTGAATGATAAAAATGAAAATGCCGCGTCATGTTGCATGCTGCAAGTAAAACAAATAAAGTCATCAGCGATGCACACTTGATCAGTCGATCCCTCTTTCACGGGAAAGAAAGATAAACGCGCAAGATGTCGTTGGCATTTGATCCATTACCAAGAGTGAACAAAGAAAGAAAAAAATTGAAAACAGTCATAGTCCTTTGTTTCTCTCTCTGCCTATCCTTCTCATAATGACGAGAGGATAAAAAAGAAGAGAAAAACGATAAGAGCAAGGCAAGTTGGTTTATTATTATTTTTTCGATCCGTAAAGGAAGTCGAGTAAATAGAGAAAAATTTGAGGTTGTGAGGAATCAAACCTCAATCCAAAAAACACGCACTTCTCCATTCTCTTCCACTCCCTCCTTTCCTCTCCTCACAATCGAGAAAGAGTCAAAGACAGAAGCAAAAAAAAACAGTAAGACACGCATCATAATGGACCTTCATCAGAGTTAACCTTTTAATAAGAGAAATAAAAAGAAAAGAATGTGGGACGGCACACCAAATTGAATCACTCCTTGAAAATGATCTTACGATCAGAGGAAAGAGACTCTCTTCAGGTATACTAAGCACTCCCTGGGGTTGGGCTCTTGGCCACCATGTCTAGTGAGTATATTTCGCTAATGGTTGCAAGAAAGGTTCTCAGCAGGTGGATCGTCCCCCTGCCGTAAATGAGATTTTCAGAGCGAGCGAGCTCACGAACACGAGGTGGCCTGGGGTTTGTGTAGGTGGGTGGGTTGGAAGGTGGGGAGGGGGAGACATTGAGGCATCAATTGAACACGAAGTGGAAGAGGAATACGAGCATAGATCGGTTTATTCGCATTGTTACGTAGATACGGAGGCTGTAAGAAGGTGTGAAGGTGAGGGGAGAGGAAGTGTGAAGGGATGAAAAGAGAAGAAAAAAGAGAAAAAACTTCTTGTTGTGAAATAGACGTTGAGATGAGGTTTCAAGCAAGCCACGAAATGGGCCTTGAAAAGTGAAAAAATGTATTCGCCCGCTATGGTGATACTCATACGTCATTGTCCTACTTTCGACGACCGACAACCAAGGTTGGTTGAACAACCAAACGACCAAACGACCAAACGAGAAAAAAAAAAGAAAAAAAAAAGGTGAAGGAAAAAGAAAGGAACAATTTAAGAGAGAAAAGACCAATTGAAGGCAGAAAATTGCAATCAAACTTTCTCTTCCTTTCATAGTTCATAGTTCTCGTCAAGTTCAAGGAAAACAACAAAACGCCACTAGCTCCATTTTTTATAACGCTTGTTTGTTCATATCCGAGGGAGAGAGAGAGATAAACAAAAGGTCTAGTTCTTCAATGAGTGGTCGGCGAGGGAGAACACCTCAACGAAAGACAAGAATGTGAAGCTCAGAGGGATACAAGAGGATACCAGTCTTTCATGAACGAAAAAAGATTGGACATGTCTTTCGTTTTCAACTGCCGCCCATTTCTTCGTTGGTCAAGCTCTGCGCCAGATCGAAAATCAATCCTGTGCCACTTACGACACACGTACACACTCATCTTTTTTTTTCAATTGCATTTTCGCGCTCAAACAAGATCGTCTCACCTTCCATGTCCAATGGTTCACTTTAATCTCTTTCAGAGGATCACATAGGATGCTACCTGTCGCACGATAAAGTGTGGATCAAGACCTCCTTGAGAAGCAAAGAACATGAATGAAAAGTAAGATTTTCAGAACCAAGATGTGAACAATGAGGGCGAGGAGGACGCGTTATTTGAACCTCATGCCCACAGGAATTCCAAATCCGCGCAAAAAAAAAAAAAAAAAAAAAAAGAGCACATACTTCGACCGAATTACCAAGGGCAAACCGCCACACGAAAAATGCGGTCTAGCCGATACAGTGAACATCCGAAATCAAACAGAAACGACGGTAATGGAAAAGAAAAACAGGCAAAGGAAAGAGCACGAGAGCACGGAGCATGAATGAACGAAACGATTTAAAGACAGAGAGACATTGAGGTACATGGTCGAGGGAGATGGAGGGAAGAGTAGAAGGTCTGTCCGCACCTCGCCATTATATTTAATTGCGGGCATGAAAAACACGACACAAGGGACGGAGGGGCGTTGGGCAAGATAGGGCATAATTGATGCCGTTTGGTTATTGAACAAAGTTGATAAAAAGAGCGAACGGACTCTATCAACCCCCTGTCAATGTTTTGGTTTGGTTTGCTTGGCCCCTTTGGCCACTCCGAAATGGGTTCAATTGAGTGAGTGTGGCGTTGAGATTGCATGGCATAGGTGGGGGTGCATTGTGTATTTTTGGGCGTGCATTCGTGCATGGGCAATGTTGGATGTGGGCCGTGTGTGTGTGTGTGTGTGGAGGAAGTGGAGGCGAAGGAAGAAACAGGAAGTGAAGGGAGGGGACCCGCCATGTTGGATGGACAGACGGACAGACGGACAGACGCAACAATAACAAGAGTGGGAAAAGTGGAAGGAAGAGGAGGAGGCGATCGAAATTACTTTCCCAATGGAGAGGCTAGGAAAAGGAGATAGGGGGAGGATGTGTAATGTTACATGTTGACATGGTCGACATGGAGGGAGAAAAAAGGAACTCGCCTGCCTCGCACAACCCCTGATGCCATCATCGATTCCAACCCCTGGTCCAAGAAGACATCCTAGCGTGCATATTGCATCCTCCTTTTTTCATCTCTTGTGAAAAGTATCGATTATTGACCGATGAAAGTGGACATTGGAGTTTGAATGAGGATGAAATGGTAGCCGGTTTCTTTCACTTTGGACAATGAGAGAATGAAGGAAAGGAGGAGTTGAAGTTGACTAGTGTATTGCTCTCACATGGGCTATCTGGCGCTTGTTTTGCTCACCTCCATTTCTTGTGTGGCACGAAGATGAGAGCGGGTACGAGTGCAATATTTTTTGTTACTTCTTGGCATGTCTCTCGTCAATGAGTTAGTCGACTTTAAATCTCGATGGTGAAGATGGTGGATATGTGCCTGGATGGCTGGATGGCATTTTGTTGATGGACATTGAACAAACAAAGAGGCATTTGCAAAGTGGATGATGGTAAGACACAGATGGAGAGGAGAGGAAGAGCTGGCAGTTCTGGCTGCTTTTATTTTTCTCTTTGTTTGTTCCTTGTTCCCCTTGTTCATGTTGCAATGGTGCCATAAAAAATAAAAAATAAGAAATAAAAAATAAAAAATAAAAAGAATAAAATAAATTCGCAGATGCGCGATATTTTTCGTGTCCCCTCCTCTCTCTTCTTTTTCCTCTTTTTCTCCATCAGCCCACCAACTCCTCCTTCTCTTTCTCTTCACTCCCCTTTTCTCTCATTGCCACCTTTTCACCCTCTCATCGACAGCCAAGGTTGACAAACTATTTGAATACTCTCTTCTCATTCTCAGCCAACAACCAACACATACCCTTCTTTCATCCCACTGTTCTTGTTTTTGTTTTGTTTTTTATTCTCTCGCAGTCCGCACTCGTTCCTCCACAGCCCCACTTTACCTTGCCTCGATAGACAGCTTCTTTCCTCCCTTCTCCTTCCTTCTCTTCTTCTTCTTTCTTACGTCTTACCTCTTACTTCTTTCTTCTACTCCTCAACGCCACTCACCCCTCGTCCACTCTTTCCCCCACCTCTGGACCCCCTACACCCTCACTCCCACGTATAAACTCCCACGAAGACCAACCCCACCTCACTCTACTTCCTCCCGCTTCCGTCCTTAACTTCCGACTCTTTTCTTTGACACTCTAGTCTTTTGCTCACAGCCAGCCCCTTCTTCTACTTCTCAAACCCCTACAGACGGACCAACTCTCCTCCTTCTCCTTACTCACTCTTCCACACTCCCGCACTCACTCTCACACAAACAATGTACTCCTCGCTGTTGGAGGCCAAGGTCGTTATCCTCGGTAGCCAAGGTAAACCTAACAACTGCTCTACGACTCACATCAAGAACATACTACTCTTCTTTTTTCGTTTCTTTTCTCTACCTCTCCTATTGGACTTTACGGGACCCCATACGAGACGAGCTCAGAGGAGGAAGCAGACGAGAAAGGGGGACACTAGAGCACTCATATACATCATGGAACATATATGTAAACCAGCCAACCTGGAAACAAGGAGAAACTCTCGAACAATATTGGGCGTCCAGGAACACGACCAAAACGTGACAAAGCGTTCATGACAAAGCGTTCATGACAAAACAAAATTCGGGACTGGGACCTTTGGGGAACCGGTTGGCTGGGTAGGGTAGCGAGACGACTGAATGAGGCGGGAAAGAAAAAACGAAAAACAGAGTGACAAAAGGAGACCTTGTGAGACTTGAGGGACTAGCCTAAGGAAAGTAAGGAAAGGACATCAAACAAGGCAAAAAGGGAAAAGGGCGCTATATCTCGACATGGGAACTATCTTTTATATCACACCCGCTGACGTCGTCTGCAATTTGGGATTGGATTGTTACACTTTTTTTTTCGACGGACAATGATAATCTACAATGGAAGGCAACAAAGGAAAAAGAGATCAAGGAGGAAGAGAGTGTGGAGAAAAGGCACAAGGGATTCTCCGACTCGACTCGTTCTTGTTGCTATGGCCAAGAGGAGGAGTGGAGGATGAGAGGATACTCAGACACGACAACTTTTTCTCGGTTGTTTTCATCGAAGGTCAAAAAGAGAAAAAGGAAGAAGAAAAGGAACTCAACAACTAGTTTCGGTCGTGGTTTCTCGGCATTCCCCCTTCCCCCACTCTTTCGACTTTTGTGCTTATATTTTTTTATTATTTAATTTGGTGTGTTCATGTGGAGGTGGAGGAGAGAGGGACAGGATTTGGTCAGGACCTGTTGAAGCAACGACAGAAAGTGGCGAGCAGGAGTGGCAGGTCGACATTACCAAAGGAAAATGAAGAAAAAAAGCTGTCCGTGACCCATTGCGCGCTTTGTCTCTTTGGGCAAGGCCAGTCCAGTTTGTCCTAGACGTTCAATACACCCATCCATCCTGTTAATCTCACACAACCACAACAATAACAACATCAACAAAAACCGTGAGCCTAACTTACTCACCCGCAGGAGGATCACTGACCAACCAGTCCACCAACACCAGTCCACCAACTTCCACCCAAAAGTTGGGGAAACAACTGCTCACACGGATAGCCGAGGCTAAGCAACACAGGAATAAGGAGCTAGGGAGAAGGGGTGGACCTGCATCTATCGTTCCCAATGGGCTACTACTGCTTAGCCTGCTCGTTGGCGAGGAGGAGGAGGAATATCGACTTGTCGCCACCACGACGTCCCCCTTCTCCTCTTTGTTCATTAGATACGGCTCTCCCTTGAGCAATAACATAGGTTACTCCATTTTCACAGACTGGACTGTGACAGCCAAAGAAAGCAGTAGCACAGCGATTGTTTTGAACTCGTGTACTGACCTTTGTGAATCTCTCTTTGAATAGGCGTCGGAAAGACGTCGCTCGTCGTCCGATATGTCCAAAAGACATTCTCTGCCAACTGCACGTCCACCATCGGTGCATCCTTCATGACCAAGAAATTGTAAGTTTTGGCCATGTTGGTTTGTGTTGAAAAGCAATTTGCTCCGCACATCTGCCGCCTGACAACTCTCACTGCGGTTGTTCACCTCTCTCTAACTCCTTTCCTCCCTCTGTCTTTATATCTAATAGAGTTGTTGACAATTGTAAAGTACGACTTCAAATCTGGGACACAGCAGGTCAGGAACGATTCAGATCCATGGCGCCCATGTACTATCGCGGAGTAAGTCGACTTTATCATGGATACCTTGCAGCGCAATGGATGGTAGCAAGGAGCATAAAGATATCTAACACTCTTTCTATTCACTTTAATAGGCCAATGCTGCTATTTTAGTATACGACATTACATCAGAGGAATCGTTCCGGGATATGAGCTCCTGGGTGGAGGAGCTACGCAAGAATATGACCGAGGATTTGAGTAAGTCTGTTACGCTGGAACTTGGACATATCTATAGCATGTCAGGATCTCTCTCAAGAATGTAGGACATGGAGAACTTATCATTGCTTCTACTCAATTCTTCACCTCTCTTAGTTATTCATGTGGTTGGAAACAAGCTGGACTTGGCTTCTTCGAAGAGGGCTATCCCTGTTTCGCGCACGGAGGAATATGTATCAAAGACCCTCGGCACAGAGTTTTCAGTCCACGAAGTGTCTGCCAAAGATGACAATGGTAAACATCACTTTTTGCGTGCGTGGTTGTATCGACCAACCAAGAAGCCGAATCGACTGCTAACAGTATCTTCTCTTGTAACATATGTGAACAAATAGGCATTGAGGAGTTGTTTTTGCAGATTACGAGGAAGCTGGTAGAGAGGAAGCAGGAGATTGAGCGGGTCAAGAGGATCAATGCGGAGAATGCGATTACATTGCAGCAGCTGGAGGATGAGCGACTCCAGCAGGCACAGACGACAAACAACAGTAGCGTCTGCTGTGGAATATAAGCAGAAGCAGCATACAATTACTACCCAACCATTGACCATTTCCATACCAGCACCCAACCATCATTTTGCCACCATCATTCATCCATATCCATCCACACACATTTCAGTCGTCTTTCGTTCCGGTCAGACCGACATGGACACCACACCTTGACCATCCTATGCTAGCCTCGTTTCCTCTCTCTCTCTCTCTCTCTCTCTCTCTCTCCCTTTCTCTCTCCCTTTCTCTCTCTCCCTCTCTCTCTCACTCTCTCTCTCTCGCTTGCTACTTCTTCTTCTTTCCCACTTTCTGTCATCTTTGTTTCTTTCTTTCTTTCTTTGATCTGAAATACAAAACCATATACCATTGTAATTCCGTGTATGTGCTGTGTGTCTGTGTGTGCAGAGTCAACAGCATGAATTTTCTTACCACCAAAAATGCACAGGTCACATGTCCACTTTTCAGTCCACCTTAAGTTTCCCACGGGGGTGACTCCACTGTTCCTTTTCCTTCCCCACCTTTTCCCTTTCTTATTATTCCACCTCTTCCCTTCCCTTATTCACACCTCTCCCCTCCCACTTCTTTCACCTCTCTTCAGGATCTGCATCCACGATGAACGTCCGTCCCACCGCCAGATTCGCCATCAACCTCACCCGCGGCGCCTTCTCTCAATCCATCAAGCGCGCCCTCAACGTAAATCACTCTCTCTTCCTCTCTCATTCTCCGGACTCAGGGACTGACTGTGCAACAAACTAGGATGACAAATACAGGCAACTTTGGCAACTCGCACTTACACACACACACGCCTGTTTCTCTTTCCATTCTCTCTCTCCATATAATAGACGACACCTGCACCAGTGACAGCACCATTGTCGTCACTGTCCAAGTTTGTCAAGATTGTGGAGGTCGGCCCTAGGGATGGACTGCAGAATGAGAAACAGGTGATTCCTGCCGAGACAAAGATCGAGTTCATCAACCGCCTTTCGGACACTGGTCTCTCTGTCGTCGAGGCTACTTCCTTTGTTTCTCCCAAGTGGGTTCCTCAGGTACCTTTTGCGTCTTATTTTTTGTTGTTGTTGTTGTTGTTGTTGTTGTTGTTGTTGCTTTTTTGCTTCTCACTTAGGCTTAAGGGAATACCCGCTTTGCTTTGTATGCACTGCGGAGACTAGAAGACGCTCGCTGGCAAGAACTCTGAGTCAACTAACCAAATCAAACTTGTATGTAGATGGGAGATGCCACCAAGGTGATTACATCGATCAAGAAGAAGGACAATATCAACTACCCTTGCTTGACTCCCAACATCCAGGGTCTGGATGCCGCGATCAAGGCTGGCGTCAAGGAGGTCGCTGTCTTTTTGGCTGCCTCGGACTCCTTCAGCAAGAAGAACATCAACTGCTCAGTCGAGGAGAGCTTTGAGCGTGTCCGCCCCTTGATCACCAAGGCCCAGGAGAACGGCATCTTGGTCCGCGGGTACGTTGTTTTTTCTCCCCTTCGTGAATATTTCTTGGATGGTGCTTGGTTTCGTTGTTTGTTTGTTTGTTTGTTTGTTTGTTTGTGGTGTCACTTTATCACATTTCGGATGCCATTGCACCCTTCCTCCTGCATACCGAAAATCTAACAACTGTCTTTCAATCCTCACTCCACTTTTCATTAGATACGTGTCGTGTGTGGTTGGTTGCCCTTATGAGGGTCCCATTGCACCGAGAAGGGTCGCCGAGGTGTCAAAGAAGCTGTACGATATGGGATGCTACGAGATTTCGTTGGGTGATACCATCGGAGTCGCCACCCCCGGCACTATCCGCGAGCTGTTGCAAACTGTCTCCCAGGTCGTCCCCATGAAGGCCCTTGCCGTCCACTGCCACGATACCTACGGCCAAGCCCTCGCCAATATTCATTGCGCCCTCGAGGTACACTCTCTGAACTACTTTCACTTATGCTGTACATCGTTATTGTTTCTTTCTGCATGTATAATTAATACTCACTCCCATTTCTGTAATGTTTTCTTGATCTAACAAATAGATGGGCGTGCGTGTGGTTGATAGTTCGATGGCAGGACTGGGAGGATGCCCCTATGCACCCGGCGCATCAGGAAACGTCGCGACAGAGGATGTTGTGTACATGTTGCACGGAATGCACTACAGCACTGGAATCGATCTTGGAAAGGCCATCGAGACTGGAAACTGGATCTCGGAGAGGTTAGGCAAGGCTAACGGATCCAAGGCAGCTAGAGCCTTGACCTTGAAGGCCATCTCTGCTGCCGCTGCCCCATGCCCTCCTACTCCCGAGTCTCCCGTCAAGAGCAAGCTGTAATCAATTTCCATCTTTCTCTCTCCACTCTTTTCACACCCTTTTAATTAAAGAACCCACCATAGACAATTTTCATCAAGCAAGCATTGAGACGCAATTGATATTCTTTTGTTAGAGATGTATTTTTTTTTTTGATTTGAGAGTAATAACTATCTGGACTGAACAAACTGGCTAGATTGTTACAAGTCAAAGGACTGAGAATAGAACAAAGGGCGAAACCGACTCCTTTGGAACAAAGGCGCTTCCTTCCTAAGGACGGCGGCCCTTGGCGACAAGGACATCGGTCCAGACCTGGGTGCCACGAAGTTCGCGGAAGAAGCCGAACGAGCGGCTGCAGGAAACATCGACAAGTCCAGCCTTGGTGAAGATCTCGGTCATATTCTCGGTGTTGAAGCCACCCTTGTGGGCGACGAATTCCAGAGGCTTGCCTTCTTCGTCCTTGTAGATGTCGTCGACTTTGACCAAGCCCTCGTGTTCATTCTTCTTGTCTCCGTGGGCGTGGCCGTGGCCGTGCGAGTGGGAATGGTCGTGTCCGTGAGCGTGGGCAGCGTGGTCATGTCCGTGTCCGTGTCCGTGGGAGTGACCATGGTCGTGTCCATGGTGCTCATGTCCATGATCAACCCCACCATGGACATGATGTCCCTCAAAGTCAAGCACAATCACCCACCCCCCGCGCTTAACAATCTTCTTCCCCAACGTATCGACGACTCCCTGCACATCCTCAATATGATGCAATACATAGTTGGAAAAAACCATGTCGAATCCACCATTTTCGCCTGCAAGGTACTTGGAGAAATCGGGTTCAGGCAAGGGGGAGGCATCGGTGACGAGGTGATTGATGGTATGGATCTTGTTGGCGGCTTTGAGGGAGGCCAGTTCGGGGAGGGTGTCGAGTTTCTTGCGGAGGTGCTCCAGCATACCGGATGAGGCGTCCACGCCGACGAGGTGGGCAACTTTTTCTGCGACCAGGAATGCAGCCAGGCCTATTGTATGTAAGAGTGACGTGTGATGAAAGGTAATGTGTTAGTATGACTATCAGATCGATTGTCGGAAAGGTGAATGAGTGCGTGGGCTCACAGGATGGGGATAAAATGGGTATAGGAGTTAAAAAATAATAGGACTTTTCGGATCATTCTCGATCTTTTCTTCCCCGCGCTCCATTCATAAAAACTGCGGATTCCCTCTCCTTTACCATACACTTGTTCTCTCTCTCAAAAAAAAAAGGTCGTTGTCTCCTTACCGGTACCGCATCCAAAGTCAAGGACGGTAGAGTTACGGACATGCTCCTCAGAGGTCGAGGCCGTAAACTCGGCAAGAATAGTCTCGGATGCCTTGGCGGTCATCTCCTTGGCCATGGGGATGTTGTCGTACTCATGGGCCTTGTTGTTGAAGTGCTCGTTGTTCTTGTCCTGGATCGACGACATTTTTGCTTCTTGTTCTTGGTTGATGGTTGGGTACGCTTGGTTGTTTGTATGTGTGAGTGTGGGCGTGGGAAGGATGGTTGGGTTGGTTGAAGTGGTTGGGATGATGAGAGAAAAGAAAGAGGGAAATGTGGGAACGGAGGTGCCCCTTTTTATAGTTGAGAAGAAGATGAAGGCCGAGAGGAGAGAGAGAACGAAGAAGATTGAGAAATAGTGACGGGATAAGGCTTTGCCCCAGCTCATTGTTGTTTGCGGGAGGGGGAAGATGGAGGGAGGATTGAAATGTTTTGAATGTGAGGTAAAGAGAGAGATAGAGGGTTGGTGCTCCAATTCAATTGGAGACTATATAACAAAATGAATGACACAAGCAACCAAGCACGCACAAAAATAACCATAGTTGGAAGGCAATGTGAAGAGCAGACAAAAAACAGAACAGTGAAACGAAGGAAAAGAAAAGAAGGAAAGGAAACACAAAGGTTGTCAAAATAACTGCGGACGTCGGATGACTAACTTGTAAGGTACTCCTTTGCTCATGCTCAAGAAAACAATTGCCTCATTTCATGGTCGAAACCTTGGCCCCTTAGCCTCCTCTTTCGATGGTCTGGCCCTTCTTTTTTATTGTTTTCAATTCATTCGTTGACAGACTGTACGGTTGGACTCTATGGACCACTTTTCCATTGAAGAGGGGGGACAATAACTGCGGGATACAACAAGAAGGTAGCAAGAAGACAGAAATAAGGGGAGACAGCAATGTATCGAATATGATGTGGAGACATGATTGTTTACCAAATCGGGCGAACAAAGTTGGATGCGCCCATCAGTTCTTAAATTGATTGTCTCATCCAACCTGATGACCATTCGCTCTCTCTCCTTCAGAAGTGCCTAGACCGCACACATTCCGTTTTTTTGTTCTCGATCACTAATCGCTTACGCACTCACCTCATCCTTCCGGGTACCTGTCTGCGCCTTTCCTTATGCAGTCACTTGTCTAGACTGGCATCCATTCCTTTTCGAATCGGCCATTGTCTTTGCTCATGCCTACTCCGCACCAGGTTTAGCGCATCCTTCTACTTCCAATTGTATTTGTCTTCTTCATTGTCACCTTCGCTCAATGGCCATATCTGCGCACTTTTTTCTTTTACATCCTTTCCCATCGATCACGTAGGCTGACGGCCTTATTTTCACTGTTCCTTGGCACCAGGTTTTGCGCCCATCCATCTATTCATCCATTCATGTCACTCACTTGCCTCATCCACCAATTCAATTGCCACCATGGTTTTTTACTCACTTTTTTTCCACTCACTTTTTTCAACACCAGATCCGACATAAACCTGTTTGTGTCAATCTCTTGTCTGACATTTGATTGACGTACTGCGCAATTTCATCTCCCTGTTTCTTTGGCTCTCTCTCTCTCTCTCCAAGTGTGCAGAGAAAAGTGTTTATGATTTGAGTATTGAATTCGCGTTAGGATTATTAGATTAGGGGAAAAGAGGCTAGACTACGACTACGACTACGACTATGACTATGGCTACAACTATGGAAATGAGAGAGAGAGAGAGGGGAGGGAGGATGAGGATGAGGTATGTGCATGAGGTGGGAGGGTATGTACACGATGAAGTGGAGAAGCGGAGAGAGGAGAATTGAGGGAAGGAGGGAAGGTGACAGGTCAAAAGAGATATCATTGGATAACTCTCGACCGCCGATCGGTTGAGCGACCTAATAAGTTTGAGCTGTGAACAATAAAAAAGATAAAGATAAAGAAAAAGAGGAGAGAAGGAAACGGTTGAAAAGTAGCATTTGCGAAAGAACAGGGGTATTCTGGACCGATGCAGAAATAAGCAAAAAAAAAATTAGAAATAGAAAGCAAACAAGTTTGATGTTGAACAAACCTGTCATACCTCAACTTATCCCTTTCTTTTTTTTTTTTGCTATCATCTTAGTGCATCAATTATCAACCTATCGCCATCCTAGGATGTGATAGTTCAGTTCTTCGCCTTCTGCTGCTGCTCACCCTCACCTTCCTTCTTCGCTCCAGTAGTAGCACTGGAAAAAGAAGAAGCCTTGGTGGAATCAGAGGAAAGATCCTTGGGAGGGGTAATGATGCGAGGCATGATATTACTGACGGAAAGAGGGACCAGGCTCTCGAGGACGTTGGCTCGGGTGGGAGAGGTGACTGCTGGAGTGGCGGCGATGTTTCGGAGTTGAATGGTGATCTTTGGCTTGGGGATGAGCGTAGAGGCAGAGGTGGAGGAGTGGATGCTGCTGCTGCAGTCGTCCGACAGTTGAGTGTAACCGGAGTACTGGCGAGTCATGGTGTTGATCGGCAGTAAAGTGAAAGGAAGGGGACTTGAAAGAAAGGTAGGAAGGACGGTGGGGAGTGGACTGAGCTGGACTGGACTGGAACCGAGAGTGTGGGACTGAGCGACGTGTGGTAGAAAACCTCTTGTGATTGAAAACTGGTAGACTCTTGTATGCTTGCTTGACTTGTATGCTTGCTTGTGTTGGTCTCTCTCTTTGTAGGAGTGATAAATCTGTTTGATTTGCTTTTGGAATGAAGAACCAACAAAAAAAAAAGTGGACGGATCGGGCGGGTTCATATATGATGGCGATGGCAACGCCCCTGGGTATACCGTTGCAGTTAACCTCACTTTGCAATTGGCCTTTTAGGTAGGCCAAGCGAGGAAATCTCCGCTTGAATGAATAGTTGAGCATGACGACATGTTCAATTGATACGACTGAGGTGGTGGTCAATGAGCAGAGGAAGTGGGGTCAGTCAGTCAGGGATGAACATGAGGGTGGGAAACAGACAACTCCATTCGAATCCAATACCCCTAGCGGCCCGATTACCGGTATCTTTGCGGGAGGCGAGGACGATTTTGGTTCTTTTGATGTCTCCTTGTCTTACTAAAAGGGCAAAACCCCAAAATTAACGTGGTGTTTTTGCTTTTTTGTGCTTTCAAATCATTCTTCACTCATAGTGACTCATGACAACGAAAGGGCGATGGGAGCAAGGGTAGAGGGACTACGCACAACCGTTACCGAGCATTAGAGTTGTCAAGATGGATGCTGTTTTGCTTTCCCTGTGTTCATCGATTAGTTTATACTTTGTTCGAGTGTGACAAGAAAAGGAAGAGAAACGGAAAGTAGTCAATCTGATTGCGGCGGTGCAACTCTGAGCTGCTTGTTACTCGATCACTCAAACAGTGTGCAGGGCAGAGGCAAATTGATGCCAGCAGGTCAAGCACGACTCAAGGGTGCCAGTAGCGATAGATGCTAATACCACTACAAAGAACTGTCATTCTCAGGAGCGGGGTAGGTCCTGGATGCAAACATGGCTTATGAACTGCGCCTTCCAACTGCGAAGCATCCCATTATTGAGTTGCTTTGAAATCAAAATAGGGCCAAGCGAATCGGGATGAGCTTATTTTTCTTTCTTTTTTCCCGCTCTGCTTTGTCCAATCGAGAGAGAAAAGGACATTGAGTAGGAGTAGAATGTGGAATGAGACTGATATGATTCGTGTGTGCCTAAGTAATTGCTCAGCTTTTGGATATACTCTCTGCTCCCTTGGGAAAGTACTCTCGCTGGTACGTAGTTGTGTGCTTTCGCCCTGTAATTCAAGGAAGCATGGACTGGCAATCTGGACTGCAACTGAGCAGTACGAATAATAATATATGTCGTATATCCGACTCTATGACAACAGAGCAGTTGCCCCGAAGCCATCTCTCTCTTACATAAAGAAGGCTGCACAGTAACAAAAATGTCGAATTTAATCAGCTATTTCGTGGCCTACCTAGGTGAATACGATGCAATAGACAGCAAGGGGAAGATGATGTTCAAACTTTCACTCTCGATGCCAAGACGAAAGAAAGAAAGGAAGTATAGGCGAGAGAAGAAAATAGTAAGTGGAAAGACGCGTAAAAAAAAAAAAAGAAGAGGGAACAAGAGATGGTTAACCGGTTTACTTGGTGAAAACATTGGTCACAAACTCTGGATGACCTTAGACCGGGCATAAAGTCATCCCTTTTACTGCCCCCGCGAACAGACAAAGCACACCTGGCAAGGAGGACGACCGTGGCTCTGCCACGAGCCTTCTGCTTGGAGAGTCTTACATTAAAAACCTGAATGGACACGTTGGAAACCCGGGGAGGGGGGGGGGGGGGGGTTGGACAATCCGATTAATCGTCTAAGGTGACGAGCTATCAAGACAAAATACATGGACAACTATACTTAAACTTTGAAAGCAGGACGACCGTGGCTCTGATACGGGCGTTCTGCTTGAGAGTCCTCCTCGAACATTCAAAGCACGCTTGAAAAGGACGTCCTGGCTCTGCCACGGGCCTTCTTCGTAAGCGCGTCAAATTAAAAGGCAGATGGCGCACAATGGAAATGGAAACACCGAACTAAAAGAAAGAAAAAAACAAAAGGAGAGGAACGAAACCCGGGGTGTCACCTGGTCGGGAACGCAAAACGATCGCTGAAGCAAAAGAACATGAAAGTGCCGGGACTCGAACCCGGTTCTCAGGCTTGGAAGGCCGGAATGATACCCATATACTACACTTTCTTGATGACTGGAGTTTTCTGTTTTTAATTTGTACCAACAGGTCCTGCATGCACGTGATGTCACGTTTTTGCGCCACCAAAATGTATGCGGAGTCCTTTTTTGTGCTTCAATTTTTCTGGTTCCTGACCGTGTAAACAAGATCAGTTCCAAAGTCCATCGTCAAGACGGTCTTGCACAAGTTTGTTAGCTACCTGGAGGTGCAGGCCTCGGAGCTGATCTAAGAACCCCGGTGCACCGCGATGATCGTGTGGGAGCAATCTCAGGCCATCTCTGCCAAGGACATGACATCCTTTGTATAGTTCTCCTGGGGCGTTGCTTTGGTACCATTCTTTGGTGTTTCCCTCTTTTTTCGCGATCAAAAGTAGGACTTTGTTTTTCTTGATTTTTTTTTTGTCGCTCCGCGTCATTTTTCACATTTTTTGTGTTAGGACATATTTCACACTGGCCACTCAACAAAGTAATGGAAGGAAGATAGCATGTTCATGCGAAATGTTGACTTTGACACTTCTTACTTGTAGTTAGCTCGCCTTTTCTCTTATGCGTCTGGCTGTGGAGGGCTTTGATGTTGCCGTCTCTTTTTTCGGTGATCTGTTTTTGGATTCGGCGGCTATTTTTTCTCGTCACAATAGCTGAATGGGATGGATAGAAAGTAGAGGTCTCTAACTTGCAATAGTTACTGTACGTAATAAAGAAAAGGATAAAAAACATGAAATAACAGCAATAAGACGAAGATTATCACCAGATCAAAAAAAAGAGAGGATAATTTAACAAGGTTGGGGGGATGGCTACTGAGATGTGGAATGGTTAATGTGTTTGAGACGAGCGACAAAATGGAATGCAGAAATATATATACATGTATTATTGTTACAGCGAGAGGAATGTGAGTGTGAAGGAAACCTCGCATAAAAAGAGTCGACGTAAAAAAATGAGCTGAAGTAGCAATCGAGAATATCCCTGCAGAAAAAATATAAACGCATGAGATAGAGGAATAAGATGACAATGTATATCGGAATATTCTCATCCTGGGATTGGCGAAGACAACTGTGCACTTGGTACTCATCGAACAAGAAAAACATCGATTGCTTCGAGAGAGCAAAAAGAAAGAAATAAAAGAAGGGATGCGGAGGGACAGGTTTGATCCTGTGTACCCTCATTTTTGGAATAAACGTTTTGAAACATCAATGTTGTATGAGTTGCTGACACATCCTTGAAACTGAAAGTTGAGGCAGCTACTTTATACCTCACTCTCTCATTTCTTGCAAAAGTAGCGAAAAAGAGTGGGCAAGAAAAAAAAGAGGCGCCAAGGGGATGGAGGCGCGGTTGCTCTAACGGAGGCTGAGCATCAAAAATGAAAGATTTCTCGAGGGGTTCTTTTCCTTTGCCTGTCAAAACTCGCTTCTTTTTTGTGTCCTGCTCTCTACACTTTTGAAGGAAAAGGAAAAAGAAACGATTAATATAACCCGCTCCATGCTTCCCAAAGCTCCCGTTGCGTATAGTATAAGTCCGCATGCATTATTCTGCGGTCAAGAGTGGGAGGGAGCGAAAGAAAGGAAGAGATCAGTCTATTTCCGCCCCGGTCATGTCAAATACCTGAAAAAAAGGAACGAACACTTTGATTAATTTTGGGCAAAGCAAGAAATAAGATACAACGTCTTGGCACCATGGAATCGTGAGAACTGGACATATGTGGACTCTCACCAGTCAACATAAAAAAAACAAAACATAAGAAGACGAAGCCATCTCCTCGCCTCTGTTGTTGCCTCGACTAATACGTACTTCTCTATCGATGTGTCTCTAGTTCTCAGCATGACATCCGCGCTCGTTGTCAACATCGACCCATTGTCGGAATAAGATAATATGACATTGGATGTCAAAATAACGGATCTGACATCAATAACGTCTTTCTTGTACGAAAAGATATTCTGACATGTCTTCAAAAGCACGGTGTCAGAATATCTTTATCCTCGATTGTCAAGGTAGCAACACTGCTCCTCAAGCAAAGCCATCTCCACGATTGGGCGAAGCAAAAACAAGAACTCTCAGAGAAGAGCAAAAGATATCCGAAAACCCGGATTTGAACCAGGGACCTAGAGATGACAGACAAACTACAGTCTCCCGCTCTACCAACTGAGCTATTTTCGGATGATGTTTGTGTTCTTTCTAGATACTATTTAGATCCTAGATGGCCTTTTGATATAGGATGACGTATTAGTAAATATGAGTGAAGCATAAGCTGCGCTCCCTAGAGTACTTCTGGTTGAATCGAAAGTCTTACTTTGTACTTTGCTTCACTCTCACTTTCTTAACTTTCCCTTACTCACAAATACACTCACTCACAACCATGTCTCTGGCCAAGCAAAACTTTTCTTCTGCTTCTGAGGAGGCTATCAACCACCAGGTAAAGAAATACTCAACCATTAGGGTTATTCGGAATGAAAAGCGGAGAAGACTCATTTTGTGGATTGCAGGTTGCGCAGAATGAAAAAAAAGAGAGCTTTCCCATGACCATGGCCCAACCATTGCATGTCAACCTCGCCTGGAAAAAAATGAAAAGCTCATTCCCTTTTTTCGCGTCCTCCCTCTTCCCACTTCACCGTTACGCTGTGCTTCCCGAATAAACAGATTAGCCAAGAGCTCCAAGCTTCGCAGGTGTACCTCTCTCTCTCTGCCTGGGCTGGCCATGTCAACCAGGCCCTGCCCGGTCTCGAGAAGTTCTTCAAGGAGAGCGCCGAGGAGGAGCGCGAGCACGCCCAGAAGCTGATCGACTACCAGAACCGTCGTGGTGGCAAGGTCATCCTCCAGACCCTCCAGGCCCCCGAGTCTGACTGGTCCTCTGCCCGCAATGCTATCGAGTCGACTCTCCAGCTCGAGAAGGGTAAGTTGCAGCCTTTTTTCTTCAATTGATTCAGGGGGGATTGAATAATATTTGATTGAATCGCGAGTAGCGTGCTTCCCAGGGGTAATTCTCTCTCACCCACCTGGGCCGATTGGCAATGGAAGGAGGGGTAATGGTCATTCATTCATCCTTCTTCAACACACTCCCACTCTCACTGACACCTTTTTGACTTTCATGACCCCCTGAATGGGCTCTGAAGGAGCTTCGGTCTGTTCATCACGACCGATAAGAGAGGTCGTCGTTTTCTCGACAACACAAAGCAGTTTTGAACCCAAATGATTGAATACGTCAAAGCGCGGGACGAAGGAGTCAGCCGTGATTGAAGAAGGAAAAAAGGAAAACGAGACCAATTCCACACACACACACATACACACACACTCACACACACACACGCAACAAACCAACACAGTAACAGTGCTCACCACACCGCTAAAAAATAGTGGGAAAAACTGTGTGAATGCCAAATCCAACAACAAAGAACCAAGCTGACCTGATCAATTGTTATCTTTTACTGTCATGCGATGTGATGAATAGATGTCAACAAGAGCCTGTTGAACTTGCACAAGATTGGCGAGGAGAACAACGATCCTCAGCTCTGCGACTTTATTGAGTCCGAGTACCTCGAGGAGCAGGTCGAAGCTATCAAGAAGATTGCCGATCTCGTCACTCAACTCAACCGCGTCGGAGGCGATGGACTCGGATGTAAGTCCCTTCGCTTTATGATTCAGCCATTTACAATGATGTCCTCTTTATCTGTTCCTCATCAACCTACTAACGCCAATTGCCCTTCTTTTTACGCCAACTAGTATACCTCTGGGATCAGAACCTGTTGAAGAGCCACGATGCTTAAAGCCCTATGCAGAGCAGACCGGACCAAGATCTATTGTACACATCCTCCACTAATATGTGGCGACATCATTCCCTTTTACCCCAAAAATAAAAAGTGTATATACCTATCCTTTCCAACTATTCATTCTCGACCGGCGTTGTATTGAATCTCTACCCACATTCGCCATGATGGATGAATGTATTCTCTTGCTAGTAAAAAAAGCCCTTTTGAATGGATCTCGGAGAGGCGGAGAATAGTCCACTAAGCTTTGCTTTCTTGCTTCGTTGCTGCAAGAATGATGTGCTTTTTCTCTTTCCTTCTCTGCACTTTTCTCGGGGCGCACCTCTTCTCGTTGCTTTGTTTTTCTCGGTCCGACATCAGTCATCTCGACTAAAAGAGTCAGCCCCGAGATGAAAAACGGCCGAGCAAGTTACAGCCGTAAGAGTCAGCAAGGGAAAAAAAAAAGAGATGACCACGAATGGCTACTTGGAGAGATGCTCGTGAAGTATAAGTGTGGTTTTGACTTTTTTCTTTGGTCCGCGTGGCCCACAGCACACGCATTTGTGATTGCAACAAAGGCACACACACACATCAAAATAAGAGTTAGGGATGAATAGATTCTCTTTCCTCACCCGCTATCAAAAGGAAAGAAAAAAAAGGGAGGGGGGGGCAAGAATCCCCTCCTTCACTGCTCCATCCTCGTAAACCCGACCCCTCCCCACATCACTCATCCTCTCCATACTTCCTTCACTCCCGTTTCTAACAGTTGACCCCAGCCTTCTGCAAAAGACGTAGTTGCGAGGCGTGTGAGTTTTTTGTTTTTTTTTTGCTTCCAAATCATCAGGAATACATCTCCTCAGCAAATAAACCCACTGACCCCCTCTTTTCCTTTCATCTTTCCGTCATTTTTTCCTTGTTTTCCTTCAGTCCCTCTCCCCTCATGATATGTATTAGCTCTATTTCGCTTGTTTTTTTTTTGTTGAACGGACGGGCGTGTTCGATCTTCGGAAAACAAATTCCTTTTTTGATCAAGGGTTAGTTAGATGCAGGACGGGAGAGAGAACAAGGGGGTTGGGGTTCGGACTTCGGAGATGAGGCAGGCAAGGAAAAAAAAAAAAACGAAGAGGGGAAAAGGGCGCGCGCGCATAAGCGAGCAAAGGTGCATGAGATGAGAGCAATTTTTGTTTTTTAGGCCCGAGATACAGAGATGCAAGGATACAGAGAGAGAGAGGGAAGGGGAGATTGCGAATTGAGAGATACGTCTTAGCGTTGTTCTTTGTTGTGTTGGAGTAAACAAACACAAAAACGTTGGTCAATGGTGGAATGGGTCCAAGACTGAACACACAACAGCAAACGCAAGAAAAAAAAACCAAAGAGAACATAGAGAGTAGACCAGACCCTTTGATTGCTAACACCCATATACTCTCATACTCATTTTTTTTTATTTTACTTTGCTTTCGCCTTTGTTGATGAGATTGATATTTTAGCCGGTTTGTTTCGACCTCTTTGTTTATTCAGAAATACAGACGCGAGAGGGCGTGTGTCTATGTCAATGAGAAAAGAACGGCGATGAAGAAAGACCGAGACCGAGACTCACAGTCCACTCCATTCAAGGCTTTAGCACCATTCACCCCATCCGCACCTTCCGCAAAGACGATGCCGTAGTCGTAGTCGAAGAAGTGCCTTGCAAGGGTAAAGAGAGAGGAGGGTGTCGTTCCCTGTACTGGGCCATCCCCTGAACAAAACCTTCAAACCCAGGTTTATCGCGCGCGATCGGTTCCAGGACCTTCAACCGTTGCTCCAACATCACTCGGAACGGCTCCACGGCCGCATCCCGTTCCAATTGCTCCAACGCCGACACGCCCACTGCTGCTGCTGCTGTTGTTATCTGTGAAGAGTCGACTTCCATAGATGCTGCTGCCTCACCTGCTGCGGTCGCCGTCGTACCATCTACACCTTTCCCTTGCTGCTGCTGCAGTTGTGCTTGACGGTGTTGCATGAAAGTGGAGCTCTGGAACATATCGAGGGTCATCCCTACAAACGTCGCCAGATGCTTTCCCTGTGTAAACGTCTCGAGTCTGCTTGGGACAGGGATCCAGAGAGTCTGGCACAACAGTGTCCAAAGTAGGCTCTGAGGCGATAGGTGCTTGTCCCCGCACCCCACCAGCGGAGTCGTCATCATCGCCGCACCCAACTCAGCTTATTCAACGGATATCAAGGGTATAGAAAAGAAAGTGAAGGAAAGTGAGAGAAATGGGGCGTCAGAAAGAAGAAGGAACGGTGCAATAAACACATGTATCTCGGTAATAAGGTAAGATCGAATAAAATTTCAGAGAGGAGCACATTGATGTACCTGCACGCCGGCCATTAGGTGTCAAGGCAGCCTTCAAAAATCGCTTGAGGATGTTGGTGACAAACTGAGCAGGTCCCACGTAGCAAAGCGTGGCCCGGAAGAGGTCGACATCCATATGATAGCTCGATCCACCAAACACTGGCCAGCCCTTTTCCCGCTTCATGACCAGGGGTGTCCTTCCGCCCGAGATAATCGCGTCATACGCAAACACCGTCTGCTGTGCCAGCTTTGGTACATCATATGGCTCAGAAATCTTCCACGCTACATAAAATAAGGACGTAACGAGTCAGTCACGTTTCCAATTCTCAAGTATTTTGGTTCGTTGGCACATCCAGATTGACTTACAGTCGTAGTTGACAGAGGTCTCGGTAAGGCGCTCATGGATAATAGCGAGCTGGTGATCATTCTCGATAGCATGATGTCCCAACGCTGCAGAGATTTCACTCTTCAGCAATCGGATCAACCGCGCCGGGAACGCCTCTCCAGCCAACAATGACTTCAAACTCGACTGCATCATTGCAACCGACTTGCCAGAAGTCACAGTATGTCCTGCCTTCCCACCAATGCTTCCACTTACACCCCCACGAGGTGCCAGGGGCGACGATCCTGTCGGTGACATCATGGACGATGCAGAAGATGCGCCGTGGGCTGAATGATGTGTTGGGTTGAGGGGACTGTGCGCAGAAAAAACAATCTCCTGGCAGAGGTACTGGACAACTCCAATCAGAACAAATAATAGGCAAGGTTGCAAGAAGTAGTCGAGACCGCTGTTGAGTATTGTCGCGTCAATGACTCCAGCCTGGCACGCTGCTAGGGATTGTTCAAAGATCGAAGGCGAAATTTCCAACAGCATCTGAGGTTTCGATGTCCTACGTGATGTAGTTGACGCGTTATTTTGAACAGAACGTGTCAGAGCTTGAACAATGAGCCAAAGGTCAGAATTACCAACAAGAAAAAGAGGACGTAGGTGCTTACTGGATCAAGTCGTCGGAGATACCCATGCTGTCGAAAAGAGCAGAGATCCACCGGCCCATCAGTCCTTGCATGTCCGCTGTCATGGACGACATGGATGCAGTTGGGATGGTGGCAGAAGTATGGTGCAGCCACAGATAACAGAAACCTTGCTTATCCTTGAGCACCGAGTCCAGACACTCCGCGAGCTCGTATCGTCGAATAATGGTCATAATCAGGATTAGCACATCTCCAAACCCCTCCAGATTCGAGTTGCAGGTATCTAATTGGAAACAAAGAACGAAAAATCGTCTCTGCGAAGTTAGTTTCATCTTCATTTTGGTTTTCAAAGTGCTGCATCATCTACCGTCTTTAATACTGTTGCTCGCATTACCAATGTCGTCGTCCTCGTTTTGCTGAAGGTTGTTGACAAAGCTTTCCAGAGGGACCAGGAGCGACGATGGCGGCCGCATCAGTAGAACGAGGTCCACGACTAATGGGTTGTCATCCAGCGTCTGACACAGCTTTGACAATGTCAGCACATCGTTATTGGCCGCCGCTTCTTCGCACACCTATCCATCGAGGCAAAAATTTGGCGTCAGTCTTTGACGATTACCCAGATCGGTTTGTAGTGAAGCACATTCGACGCGAGTTCCATGCATGTTTGGCATCGCTGCACCGTACCTGAATGATCCGATCGAGTAGGGCTTCCTGGTGCTCAAAGTCGCTCAGGGTCCTTCCACAGAGGTCATTAACGGCATCAGCCGGTGATTGTTCACTGTACTTCCCGAATTTATACTGCTCCGGATCGTAGTGGGTTGGCGGGACATCGGTGAGGATATTGAGTTGGTCCGACCTGACAAGCCCTTTTGCGCGACATCCGATCGCAATTGATTTGAGAACATCTGCTCTCTCTCCTGTTCCGTCCTCTGCAATACAATCGTCGCACTCGTTAAGTATTCCTCTATAGAACGAAAGCTGTTTGAGCGTTGATTCCACCGTGTCGCAGAGCTGTAGTGAAGACGTAGTGTAGACATTGATGTGTTAGTAAAGGGAGTACATACACCCAGCAATTTAGACCACAACTTACTCATTGGTATTCTAGATGGATCCTTCGCTTACCTCCTCATAACTGTAGCCGAGTTTTGACACAATACTCGGAATCTAGATCGTATACAAACACGCGAAAACTCCATGATAAATAAATATTCCCATCACCTTAATGCAACCGATGATCTTGTCAATGCTATAGCAACGCTTGGCAATACCTTCACCAAGACGAGGCATTTCCAGAGGAGTCGCTGACTTGACGAATTAGATTCCGCGAGACCCGTCAATCCTGCTAGCCAGAACTGAAGGATGACCGTGTCCATGGTTAGTCCTTTGATCCGCTGCACATCCTTGAGTCGCTGTACTGCAAACACATCCGGGACGACTGGTCGGATTCGTGCCTACCAGGTTGAAAGTAGTAATTATTTTTGATCAATATGTGTCTCTGCGTTGAAGCTCATTGAGAGGCGCGTGTGTTGTGGCGAGGATTGTACCATAGTGTAAGCCAGGTACAGCATGTCAGTGCTGGCCAATGCTTGTGGATCGATCTCCGTTGTCGGTGCGTTCCATATCGCCATTGTTGTGTATGCGCTGTGTTGGTATGAGATGCAACTCCCGTTTTGACTTGTCAGATATGTAGGGGCCCTGGCTGATGATAATTGGCGACTGTTTGATGCGATGATAGAGAGTTGCTATGGTTTATGGGAGGGAAGGACGAGCAGCAAAGAGAAGCATGGTTGCCATTAGATGAAGGAGTTGGTTGCAGAACGCCTCTACTTTTGTTGCGCACCCTGCCCACTTTTTTTTCTGTTCCGATGAAGTACCCAGCCAGGAATGGTGTAATTCGCTACCGAGTTATGATGTTGGTTCCTGAAACGCCCTTTGTGAGTCGACAATGGAAGAATGGAGAAAAGTAAAGGTAAAAGTGTTTGAGGGGAGAATGAGTGATGCCCTTTTGAAGTTTCGAGACTGTGCCCTGAGTGTGGCTTTTCTTTTCTTTCGAGAGCCAAGCGTGTTATTTCACACTCTTTTACGCGCTTATTCTTTTTCTTTTTATTGCCTTTTCTGATTCACACCTCTTCCCCCATTGACTGACTTGACCCATCAGGACCGGATCAACACCCTCGCAGCAGTAACAGGAGCAAGAACAGGAGTAGGAACAAGAACAGGGAACTGGTGGTCGTACGATTTATAAAACAACAAGGACACACAATGACTACACCGCCAGCATGGGCCATGCCCTCAGGAGAAGCAAGAGGTGTATTACGAGAGGCCATCCAAGCCTGTAACGAGCGTGGACTCTACTTTGCCGCACGCTGGTAATGCTCTTGTCTATCACGAGCACCCTTCAGATAAAATGTCATTAGCAAATAAATGGCCCCTCTTTTTTTCGTCAGAGATTGTTGACGAATGCTTCTCGTTCCTGATAGGGCAGCAGAAGCACTCAACGGACTTCCTGCAATCGACCATGAAGACTCCAAGGACGATGATCCGCGGGTGCCAGCCACACGATCAACTACAGCAGCAGGAACAGCCTCATCATCAACAATAACGAACTCTGAGCGCTATGTCTCGATGTACGCGGAAGAACTTGGTTTGGACGCTGCGACAGGACAGCCCGCAGGAATGTACACCGCTGAGTATGACACCTACCTGATGGCCAAGACCTTTTTCGATCTCAAGGAGTATGATCGGTGTGCTGCCATTCTTGAGAAATGCGAGAGTAACAAGTCGCGGTTCCTGAGACTCTATTCAAAGTACCTTGTAAGTTATTTTGCTCTCCTCTTCTAAGAGCACGTTGTGATCTACCTATTAAAAACGATTGTCGCTGACCACTTTCTCTTTTTCTTCGATGGTTATTAGGTCGGCGAGAAGCGGCGGGAACAGGATACACGGGAGGTTCTCGGTAAGACGGATGGTGCACTTGAGAACAGTCTGTGGAGTTGTAATAATTTGATCCGCTATTTAATCACTACTCTTTTGACTTACAACCACGTTTACTTGTTGCGATAGGTCCACTGGACAACGGGATGGCGGTCAACAAGGAGATTGAGAAGATCGACACGGAGCTGGCTGAAGGCTACCAAGCAGGTACTCTGGACGCATTCTGCAAGTATTTGTAAGTGTTATGGAGGCTAATCACACACCGCCTGCTATCTCAGGACATTTAATCGACAAAGGAGAACCTGACAATTGAGCGCAATCATGTTGAATGACATAGGTACGGGATTGTGTTGATCAAGAGGCAGAGAAAGACCCTGGCGGTGGTAGTTTTGACCGAATCTGTCAACCAATATCCCTACAACTGGAGCGCATGGCTGGACCTTGGTCCTTGTCTGCCCTCATTAGCCGCCGTAAGCTCTCAGTGTTCATGGAGATGACCTTGGAAACCGAGTGATAAACGGCTGTAGATGTTGCGGTTGTAGCTTACATTTTTCTCGTCGACACTGTTTTGACCTTTTCTATCATAGATTACAAAGATCAAACCGGCGTTGCCTGTCAGTTTTATGACTTCTTACTTCCTTCTGCATACCACACTGGAATATGTCAGTCATCAACAGGAAGAAGGCGTTGTTTGGCTGGAGGAACTGATGGAAACCTTTCCGCGAAGTGCCTTTGTCAAATGTGAACGAGCTTTAGTCCTCTATCACGCCCGAGGTAAAGCACGCCGTATCTTTTTTTTCGACAACAAGTCTGCTGTATAAGCATGGTCTAACATCGAGACATTCGCTCGCATCACGCTTCTCGTTTGTAGATTTCCCGGAGGCGGACAAGGTGTTTGAGGAAGTGGTCAAGGAGAACCCGCATCGACTGGATAGCTTGGATGTCTTTTCGAACGTATTGTTTACGACAGGGAAACGGGCAAGACTAAGCTTCCTAGCACACAGCTGTGCAATGACCGACAACTACCGACCTGAGACATGTTGTGTCATTGGTAACCTCAACTTGGATTATGTTGCCAGGAGAAGGCCGCATCACGTTGTTGGCGTAACTCTTGGCTAACATCAAGCTTCGTTCTTCCGTGTTATGTGTCTATTAGGAAACTACTACAGTATGAAGGGCGAGCATGAGAATGCTGTTGTGTACTTCAAACGTGCGCTGCGGTTCAACAGGAGCTATGCATCAGCGTGGACGTTGCTTGGACATGAATACATGGAGATGAAGAATGCCTACGCCGCTGTTGAAGCCTACCGGCGAGCCGTTGGTATGTGTATTCGCTTTCAAGGAACTGAAAAGTTTAACTGTCCCTTCAATATTGGTAGCCACAAACATAAACTAACATTGAATACATGTCGCTCCCATAGATTACGACCAGCGGGACTTTAGGGCGTGGAATGGACTGGGTCAGACATATGAGACGCTCAAGATGCATTACTACGCGCTAAACTATTACCAGAGAGCTACGGCGATTCGGCCATACGATGGAAGGATCTGGTGTGCGATGGGTCAGTGTTACGAATCATTGGACCAGGATCTGGCGGCTATCAAGTGTTATACCCGGGCGTTGCTTGGACCTGACCAAGAAAAGACGGCACTGAAGAAGCTGCCTAAGCTGTACAAAAAGATTGGCGAATCTGAGGCGGCCGCGCATTACTTTCGCAAAAGTCTCGAGCAATTCCGAGAAGAGCAGGTACGAGTCTTTTTTTCGTGGTTGTTTTCTGGTGGCCATAGGTATTGTGTATCGAGGCTATGCAAAAAAATGTCTACTTGATCATTAATCTTGCCCTTTTATGTACCATTGTTGGTGTGCCTTTGATGATAGAGCGAATCGGACGACAAGGCAGAGGCATGTCTGTTTCTGGCATTGTACGAGCGCGGCAAGGGGAATCTGGAGGACGCATTGGAGTATGCGAAAGAAGCTATGCAGTGCTCGTCCGAGTCGCACCAGGAAGACGCCAATGCACTCACGCGCGATATTCGTAGTGCTCAAGATGCTGCCAGGTCGAACGAGATAGATTAGATTTTAGATAGTGACATGCAAGAATGTATAATACTTCAGACGAGATCACTTGGGAAGGTCGATTTCCAGGCGTGGGAGGATGGCTAAGATCCCCTTTTCAGCCCCCTACTCACAGAAAAAGAAGGGGTGGAAAATAATAATAACGAGTGTAGTAGATGCCCCCTTTCTATTATTTCAGTGCCGACAGTGAACAGGCCTAGTACTGAAGTGTCCTCATTCCCCTTCTCTCATTCGCTTTCTTTCCTTCTTCATCCTTTGTCCTTCACCATCTCCCACCTTCCTCTTTTTTCCCTTGCTACATTCACACGGCGACAACGCGACGATAGAACCCAGAGCTCAAATAATCAACTTTTTGGTGGCAAAAAACACAGACAGCTCTAAATGAGGACTCGACTCTCAGGAACGCGATTGTTGACTATAGGATGTGCCTGTCTCCTCCTCCACAGTGCGCTCGGAAACCTGGACCCCAGAGGTAAAACTCCTATCGTTCTCTCGGTATTGAGTTCCAAAAAAAAACATTGACACAGCGAGGCTAATGATATGCCGTTGCTACTATTCGAGAAACTTGTAGACTCGGTGGCAGATGTCCTGGCAGGATCGCTCGAGTATTCGTGGATGGGTGCCGAGGGAGACGACACCCAGTTCCATCTCCAAGCTCAAAATCACCAGGAACACCACCGGCAACAACAGCAACAGCAGATGTGGATGGAACAATCGGCCCCTTTGGAAGCTCTCGAGTCAGCATTCGACCGCGCAGGTGGACGCCGGCGACACTTCAAGACCTCATCCACAAAGTCCAAGACCAACAGCAACAACAGCAACACCCCAAAGAACTGTGATAAACTTCGCTTCGTCGCAGAAGATACCTGGGAATCCATCCTCTTGGAAATGGGTCGAGTCCTCCAAGCCAACAACCTCTTCCTCCCGACATTGTTGCCCCTTTCCAAAGTCTTGACCGAACCCTTGGAGGAAGAAGACAAGTCTGAGATGCCCCGTCTGATGCGTTTGCTCGAGATGGGTCTTGTTGCCTTCCATCATGTCGCTGGAGTGATTCCTGAAGGGACAAAGACACAATTGGAGACCATCCTCCAAGGAACCACGACGTTGCAGCGTCAATTGGTGGAGCTGTTCAAGTGCCAGAATAGGATTTGGACCCCTGAGCTTGCAGCCAAGGCGGTCTCTCGGCGTAGTTGTGTGGCTGTGGGGATCTTTTATGACGACTACTTTGAGCAGCTCCGGAGGGTTATGGGAGATGCCCAGTCCGGGTTCAGTGAGAACAAGCTTATCAAGGAAGCGTTCTCGAAACTCAAGTTCCAGTCTGAGGGAATCTACTTGACACAGCAGGGTGCCTGTAAGGCAGTGGATGCAGTTGAGAGGGAAGATTCGATGGACGAGTTGGTAGAATTGGTGGCTCTTTTGAGGTTGACGCTTGCGGCGGGGGATGCGTTGCAGGCTTGTCAGGTCAGTTTGCAGAGGAGTGTCGTAAAGGCACAGGCGAGGGCTGGGTCGGTCTCGGACTTGGAGCAGGTGATCTATGGGCTTTTGGCGATGGGTGGGCGACGACAGGACCCGACTTCTTCTCCCATGGGAAGAGGAGGAGGAGGAGGAGGTTCGAAGGAAGGGGTTGTGGCGCGGTGTCATGAGGCGTTTGCTGAGGCGGCGGATATGGTGGACTCTATTCTGTCGATCCCTATCGTGAAAGGAGGGGATGCGCCTGCCGGATCGGTGTTCTTGCATCGATTGCTGACAAAGGATGTGGATCGGATTAGAGAGTGGATCCAGAAGGCCTGGAAGTCGATCGACCAACATTCTGCAAGCGACGGAGGTAATGGTCGTGGTGGCGGTGAGTGGAGGCAGATAGAGATGGTTACGGCGTTGTTGATCAAGAATCTCAAGGATGTCGAGTTGTCTGAGAGGGCCGACTCGGTTGTACATGAGTTTCTGGGCCCCGCTCGGCGATTGGAGGGCAAGATCCGTAAGCTTGACGAGTGTATCCTGTCAGTCGACCGTCAACACGGTTCTTCCAAGATTGAAGCCGAAGCTGAAGCAGGGGAAGAAGGTGGTGGCAAAGACGAGGCTGCGAAAGGGACGCAGCTGCCGTGCGGATTCCTGGCCGAACGCGGTCGAGAGACGATGGCCCTAGCCATAGGAGGGGCCACACTGACAAGACTAACAAAATCCAGCGATGAGATGAAAGCGGCCTTGGAGAAGGTCGCAAAGGCAGCGGGTCTCTGGGATGAGGCGCATGAGAATGTGATCAAGAAGGTTGAGTGGAGTAATATGAATGCGACTGCTGTTGGGGAGATAACGGCGGCATTGGACGGACTCGAGAGGGCGTATGAGGGGCAGGTGATTGGAGATGAATTGGATGCCGAGTTGACGGAGCTGGTGCCCCTTGTTGTTGTCCAGATCCGAGCGTTGCAAGCCTGTGCCAACGTCCAGCGAGCTACATCTCCTTCTCCTTCACCTTCTGTGTAGAGTCGTAAAGTTGTTGGTAATAAGTAGTCCGATTTATTATGATGGTTGTTATCAAGAGATGGATGTATTCCTTTTGAGTACAAAACGCCATGAATAATAGAGTTTGAGGTGGAGAGTGGAGAAAGGGGAGGGAGGAGAGAAAAAGTCATGCCACGACAGTAACGGTGGTCTGTCGTACAGTCTGCATTTCATTGCCACGAGGGAAAGGAATTGTTATATTCGTTTTGTTGTGTGTCCGTGGATCTTTAAAAGATCCTTGCTCGCCCTTTGACGGATTGAACATTCAGTCAACGGTACATTCTCAGCTTGTTTTCTCAAAGCGCTTTTAATAATGTGTCTGCTTTGAAAGTAAAAGGGGTTTTCTGCCACTGCAACAAGTGTCATTCAGATCGATGCTCCCTCTGGAGAAGGGACAGACAAAGGGTATAGAGAAAGAAGAACGAGATCCCCCTTGCAAATACGATTTGTGTGACTGACACGTGATAGTTCTCTACCCCGGACTGTAGAGGGGCTCAGACAGGGCACACACGAAGGAGATCTCGCTGACACATATCGCTGTCAGCCTGGCTTTGTAGAGAAGGAACGATGATGGGAGACTGGGTAGTAGAGAACAACAACAAACAGCATTGAGCATTGATGCGGGGGGATGAGAGTCAAGAAAGGAGGAAAGGAAGAGATGGATATGAAGGCAGGATGAGAACACAGCAGCGAAAGGAAGAACGGATGATCGCACATCCAAAGAGTATTATCTTTACTTTCTCGGATCTTTTTTCTCCTTTGCGCTGACACTTGACACCACCCTCTCTGTCGTGTATCCTCTTCCTTCTCTCTTCCTCTTCCTTCTCTCTTCCTCTTCCTTCTCCTCTTCCTCTTCCTTCTCCTCTTCCTTCTCCTCTTTGCCACTCCTTCTTCGCTTTCCTTCTCTTCATCATTTTCTCTCCTTCTCCGCTCCTTCCCTAATCTCATTCTCCACCCCTTTTCCCTTTCCTCTCTCCTCATCACCCCTTTCATCACTCTCCCTTCCTCCCTTTCCTCTCTCTCACTTCTCCTTCGTCATCGTCTCTCTCCCTCTTCCTACCCATCGCCATCCTCCCTACCTCCACACCCTACATTCACGTTTGCATTCTTCATTCACACACATAATCGATGGGTATCTTTTCAAAGCCAGCAACGGCCACCGCCGTCTTTGACCCGGTCGCCTTCAAGGCCGTGCTGCTCAAAATCGTCAAGGCATACTCCAACAACAAATCTACCGTCAAGCGTTCTATCTGGGTTACCCTCTTGGCAACTATTGCCCTCCGTATCCATTCCATGGCCACTTCTAAACCCAAGAAGGAGGCCAAGAAGACTGGCTTGACTAAAGGAGATGGCAAAGCTGCCAAAGTTGCCGTAAGAACATCTCGTTTCTCAGTTTTTTTTTTTTTTCTTTCTGGAGGATATCATGAAAGAAGAGAAATACAAAGACAAAGAGGGGAAAAGTCTAATGCATAGAACGAAAGAGAGAAGAAACAAAACAAAGGAGAATTGATCGAGCAGACGACTTGCAGAAGAAAAGAGATCTGAAGGACTGACACGAGGCAAAGAAAAGGACAAAAACTAACAATGAGAGAGATATCGTTTGTGAATACAAATAGGTCGATCGGGTCTTTTTCGAGAGATTCATGCGCATCTTGCGTCTGGTCATCCCTGGATGGCGCTCAAAGGAGTTCTGGCTCCTCGCTGTTCACACTGGTTTCCTAGGTAAACAACATTAATCCAGGACTTAAAAACACAAGGACGATACGATGGAATCATGACCTGCATAAACAGAGAATGGGAAAAGGTCCATCAGGGAGAGACGATCGCCGTACTGTTCATCTTCCTTCGATCGAATGGAGAGTGAATGGATATCCGAGGATGCAAAAACAAGAGAACAAAGAAGGGGTCAGTTCGCTTCACGAATTTTCGATCAACCCAACAACCATTACCAATCCCGTTTACGACGTTTACTATTTTTTTTGTTCACGTCAAACCACCACAGCAACAGCAAACAGCAACAGCATCAACAACAGCACAGGATCCCAACAATAACAAAAGGCCGTGGCATGGATCAGCAGCAATAAGAATATAACTCCACCACTCACTCAGCAGAGCCGATGCTACTTTTTTTGTTTGTGTGCATGCGTGTGCACACACGAGGAATCTCCAAAAAATTCATTCCACGGATACTAATATAGCCGATCCCCTCGATCTTTTTTTTCTATTGTCGCTGACAAACAACAACACGAACACGAACACGAACACGAACACCAACAACAATAGTCTTCAGAACTATGCTGTCCGTTTACATTGCTTCCCTCGACGGAAGAATCGTCAGTGCCCTCGTCCGTGGTCAGGCCAAGGAGTTCATGGTCGGATTGCTTTGGTGGATGACCGTCGCCGTCCCCGCCACCTACACCAACTCTATGGTTCGTCCTTGCCCATCGCCTTTTCACTTTCACATCCATACACAATTGCATGAAAGAACGAAACTAACAAACAATCGCGTCAAACTGGTTTTCAATAGTTGACCTACATGCAGAGCAAGCTCGCTATCCAGTTCCGCACCCGTCTTACCAACCATATCCACGAGCAATACCTTACCGACATGACCTTCTACGCCATCGGTAACTTGGATGACCGTATCAAGAACGCCGACCAGTAAGCTCTCTTACCCTTAGAATTCAATGCCAAGCTTCATGCGCAAAATTATCTCTATCGTGCTAACTCTTGTTTACATTGGTCTCACTTAGGTGCATCACGGTGGATGTGAACAAATTCTGTACGTCGTTGTCAGAGCTCTACTCAAACTTGGCAAAGCCCATCCTGGATGTCATTATCTACAACGTCCAGCTCTCCAAGAGCGTCGGAGGAGAGGGTCTCTTTGGTGTATCAGCACTGCTCCACGTCTCGGCGCTGGTTCTCCGCGCCTTGACACCCCCCTTCGGAAAGATGGTTGCAGAGGAGCAGCGTTTGGAGGGCGAGTTCCGTTTCACACACTCGCGTGTCATTGAGAATGCCGAGGAGATTGCCTTGTTCGGAGGCCACGATATCGAGAAGGCGATCCTCGACAAGAACTACTTTGCGCTCATCAAGCACGTCAACCGTATCTTCCGCATGCGCGTCTGGCACGGAATGCTCGAGGATTTCATCATCAAGTACTTCTGGGGTGCCATGGGACTCGTCATCTGCTCGATCCCTGTCTTCTTCAAGATGCCCGGACAGAGTGGAGGTTCTGATATCGGAGGTCGTACCGAGGGTTTCGTCACCAACAGACGTATGTTGCTCAGTTCTTCGGATGCCTTTGGTCGTATCATGTACTCGTACAAGGAGGTCACCGAGTTGGCTGGTTACACTGCTCGTGTCTCTGAGCTCTTGGATGTCTTTGATGATGTCAAGGCCGGTCGCTTCGAGAAGCGTCTTGTCTCGTCGGCTTCGACCGAGGAGAACGCCAAGGTCCTCTCTGGACGCGGAGATGTTGTTGAGGATGATACCATCGAATTCTTGGATGTGCCAATTGTCTCGCCCAACGGAGATGTTCTTTTGAAGAAGTTGAGCTTCTATGTCAAGCCCGGCATGCACTTGTTGATCGTTGGACCCAACGGATGCGGAAAGTCGAGTTTGTTCCGTATCCTCGGTGGCCTCTGGCCCGTCTATGGTAAGTTCTTGGCTGTGTATTTTTTTCACTTGTGTTTACAACAGCCATTCGTTTGGAATGACATTCTAACACATTCATTTATATTTGCGATGACAATTAATTTAGGCGGTACCGTCCATCGCCCCAACCCCAAGAACATCTTCTATATCCCCCAGCGCCCCTATCTCTCTCTCGGCACGCTCCGCGACCAGATCATTTACCCCGACACGGTGGAGGACATGAAGGCCAACGGTTACACAGATCAAGACCTCCAAGAAATCCTCGAGGTCGTCCAACTGAACAACATTGTCGAGCGTGAGGGTGGTTGGGACCGCGAGCGCGAGTGGCGTGATGCCCTGTCGGGAGGTGATAAGCAGAGAATTGCCATGGCCCGTCTTTACTACCACCGCCCACGCTACGCCATCTTGGACGAGTGCACCAGTGCGGTTTCGATGGAGGTTGAGAAGATCATGTACACCCATTGCATGAAGCTCGGTATCTCGCTCTTGACCGTCTCCCATCGTCCTTCGCTTTGGCAGTACCATAACTATATCTTGCAGTATGACGGTCAGGGAGGTTATGTCTTCACCAAGCTCGATGCTGAGCGTCGTTTGGCCCTGCAGGAGGAACGTCAGGTCTTGGAGCAAAAGTTGGCCGAGATCCCCAAGATTGAGCAGCGTCTTGCTGATCTGCGTAACCTCATGAAGGAGCGTGATAATGGCAAGGGTGAGGAGAAGGTTGAAGCATAGAGATTACATATCGTAGAGCATTTACGTTTTTTGAGCGAAAAAAGAACAGAGATAAATCATTTCACATAATAATTGTTACTCATTCAACATGCCATTGACAGAAAAAAATGAAATGCAAGAGAGACAGGTGTGTGTTGGTTTATACTTGACTACGTCGGTTGTGAAGGGCCTCCTTCTTGAGCAAGAGGGCACTCCTATAGCGGGCAACAGACTCCTGAACCGTGGGGTCGTCCATCAAGATGGCCAGTCCTGCAACCGTCCTCAGAGTCGCTACATCGCCACGTCGCGCCAGCGTCTGCAGACCCACAGAGGGGACTTTTGTCTCCGAGTCGACGGCAGTCACCTTTTTGGTGCTGGTACTACGCGTCTTGAGGAGGGACCCGAGTGTCAGCTGACACTTACAGGCTTGTTCGTATTGGTTACGCTTCTCAAGTTGCTGGCCCCATTCTGTCAGGATCTGCAAATGAAGCTGACGGAAGTCCTTCCTGTTGGCGTTGACGGGCAAGGACGCGATTGTTCCTGGAGGTGAGGTCTCGTCGTGGTCTTCTCTTTGTACCTCCATATCAGTACCATCTTCACCATCTTCCTCCATATCATCATCGTCGTGGTGGTCCCAGAGTCGGATCCGGAGTAATGTCAACGCCTCCCTAAAGAGCCCTTGCTTCCGATACACATCCACCGCCTCAAAGATCATCCCCACACTCAAGTAGCACAATCCCGCCGCATGAACCTCCCCCCTGGTTTCAAACTTGCCCGCAGTCTTCACCATCATCCCCTTCCACGCCTCAACACCCCCCATCGGCGACAACGCGATCGCAATCCAATCCTGAACCCCAACCTCCGAAGGACCCAAAGCACTGACAATGTCAAGAACCTTGGGGACATCTCCAAGCCAGCAGGAGACGGGGACTTGACATAATTGACCGGCAGCACGTGGTCGCGAACCGTTCTTGGTTTGGACGATTGAGTCCTTGAGACTGCTAGATGCCGGGGGCATTACGCCCATTCCACTGCCAACGACAAAGATGTTTTGGGGTTGAGTTTGGGCCATCTCTTCGGCCTCCAACTCTGCCAGCGCCTTGACGGACTCGCGAGAACCATAGAATATCAGATCGCCACTGGAAGCCGAAGCATCATCAGCCGCCGTCAGTTGTCCTGTCCCTGAAGCGATGTGTTGACCAGAAAGGCTCGTATCTTCATCCTCCAAATTCATCTCATCAACATCCTGAACCAACGCATTAGACAGCGCCTTTCCTTCATCCTCACCATCCTCCTCAAAGAATGCCCTCATCGCTCGCCATCGACCCCTAGCAGCTTCCAGCTCCTCCTCAGTCCGCAGGACACCTCCTTGATGGATCCGTCGACAGTACAAGTTCCGTGTCAGGCGCAAGATCTCGAGGTGAATTTTGCGGGTGGACTGTCCATGAAATGCCGCAGTTCCCATCGGAAAGAGTTGCAGTCGTTTCGTTGGTGTCGAGAGTTTTTGAATATGGGTCGATGTCGATGTCGATGTCGTTGTAGTTGAGGCCGAGGGCTCGCTTATCCTAGGGGCTGCGGCAGTTGTGGTAGTTGTATTGGCGACTGGGTTGTTTGACGTTATCCGTGAGCGTTTTGTGGGTGTAGACTCGGGATGAGGCGAGGATCCACTTGTCCGTTTGGATGCGAAGGGTTCGACTGCGATGACATGCCTGTCCTCTGGTGCCAACAGAGGTTGATCCGGCTGCTGATCTTCACCCTGCATTGATACATCATCGCCCTCAGCCTGAGCAGCCGACGTCGTTCTTGGTAGTTGAGGCTGACTTGAGGTCTCCTCGACGGAAATAACAGGACTGGGGGACGCGGTAGTAGCCAGCTGAGACTTCATCGATCCTTTGCCACCATCAATCGTCTTGAGATGTTTCCTAAATCCACCACCACCTCGCACAAGCGCCAACGACTGCGCCTCAGTCAGCGAATGAGACTTCACATCCCAACTACAGAGTCCCCAATCGTTTCCTCCACTGTAGACCCGATCGGTCTCTGTCAGACTCCAGAACACCGACAGCACTTGGTCTTCGTGACCTGTATAGCTAGCGACAGCTCGGTGTTGTCGCGCACTCAGAACTGGAATAGATACGTCAGAGCCTGATCCCTCCTCAGTATTCTCTCCCGTGCCATCCTGCGGTATGTCCTGAATAGGTTCTGCGGAAGAATCCTCAATTCGAACCTCTACTACAACTGCCTTACCATCATACGATGCCGTGACAATCCTATGATACCGGGTGGCAGATTCCACAGAGTCTGTTGATCCATGAGGTGACCAAGCGAGGTCCGAGATTCCTTTGCTGTGATACTGGAAGGATGAAAGCACCTGTGATGTTGGCAAGACTATATCCGTGTCTGTTCCTGCGGCGGTTGACAAAGTCACGCTCGAATCATCCAATGGATCCTCAGTCGAACTCGAAGATGCCTCCTTCCTGCTCGCTCGCTTCTCTGTCAGAGCCGATCCAGAAAAACGTTGCAGATTATGAATCGCAACAACACCTTCATCAGATCCACTAGCCAAGAGGTACAAATCCATCACACCTGAACCATCCTCGCGTCCTGCTCCAGCTTGACCGCCACTCCTGGATCCAGACTCGCTCCAGCAGACCCTGTTGACTCTAGACCGATGACTCTGATAGACATACACCAGCTTGAAGTACTTGAGCTCAAACACCTCAACTGACCCATCAGCATTTCCAAGGGCCAATAGATCCTCGTTTGGATGAATGGCAAAATCCCGTCGCTCGGGTTGTCCCGTCCCCTTGATCGCTCGATACGCCTCATACCACGCCGCGTTCTGTCGCTGAATGACCACATCCAGATCCAGACTCTTGCTCGACGGTTTCGACGCGTCACTGACCAAGATCTTGCCCTCGCCACCACACGACACCAGGCAAAAGGTCCCATCACGCAGTGCCAGATCAAATAGTTCGGGGACAGGTGCCTCAAAGACCTTGGAGCTGCACCAGGCCATTGACGTCACCGACTTTTCATGGTAGGAATGAAAAATGGTCTGAGTTGGTCCAGACGAAGCATGAGCCGCCTGTTTGTCGTGGCGTCCCTTCTTCCGACCTTTCCTGTTTCCTGCTCCATTGCCATTGTTGACATTCTTGTTATCGGCGCTGAAAGACTCATGGACTTGCGTCAACATCCCAATCTTGCCACTCTCCAACCCAAAACAAAGTGTCCCCTCCTCCGCCGGATGCCACCTAACAGCACGCGCCCGAGTATTCAACCGATCTATCGTGATACACTCATACGGCTCCTCTCGACTCAAGGTGTTCCAGATCTTGAGCGTCTCATTCCCAAGACAGATCGCGATCCTCCCAGGGTCGACGGTCCCAATGTCCAATGCATAGACATTGCCTCCAATACACTCGATCTGCGCCAGGCCCTGACCATTATCGACATCCCAGGCAATGATCCTTCGGTCCATTGAGGTCGTGAATGCAAAACTTCCGGAGGGCCAGACCATTATTTGGTATACTTGACGGTCGTGTAGCTTCCCGTCTATCATTTTTGAATAGCCTGACGAGTTCTTCCTGTTCATGTCCCACACCACCATCTTTCCTCTATGAGCGCACACGAGAACGAATGATTAGTATCACGACAGCGAAGACATGGAAGCATAATAGTACTTTACAATGTCAGGGAGATTAACTTACCGACTAGTGGCGGACAAGAGCCGTTGGCCTTGAGAGACCCATCCAACAGGAACCCAGAACTTGACCTTTTGCGAGTGTGGGAGTTTGTCGTCCAGATCAGGGACCTTCATCACGACCGAGGATATCTCTGACACGACATCCCAGACACGGACAGTCTGATCTCCTGATCCCGACGCCAATGAGGTGTAATCCTGACCTCGGAATTCTATAATGAGAGGGTCAGAGTGTTAGAGACTGTCAAATGGATATCATGGCCCAGGGAGAAACAAAACGATGAGACTACGAGTCTTACGTGATGGTTGCCAGGAAAGGCTGTGTATCCGTTCGGTATGCCCATGTAACCGCTGCTGCACGAATACTCCTGACAAGTTGGCTTTGCACACAAAGATATCGCCGCCGTCCATGCTAAGAAAATGCGGAAGAAAACAATAATTAGTGTTCTGTTCGCAGCTAAACGACATATTTTCGCCATGAGAACTTTATACGTACCCTATGGCGATGACATTGGGGTGCGTGGGACTCGAGCTCATACAAGAGATACTCGGTTTTGTTGGGAGCTCGAACTTGAGCGTCTTCTTCCCCTGAAAAGGGTCCCACACAACAATCACGCCGCCCTTGTCACCTATTGATGGATTTAGCTCTTGGTTAGCTCTGATGTATGGATAAATAATGTCGAGTTTGTCAAAAGGAAGACGAGCAAGAAAGAAGAGAGAGTCATACCTGAAACGATGAGTTGACCATCTCCCGTCCATTCCACTGCCTTGATAACTTTCTAAGGTAAGAGAAAGCAGATTCAAATTGTATACCGTCAAATAGGACGCGTCAGTACACAACTTATCTTTTTCCGAGTAGTAGCTTTTGCCGAGAAGGTGATGACCATGGACACTTACGTTGTGAACTTTAAAGTGTGACGCGGTGGCACGACGGCTTTCCAGGTTCCAGCATACCACCCTCATGTCCTCTCCGACGGATGCCACCATAGGCTCATCGTTGCGATCAGTGGTCGCTACACAGGAATTAGTAATATTGTCCAGTGGGCACCTGAGATGGTCTAGATCCGACGATATGGCACTCTCTGTCCCTGACAGAGGGCCCGAAGAAGCCGGTGAAGAATACAGTGACGACGAAGACGACGTCAGGCCCTCCTCAACGCCACCACCAACAACACCATCACCATCCGTCGCCACAGTAGAAGCAGAAGTCCGCCGCAGAGGTCTCGCAGCAAGGGCATTAATCCTCGCAGTATGTGAACCCCGAAGAACCCCCTGATGCTTGAGCGAGAACGGGTTCAGGATCTGGATGGTGTTGTTATGTGAGTAGACCAGCCAGCCAGAGTTCTCGTCCTGACTGACTAGGCAGGCGGAATGGGGTTGATGCCATTGCGGTGAGGGCGGAAACACTGTGTCCATTTCGAGGAAGAGTGATTTCGTCTTCTGCTAGTACGACCCTTCTAGAGCTGGTTCAAAGGGTCTCCAGAACGAGTTGTTGAGTCCTTTTGTCTTTTTTTGGTCGCTAGTCGGTTGATCGCTTGTTCGGTGATGGTCGAAGGTGGTGTGAATCTGCAGTGGCATGGAAGGAAGAGATCTCTTTTTTTTTTTCTGCGCACGGCGGAAATTGGTGGCAAAGTCGTTAAGGGGATTTCATTAAATAAAGCAAAAATCCTCGCCTTCAAGGACCGTTCCCCAAGACACACTCGAGACGACAGTCAGCAGCATTAGAAGATATGAAAGAAAAGGTGCTTTTAATTTGTTCTAACAACTATTCCCCGCATGGGGGTAAGTTCAATGGACGAGTCTCATAAAAAATCTACAGTTTGAAAAATCATCGAATGGGTTTGGGTTGGGGGTGGAGGAGAGAGGACAGAAAAAGAGAAAGAGGTAAAAAGTACATCATTAAGCGATCGAAAACAACGGAAAGAGAAAAAGAAAGAAGGCATTTAGATGACCTTGCTGAAGATGGCGAGCATGCTGGACCAGACCAACTTCTGATCCTGGGCAGCGTCGACCTGGGACCAGAGACCCTTCTTCTTGTAGTACTCGACGACGGGGACAGTCTGCTTGTGGTAGGCAACGAGACGCTTCTGGAGGGCCTCGGCGTTGTCGTCGGAGCGCTGGACGAGGGGCTCGCCAGTGATGTCGTCCTTCATGGGGACCTTGGGGGGAGCGAACTCCTTGTGGTAGGAGCGACCGGAGGGAACGTGGATCAAGCGACCGGTGATGCGGGAGACGAGGAGGTTGTCATCGATGGCGAGCTCGACAACGGTGTCCAAGGTCTGCTTCTTGTTCTCCAACATGGAATCCAACTTCTCAGCCTGGACAACAGTGCGGGGGAATCCATCGAGAATGAATCTAATGGAGGGATGTTATCAGTCAAGTGCGTTAGCCCATCGATCAGCCATAAATGATCATCATTCCAGTCAAAAATCAAAAACCCAGTCTATCAGTCTCAGTCCCTGTGTTGATGCCGATGATGATGTGATGTTCTGAAACAAATCGTGCATACACTGCATTTAACCAGGGTACACAAATACAGCGATAAAGAAACTTACCCGTTCTTGCACTCCTGGTTGTTCTCCAAATTGTCCTGGATCATGTTGACCATGATCTCGTCGCTGACGAGTCCACCGGCATCCATGACCTTCTTGGCCTCCAAACCGACCTTGGTCTTGTTGGCAATGGCAGCGCGGAGCATGTCACCGGTGGCCAAGTGGCAGACGCAGTACTTCTCCTTGATCTTGGGAGCCTGGGTACCCTTACCTATTGATTTGAATCATCACACGCACACAATCAATCAAAAGAATCGTTAGAGTCTGTGTACACTTGATACGGTTCGATAAAAAGAAAATGACAACTTTTTTTTGCCATTGTTGGGGATGGGCACAAAAAAACAAAGATAAAAAAAGGATTCGGATTGATAAGAGAGATCTCTTTTTCTGCTTCCGACAACAGTGATGATAACCCATAGAACGATCGTTGAAACGTCCAATTGAAAATGCAGCAAGGAGGTGTATCGTGTGAAAACGAGTGTGTTGATGATACCGTGAAGAGTGTAGAGAGGGTAGGCGAATGGGTAAGATAGCCCGATGAACGGCAATAGTAGCAAGGTGCGGAATTGACGATGACATATCTTCAACATGTGAGTGGTCATCATCGCACATGTTTTCTTTTTTACCCGCCTTCCTTGTAATTCCGCCGTGTAATCGAGAGTATGTACTATATTGTCAACGGCAAGTGGAAAAACAAGTCCACCCAACAGAGTCGCATATGCCAGGAGGGGATCGGCCCTGGATTCAATTTGATCGCTCACAAAATAGAATCACCGTCAAAAGTAAAGGGAATGGGGAAAAGGCAAAGGGAAGAAAAAAAATCACCACCCAAAGAAAAAAAAGAGCGGCTCTCGTTGGTGGTCGCTGTCTGCTATCACCGTGCGATCGGACCTCACCCATGCGCGCCCCGACAAGCCCTGACTGACCCCTTTAACTATTCTCGTCGTCATCACATTCTCTGAATGTTAACACGAGGGAATACAGAAGAACAAGAAATTCAAGTGATAAAGTGGTGCCAAACAACCAATTGATACCCAGACCAGGCACCGGCATCATGGTTTGATAGGCGATCCCGACCGGGTAAAACACACGAGTCATAAATTTGGTACGGGTGGAAAAAACACCCGCCGAAACGAAAGAAACCTAGTGTTTACGCTATTTCTCTCTTCTGTCTCTGACTGAACCAGTGTGTTTTTTTCCACTTCCTGTTATCGCTAACACCTCTTTTGGTTTTGAATGGTTGACTCTTTACGGAGAGAAATAATTGGGCGAGGCGATGAGTGTTGGCTGATCTGATCAAAGATCGGAAAGTACTCCCCCAAAAATAAAAACACGAAAGCTGATCCTTATTTTTTTGCTATGTCTGTTCCAGTACGTGTCCCCGGAATAGACCAAAGGTTTCCATCTGCAGACTGTTAGGAAGGAAAAGAAAAAGACGACGGGACAGAAAGTGTGTGTAGAAAGAATGATACAACAGAGTTGTGCTGTTGTTGTTGAACAGGACAGAGTAGATGAAGACGTACCGGCACCGGGGGGTCCAATCAAGATCATGCGGAGCTTCTTGTCGTCCTTGCTGGCAGGCTTGGTCTCGACCTTGTCGACCTTGGCCTCAAGACGGTCGACCTTCTCGTGCAACTCCTTGAGCAAGTTCTTGATGTCGCTCAAAGGGCTGGGACCGGGGGTGGTTTCCTTGACTGGGGCCATTGTTGATGTTATGAAGAGGGGAGAAAAAGTGAAGTGTAAAGAGAGAGGGAGGAAAACGCTGGCATACCTTTTGAAGTGCTTGAAGATTCCGCTAGTGCCCACGTGACTACAAGCGCACGTGATAGTTATCACGTGCACTGGATGTTTGATAAGGTTGTGAACAAAATTGACAGAGAGAATCAATTCTCATCAAGCGATCAGCGAGTTTGTATGGTGTAGTTGGTTATCACGTCTGTCTAACACACAGACGGTCCTCGGTTCAAGTCCGAGTACAAACACTTTTGCCATTTCTCTTATCTTTCGATCACTTTTTTCTGTTTTTTTGTGTGAGTCGAAGGGTGGCGTCTGGATTCAATTTTGCACTGAGTCATGTTGAGTCCGCCCTTTGTCATAGACAGAACGGATTCATTTCTGGCAGTACATATTTTTACCTCGTCTCTCTTTTCCTTTCTCTCTTCTTTCTTTTACTCTTCAACCCTTTCCACACTTTCTTATTACAACTACACCTTTTCCACTTACACTATAACCACCATGGCCGCCTTTTAAATCCTGAGCATCCTCCTATCCAAAATAGCCCCCAATTGAGCAAACGACACCCAAACCAGCCCCATCTTAGCCATCCCAACAACTATCCAGCTTCCTAGCTCCCCCCAGCCAATCCAGCCAAACTTTTACTTTCGAGCCTAACCAGCCAGCCATCCCCCCAATAAGCCAATCTATCCCCCCCTCTAAGCCTATCCAAAATGACCCGGTCTTACCCCACCACCATTACCACCTTCCAACTTACTCAAGTCAACTATCAACAACAAAGAAGAACCACCTTAAGAACCAGATCTAGAAGAACCAATACCCCAACTACCACTTGTCGCGTATCCATTTGTCAGTCTACCCTTGTCTAAAGAACCAACACCGCCCATCCTCAAACAAGAACCAGTTTTACAAATGGCCATTCCAAACACCCCCTCTCTCCTGGAGACCAGGAACCCACTGCTTCTGCAGTCGGCCAATTCTCTCGACTGTGCGCTCGCCCAATGTAAGATTTATGTTCTCTTGTTGTTAACTGTTGCTTCAATTGACACTCTACTTTTGCCATCGAACCTCATATCTAACAACATATGTTCGTGCTCATTCCAAATAGTCACTAAGCTGGCAACAACGGTCGAGAGGAATGGGACCTCACAGGTCGTACCCAAGGAGACAAGCATTGCCGAGTGGTTACTTGGCCCAGTGTCCGATGTGACATATCAGCCCTATCCATCGTACACGGTTTCGAACAGTGACCCCGAGTCGCCCATCTTTGGCTGGGCTCCCAGTCCTGTCCTTCCTCCCCTTACCTGGAACATGCCCACCGAGGTGATGGACTTGACAAGCATCGAGCCCGAGGTTGAGCAAGGATTCACCACCCCCACCACAACCAACAACAAGAGAACAACCGTTGCTTCAACTTCTTCACCCGCTCGCTCTACTAAGAGATCTCGTTCTGTTGACGAGGAGGAGTGTTCGGAGGAGCTTTTGGCCAGACGTGCCAAGAACACGGATGCCGCCAGGCGGTCAAGGCAAAAGAAGGTTGTTCGGTTAGAGTGTCTAGAGACCAAGGTGTTTGGATTAGAGTCCACGAACCAAACTCTGAGCACCAAGGTTGCGGTGTTGGAGTCCGAGCGGAACAGCCACCTTGTCAAGGAGGCCGAGCAGATGGCACGGATTGCCCAACTCGAGGCCAAGCTCATCGAGACACAACTTGCCTTCGCCCTCCGCCGCGTGCAGTAACATACCTTCATCCTCTTTGTAGAAACACATACGTCTTCGTCTTCATCATTTGTTTTTAGTATCATTCATTATCAAAATAAACATAAGTACAATTTTTTCCTACTCCTTCTCCAGCTGTGACTCCAGTTAATGCCCTGAACGCCACCATTTTTGACTCTTTTTCATTTGAATCCAATGTCACCTCACTCTCGATCCCCTTCTCCTTTTCTCTCTTGACATCCTCATTCCGACATTCACCACAATGCAGCGAGCAGCAGCTCCCTCACAGAGTCGCAAGTCCGTCTTGTCATCAGCACCCCGGTCACTGTCCTCTACTCCTTGTCAACAGACACCACCAACACAGACCAGTAAACAGGAACACGCAACTGACAAGACCACGTTGCCACTAACTGTGAACGAGAACCAACCAGCTGTTAAAACAACTCTCTTGCAACCAGGGGTACCTCAAACGACACCCAGTTTTCGGCCGATGGTGCGACCATTCAAATCACCTATGACTGCTGGCGCAGCAGGGACGAACACGCCTGGTCTGAAGCGCGCCCCGTTCAAGTCCCCTACCAGACCAGCGTTGACTCCAGCATCAACCACAGTGCGTACAACACCTACTGCTACTGCTACTGCCGCATCTATATCTCTGGGACTCAACAAGCGCAAAGCCGAGTCCGCCGAAGCAACAATCGCCAAGGAACCCAAACTATCAGACTCGCCCTCAAGCGCATCTATAGCTTCCTCCACCCCACTACCAACACCAAAGCCAAAACTCCAAATGACACCCCGCTTCCGATCTCCCAACCTCGGATCCCAAGCCCCGGTAGTTGCACAGACACCAGTCGATGAACAAGAGCGATGCTTTAACGTTCTGTGGTAACTACCTATCGTCTAATTCTATCGCTCTGGCGTTTGGTAGCGTTTTTGTGCAAATCCTGACAGAAATCTCTCCTTCTCGTTCTTGGTCAAACTATAGGAGAAAGAAGACTGGCAAGAAACACAAGACATGGGACGGGGATGGTAAGCTTATGCCAGGAGTAGTGGACTTGTTCAGCTCAGACATGAAAAATACTCCAACGCGCTAATACATCCAAATATATGCCTAAATAATAGGAGTTATTATTGTCAGCGGATCCCATGCGGTACTGAAAGACATGGATGGCAAAGAGTAAGAACGCGCTAGACTTCGAATTGATAACGATGCAGACATGCAAGGCGGTGACTGACTATTATTTTCACCTGCCTCACAGGATAGGAAAAGGGTCTGGTCCTGCCTTTGCGAATCTCGGTGCTGGAGACGAAATCTCATTTGGTGGCAAGGACATTGAGGTATTCACCTCTCCTACTCGATGGATACAGATAACTTTTGCCAATAGCGTACAATTCGCTGACAGTCATTACTACTCTCAAAATGCAGGTGGCTTCTGAATTAGGTTCGGAGACATATCGAACTGGAAGATGCTTCCTGACCAAAGCAACTATGCCGATACCATCTTCTGCGCCAGGTATATTTACCAATATTCGTGGATATGATCGTGAAGTCAGATACAATAGCAGACCGTTAATTTGATCCGCTTTGTGCTTCTTACATTTAATAGCCAACAGGTCGATCTTGCATCCAACAAAGTTCAAACAACACTCTTCTGTCGCCAACGCCGTTGAGAAGCCATGGATGCCACCTCAGCCTCGCTACAACCCAGATGCGCTTCATGCTCTCCTCTTGCCTCGTCCTTCCAGCTCACACCCTCGTGTTGTCAAAGGCGGTACCAATCGCCCTCCGGGAGACATTGGCCTTGTTGATGTGGTGGTTGATCCAATTCTTGGGCAATATCTCCGTCCACATCAGAGAGAGGGTGTCCGGTTCCTTTACGAGTGTGTGATGCAGATGAAGGATGTGAATGGACAAGGCGCTATCCTGGCTGATGAGATGGGTCTCGGAAAAACACTCCAGACCATTGCCCTCCTGTGGACGCTTCTCAAGCAGAGTCCTTACCATGGAGAGGAATCATCTGTCGTCAAGAGAGCTCTCGTCGTCTGTCCGGCATCGCTCGTCAAGGTATTTGTTTGTTCTTGTTTTCACCCGTCCTTGCAGTGGTGCATTGAACCATCGCGCTGATCAATTTTTTGTCCTATACAGAATTGGCAAAACGAGTTTAGGAAATGGCTGGGAACAGAACGACTTCGTGTACTCGCTGTGGACTCCAAGTCATCCATCACAGACTTTACTCTGGGCAAGGTGTTTTCCGTCATGATCATCGGATACGAAAAGGTATCACTATGTGCAATTCGACAATGTCTGTGTGCGCGATCACAAATCTCACGATCCTAACTTTCATTCTATAACTGAAACTTCTAGTTGAGAACTGTGCAGGAAGAGATCAAGAACGTGAACTTAGACCTGATTGTCTGCGACGAGGGACATAGGTTGAAGACGGCAAATATCAAGATTGCACAGGCTATTCGGTCGTTGTCTACCAAGAGGAGGATCATATTAACAGGCACACCGATCCAGAACGACTTGGGAGAGTTTTTTGCTATGATTGACTTTGTCAACCCTGGATTGTTTGACAACTATGGCTTGTTCAAGAAAGTGTTTGAGGATCCGATCGTCCGTTCAAGACAACCCGATTGTTCCAAAGCAGAAGCCGCCTTGGGCCTTGAGAGGTACCGTGTTCGTTTTGGTTGGGTGAATGATGTGCCCTTCGGCAACATAACGTACCGCGAACTAACGAACTCGTTTTTACTTCATCCAATAGATCGCGAGAGGTACGAGTCATTTGCCAGCCATAAGGCTTCCATGAACTCTTCAAATTGTGGTGCCAAACTAACGAACAAATCACCCCCCTCTCTTTCTCTCCGTACCCAATAGCTAACCCGATTGACTGCACTGTTTATTCTTCGACGAACAGCCAAGGTTAACGATGAGTTCCTTCTACCAAAATGTAAGCGAAGTATGTCTTCCTGTGTGAATTGAAGTAGCGGCACGAAAGGTGAGTAGACTCCCAACCACTACTAACTTCACCCCCTTGCTGTACCATTCCTTGTTTAGCGGAGGCGGTTGTATTCTGCCGCCCCTCTATGATTCAGAGAGCAATATATCGCCATATGCTTGATTCGCCGTTTCTGAAGAGCTGCCTGTCAATGGATGGAACCCGCCATCTAGGCTGCATAATCGCTTTGCGAAAGCTATGCAACTCTCCGCGACTGGTTTTGGACTCTTCAGAGGTATGTAGTCATCTCGAACACCACTAGAAAAAGCGTTCCTGTGATGCTGCAGTCAACCATTGCTGACACCTTCCATTTTTCCTTGTAGCAAGAGGAGGACGCTGAAGCGACAGGACTTTACAGTGGTATCAAATCTATGGTCCAACAAACCCATCCAGATTGCCCAGATAGCTCATGGATCGGAGGTAAGATGAGTAGTGGATTGTAGGAACTAGAGCAACATATACTGAAAGCTGCATCGCCAGCTAACGCTTTTACCTTTATCAATCCGATCCATACGCCATAGGAAAATTGAGCTTTGTTGACTCGTTGCTTCAGTCTCTCAGGGAGGATACAACTGAGCGCGTTGTCTTGGTGTCAAACTTCACGCAAACGCTCGATATCTTGCAAGACATGTGCACCCGACGTCAGTACAAGTTTTTTCGCTTTGATGGGTATGTATTGTCGCGGTATTGTGAGCTTCCCAGCTAGCATTTGCTGTTTGTGCCATCACTGACTGGCGTTTTGCTTGTTGCTACTAGATCTACACCTGCTCAGAAGCGCCAAGAGCTGGTAGACAAGTTCAACTCCCCATCTTGCCAACAGTGTAAGCACGAAGTAGTTGCCTCACTTCACGCTCATATCAAATTCACGCGTTTTATGAACTAACTAACAAAATCGCGTTTGTTCTAAAAGTTGTATTTCTGCTTAGCGCGAAATCTGGTGGCGTAGGTTTGAATCTGATAGGAGCGTCTCGACTGGTGAGTTCTACCATCCTATAATGCTGTTGCCCGGTACAATGGCGACTGCGCTGGCTTCTTTCGTCCATGCTAACCCTTCCGGCATCTCCAACCCCGTCGTACAACGTAGATCATGTTTGATATCGAATGGTAAGCAGTTGGCTTCAATCGAGGACTGTGAGTAAACTTGGTTCAACTGAACAACCCCTAACATCCCAACTGGCGTTGCGAATTGTTATTGTAGGAATCCAAGCGTGGACCAGCAGGCAATGGCTCGTATCCACAGGGAGGGTCAACTGCGGCCCGTTTTCATCTACCGATTACTCCTGTAAGTGGTCCCTGACTTGGTTTCGGCTCAGCACGACCGTCATTGCTCCCTAGCATTTTGCACCTATTGTTACGACTGACCCTTTTTTTTTCGTGGCCATAGATCTGGCACCATTGAAGAAAAGATGTACCAGCGACAAATGACTAAGATTGGACTCAGTGACGCCCTCATGGTACGAACCCCCTTTTCACCTCCATGTCTAGTTCCTCCTCTCCTCTTTGTTTCCTTCTCCGTGTTTGCTTTTGTTTGTTTGTGTTCTCGTGTGTTTGTGTACCAGATCAGGTTTATCCTAATTCGCATTACCTCATTTTTCTTCATTTGCGAACGCGTACATAGGATGGCAAGGCAGCAGAGCGCCTGGACAAGTTCTCGAAGGAAGAGCTGAGGGACCTTTTTACGTTTCATGAGGACGAGACGTGCTTGACTCATTCGCTTCTGAACTGCGACTGCGCTACCTCCACTTCCACCTCTACCACGTCAGTGCATGCCCGCACTGTGACACCTGGTATAAGAAATCAGGGCGAGCGGGCCTGTTTCTTAAAAGAGCCGTCAGCAGAACAGGTCAAGAATGAGTTGCTGAAGGAATGGACACATGTTGAGGTGGATTCTTGGAGGAAAATGGTTCGACAACAGGGCAAGGATCCTATAGTGCCAGAGTTGTCTGTGCGAGATCGGATCCTGTGGAAGGTGCTAACAAAGAGGTCGAGCTCTAATCATCTGCGACAGCAAATTACTGGTGAGAGTGACCAAGAGGAGAATGCTGAGGAGAGCGACGAGGATGAAGGCGATCAGGATGTGAAGGCGGAAGGAGGACGGACCAGCGAGGGTAGTGTTGTTAGCTTTGTGTTCCTCCGATCTGGTGCATCCATGACGACGACTGCAGGTGAAGTGGATGGTTGAATGTTTCCCTGGCTAGTGTAGACACGCGTGTGAAATTGTGAACCATCGCACAGTCCACACACACACACACTAGTTTGTTCCAGCTTTCTTTGAGGTACAAGTCGCAACCAATCAACAAGGCCTTTTTTGTCATCTCATCTTTCGTTTCCACACCATATCCATATCAGACTTTAGATGTCTTTTTTTGTTCCACCCCTTTCTTCTCTTCCTCTTCTTCGCACCCGCAACCCCTACCCGCCCTGCCCGTTGATTGTTTATTTCCAGCCAACCACTTACACACTCGTTCCTCCTCTTTTCTTCTTTGCCCCCTCTTCTTCCCACCACCCTCACTTTCTCATACCCGCCTGTCTCAGTCGCGACTACCTACAATAAAAACTGGCCATGTCTGGCCTGCATCCTCCTCTACAGGGCAACGGACTCGACAATGAACCCTACAGGACCGTTGCCCCAACTACTACCACAACAACTATTGCTGCTACACCCGCCATTTCGACAGCAACACCGTCAACAACAACAACATCAACCACAACATCATCAGGAGCCGTCGCACTAGAGATTGGTGGCTACAAGGTCCACCCGTCAGCCTTGGCCCCAAACACCACCATTACTGGATCCTCATCCAGCGCATTCACCACCATGACCACAGGACAGCTCGCTGCTACCCTGGCAGCAAACGACTCTCTCCGGAACAACAACCACAACAACAACAATACCAATAATAACGACCGGTCCGGTCGCCCCAACTCTTCCGACTCGAGCTTTATTTCTGACTTTGTTGTACGGCTACTGCCAATTGCCTTGGGCTCGCTGGTGGGCTATATCGTTTACGTCTACAATGTCCGTCTCTGCAGTAAGTCAATCGCCTGTTGACTCTGTTACCGCCGTTGTTGTTGTCGTCGCCGCTTCAATTCCTTCTTTCAGAGCGCATTGACTCGTCGTCTATTGTCCAACCACCGTCGACAGTCTTCTGACCTTTTTTCTTCACCCCTTTTCTTGTCATTGACTTCATAGTTGATTATATCCTGCATTTTCTCAACCAGCCCGTCCAAGCAGGTACACATTTCAGCAATCGGAGGACGACGTGGATATCGAAAACGGTCAGGGATCAACAATGACAACGGAGCAAAACTGCGCAAAGCGGGAACTGATCGACAGTTGTCTATGGATATCTTGTTTCTCAACGCTTTTTATTAGGAATCTACTTGGGCGTGCTCAATGTGTTTGCACTGTTGTTTTATGTATCGTATGCCCGCACCATATTTAATAACCCTGGAACTCCCTTGAAGGTAAGTGAGCTGTCCACTTCAAGGGCCATCTCGATCACTTTCATTACTCAAGACTCTTTTGTTTTTCGTGACACGAAGGAAAGTAATCAGGAATTAATTGTCATCACCTTTCTTTTCCACTACAGCCACCGAAACGGAATCCGCTTCCTCCTATCCCTCCTACCACGACTCCATACCGTGCACAACCTGCAGGAAAAGGAGACGCCTCTAATTCGAGCAGGAACAACAATGGTCATTCTGCGCTTCAACCTGTCAGCAGTACCACGCCACTGCTACCATCGACACAATCTGGCGATCAGTCGACTTTGTTCTCGAGATACCAGACCATGAAGCAATCAACGTTGCTCAACATTACGGATGGACAGGGACAGGGACAATCACAGGATATCGAAGCGGCACACGAGGCGCCTGCTGCGACTCTGAGCATTTCCAAGAAGGACGGCAGCCCTCGCTGGTGCGAGCTGTGTCAGATTGTCAAGCCAGACCGCTGTCATCACTGCAAGGAATGCGACCAGTGTGTGCTCAGGATGGATCACCATTGCCCATGGGTTAACAGCTGCATTGGATACAACAACTTGAAATTCTTTTACCTCTTCCTCCTGTATGCCTCACTGCTGTCGATCTGGGTCATCAGCACTACTATTCCGATCTTTGTCACGGCCTATTCTCGATGTGAGCAGAACAGCCTTTTCGCATGGATGCAACCGGACGGACTTCAGCACCCATCCGACTGCGTCTTTGATGTGCAATGGGCAGTGATTACAGTGCTATCGTTTTTCCTGACTGCGTTTATCATACCCCTGACAGCGGCCCATACGATTTATATTCTCAACAACCGGACCACCATCGAATCACTACAGGATGCCAGGAGCACCTTTATTCGCGTTCAGTACAGGAATGTGAACCCTGCGTCGATGTATGCGCCCGGAGTCTCACCTCCCAGGTTCAACGTCGTTTTGGTACAGCCTGGCGAAAGCATGTGGGATCGAGGTTCCTGGAACGCCAACTGGAAAGGAATCATGGGTCCATCCTGGTGGCTATGGTTTCGTAAGTGTGCCTTTCAATTAAGTTGCATCCCTGTATCGCATTGGGTTGTTGCGCGTAACTCACACTTTTTTTTCTCCTATTGTTCATTTGATGTAGTGCCGTATGCAAACACTCCGGGAGATGGCATCCATGAAGTCTACAATGAGCGCGTGTATGAGAGACTGGTAGCAGCTCCACAGACAGGATATGGCCAGCCTTCAGTGAGACCTCTGGGTAGTCGTGGGTATGGTTCAGGAGCAACGGATGCGGTGTCAAGTCAGTCGACGTTGATTCCAGGATCGACATACTCGACTTTACCACCGGCGACATTGTCATTGGCTGTTCCGTTAGGGAGTGGTGGATGGTCCAAACCTAGGACAAGTGAGGAGAGTGAGGAGAGTGAGTCGAGCATAGGCAGTCTTGGACGGTCTCTTCCTACACCCCATTCATCACCTCGCATGGAACCACGGGATTAGTTGACGCGTCAGAAGTAATAAACATTTGACTTGACTCCACTCTTTTATAGTTTAAGAAATGAGATGATACGGAAAAATGACGAGCTTGTGGCTGACAAAACCCTGAACCCTGGCTCCCTGTGTTTCTTCGGAGTGCGATTAGAAAAACGAGAATAAGAAAAAAAGGCATAACTCTCCCCGGGTGGTGGCACAAATAAAGGAAGGAACATGGCTTCCTCTTTTGGTAGGGTCGTTCTTTTTTTTTTTTTTTTTTTTTTTTTTTTGGCGATGTTCGCGATGGGGGATAATTTACCGTTGACTGATGTTGCGCTTGGTGTTCAGGTCGTCGTTGGAGAGACGAGGGTGTGGACCGATGGTTCTTCTTCTCATTGATGATGGTACCTGAACTGATAACGGCCAGTTGAATCAGACGCAATGGAGAGTGATATTTTGTGTGAGATTCAGGGACCGTTAAAACAACACATGCGCATGATTTGTTCCTTCCGATCTTGAACGTTGTAAGGAGGCAATTGTGTATGACTGTTACAACAAGATTATGCAAACCCATTATTGGCGCAATGCATTGCTGGTGAGATAGGCTACCTGGCTTGGTTGGTCTGGGTAAATGGACTGGATGCTCTCTCGCATTGTCAAAAATAAGGGCTCAAAACTCCCACGAAGACACACAAGCCGCGTCTTCTTTTTTTTCATTGCTTCATTTGTCTTCGTTATCATCGCTTTCCCTTTTCCTCCTCTTCTTCTTTCTTCTCTTTCTCGTTCACGCCCATCCTTCCCTTCTCACGCTCAACTCGCACCGTCTGTCTCTCTCTACCCCCTCTTCATCTTTCAATTTGTACATATCATTGCCCATAACACACAAGCGCACTTCATTGTAAATACATCCCCCCCCACCCTCCCTGTCTCCTCCGCCCACCATGGCAGACTACCAACACCTCCCTCAGGACGACTACGAAGGTGACCACGCCCCAAGAACAGGCACATCCTTCCCCCGCAACCTCAAAAAGGCGCTCTCCAAACGAAGCAACGTCGTTCTCCTGGCCACCGCAGCCGTTGCCATCCTCGCCGCCTCGACCTTCTGGCTTGGCTCCTCCAACGAATGGTCCCACCACCCGACCCATTTCGAAACCGTCGGTATCTCAGCTGAACGATTCCAATACGGTTTGGACAAGTGTGAGCAGATCCATCGCAAGGACAAGCACACGTATCCTGGGGCTGAGACGAGGACTTTTAATCCTCGGTTTGTTAATGGGACGAAGCCTACGTTGTTTAAGAACGGATTTATCTTTGATGGCGTCAATGAGGCCATTAAGGGCGATGTGTTGGTGGACCAGGGCGTTGTTGTGAAGATGGGTGAGTCTGTTGAGGTACCTGAGGATGCGGTTGTTGTTGATCTGAAGGGACATATCCTCACCCCTGGCATCGTTGACATGCACAGGTAAGAAGAGCGCTGATTTTTGTTCATGTTCATGCATGATTTTGCTTTGTTCGCTCTTTGACAAACACTGACTGACCCTTTCTTTGGGGGGTCTATCGAAGCCATCTGGGAGTGTTCTCGATGCCAATTCTCGATGCGACAAACGACTTTAACGAGATGACAGATCCCCTGGTTCCCTTTGCCCGGTCCATCGACGGCTTCAACCCCAGTGATGTAGCCAGAGAGCGCGCCGTCTCGGGCGGTATCACCAGCATCCTCGTCCTCCCCGGGTCCAGCAACCTCATGGGCGGAGAGGCCTATGCTTTCAAACTGCGATTGCCTGACACTCTCAGCACCGAGGACATGCTTATCGAGTACGGAAACAAAGACAAGTGGCGCTACATGAAGATGGCCTGTGGCGAGAACCCCAAGAACCGATATGGTCACCAGGCTCGTATGCCTAGCACTCGTCTCGGCGAAGGGTGGTTGTTCCGTGAGAGGTTTTCAAAGGCGACCACGCTCAAGCGTGCACAGGACGATTGGTGCGCTGCTGCGGGTGCCTTGCCCAAATATGGGCGCCATCGTCTAGCGGCTCCCTTCCCTGAGGAGCTGCAGTATGAGAGTTTGGTTGGCCTGCTTCGAGGTGATGTCCGCCTAAATGTGCATTGTTATGAGACCCATGATATCGAGGCTATGGTTGACCATTCGAACGAGTTCGAGTTTGAGATCAAGGCCTTCCACCATGCTTTGGATGCTTATCGTGTCCCTGATATTCTCAAGCGTGCTTACAACAATGTCCCAATGGTCGCCACCTTTGCTGCCAAGTTCGGGTACCGTCTTGTCCACTTTTTTGCTCTTTATTTTTGGCGTGCTATGCTTCATTTGTGGCAAATTACTAAAAATATTTTACCATCCTCTCTTTGCTCTTTTGACATGCAAAAAAAAACCAGATACAAGAAGGAGGCGTTCCAGGCGTCGGTCTTATCGCCAAAGATCCTGGTGGACGCCGGCATCGCCGTCGCAATGAAGAGCGACCACCCCATCGTCGACTCCCAGCACCTCATCTATCAGGCAGCAATGGCCCACCACTACGGTCTGACCGAACTCCAGGCCCTGGCTTCGGTCACCTCTGTCCCCGCCAAGGCCCTGGGTCTTGAACACCGGATCGGCAAGATTGCGGTCGGCATGGATGCAGATTTGGTCATCTGGGAGAAGCACCCTCTCTCACTCGGTGCTCACCCTCTCCAGGTCTACATTGACGGTATTGCGCAGATCAAGAATGTCGATCCTGAGGACTGGTCTGAGCAAGGCGAGCCTTTGAAGTTTGAGGAGTCACCCGAATTGGTGGTCCCCAAGGCCAAGGATGCTTGCTCGGCCAACTCCAAGGACGCGGTCTTTACGGGTATCAAGAAAATCATCCGTGAGGAAGGCGAGGAAGTCAGCGCCAAGGGCGAGCTGGTAGTAGTGGTCAGGAATGGACAAGTCGTCTGCTCTGGTCTGTGCCGCCAGTACTCGAACAAGGATGTTGCAGTTTATGACTTGGGCGGTGAGGGTGTTGTCGTGCCATCATTGTTGTCGGTCGGTACCAAATTCCTGGGTCTGCTGGAGATCCCCCCTGAGCAGAGAACGGGCGATGGCGCATTGAACTTGCAACCTGTTGTTATTAATGCGGCGGATGGACTTAAGTTTGGAGGACACCATATGGATGAGGCGTACAAGGCTGGTGTTCTTGTGGGCGTTACTGCTCCCTTCTCGCAGCATGTCGTCCAGGGTGTCTCTGTCGCCTTTTCCACCGGCGCCGAAGATGGTATGTCTCTCTTTTTCTTTATTTATTTTTCTCGACCGAAACAAAGGCAAATGTTAATACTTGCATCGTTAATTTTCCCTTGGCAAAATAGCATTGTCAGGAAAGAACGCTGTGTTAAAGGAACAAGTCGCACTGCATGTCAGGATCGGCCAAGAGTCCAAATCAACTCTCTTCCCCACAATCTCCTCCCAGATCCACTTCCTCCGCTCATCCCTCTACAAGGGTCTCTCCAACGTCTTCAACACCGACGATGTCTTCGCCCAGGCCGCACGAGGCAGCCTCCCCCTAGTCATTGAAGTCTACAACCGCGATGAAATCATCCGTGTCGTCCAGATCAAGGCCGAACTCGAGAAGCAAGGTGCTCATATCCGATTGGTCCTCTTGGGCGCGACCGAGGCCTGGACAGTCGCCGACTACCTCGCTAAAGAAAACGTGAGCGTCATCCTGCAACCCTACCACTGCACCCCTAACCAATGGACCGCGCAGCGCTGCCTCCCTGGCGCACCTCTCACCAAGGAGACTGGCCTCTCTGCACTCCACAAGGCCGGCGTTCAAGTCGGACTGTCAGCTTTCGAGTTTGAAGATCTTCGACAAATGTCTTGGTTTGCGGGTTGGGCACGTTCCGATCTGGGATTGACTGAAAAGGAAGCTGTTGGATTGGTGAGCTGGAACTTGGCCAAGATTGTGGGTCTTTCGAAGGGTGCTGTTGAGGCGGCAGGGGTTGTGATCTTTAATGGTAGTCCGTTTGAGTTTGGACCCAAGGTTGCGGCTATTGTTGGTGGCGGTAAGCCGGGTATTGAGTGCAATCCACGCGCTTTTTAGGTATCCTCTCTTGTTTCGTTTCTGTCATAGTTGAAATAAAAAAACAATGATATCTTATACATACTCCACGTCCCCCAACTCGAAGCGCGTTACATTCACTGGCATGATGGCGCCTTGCCAAGAGTGACCATGAACTGGTGAAAAAATAAAAGAGTCGCCATACAAAAAAAAAATATCGCTCGCCCACGCTAGGACTCGAACCTAGAACTTTCACCTTAGGAGGGAGATGGAATATCCATTTTCCCACGAGGGCGTGATTTGATAATATCGCGAATTTCGATTTGTCTCTTTGTAGCACTGCTGCGCCACCAATTGTTCGATGAAATATGCGTGACTGGTATATGCTAAATAAAAATATCTAAAAAAACGTTTACATCAAGAAATCAGAAAGTTTGTATGGTGTAGTTGGTTATCACGTCTGTCTAACACACAGACGGTCCTCGGTTCAAGTCCGAGTACAAACACTTTTGTCCCGGCGGGAACCTTTTTTTTTTTTTTTTTTGAGCTGGCTGGCTGCTGCATCTTGATCGAGTGAGTAACCAAACGTTTCTCCTTTCTTTTTGTTCATAATGACAAGCAAAGAGGTATGATGAATTGAAAAAACTAGTCTCACGACCTTTTTGCTGTCTTTTCTTTTAGCAGTTGAAAGCGGATCGAGTGAAAGAAAAATGCTATCGAAAAAAAGTAGGGGGACGGAAGAAAGGTTTGCCGCTTCGAACATGTGAAATAGAAAACTCTCTTGTCCCTCCACTCCCTTCTCTCTATTTTTTTTTCTTGTTTACGGTTATCTCCACAAAGTTAACTTGGGCAGTCAGGTAGCATGGGCGAATTAGCCATACCAGTCAGGCACAGGTACAAAACACAAAACATAAACAAATCAAACGATAAAATTGTTCTCTCTTGTTATTGTGTGCTTTACAGAAACAAAGAAAGTGCGGGGATGATCGATCCATTCTGGAGTAGAGTTCTGAGAGGTTCTGTGTTCTTGTTTTCTAGCGGTTTATCGTTTGTGCAAGCGAAGAGTGAGAAATAAAAGTGGGGTGTGTGGGAAGGGGCTCCACTCTGTGTTTCCTTTTGTTGACCACGGATGGAGTTGGGATCGACTATCGGGTGTCGATTGGCCCTCCCGAAGGCATTGTTTTACTTCAGGGCGTTGTTCAGGAACAGAACTGTTTCCTTGGAGCCGATTTTCTCTTTTAATTCTTGCATCTTGCTATGTGTTGTCCCGGTTCTACCCATTGGGCGCTTGATCCCTATTGGCACAGTTATGCAGCTAATTTGTAGAGAATGTCTTGGAAAGGCTATGTAGGAGTGTGGCGATGGACAGAAGGTGCATCAATTGGTCTGAGAGGAGCACGAACGGGTACACGAAAAAAAAGAGTAGAAAAAATAAGAGAGATGAAATATAAAAAAAAGGGCAGGGACACATAGTTGAATTGATGTCTGGGTTCCAAGTCAAACGGAGAGAAGAAAGTCCAATCGGGCGACGAGGATGGAATTGAAAAGGTCGTCCGTCCGTCCCTGTTTGGTGGATGCCGAGACAAGGAAGAAAGAAGTGAAAGGACGAGCGAAGAGGGGGAAGCGAGAGAGTGTAGAGTAATGAACTGACTGAGTAAAAGGTTTTAGGGTTCAACAACAGAAGGGCAGGGCATATTTTATTTGTTTGCACATGGATACAACTAAAGCTTTAGTGAGTCGTGCCTGAATCCAAAAGAAAAAAAAAATCATCAAAGAGGAGAGTAAAAATAAAAAATATTGCGTACGGAGGTGGAGTTGTTTGCTCAAAGTGGCAGCGGCTTGCTTGCGGGGTTTTGCGGGGTCGCTCATCGTGGGATTCCCTTACGCGGTCTATTCTTGTGTGCTTTCCTGACTCGAGAAGGAGTAAGGGTGGACGAGGGATGAGTGCAACTATGGAAGAAGGGGTTGTCTGAGGTGGAGAGTGTCGAACGTGGAAGGAATTGAGCGAAAAGAGAATGAAGGGTGAGTTGTGTTAGTGGTACCACAACAAGAGGGCAAAAGGTGTGTGTCAGGTATAAGCAAGCACAAGGTGTTTGGAAGCAGAGCAGAATTGCGCACATGTGGGTTCCTTGACACGCCCCTGTGCAGGGCAGGAGGGTCAAGGAAATAAAGCCAAATAATTTGATGACTGACTGACTGACTGACTGACTGCCAGACACCAACCAGTTCGCGCCCCTGTGCCCAGCCTCGACCCGATCTTTCGTCTTTTCTTCATCTCCTTTTCTCATTTCTTTTCTTCTTTTCCTTCTTTTCCTCTTTTTCTTCTTCTCATTCCCTCTCCTCTCTCCATACCCTCCTCCTTCCATCACAAAACTCTCACAATGTTGGCTGCTTCCTCAAGATCCATCGCCCGTGTCGCCTTCACCCGCGCCACCCTCCGCCCCACCGTCGCCATCGGCGTTCGCTTCTCCTCCGTCTGGACCAACGTCCCCATGGGTAAGCTTCCTCTTTTCTATGTTTTCATCGGGAACGGTGATCACATTTGAACGTCAAGGGTATCTACTCTCGAGGAGGACACGGCATGTTGTGGACAAATCATCAGGGAGATCAAACACGCATAGAAACTTGGACGGGACCAGCCAGGGCGCAAAGCAAAGGAGTAATGAGCGATGAGCAGGATTGGATTTGTGGTTTATCTCTTTCAAGCACTCTTGAACGCGATAACGATCTAATATTCCCCACACATAAAAGGAAAGGCGGTTGGGTTGTTTGTGTATCCACATAAAACAACCAACGGCAACATGAGGAGGAGGAGGAGGAAGAGGAGGCATGGCCAGAAAAGGCACAAAGTGGGGAAGAGCGGGAACGCGGGTGAAGATAAATAAAAAAGTGAGCAGAGTAGCAGAAGGAGAGGGAGAGATTGATCAAGATCGAAAAAATAAAAAAGAGTCGGCGAGTTCGTTCACAGGGGAGTAAGAGGGCGTCGCTCATTTTTTATCTTTTTCTCATCTCTTCATTCTGGATCATGGATCGTGGAGACGAGGGATGAAGGGGAGAGAGTGGGTAAACAATCATTCGTGCCATTCATGGATCATGGAGGAGGAAGGTGGAGAAGGGTAAACAATTAATCGTCCTTGCCTAACTTTATAACATCCATACCCCTCGAGGTGTCTCGTGGAGGAGAGGACCAATCATTCATGCCTGACTCTACAACGATAACAACGGCTGTACTTTTGCATCCATACCATTCATACCGTTCATACCGCTAACGCTTTCTCCATTATATCCTCTTCTCTCCTCTCCTTTTAAATAGGTCCCCCTGATGCCATTCTCGGTGTCACTGAGGCCTTCAAGAAGGATACCGACCCCCGCAAGATGAACCTCGGTGTCGGTGCCTACCGTGATGATGCCGGCAAGCCCTTCGTCTTGTCCTGCGTTCGCAAGGTACTACTTTTATTCACACGCAAACAGAACACAAGCAAGGAGAGACAAGAGTCCGCAATGCTCGTCGCTTGTCACTTTGACTCCTCACCCTGAGTGTCAAATGATCAGCCTTGGTCAGAGGGAAATGAGAGTGAAAGAGTGACAGGGAGAAAGGGAAAGAACAGCGGCTGTTACCAATGCTTCGATTCTAACACAATGTACAACTTCTCATATCGGAAATAACACTAGGCCGAGGCCAAGATTGCTGCTGACAACCTTGACAAGGAGTACGCTGGAATCACCGGTGTCCCAGAGTTCACCAAGGGAGCTGCTATCCTCGCCTACGGCGCTGACAGCGCTCCCTTGAAGGAGGGTCGCGTAAGTTCATTCTTCATTCGACTTCACGGAATACAATCATAACAAGCCAAGCAAGCAAACAAGCATGTCGTGAGTCATGGATTGACGATTTTTTTCTTTCGATTTCTTTTTAATAGGTCGCCATTACCCAGACCATCTCCGGTACCGGTGCTCTTCGTGTCGGAGGTGAATTCTTTGCCCGTTGGTTCCCTACCTCCAAGAAGATCTTTGTCCCCACCCCCACCTGGGGCAACCATATCCCAATCTTCAAGGATTCCGGCCTCGAGGTCAACCACTACAAGTACTTTGACAAGAAGACCAACGGTCTCGACTTTGCCGGCATGGTCGCCGACATCAAGGTAACGAACGCTTCACTTTTTCATTATCTCTCAACCCGAAAGTGGACACCCGATGATACCCCGACCCGACTTTTATACGTTACCACATTCCCTGCAACAGTGACGCTGATACACATGTTGCGCATGGAACGTTTTGTTAAAATAGGCCGCCCCCAAGGGTTCCATCGTCTTGTTGCACGCTTGCGCGCACAACCCTACCGGTGTCGACCCCAGCCAGGCTCAGTGGGATGAGCTCTCGAAGGTTGTCAAGGATGCTGGCCACTTTGCCTTCTTCGACATGGCCTACCAGGGCTTCGCCTCGGGAAGCACTGACAAGGATGCCTATGCTCTCCGCAAGTTCGTCAAGGACGGCCACTTGGTTGCTCTCTCCCAGTCCTTTGCCAAGAACATGGGTCTCTATGGTGAGCGTACCGGATCGTTCTCGTTGGTCACCTCGTCTGCCGAGGAGAAGGCCCGTGTCGACTCTCAGATCAAGATTGTTGTCCGCCCCATGTACTCCAACCCCCCCGTCAACGGAGCCCGCATTGTCTCGACCGTCTTGAACAACCCTGAGTTGAACGCTGAGTGGTTGGGAGAGGTCAAGTTGATGGCCGACCGCATCATCACCATGCGTGCCCAGCTCAAGAACCACCTCGTCAACGACCACAAGTCCAAGGTCAACTGGGACCACATCACCAACCAGATCGGTATGTTCTGCTACACTGGTGTGACTCCTGAACAGGTTGAGAAGCTCAAGAACGAGCACCACGTCTACTTGACCAAGGATGGACGTATCTCTGTTGCCGGTATCTCTAGCCACAATGTTGCCTACCTCGCCAAGGCCATCCACGAGGTCACCAAGTAATCATTTTTTTTCCATAGTTGCTTTTTCTCTTGTTCATATTCAATCAAATACACTTTACCCTTTTTTCATCACATCACCGTTTCTCTTTTTGTTTCCCTTGTATGATAACATGGAGTGGTGAATGGGGTTGCCAGCCAACCACCGGGGTCTCTGAAGACACCCTTGGGTAATGGACTCGGTATCCTGGATGTTGGATCATGTCACCCATATCTCACCAGAAGAAAAAAAAAATTCGTGGCAAATCCACGTGATGGGTGTGTGGGTGCATGAGCTGAAACACGAAAAACGCGCCTAATAAAATTCGATCGATGACAACGACGCGTTTCGGCTATTCCATAATGTTACAAGTTTTTTTTTTGTTTGTTCGTACTTGACCCAATTGGACTTCACGAAGCGAGTCGATACTGACTAGATACTGAGACTTGACGCAGTGAGACGAGAAGGAAAAAAAAAATTGCGCCGCGCCTCAAGGAATGGTAAGCAGAGTTGACGTCAACCAACTGAGGGACTGAAGAAAAAAAATGTATAATATAAGTCGCTTTCCCCACATTTTTCTTCTTCAACTCTTCCTCTCCAAACCCGCAACTCGCTACCTTGGTCCATCATCGACTTTACACCAATTTAAGTTCCCATCCTACCTTAACCACTACACTAATACTCTTTCCACAATGGCTCAAGGCGCGTCTCTCTTCAGACTCTTGAACTTGATCACCTGTAAGCTTTCACATCCACTATTTGTCAGAGTTGCAAGTGTGTCCATGCATCCGAGTTCTCACAAGCATGATACTAACCACACCTACCTCTCTCTGGCACACCTTTTTCATTCTTTGTTGGTGCTGCACTTCAATTGGGTCATATTTTGCATGGCGCGACATAACTATCATGACAAAACCGCGCACAAAAAAAACCCAGCGATCTTGATCATCCTCGGTGGTATCCTCCTCTTTGTCATGCTCGGATCATGGAACTCTGGTATCCTCGGAGTCTTCGTCGTGTAAGTTCTCTCATTTTCCTGCCTCCTCAGCCTCCATGTTATTACACTGTGCATGTACTTTTATGTAATAAGGCATTGGAGTGTCCTAGCGCCCAAAAAAAAACTAAATGAAAATTTCTCTTTGCGCCACCAATTTTTTTTCCATTCAATCTATAGCCTTTTCGGGCTGTTGACCTTCTCTTTGGAGTTCGTCATCCCCGAGTCGATCGTCTATAATATGGGATTCATGTTCTCCCTCCTCGGCCGTGGTGTCTGTAAGTCATTTTGCCACTTTGCATGTCATTTCAATTGCGACCGTTCATACATGCCACGTTCAATGTCACAGCAATCGTCTAACACTTTCCTCCCTCCTTCATATCTCTGCTATCTTCATACATGATCTCTAGTCTACATCAGGCAAGTATCCTATCTTTCATCTATCCATGCATTCAAACCGTAACCATCCACACCCAAAGTTAACAACCCCCCGCTCGCCTCTCCCTCTTCTTCTCCATTCATCAAACCCCTTTCTTTTAATAGCATGGGATTGTTAAGCCTCTCCTGGAAGTGGTTCAACATCCTGGTCGGATGCTTCATCATGGTCGTCGGTTTCTTCTACGTCGCCATGCATTTCGTCGGCGCTACCCCTTCGCCTTCCATGTCGGCCGTCCCAAACACTTCGAGCAACAACCTTAACCCTGGTACTACCTCTGGTTATTCCTACACCAACCCTACTACTCAGCGTGAGGAGGACTTGCAACCTAACATGACCGAGAACTACCAAGACCAGACCCACTAGAAAAAATGATGGAGGAGGAGGAAGGGGGAGGGGGGGGTTGTGTAAAAACTTCTGAGAGGGCGCATCTTGTTTCGTTGTCTACAGTTTTTATACGCTCACAAGCTTCTTTCTTTTCTGTATATATGTTTTTTTTTTTTTAAATTCTCTATTAATTGTTGACAGACCAGTGGTGTTTTTGAGTAGATTCCCTTTGAAAAGACACAGCTTGGGAGGATGCATTGTCGTTCCCCATAGCATATCCTTCCCTTCCTTAGCTAGACCCTACTCTCTTTTTTTTTTTTCAAGCACTTCTCATTAAAACAAGTCCATCCTGTCGTTCTCCCATACCATTCCATCGTCTTTTTTGTTTTAACATGTTTTTTTTTATGTGAATGAGTAGATAAAAAATGAATAGTATGTTCTAAAAGCTCGCCCTTCTCTCCTCGTTCCCCTCCAAAAGAAATTAAACAACTTCCTTCCCCCCCCTTCAAGACTTTGCAATCTTCTCACCAATCTTGTTGACGACCTCCTGGGCAGCAACAGGGATACGAGTACCGGGACCGAAAACCGAAGTCACACCAGCATCAAACAAGAACTGGTAATCCTGTTGAGGAATAACTCCTCCACAGATCACCAACTTGTCCCCGGCACCTTGCTTCTTCAATTCTGCAATTAATTGAGGCACAAGCGTCTTGTGACCAGCAGCCTGGGACGACACACCAACAACGTGGACATCGGCATCAATCGCCTGACGGGCAACCTCGGCGGGGGTTTGGAAAAGAGGCCCGACATCGACATCGAATCCAAGATCGGCAAAGCCAGAGGCGATCACCTTTGCACCACGATCGTGACCATCCTGACCCATCTTGGCAACAAGCAGACGAGGGCGACGACCCTGATCCTTCAAGAACTTCTCAACCATCGAAATCGTATCCGTCACATCGGTACTGTCACCATACTCGGACTTGTAAGCACCCGAGACAACACGGATCGTGGGCGAGTGGCGGCCCCAGATCTGCTCCAATGCGTCCGAGATCTCGCCGACAGAACATCTCTCTTTCGAGGCCTCGACGGCAAGGGCGAGCAAGTTGCCCTTGCCGGTCTTGGCGCACTCGGTCAAGGCATCCAAACAGGCCTGAGCCTTGACGGAGTCACGGTTCTTGCGCATGTCATCCAATCGCTTGGTCTGACCGATTCTGACGGCCGTGTTGTCAATCGCCAACACGTCAATGGGATCCTCCTTGGCCAATCTATACTTGTTCACTCCCACAATCGTGTCTATTCACAGATTCAAAACAAAATGTTAGCATCTTATCCTCGCTCATCTTCAGGACCGCGTTTGTAAGTTCAATCATGGCATTAACACGGGTATGGCTATTACCTTGACCAGAGTCGATACGGGCTTGCTTCTTGGCGGCAGACTCCTCAATCCTGAGCTTGGGCATACCACTGGCAACAGCCTTGGCCATACCGCCCATAGACTCGACTTCATCAACAATCTTCTTGGCCGCATCGTACATATCATTGGTCATCGACTCCATCATGTAAGAACCACCCCAGGGGTCAGCAACCTTGGGGATGAAAGCCTCCTCCTGCAAAATCAGCTGGGTGTTACGGGCAATACGGGCAGAGAACTCGGTTGGCAATCCGATGGCCTCGTCAAAGGCGTTGGTGTGAAGAGACTGAGTTCCGCCCAATGTTGCTGCCATCGCCTCGACCGTTGTGCGAATAACGTTGTTATAGGGATCCTATTATTATTTTCATTTCACAGAAATTGTTCGGTTAGGAATACAACCCATTGGGCCAATCCTAGCCAGAGAACAACAAACAAAACGCAAGAAAAGGAGGACGAACCTGCTCGGTCAGGGACCATCCAGAGGTCTGACAATGGGTACGAAGGAGCAAAGACTTCTCGCTCTTGGGCTCAAACTTCTCCTTGACCATAACAGCCCAAAGACGACGGGCAGCTCTCATCTTGGCAATCTCCATGTAAAAGTTCATTCCAATCGCCCAGAAGAACGACAGACGAGGAGCGAACTGATCAACCGTCATTCCTGACTTGAGTCCCGTACGGATGTACTCCAAACCATCGGCGATCGTAAAGGCCATCTCAAGGACATTGTCGGCGCCGGCCTCTTGCATGTGATATCCAGAAATCGAGATCGAGTTATACTTTGGCATGTTATCGGCAGTGTACGAAAAGATGTCTCCGATGATCTTCATCGAAGGCTCTGGGGGGTAGATGAATGTGTTGCGCACCATGAACTCTTTCAAGATGTCGTTCTGGATCGTTCCCGACAACTCTGCCAATTTCGCTCCCTATTTTTCACACAAGGGCGCAACAAGCGTGAGTAAGTCATGAGTAAAGGTAAAGTTTGCTCCGTTTGCAAGAAAAAGTCGAATGAAGACGATGGTTTACCTGCTCGAGACCAGCAACAATGAACATGGCAAGAATAGGCAACACAGCACCGTTCATGGTCATGGAGACCGACATCTTGTTCAGAGGAATACCATCGAAAAGAATCTAGATACGATTTTAAGAATGCAGCGATTTAGTTATTCTTGTGTTCCTCTCGACAAAAGCCAGTTGCATGATCCCTTGCCTACAGATGCTATAGTTTGTTACCTTCATGTCCTCGACAGAGTCAATGGCGACACCAGCCATACCGACATCTCCCACAGCTCTGGGATGGTCCGAATCATAACTATACGGTTATCGCATCAAGGAGGAAAAAAAAGAAAAGTCGGGTAAGTTTTTATCCCAAGTCACGACCTTGTTTTGTTCGCTTTACGACGATTAAACCCGATCTTTGTCTCTTGTCCCTTGGTATAAACAACGAAAAAGTAAACGACAAAGAGATCCATGCGATTCACTCACCCTCTGTGGGTAGCCAGATCGAAGGCAACAGAGAGACCCTGCTGACCGGCAGCCAAGTTCTTGCGGTAGAACTTGTTGGACTCTTCTACTGTACTGAATCCAGCATACTATTGAATAATAAACAAAAAAGCGTGGGAAAGCAAGTTAGCAAAAATAAAAAATCCAACCCCAGCGGAGATTTTTGCCGTTTTTTTTTTTTGTGTGGGTGAATGGGAGGTCCACTCTTGCTCTTCAACATGACAGTCTGTGGGGAGAGAGGGAGGGTCGGTCCCGAAGCTGCTTGTGTTAAGCGTGTGTTGTTGGGTCCATCCCGCGTGAATCATGCATTTGCACAATGATCACTCTTTTCTACGAAGCAACATGGCACCGCTATCAAAAAAGCGTCTGTTCCTGATAGCTGTAAAAATCGGTCAAGGTCGTACCTGGCGAACGGTCCAGGGACGGGCTGTGTACATGGAAGCATAAGGACCACGAGTAAAAGGGAAAGCTCCAGGGATCTCATCAGGAATGCTCTTGGTATCAGCTTGAGTATAAACAGGCTTGATGTTGAGTCCCTCGGCCGTTCTCCAGGTCAATTGCTCCTCGGGGTCCTTTCCCTTGAGCTCCTTGGTCGCCATCTTGGCCCACTGTTCGTGAAGCGGCTGACGTGTGCGCTCAGTTGTGTATGCCTATTGACGAGAGACAGGTAAAGGCGGAATAGAATAGGTGTTATATGTCAGTTACTAGTATTCGTAGTTGTGGAGAAAGTGCGAAATGTGAAAGAAAGGCCAGCCGAAGGAAGTGAGTAGGATAGAAGTACCTTCTTGAGAGGAAGTCGCGTCGTCCAGCGGGCGGCGGGTCTGTTGAGGTTGCGGAGCGAAAGCATGGTGTTTGTTTGTGTTTATATGAAAGAAGGGAAAAAGAGATGGAGCCGAGTCCTGAAAGGAAAGAGGGATGAGCGAGGAGAGGGTGTGAGAGTGGGGAAGGAAGCGCTCAGGCGTAAAGAAGGAAAATAAAAGAGAGCTGGAATAAGGGGTCCTAGGAGAAGAAGGATGAAGAGGGAATGGAGGAGAGAGGAGGGAGGTGAGGATGGAGAGTGGAGAAGGAAGGGAGGAGGAAGAAGAGTAAAGAAAAGAAAAGAAAAGAGAGAGAGAGAGGGAGAGAGAGAGAGGAGAAGCAGAGACGAGGAAGGAAAGAGGAAAGAGGGGAGAGCCGAAGCGGATTGTTTGGTGTGTGTACTCGGAGTAAGGGCACTTAATGTATGTGTCTGTCTGCACGAGTGAGTGTGCAAAAGGCACCCGTGTGAATGAATCGAATTTTTGTGTGCGGGGGAAGTGGCCCAGGACAACAGACAGGAGACAGGAGTGGGGGAAAGAGACGCGAGAAGTATAAGCCACAGACCGTGGTAAAAAAATGGACCTCCTCGTCCCTGATTGGCCAATTAATTTCCATTCTCCCTTCTTTTTCTCTTTTGTTTGACACTTACAACTGATCCATCAACTACCGCTACTGATATCATCGACGGCGATGGTGCCTGAAAAATATATCATATATTATATACTTTCTCGTTGCCTTGCTCTTATATCTACTTGGCTACTTGCTGATGCCAAGCGCTAGGATGTGCTCCTTCAATCCACTCAACTCCTCATCCTGCTCTGCCAAACAGATCAACAGGTCCTCATGCTCCTTCTCCAATGCCTCCTGACGCTCCTGCCGCACACGACCCTCTTCCCTCAACTCTTCCAACTCTCTCCATACCGCTTCATGCTCCCTTCTCTCGTGGGCCTACAATCGACATTAAACAAAAAAAGACACATGATTAGAAACGCAGGTCTGAAAATAAAATAGACAACGGCTCAACCAAAATAAACAAGAACGCACCTGTTGAGAAAGCATACGGTAGGCCTCGTCAAGTTTCGCCCTCAAGTCTGCCACCTCAGCATCATGCCTAGCCCTCAAACCAGCCACCTCAGCTTCATGACTCGATCTCAAGTTAGCCACTTCAGCATCATGGCCTGACTTCAGGTTCGCTACTTCACTATTCTGTGCCTCAATCTTGGCCTGCATCGATGCCATCTGCGACTCTGTCTCTGCCTGATCCGAAGCCGACAGTCCTGCCAGAGGACGACTCTTGTTAGGGGACACCATAATCGACTTTTGAGTGCTCTCTACAAAACATATATCACACACAGTATTGTTAGTTCATACATAGGGCCGTTTTCATATCGTAGATACTAATATACACACAGGAAAAAAAATAATTACCAAAGGTGCGCTTGAGAAACTCAACAAAGGAGTAGTCAAAGTACAGATCAGGCAACCTTCCGCCACCCTCTTCAGATGGAAGGACAACCATAAACGGCACAGCATCCTTGAAGGGCTTAGACTCTCGTACGCGAGTAATACACGCTGCAAAGTGGTCAAGTCCAATGCGGCTCAAGATAATGGGCTGGATCGTCGCACGGGTGATAAGAGCGTCCTGTTCCCAGTTGTACTCATAGCAAATTCCAAGCAAGAATGCTGCCAGTCCTTGAACCATTGGATCTTCCTTCGACGACGGACTAATCAGCTCTATCAACTATTCACCATACACATTTAACGCATTCAACTGTTAAAACATGACGATCAGATAGTAATGTCTCTCTGCATTTCAAAGACGCCTCAACAAGGACTTACAAACTGCAGGTGGACTCCTTCTGACAAAAAGTCCTTGATACTCTTGGGGCTATCGTAGCACCATACACAGAGGAGAGCCAGATATCCCAAAGCGACACGGGGATCAGACTGACCCTTGACAGCCACCATTAGAGCAGCAGCAATCGCATGAATCAAGGATACTGGATCCTCGCCTGGTATTGTACATACAGATACGAATGCGGGCGTTAGTTTCGAAAGCACCTCATATCAACATAAACCGATGATCCTGAGCAAAGGATAACCTACCATTTTCTTCGTCCCCGAAAGTAATTGCCAAGGCGATGGATTTGGCCCGCGAGTTGTTTTGAAGAATATGTGAAAACAGCACTGTCGCAAACCAGCTGTTATACGGATCTGTCACCCCCGTCTCGTTATCTTCCTGCCATCCTTGCAATGCCTCCAGCAACAGTGTTCCTGGCGACTGTGGTTTTTCTACAGAAGACGGCGATAAATTATGGCCCGGTTATATACGATGAATAAGAATACCAGTTTTGTGCACATGAGGGTGTCGAATTGACTCGCATAAGCTTACCATTGGATGGAGTGTTGGGGTTGTCATCTGGCGGTGGGTTTAGGGTTGTGGCCAGCACCATCTGCGTGTCAGGGTTCTCCAGCACAAACGTCTACAATTGATAAAAAGTAAGTTAGCATTAGTTATCCCCTACACTTCCATAAAACAATTGAGTAATCCCCACTGCCAAACTATAAGCAGCGACTCTTACTTGGAAGAGGCAGGTGGCTGCGGCTCTGACAGAGTAAGTGCATCCAGGGTATTTCCCAACAGCAATAGCAACGACTTCAACAATAGCCGGACACCGCTCCCGCTGTTCGAGTGGTCGATGATCTCCAATGGCCGAGTTGCGTCCAGACTGAAACGATGAGCGAGAAAGCTGAGCTGACGATCGACTTGGAGGCGTCAAGGACGAGTTGTGGGCTTCTGGGATAAAGACCGGTGGATGAGCGGGTATAATAACAGTTTTGGAAAGCGTATCCTGGTTCACATTGTTGAGTCGAATCAGCTCTGCCAACGCGTAGAAAGCACTAGCCTTAACACGCTGTGGGGCGTTGGAGGTCAGAGACACATCAATCAATAGCGGAAGAACCCCGCACTGGTACATCGATTTCTAATTGGGATGATTTCAAGTTGTTCGGTCAAAGGAGAGAAAAGGGCTATGTGAGTGCACCATCCATTTGACATTAAATTATAAATATCCAGCACGCTCAACAAAAAACCTGAAAGGATCTCGTACTTGGTTGGGAGTGGTGTTGGAATGGTCTGGGACGACCAGGACGCGGATGAGCTCCAAAACCATGATCATGTTGTTGCCCTTTTGATCCGACCAGACATCCTTCATTGATGCGTTATGTTTTCCATTATCGTCCAAGATCTCTTCGTTGAACAGAGCCGGGATCCTCTGAATGCAGCTCGTCTCACGGAAATAGTTCTATGACAGCGAGTGAGCAGTAAAGGGTATAGGTTAGGCACCGACATCCATCCATGAAGGGCTCCTTTGTGTCCCGAGCAGTGTCATGTCGTACTCGTAAAGACGTACCACCGTACCTGATTTGAAACATTGTATCGTAAAAGGTTTTGCACAAGTTGAAGACAGTCCTGGACAATGATGCCTCCAGAGATAGCACCTTCCTCGTCAATAATCGCCAATAGTCTCTCGAATGCATTCTCAAACGCCACAATCTTTTGAAGATCCGCATTCGACTCTGTCAGCGAGATCAACAGCAACAGGCCCTCTAAAGAATAATGAAGGAGATGAAAGGGTATAGCGGGGTCAACAGCGAGGTCCAGAGGCAATTGGAACGAAGGCGGTTGTCAATGTGCTAGTTCTCACCATTGCGGATAATCTCGCGGCGATCGTCCAGGAGCGCCATCAGCCTCGACATTCCCATGGGTGAAGTGAGGATGGATTCCTGAAGGCGATCAGTGTTGCTCAGGACCAGTGTGGCGAGGAGTGATACCACGTGGAATCGCACGTAAAAGTCGTATTCCTCCAGCATATCCAGCAAGACTGCCACGTTGCTCGCATCCTATCGAAGACATGGAATATATGCTGTCAATTGGCTTCCAAGGAGGTTTATCAAATTGCTATTGACCACAATTAACTTGTAGTGACTCCTGCAAGTCGCTCACCTCGAGGATAGCTTTTGAAATCTCCAGGGCCAAATCCTGTGCTTCTTCACGGTCCTATTGATCGTCAAAGGTTGCGTGCAAGGTTATGATTAGCCATTGGGCTGTCAATTTGGCGACAGACTAAGGCGCCTTCGAGTATGTATAAGGGGTAGGCAGTTACCGACTCGGGTTGACATAACACTGTCAATGTCTCCAGAACGGCCTTGGTGATATCGATATCGGCATTGTCCTGATGCAACACCTTGCAGAGGACCTTGGTACCCCTTGCACCAATGTCCTGAAGAAAAATAGCCACCAGAAAGGAATACAGAGGGGTTCATTGAAGTAAGTAGACGTTTCTTTAACATTGTCAAGGTGTTCCAGGTGCTATCCTTGGCTCATCCGCCTGCCATTCTATTGTTCATTCCTAGACGCGTTCCAACATGAAATTCATCACCATGCGAGACAGAGGAAACGAAGGAAGCATCATTACCCGCCGATGTTCTCGGGAGCACGACTTGAGGGTGAGAACCGAAGCACGTCTGTCCTCGAGAAGAGTCGCATGCTCGATTCTGTCGCAGAGCCTGTCGATGGTCTCGGACCCAGTCTGGTGCTGCCCCTTCTGGCCTCGAAGGGTGTTCAGCCCACTTGCGAAAAAGTTCATTGTGTGTCTCCTATTTTCCTGTTGTTCAGTTGGCGATGGTCTTCTTGGCTGGTGTTTCCTTCCTGAAGTTTAGTTGTAGTAAAAGTGTTGTGTGGTGATGAGATATGGAGGAATGGATGGTTTGATGACAAGAGGAAGAAAAGAATAAAGAATGTAAAAACGAAAGAAGAAGAGTGAGAAGCGAAAAAAGCGAATGGAGGTGTGACAAGAAAGAGATGAGGAGGCTCAGGTTTCTTCTTTGTGGCTGGCTGCTATTTTATTTCAGTCTGTTCAGTCTGTTCCAAAAAAAAGGGCAAAGGGTAAACGTGTCATGTGGATGCTACGACTTGACCTTGCGCCCTTCTGGAGCCTTGGCGCGGCCATGGGTCGACGATGCTCCAGCTCCGCATACTATCAGCACGCCAAACAATGCCATAATTGCTCCGTCGTGGATCCAGCCCGCATACGACGCCAGTGTCATCAGATCATATTCACCGTCATACGCCCAGGGCATCGCTTGCTGCACTGCTCCAATCGGCCAGTCTAAGTCGCTGTATCGATCGTCGAGCGGAACTTCCTGGCAATACTCAATGCTTTTTCTTGAGGTCAGGTCCAGTGCACCAATGCAAGAGTCGTTCATACCAACTCCATGCTCTGGTTTGCTCATTATAGCCCAAGCCAAACTCATGACTCGCAGCGACAGCAACATCATTAGGATATACTATTGACAATACACAGCAATTGTTGTTGGTTATCATCATTGAACGCGAAATGCACAATAGAAGACTGAAAGGCAAACATAAAGGAGAGCCTTACAGAACAGATCTTGTCTAGTGGAGTCGGTTCAAAGGGATCTTTGGACTTGACGGCATCGGCTGTTTTCTTCTCGGCGCCCTTTGTTGGTTTCCGGTTCCAGTACCGCTGCAAGGCGCGAGACTCGTCCAGAACCCAGAATGCTGTTGCATGAAGCAGAGCGATCGCAAAGACATGATGACTTGCCCACAGCAGCTTATCCAACCACAGACCATCGGGCTATCATCACATATATGTAGGTGTAAAGCGCCAGAATTAGTAAATGTCAAGTCAAGCGCACCTTCTACCAGGTAAAACAAATGCCATGAAAAAATACCTTCAATAGTGAGAGAACACGGCAGATCAGAATAGAGACCAGCCAGCGCCTTGCCATGCGCTTCTTAAGCATCAGATTCCTGGCATCAATCGTACGCGGCTCTTGCTTCGGTGGCAGGTAGTCGTCCACAATCTTGACGACGCCGAAAAAGTTGTCTTCCAGCCCTGTCTCTGGCTCAGGTGGGAAGTATGTCTGGGCTGCAAAGGCTTCCCGACCGTCGACGGTCCAGCTGTCTCTGGCCTGGTTGGATCGACCCATAGCGGAGAACGAGTTGCTAAACAAGTCCGAATCCGAACCAGCATCCCGACGACGTTGTCCAAATGCACCTCTCCGAGCATTGTTATCGTTGTCTTCATCGTCATCATCGTCTCCTTCCATATCAACATCTGCGTTCCTGGACAGTCCTGAAGGTCGAGAGGGCTGGCCGCGGCGGTGAATCTGATCCATCCCAAAGCTACTCGAACTCGTCTCCGCAGGCTTTCGAAACGCCCAGGGTTCTGACTGGCCTGAATCGGATTGGGAACGATGGGCAAAGAGGTTCTCAGGTTGCTGGAACTTGGCCGAGGGGAATCCCAGCATTTCTCCAAACGAAATATTGCCGAGACTCATATTGGTGATCAGAGATGGATTGGCGAGTGGCGATGGTTCATAGGCCCTTGAGCGGAACTTGTTGTCGTTGTTCCTGTCATTATGATGGGTTGAGGTATGTGAGGTATATGTATTTGCTGAATCCTGTCCTAGGCCGGCCATGCCATACAGGAAGGGGTCATCCTGGGTCGTCCTCTGACTCGAGTCTCTGTATGTGCCAAACATTGCAGGCAAGCGAGTTGGTGGTGACGACACCGGTTTTTTGGGAGACCAGTTCATTTGGTTAGCATCCTGAGAATCCGATTGCGATCCCGAATAGTCGGCCCAGCTAGGGCTTGGAGACGCAGCGAATCGATTAGTGGGGTCTGAAGCCGTCCGAGACAGGGCTGGAGGGCTAAACGATCGATTGACAAAGCTTCCTTGCCTTGCAGCCGCCAACGAACGCTAATTGCGAAAGATACGAAGAGTTCTCGTTTAGTGGAAGGAAATAAAATAGTAACAATCAATACAAGCGATTAAATGTTTTGCCTGTGACATCTTACATTGGGTCTACTGTCAGAACGAGTACGCTCGTTGGTGGATGGTTCTGGTGGTGGTGACGAGGGGACGGAGGGTGAGAATCTAAGCTCGATGGGATCCAGCGCTTGCCGTCCTGTAGAGAACGCCATCAAATATGCGGCATGAAGCAGCACTAGCACACCGTAGCCGACAGTCGATTCCTGCCAGAGTCGTTTGGAGTACAGTGCCATGAACTGGAATACTAAGAGCGGGAGCGCAGCTCTTTTTGTCCATGAATGGTACCATCGCGTCCTGATCCGTGCCCTCGGCGACCTCCATCGCATCAGCTGTAAGGGGTCCCAGAAGAGACTGGCAACAGAGACAAGGGTCAATGCTAAGAGTAGAAGCATGCGATACTCGTGTTCCTGGAGATCCCGAAATGGCCGTCCGAATGTTGATGCCCAGGGCCAGACGGAGGCAATGTTGACTTTAGAGATTGTTCCTGTAATGGAGTTGAATGTAGAATGTCCTGCTGAATATCTCCGTTGCCGCAAATGTTCAAATGGTCCAATGTTTGTAAGATGGAGCAGTACTATTTCGTTGTAAATAAATGTGTGTTGGTTATTGATCTAGGTATAGATAGAGCGGGTACAGCATCATCTTACAGCGTATTTCCAACGTTCTTACCTCCAAGCTCGACGGCTATCCATGTAGCATGAGAGATGATCCAACTTGCGCCTGTCAGCAACCAGAGTGCGTCTGGGTATTTCCTGGTCGGGCTGATACGGTCTCCACGACTCTTACTCAGCGTTGCGTTCAGCAGAGATGATTTGATCCGGTAATTTTGTTGAGAGAGTCTCCGCTGGACTCTGTCGAGGCAGTCTGAGCAAGCTAATGGATACCGTTCCTCTACTTGCCGCCGATATGCATCCGCGTTCTCAAAGAAGGCCTCGTAGTTTTCATCCTAGATCAAATGTAGTCCAGTCAATACACGATGTAGTGCACAAAAGGATGATCTGGCTTTTCTCGGGTGGGGTCTGTCCACTTACGTCTTCATCGGGTATGTAGTTGCTCAGCAATTGATATATGACACGCTGGTTGCTGCTGCATTTGTCGCAGAAAACATCATCCTGTGAGCTTGATGGCGTAGATCCATTAGATCTTGCCCGATTCCTTGACGTCCGGCTTCGAGCTATAGCAAGAATGACGAGCAACCGTTGATATGTATGATTAGATTCAACGGAGGTTCAGGGGGGGGGGGGGGGGGGGTACTTTGATCGATACCTCTTGTTGAGAGCTGTTCTTCCAAGAAAAAGGCACCGTCATTTTGCAGGCGTTCATACAGATCAGAGTAACGATTGTACGCCCACGGGGATCCAGAAAAAAGATTGCTTACCAATACGCTCCGATGTGTCCTCGTTCAGTGTGCTATCAAACATCTCAGGCACCGATTCAATGTTGCCGTCCTAATCATAAGCACAATCCAGGAGTTGGGTAAATTAGAGGTTGCTTTCCTCGGTCCTTGACATTTTTCCTCTTCGAGGCTTGGCAACATCCCATGAATACTCTAGCAGCTTCTTGATTTCAAAAGTACCTTGTCTCGTCTTTGGTGGTTCTGACAGTTGAGGCAAGTCCAGTCATGAGGACTAGCGTCCCTTTGGCCGCGGTGAAGCCAGGAGGGGCGAAGACAGGACCAGCATTCGACCCGGATGGGCCGCATGAGGATGGTCTCGAGCCAGCCTGGGGGGTGGTTGATTGGCCTGAGGGTTGTTCCTGGGCGCGATCGAGGGCGGGCAGTGATGTCTTGGGTGGGTCCTTCTGGGAAGGCAGAGTTGAAGTGAGTTGGACCAGGGCGGTTCCTCTGCATTGTGTCCTGTGTGATAGAGGTGTGTCGGTTTTTTTTACCGAGTTGTGTTGTAGATGCAGCGACTGAAATAGGTGGAGCACAGGAAGACACGCCTTGAATATGTCGCTTATTCAGTGTATCACATGACCCAAAGTTTAACGCCAACATATCAAGCTCACGCCTGTGCTCGGTCCCCTATTTTGATGTTGGATCACTCTTACTCTGTCTTGTTGCGCATATCTCGCCTTTCTTTTCTTTTCTTTTCTTTCCTTTTCTTTCTTTCTTTCTTTCCTTCTCTTTTCTTCACACCTTTACTCAGTACCTCCACACACACACCGCCCCCTTCATCCTATCTTATTCCTCACGCTTCAGTACCCTCCCCAGAAGCGACTCCTAGTCTCTCACCCTCCCCACTCCAACAGCCTTTCTTAAACCACAATGTCTGCCCTTCTCAGAAACCAAGCCTCCTTTGCCCGAGCCGCCCTGGTCTCCTCCTCTCGCGCCGCTACCATTCAAGCACCCCGCGCCGCTAACTTGCCTATGGTCACCCGAGCCCTCTCCTCCTCCAAGAACCCAGCAGCAGGTGGCACCGCCACCGAAGTCGAAAACCCCGACAGTAACAACAACAGCAACAACAAGGATTCCTCCAACAGCAAACCTCTTGGAAAGGTCAGTGGCATTGTCAACAGTATTCTTCATGGATCCGGTACCCTGCCCAAGATACAGAGTCAAGAGTCTTGGGGTGTTTCTTTGGCTAGAGGCAAATACGTCCACGAGCTCCAGAGTAAGCAAGCGTTCATATGACCTTTTTGTGTATTGCAGGAATTCTCGTGGTTGTGTATGTATGCTCGCTAACTGTTTCGCATTGTTGACATACATACATACAGGACACCGTATCCGACCCGAGCGATTTGACGACTATGTCGAACTTTTGTACGTACAGCATGCATTATTTTCGTTTTATGTCATGTCCACATAGGTTTGCTCAGAGAATCGTGGCGTGAGAACACCAAAGAACAAGTATCAATGCAAAGGAATCTCGTTCCTACGCGCGTCTTAGTCTCAAGAACCCCAACTAACAGTCGCTTTTCACCTCCCATTGGCGTCTTCCTTCTTTCTCTCATTCTTCTTCACCCACAACAGGTCGGACGTGTTCCCCAGGATTGTCAAGGAGTCAAACAATAAGATCCGTCTCACTGGAAGCTGGTTGACGGAAATCGGCGAACTCGACACTGCGGGCAAGTATATTTATTTTTCTTACACGCCCTATTTCATACCCTTGTATATTTGGGTTTGCATTGTTTTTGTTTATGTGTTTGCAGGGTGGGAGGGTGTTTATGTCTCGCAGGAAAGAAGGAACGGGAGATGGCGCTGACAAAGGGAAATGGGAACCAGGAATGACATAGACCCCATGACCCCATGACCCCATCCATCCATCCATATGCGATGTCATGCGTGTTTATATGGATATTCACGCGTTTCGTTGCATGTTTGGATTGGGATTGGTTTTGGATTTTGGGTGGGAAGTGTGAGAGGCAAATGACGGAGGTTTTTTTTATTTGCTGAATGAGCAATGCCAGGGACACTCATCTCCGTCTCTTTCTATCTTGCGTGTGTGTGTGTGTGTGTGTGTGTGTGTGTGTGTGTGTGTGTGTGTGTGTGTGTGTGTGTGTGTGTGTGTGTGTGGGGTGGGCCGAATGTGTGGGTGAATCAATCACACAAAAAAAGTTGTTGGTGGTGGGAGCGTCATTCGACTCGAGAGCACTTGAACTCAAATGCGGACAGCATATCGAAGAAGGAAGGAAGGACCCGTGTTCTTTTTTTATAAAGTTGTGTGGGAGAAAAAGTTGGGCAGCTCGTCACATCTTCGTAACATAGAAGCGTGAGTGTGGGGAAATGACAGGAGCGAACATCACGCCAACAAAAACTAACCTTGATGTCAACTATGTTCCTCTACCATCGACAATAGTTCACATCTGGGAGTTCGAGGGATACCTCGGTCATACTCAGGAGATGGACCGATTGCGTAAAGACCCAGTAAGTGGATCTTACTTCCTACATGCACGGAGCACCATGGCCCTTTACTCCAACACAAGCAAGTCTCGCGCTCTTCGTCATCGGCAATCTCTTCACTAATTCAGCTTCCGCTCGCACTCTTTGTACACTTCTTGCCTTGTTCGTGACAATGATAGACGTACCAAAAGTTCTTGAAGGACCTGCGACCCATGCTCATCAGCCGCGACAACCAGATCTGCCTTGAATTCGCCTTCTGGAAGTCTCGACCCCCAGTCGCCCTTGGTGGTATCTACGAGATGCGAACCTATCTCTTGAAGGTACCCCCCATTCAACCATTTTCCATTTGTATTTGCTGCTTCATCTCCTTGGAAACACGCACAACAATTTGTCGCTAACACACTCTCTTTATCCATGATCACCTATTAGCCTGGTAACCTTCTGGAGTGGGAGACAAACTGGCGCCGAGGTCTCGAGTGCAGACGCCAATTCTGTGAGCCCGTTGGAGCGTGGTTCTCTCAGCTCGGAAAGCTCAACTATGTCCACCACATGTGGAACTACCCGTACGTGTCATTCGCCAAGTAACACTTTGTTTTGCGGTTCATTACTTCAAATGAAGCGATTGGACGACTAACCTCGAACTCCTCTTTGAAACTCAATACTGAAATGAATAGTGATCTGGAGACACGCAAGAAGACGCGCGAGCAAGCCTGGAAGGTCGACGGATGGGCAGAGACCGTCTATAATACCGGTACGTAACTTTTGATCAGCATCAACCAGTACTTCATGACTGACCCTTCGTGTAGCAAAACATCATCTAACTCTGCCTTCTTTTTTCTCTTGCTCGGTCGGTCAATAGTGCGCTTGATTGAGAAAATGGAGGCCAACATTTTGCTCCCAATGGACTTTTCTTCGCTCAAGTAAAACATGGATTTCAATTCACGACAAAACAATAAACCTTCTCTACGGCATGGGATACCATCAATATTGGAGTTCAATGGCATAAGGAGGAGGTCGTTATCTTTTAGTGGTCTACAAAAAGAGGTATCGGTCGCAATGTATAGGTTCGTGGGGAAGGGGCACGACTTGACCGGTCTATGGTTTTGAAGGGGGAAAACAACAAAAAATAATACAAGAGGAGGCAAGAAAAAGGGCTCATTGCAGGAAGAAGAAAGAAGAAAAACGGAAAAAAAAATATGCAAGAAAGTAAGAAAGTAAAAGGAAATTGAAGTGGACGAAGAGGAGGGTGATTATTTCTTGTCTAACATCATGATGGAGGCATTTGTTGTCATGTGCGTGGATCCCAACTCAACCGCAGCGGGGGCCATGATGCGCTGCTGGAGCTCATACACAACCAATGCAATCGCAAACATGGGCTAAGTCGGAAACGATGTGACGAACAATAACAGCAGATGGTTAGTATCTTGTCAAACCCAAAAAAGGAGGGAAAAGAGGGAGGCTATCAGTCGCCTTTTTTTTTTTTTTTTTTTTTTTTGGTTGTTGGCAACTTACGGCGACGATGAGAGATCTTGGAACGACACCCTTGAACAGAGCAGCAGGACCCTCGTTCTTGACGATATGCTGGAAGCAGTCGACAATACCGCGGTATACAGGGTCACCAGGCTTGCGTGCGACCTGGAGTCTTGTCTTGATCACTATTCGTCGTGGTAAAAGAGGAAGAGTGATTCGAAAGATGAAAAGAGCAAGAAAAAAGGCGTCAGTGAATGAATGGATAGCGTCAAAAAAAAGAAATCGCTAATCCTGAGGCTAGAAAAGGCTTCAATCCTACCATCGGCGGGGGTAACAGCGGATGCACCGACGACACCAGCAACAAGTCCTGCTCCCAAAATGACAGAGAACGAAGTCTTTCCGTTCTCATCCGCGCCGTGGAGCTTGAGGAACGAGTTCAGAGGGAAAAAGAGAATCGAAAATGGCACATCTCTATTCAAAGCGAAAGGTAAGAGGATGGGTAATTGTTTAGTAAATTGGATTCAGTTCGGTGCAATGGCTCCTTGAAGCCGTAAAGTATTGCAACATAAATGAAGGGTAGCAGACGAGAAGTGTACCTCATGAGGGTGGCGGGGGTGCCGCGGTAGAGTCCGCGGAGTCCAAGGTTGCGGACGATGCCCATAGCAGTAGGACGCTGTTCTCCTGGGGCGAGCTTTTGAGCGCCGGCGACCTGCATCTGGATCTTGACGATCTCCATAGGGTTAGTGGCGATGACCTGACAGAATCCGGCGGTGGCACCGGCCAACATTCCATACTGGATCGCCAGCTTGTCCTCCGAGACATTGGTGCGCTCAGCCCAGTATTCGCGCGAAAAGTCGTTGACGGCCAGTTTGATGGCTTTTTCTGGGGTGATTCCGATCAAGTTGGGAACGATACCACGGTACAGACCGCGAGCTCCTTCCTTTGCGATGACCTGGCGGAAGCAATCCAGACTGTGGGATTAAATGCATGCATGGAGGTAATGGATGAAGAGGGAGAGGATATGATCATTGGTCAGCCAGACGAGTCATTTTTTTTTTCCTTTTTTCACTTTCCGGATCAGATCTTTTGGAAGGTGAAAAGAAGGGCTCATCTTGTTTATTTATGAGTGTCCTGTGAGAGTGTTTTGTGGTGTTGTTGCAATGGTTGTTATTTGCTGATTCCTGTTTCCTGTTTCCTGTATCCTGTCTTCCCGTCGAACGAACGAACGAACGAACGAACGAACGAATAGCAAGCAAATGTTCTCGATTGATGAATTGAAGAAAAAAAGGGTTTGTGTGTGTAGAGGTGTGAAGGTAAACAAAAGGAGGTATGCTCTAGAAAAAAGTTTTTGACTTTCATATATATCGAGTGTGGGTATCCCTGAGATATTTTTCTGCCGAATCGCCCACGATGAACAAAAAGTGGTTGTTTGTTACTCCGTTGTTGGGTGGTGAGTTGGGTTGAGTTGTGGAGAAGTAAAAGAAAAAGAGGCGCGCTAAACACAAATAAAAGAAAGACAACGACAAGGCCTAGTCTGGAAGACCGAGCTCATTCTTTTGTCTTTCGTCAAAGTGCTGTCTTGCCTTCCCACGCCTCGACTCCATTTGGCCATAGTTCTCCCCCTCTTTTTTGTTGCCTTTGTTCCCTTTGTTCCCTTTGTTCCCGTGGTTGTTCCTTGTGTCGGATAAAATGGACGGCTGTATCCGTGTCCCATTCGCTTGCTATTGCTGCTGAGTTATTCCAGACCCGAGTTGTGTTTTCGTCTGATTTTCCTCCTATGAGTCGTGAATGAGTGTTTATATCCTGATGATCGATCCCTTGATGAGCAAGAGAGAGAGGAAAAATAAAGAGGCAGAAAGGCTGCTTACCCTCCTCGGTACTGCAGCTTGCCAGCGACATCCTTCTTTTGATTCTGCAGTCTATCAGTTGACAAGGAAAGAGAGTTAAGCAAAGAAAGAGATGAGAAAAGATGACCTCTTCACTGTGCAATTGGGGTTTTTGTCGATATCAACACAAGAGCGCAATAACAATGGAAATGGAATATCACAACTGACCTTGTCTTGACCATGTCAAGAGGATAGACAATCAGCACACCGGTGATACCGGCAATAGCACCAGCAGCGAGCTTCTGTGCGAACCTACATTATGGAAAAAAAAGAGAAAGAAAGGAAGATTTCAAATGAGATGTCAGCAAAAGGTGGATGAGTCTCCTTTTGTTGTGACTCCATGAGACTATGATTGATTGTTCTTGTTTTGCGATTGGGGTTTCGCTGTCTTTGTCCGAGACTGCAAGCATGGGTGCAAGAAAGAATGAAAGCGAGAGAGAAAAAAAAAAAAAAAAAAAAAAAGAGTTGGAGAGTGGGTAGTTACTTGCTGGTTTTGGCGGCGTTGGCCTGTTCTTGTTGTGTCTGTGCCATGATTTGTGGTAGATAGTATTATGAGTGGGTATGTGGATGGAAAGGAAGGGAGAGGGAGTGAAGGAGGAGAAGGAGAGGATGGGAAAGAGTCAGAAGAAGAAGAAGAAGAAAAAAAAGAAAAGAAAACAACGACAACAAAAGAAAAAAAAGACACAGAGAGACGCGAAGTAAAGGGATGTGTCATTTTCATCCCTGTTCCCTGTTCCCTGTTCCCTGTTCCCTGTTCCTGATGGATGGAATTTTATTCTTTTTTCAGACAGACATTAATCAAGCAGTCAGACGGACAGATCAGATCAGAAATGCTCCACCTCGGATTCGATTCCTCGTCATGACCACCCCCATCATCACTCACCTGACCACCAGTATTCATTAATTAAACTTCTTCACTCCACTCCTTCCCTTCTCTCTCTCTCTCTCTTTCTCTCTCGAACGCCTCCTCTCTCTTCCCATCGTTCCTTCTCCATCCTAATCAACATCAAACAACCACACGCCACCAACTCCCAATACTTTCTTCTATCGCCACTAAAACTCACTCTCACCTTCTCCACTCACAATGATCTCTCCCTCTCCTCCCCACTCACCGACAGCAGCAACAGTAACTCCAACAACCTCCTCCTCCTCCTCCTCATTCGCACAAAGCACTCCAAAGACCTCAACAAGGACTCGCTCGACCCCGACCCCGATCCCCTCTTCATTCCTCATCGCTGCCCTCTTCCTCATCCTTTCCTCAAACAACGGCAACAGCTTGTCCTCTGCTTCTATCTTAACAGCGGCAAAAGTAGAAGCCTCGTCTCCTCTTTCTCCTCGCTCACTTTGCTCACAAGCCGCCCCTTCTCGATCGCGCCCACTTCAACTACAAGGGCTCTCTCGCCAGCAACGGCAACAGCGACCGAGGAAACAGCGGCTAGGGCAACAGCAACAGCAACAGCAGGAGCAAGGGCTACCTGTCAATGACTCGACAGCATTATCATCATCATCGTCATCATTATCATCATCATCATCATCATCATTTTCCGCAACATATCCTCCTTGCAACCAACAGCAACCACAACGACTAGTCGTTTCTTCGCCCGATTGCTGCTCCTTTACGACACAAGACCATCACCGCCGTCATCAACAGGTTACAACGCAACAGCAACACCAACGCCAACTCGCCAAAAGGCAAGTGCTCGCTGCAAGTGAAAACGACCAAGTCTCACAACAGGACACCAACATATTTCCGGCAAACTCCCTGCCCCTCGAGGCAGACACAGGCATTGATGGCTCTACCAACTCACCTTCAAACGCCCACAACCCCGGGGACCCTCCTAAAATGGCCTCGTCTGAAAAGGTCCTCTTTGCCTTTATCGCCATCGCCGTGGCCCTGGCCATCTTCATCCTCGGATTTTGCCTGATAAGGGCTAGGCGAAAGTCGGCCGCTGAAAGGACCCAATTGCCAATGCAGCAACAACAACCACAACCACAACAGCAACAGCAGCAGCAACAGCAACTACAAATGCAACATCGTCCTCAGCCCCAACAACAACTTCAACAGCAGCAACAACAACAACAACAGCAGCAACTGTCAATCCAGCCACAGCACATGCCATCGGACCACAACACAGCAACCCTTTCGACTTTTACTCGAATTTCTCCTGCAGGTCCAGAAATGAGCGCCCTCCTCTCGTCTGCTAAGGCAAACGAGTCTCGTGCTGGAGGGTTCAGTCTGGTCCGTCTTTTGACCAAGAACTCCAGCTCAGGAGGCACATCCTCCAAACCACTAGCGTATCAGTTCTCTCACTCTCGCAGCGGCAAGGATCCCTCTCTCCCGAAGACGCCCTCAACCCAATCATCGAACTACGACTATGACTGGGATCTATCCGACTTTAGCAAGGAGCGGACCAAGGACGGGTTCCCTGTCATCACCCTAACTTCGCCCACCTCTTCCGAAGTCTCGATCCCGTTTATCTCATTGGACGAGCAGTCTGCCTCGACATCCTCCTCCTCTGGCCTTTACCTCACCAACACCGAGTCCCGGTCATTATCCCCTCTCACAACTCTACCTCCAGCAATAACTACAGGAACATCAACAGAAAATCACTCTAGAGACGAAAACGGCAGCGCACCAACCAGCTCAACCTTGGCCCCTGCACCACCATCACCACAACAGTCCATACCCGAGCACATGTTACTCCATCCATCGTCGTCGCTCAACATTCGTCGTTCCGTGAAGCAGGAACCAGCACCACCGACTACGCCTCTATCGATGGCCGACTTCCCACCAACGTATGAGGAAGCCTTGGATTCGGCTGGCCCAAGCAATAGGTCTCCTCTCATGTCGCATCCCAAAGTCTCTAGCCCTTCGTCTCTTGCACCCACCAACAGCTCTCCTTCATACTCTGGGTCATCTTCGTCTTCACAGTCGCGGCCGCCTTATCCTGATGGCCTAGACACTACTACATCTCATCCGGACGCTTCGATCGAAGGAACTCAGGATGGGACGGTAGATCTAGAGACTGATCCGCTCGCAAGCCTGTCCTTATCTTACACAGCCTGATTTAACACTCTTCCAGTTCCTGGCTCAGGTCTAGATCAGCAAGCCTTTTGTTCAAGTTGCCTTTATGATATGTTTCGTTTCATAGAGAGAGAGAGAGAGAGAGACAAAACACGGATAAAAGGGGACTATCTAATAAAACGGTTATTTTGATTCTGAAAGAGAAAAAAAAACGATCGCCATGTCTCCTTTTTATGGTAGCACTGTGTATCGTTTCCTTTCCCTTGATATTTCTTTAGATTTAGGAGGGCGTATTGACCTGGAGAAACTTGAGATTCGATTCTCTATGCTCCATGCATTTGTTTGTTAGGAAAAAGCAAGGGCAAGGAGTAAAAGTGAAGGGCAGAGAGTAAAAGTGAAGGGCAGAGACGCAACACCAGACAAAAGGCAGACCTCGCTCCCTGGTACCAATAAACGGATGGAAGGTGGCACGCGGTTGTTTTGTTTCAGAGCGAATCCTGGGGTTGAAGAGGGCTGATGGGCTCTTGTTGGCCATGTTTCATCGTTAGACAGATCACCAGCGAATGTCGACGCGCAGGACAATTTCGGGGCGTAAAGGCGAAAAAAAAAAATATAGTGGAAGTGAAGGAGACCATGGAAGCGAAGGAGGAGGTACAAGACGTATGCAAAACGTCGGTGAGTGACTGAGTGAGTGAATAAGTGAACAAAAAACAAGCGACACCTGTTGACAACGAACAGGGTGCAGAAGGAGGTTTTTTTTTCTTTTTTCTTCCTTTTTTCTTCCTTTTTTCTTCCTTTTTTCTTTCCTTCTTTCCCGTTGTCCTTCCTTGACCTTCTACTTTCCCACCACCACCTCCAGTAAGTAAACCCTTACCTTTTTCTGTTATTCCAACCTGCATCATCGCGGAAGTACAATATCGCTTCCAAAAGAGAACAATCCCACAAACAAAACAGCCAAGCAGCATACAGTGATAATAAAAAGAAAAAAGGGTTGTTCTACGCTTTACCACTTGCTATATGCATTAGCACTTCTTTGTTCTTTTCTTTCTCTCCTCTTCCTCCTTCCGTTCCTTCGCCTCCCTTTTCTTTCTCTGGTCTCACCTCCCTGCACAACCACAATCTTTCCTGCCCGTTGTTTATGTGATGGCGATGAGCGAACACGAAGAGCAAAAAAGAAGCGAGAATACGTCAACGAGGTAAAGGAAACCACTTGATCTTAGCAGTGACTTTGTCGAAGGGAGGACTAACGGTTGTTACTGTACTTATCATTCTGTGGTATGACACGCACACAGCGTACTCTACACGAATTTTCATACTCGCTTGTCATGCCACAGCTCCTTTTTCTCTCTCCTTTCCCCGGCAGCATGGATAAAGAAGAGGCAGTAAGCAAACGAAGAAAAACAGAAAAGATGAAAAAAGGAGAAGATGGATTTAACTTTACTTTGTTCTAGTTCTCGCTAAAGTGCGAGAGTCACCATTTTGTTGTATTCCGTCATGGCCAAACCTCTGGGTAAACACACTTGTCTTTATCTCCCATTGCTGTTCATCCCATCCGTCCATATCTAAATACCTCATCTAGTCCTGGTCGTCATCATTGGCATTAGAGCTCATCCTGGCCATAGCTCGTTTCTTCGTCCACTGTTATTTGGTGAATAGGAGTGATGGGTTAAGAGTAAAGAGGCGGCTATAATCAATAGCATGGCTTAATGCCAATGCTTTGCTATGCAGTGCCCTTTCCACCATTCTCTCCTTCCTCTTCTTCCCCCCTCCCCTCCCACTTCTTGCGATAAACCGATCTCCTCAATCGGGACGACAATCTTTTTTTTTTGAGAACATAAAAGACCTGACCCATTTCGAACAATTCTTTCTTTTTCGTTCTTCCTAATATCCCTTCCTCTTCTCCTCTCTCCTCCTCACTCCTTTCTCTCCTTTGCCCATTGTCTTTGCCATCCTTTTACCTACCCATTACTCCTATATTCAAAGCAATCGACCCTTTTTCTTTTCATCCAACAACTACAACCGCCTCCACCTACTGGTTCATATTCTTTTCTATTATTGACAGACTGGCCGTCTTTTTTAAGGTGTGAATCAACTTTCATTCACCACGAATCAATTACGACCTCTTTCCTTTTGTCGTACTTTCCTATCTTGACTAACCTACTCGACCTCAACAAGTAAATGTCATCTAACCCACACTTACACGTATCTATCCTGACTACACCAAAAAACAAGTAGATATGAACGAAAAAACCGAGATCCAAACAGAGGGTCAACCTCCTTACCCACCTCCAGCAGCAGTACCAACAGGAGGACCAGCAGGAGCAGCCGGAAAAGAGGGCAAAGTTGGTAACGTGGAGATTGAAGAGCAGGTCCACCATGAACATGTCGAAGAAATCTCGCCAGAACTCGAGGCCCTCCTCCAGACAGATCCACTCCAAGGCCTTTCAGACGACGAGGTAGCAAGGCGCCGTGAGACTTTTGGCAGTAATGAGTTGATCGAGAAGAAGCGCCATCCTCTCCTCAAATTCCTGGGATACTTCACCGGTGCTATTGCCTATCTTATTGAGATTGCTGTCATTTGCGCTGCCGTCGTCGGTGTAAGTCATACGTCTTCATCTTTCCTTGGCTTGCTCTTCTCACTTTCCTTACTTGGGATTTTTTGGATGGGTTTTGTCTGCTGCTTGTTATCATTGCATTTTTCTTCTTTCCATCCTGTACCTTGCTTCCATTTTTTGTGTTTTTTGCTTCATTCTACTTTCTGAAGTCTGGAAAGCTAGCTTCTGGCTCTTCTGGGTAAGCAGGTTTTGTGCTCTCCGAGTTTTTATTCTTTCGTTTCTTGAGTATACTATCTTTCTGCTCTCCATGTCGGATGATTATATGCTTTTGATGGCATGTTATCGACAAGCCTGCTTTTACACGACGACAACTTTTTCTAAGAGCCAGACACCTCCTGGTATCTAATAGTGCGGAAAAGAGAGTTCATTTTAGAGCAATCCTGGTTGACGCGCAGGAAGGGACATGCGCGTGGAATGGTGGCACGTGCATAAGATCGGGGTTGATCTGAGATGCTTTGGATACTGTGCTCTCGCTGCTTGGGAAGCTTTTGGTGTTATAGCAACACGACCATGTACTGAATGCACAACCTAACGCATCCTTTTGTCTTCAATGCAAACAATAATAGGACTGGGCGGATTTTGGTATTATTCTGGCCTTACTGTTCATTAACGCGACAATCGGATTCGTCGAGGAGGCCAAGGCCGAGTCTGCGCTGGATGCTCTCAAACAGACCCTTGCTCTCAAGACTCGCTGCTGGCGTAACGGACACTTGGTTGAGCTGGATACTTCCGAGCTGGTTCCTGGTGATGTGATTGTCCTTCGTCTGGGAGACATTATTCCCGCTGATGGTCGTCTTCTTGGTATCGGCGCTACCGGTGAGGCCACCGAGGGTGACCTCCAGGTCGATCAGTCTGCCTTGACCGGAGAGTCCTTACCTCTGTCCAAGAACAAGGGTGCCACGGTCTACTCGTCCTCGATTGTCAAGCAAGGTCAACAGATGGCTGTCGTCACCAAGACCGGAGGCGATACATTCATCGGTCGTGCTGCTGGTCTGATGGCCGTCGCTACCGAGGAGGGTCACTTCCAAAAGATCATCAACCGTATCGGCAACTTTTTGATTCTCATTACCGTCGTCCTGGTCGTCATCATTCTCATCTACCTCTTGGTCGTCAACCGCGGCACTCCCGAGGGTGCCTTCAAGAAGGTTCTTGAGCAGGTTCTCGTCTTGACCATTGCTGCCATTCCCGTCGGTCTTCCCACTGTCATGTCCGTCACCATGGCCATGGGTGCCAAGGAACTCGCCCTCCGCAAGGTTATCGTCAAGCGTCTGACAGCCGTCGAAGAGATGGCTTCTGTTTCTGTTCTCTGCTCCGACAAAACCGGTACTCTGACCCTCAACGAATTGACCTTTGACGAACCCTACCTGACCAACAACTACACCTCGGAAGATATCCTCCTGTACTCGTACCTCGCGGCTGAACCCGGCGCAAACGATCCCATTGAATTCGCTGTCCGTACGGCCGCCGAGGAGCAACTCGAGATCCTTAAGAACCGTACCCACAAGCACGATGTCCCCGGCTACAAGGTCACCTCCTTCTTGCCCTTCAACCCTTCCACTAAGATGACCCAGGCCACTGTCATGGACTTGAACTCTCGGGAATCTTTCAAGGTCGCTAAGGGTGCCCCCCAGGTTATTATCCGTCTTGTCGGCGGCGACGATGATGCCGCCCGTGCTGTCAACGCTCTTGCCAAGCGTGGTCTCCGTGCCCTCGGTGTCGCCCGTACCAAGCATGGTTCTCTCGAGGAATACGAGCTCGTTGGAATGATCTCTTTGATTGACCCCCCTCGCCCTGATTCTGGAGAGACCATCCGCCGCTGCAATGATATGGGAGTTGATGTCAAGATGATCACCGGAGACCAGCAGATTATCGCCAAGGAGGTAGCTCACCGTCTCGGTATGGGTCGTGTCATTCTGGATGCCGGACACTTGGTCGATGCTGACAAGTCGGATGAGGAGATTACTGAGCACTGTATCCGCGCCGATGGCTTCGCTCAGGTCATTCCCGAACACAAGTACCGTGTCGTCGAACTGCTCCAGAACCGTGGTATCCTCGTCGGTATGACTGGTGATGGTGTCAACGACGCCCCCGCTCTTAAGAAGGCCAACGTCGGTATTGCTGTCCACGGATGCACGGATGCTGCCCGCTCTGCGGCCGATATAGTCTTACTCGCCCCCGGTCTGTCGACCATTGTCGATGGTTTGATGACCTCCCGTGCTATCTTCCAGCGTATGCGATCCTATGCCCTTTACCGTATTACGTCGACTGTCCACTTTTTGATGTTCTTCTTCTGCATCACCATGGCGCTCCAGTGGCACATGAAGCCCATCCTGCTGATTCTCATCTGTATCCTGAACGATGCCGCCACGCTGGTCATTTCCGTCGACAACGCCAAGATCTCGGCCCACCCCGACAAATGGAGAATTGGTCAATTGATCTTCCTATCCATCATCCTGGGTGCCCTCTTGACCGCCCTGTCCTTTGCTCATTTCTTTATCGCAAGAGATGTCTTCAAGGTCTCGGAACTCCAGCTCGAGGCCATCATGTACCTCCACATCTCCTCTGCTCCTCATTTCGTCATCTTCTCGACCCGTCTCTCTGGCTTCTTTTGGGAGAACATGCCCTCGCCCATCTTCTTTATCGCAGTCATGGGCACTCAAGTCTTTGCCATGTTGATCTGTGTGTACGGAGTCATTGTCGGCGAGGCCATCGGATGGGTCTGGGGCATTGTTGTCATTGCGATTTCGCTGGCCTATTTCGTCTTTCTCGACTGTGTTAAGGTTTTCATCTTCCGTCACTGGAATTTTGAGTTCACCGCCCATGCCTGGCCTACTAAGGCTCGCAGGGAAAAGTTGGCGGCCCGCAAGATCCGTGCTATTCAACAGGAGCGTGTCTGGAACTCGATCGACCATCTTCGTCAGCTTGGACTCAAGCTCAAGGCTCTTGAGGCCATGCGCGCCTAAGCACATTTGGAACGATGTATTTATTTCTGTTCTTTTCTAACGCGCCTTTACCCTCTCAGTTTACATATCTACACGTTGTTTCTTCTCTTGTCTTCCATGCTGCCACCTTGTACATTTTTTGAATGCAAATATATATAACCTAATGCTGTTACCTTCGACTTTGCATGCACCATGACTTCATTTATCATGCGGTGTGCGCATCTTGTCGGTCTCCATTGCTCTGTTTCTTTTTTTTTTTTGACCCTTGGGTGGTGCAGTGCAAAAAATATCAAACATAAAGGCCGTTTTGTTACTTCGCAGGCAGGGACAAGAGGGTTGTGTCGCAAATAAAACACACATGCATAAAGAAGGTTACGATTCTCAATTTATCCATTCACATCATTCTATTTCCTTCTCCTTCATTCATTGAACTACCCATCCTCACTCCTCAACACACAAACACAAGAAAAAGATGTCTCTTTTCTTTTTTCGAAAACCTCAAGAACTTACAGGAAGGCGTCGACGGCAAGTCCCTCCAGGAAAAAAATATTTTCCTCAAACGACCCCGGATACATTGCAACCCGAGAAAGACGAGAACGGCGACTGGATCGTACTATGAAAGCATGTCGAGAACATATTTGCCAATTACACCATGTACCATGATATCAAGATCCCCCCTTTCACTTTCACAAGAACCTTGCTGAGTAAAGTTGTACAGCAACAACTAGATAATAGGACTTTTCTCATCCTTTTTAGAATACAGAGATCGTGTTTGTTGTACCTTCAATGAAAAAAATAATAACAATAATCATAGCTTTTCGCCCGTTGCCCACTCGCCTACCATGTACCTGAAATTCGGCTTGTGGGTCAAAATTCAAACCCCTCTCTGTCGACTTTGCGCCACAGTGTGACAACTCCGTCATTCGCTTCACACGTCCCCTTTCTCATCTCCCCCATCCTCATTCTCTCAATCACTCATTCCTTCTTCGACACAACCCTCATCACCCTCGCCCTCTCTCCTCACTCAATAAGCCCATGACATATCAGCAGAAGCTCAAAGAGGAAGGAAATGGAATCAAAGACATCCAGAAGTGGTCTTCCGGCCAGCGACTCGGATATGTCCCAACCCGAGAGGACGAAGACGGCGGCCTCATTGTGCTCTGGAAGGAAGTTGAAAACATGTTTGTCAACTATGTCCCAAAATTCGCCACGATTGATGGCCATCCCATCCCCTTTCACTTCCACAAGAACCTCACCGAGTATGTTACGTTACATTTTGTCAACCTTTATAGGTTGTTGTTATCGTGTAGTGGTTGATTGTCAATCGAAAACAGCAAATAACCAACCTTCTGTTTTCATTGTCGTCGGATAGGAAGGAACCAAGAAGAATCTCGTATTACCCAAATAACAGGATCGAAATCCATGCCAGGTACTTGGGTTCCATCGACCCCCAAGTCCACATCCACCCCCAAATCCACACCCATGAAGTCCAACTGCATACTATGACTATGATATATCTCAGTTTATTCGCTCTAGTTGTTATCGTCCTCCGTGGCATCAGTGGTTCGTCGTCGTCGTCAAAGAGCAAGAATGAGGTCTCTCCCGCAGCTATCGAGGCCTTTAAAAGGAACGGGAACGAGACTTGCCGTTGTCAGCAACAGCAGCAGAACCAGCCTCCAACCAACGAAAAGCCTGTCGGAAATGTTAGGGCATGTTGCACCGCTCACTGTTGCTGTCGTCATCAGCAGCAGCACAACGTGTCTGCTAGTGGAGGGAACTAGTAAATGCATTGCTACACTTCAGTGCAAGTTGCACAGCGGCAAATAAAAAACAACGATGTCTTCATTTTTCATGGACTCGGAGATCGTGTTTCTTTTTTAGCTTCAGTGCAACAATTATTCGACCCAGTTCTTCCTCTTTCCCCGTTGCTCACCCTTCTTAGCGCGTCGCGTGTAAAAGAACAAAGCGAGATTGCTGCAAAAAGAAAAAAAAAACCCTTTGTCGACTTTTTTTGCATGACTATCAACGCGTCGCATGTGTGAGGACCGATAGAGGAATCAAGCCAAGGCGATGATGGTACCTGAATTCCAGTTTGTCAAGATGATACCATTGTGTGTGTTTGTCGTCAACATGCATATTTGTTTTGTATTCATGGGCGACGCCGGTACAAAGAAAAATGGAATGAAAGAAGCATCGTTATGCAAATATAAACCGCGAGGGATTGTGAAATGCACCGCAACGAACGTTTCAAGACACGTTCGTTCTGTACATAAGGAGCCATAGTCAGATTCTTCATTCTTCTCTTCATTCGCATTCTCATTCATCAATCGTTCAGTCTCATTCAACTCACCACCCTACCCTCCAACCCCCACATTCAATGTGCTTGACACAAATAAACAACTACGAGATAGAGAGAAAAGGGGTCCGTTTAGAGATCGCGAAGACGCGGAGAAAGGTGATCAGCGCACATAGTCTTCAGTTCCAATAAAGCAAAAGGAGGAGGAGAGGAAATTAACCTTCACGAGTTGCACAACTCTTTTCAAAGGCAGTAATCTGCTAATAGGACATGCCAATGCATTCCGTCATAACTCCATTTCCAACGTCCACAGCGTCAGTTACGCGGAATCCTCTGTATGTCTGTGATGAGTCCCTCTGTGGAAGGGTCTTCGGTGCGGGAATCTCTCTTGACGAGTCTTCTGCCGATAAACAGGCGGTATTAATTCATTGTCTGAAGAGTATGACGTAAGACGGGAGAGGATCCTGTGGATAGATATTGGAGTGGGTTAGGGAGGATGAAAATATGAGTGAGCGAGGGTACTTTCTGTTATCGACGACACGAGTATTATGAGTGTGTTCTTTTTTCGGATCTTGTGGCAAAAAGTGAAAAATGGGCTGCGAAGAATGGGCGAGTTTACGCGTTGTGTGGCCTGGAGGCGACGCCTAGATCGGTCGTAGTCGTCCTAGAATATTAACGAACCTGATCTCTCTCTACTGGTCAAACGATAGAGTTGTCTTCGAGCAAAGGCCTGACTGAGCTCCATACTTTATTTTCGCTTTAAGGGCCTTAGCCAAGTCAGCACCACAACATTCCCTCCATCGAGAGACAACGGCGGTGAACCTTGATGAACCGACAACGCAAAGCGGGATTCCTCATTCAACCTCGCTTTCTTGACTTTACAACAAGACTGTCTTCGCTCTTTGTTTCAGGTGTGCGGCACGCAGGTGAGCAATGGTTCTGGACCTCCCCCCCCCCCCCCCCCCCCGGCTTAATAATTGTCTGCGCAGTGGAAACTGAGGCAGCACCGTAATTAATAACACATTTTTGTTTTCTTCTCTTTCAATAGTAATAACAACAGTTCAGTACAAGAAAGTTACACTAACTAGACTATCGATGATATTGTTGTCTGGCCATATGACAGATCCGTCATACACTGTTTGTACGCATAAACAAGCGAGTCCCAGGCCAGTTGGGCCTCCAACGTATGCTTAGCAATTCCTATGAAAAACGAATGCAATCGATTCCATATATCCACATATGTATTACCTTTGTTGCTTCGATCACTTCTCCTGCACATATTTTGACGTCGTCTTCTGTCGAACGGTTAAGAACGCGCTGAGCACTCTTGATCAATGCGTCGCTTAGAGCTCCTCTGTGTTGGTATTGGTATTTTCCTGGAATGACTGCAAGAGACATTCAAAAGACAAGGCGCGACGACCCAGAAGAAAAAATCGCTTGGTCCTCGAAGACATCATTGAGGGAGGTCGAATTCATCTTGTCCGGCGAACTCATGATAGAGTGTTTGACCAAACGCGACGACAGGCTATTCAAAACGACCGCTCAAGGAGGTATAAAGGACAAACAATGATTAGCATGCTTGCTTGTATGTATTATGCACTGGTCAGTAATGTAAGGTGTAACAAGAAAAAAAACATGGTTTATGGTAGCGGAACCCAAGAAACTACCAGGGGATAAACCCAACCGTCGTTGGGCGCTTGGGGCGTCATAGCAGCCTCTCCACCTGTGGCTCAAACTGGCATTGCTCATTGATAGGAAGCCATGCAATGAAAGCGCGACGACTCCACGCTAACCAGGGGATGGCTCGGTCAATACCCTACACCCATGGAGAATAGACGCATGGCCAATCCACCAAATGCAAAGCAGAACGCAACTACACATGATGAACGGACATTTGCCTTTTTCGTCTGCCAACTTTTGCCATATTTGACGTGCCTTCCTTTCTCCCTAAAGAAAAGTACTTACTTCGAATTGTAGCTTATGAGGTAGGAGAGGTGAGTATCGACGAGAAGATGGATCAAGAGATTAAAAATGGAAGAGGGAAGGATGGAATGATTGATGATAGAGGAGGGAGTGTGTGAACCTCTCTGATGCATGCAGACAAAGAGGTCGCCAATCCGGAAGGCGCAACGAGTACTCGCTTCGGTGACGTAATTTATGCGCTCATAATCGTCCAGTGACAATGGGGTAATGCAGAATTTACCTATATTTTCTTTTTACTTCCTAAAGTTGCGAAAAGAGACCGTGAGGAAGATGCAGGTAAATAGCTTGTCTTTTGCTGTATTTATCCCTTAATCCGTAGAAGGGGATAATGTAAACTATAGTTTCTATCTATAGAGGTTAGGTTGGTTTGGGGGGTCTTGCAAGGGGCTCGGGCCGTCCTAGAGACTTGAGGTACTGTTCTCCGATCAAAGCGATGTTGTGCGCCCCCACTCCATCTCGGTGAATCCACCGAGTGCACTCAACACAGGCGCATGTCCTCATCGACGGCTTGGCGAGGCGGGTGGCTCGGTTCTCAACCACACATGTTGGACACATGGTGGAAGTAAGATACTCGTCGACCAGGGCAGCCTTGTATCCGAGCGCAGCACTCTATCGGTGCAGGAATAATAAAATTGTGTTCCATAGATTTGCCATGGCATCATGAGTGCACACAATCAAGACAAAAAGATACAACCATGCCTTTCACAATTTTTTTTTGCCTTTCGTACCTGCTGTAAAAGACGTCTGAGAAACGTGGTGTGCACCGAAGAGAGATTAAAGCCAGACCGGAAGGTTCCATTCCCCAGGGCAAAAAAAACTTTTCTTTGGTGGACGGGTACGCCCTCACATGCCTCATCCACCATCCGCAAAACGCCAGCGACGGCCAGATCCAACTCCGACATTTTCGCCATTCTGTGCTCGTGAACCGCTACCTTCCATTCTCTTGACGCGTAAATCCCGTGGATCAGCGGTTCCTGCTCGTAGTACTTCTTGTGAGCTGCCGTCAAAGCATCCAACGAGGTGTCGTAGTTCGTTGAGGGGAGAGAATTCTCTAGGTCGTGGACAGACGGGAGAGTGGTGAGCTTGTCCAGGTCGGTAATCCGTGTCCAAAGAGATGAGTCGACAACATCGCCTGGACCAGCTGTTGGGTGTCGCCTTTTCCAATGCTGTTCCCAATCTCGGAAGGCCAGAGTAGGCTGGTATAGGGAGGCCCTCTTGATCAGCAGATTGATGACTTTTCCACCGGGAAGTGTCAAACAAAATGCACCACTCACTACCTCTCCGGGATCAATACCGACGACAATGACTGAATCCAGGTCGTCGCCAAACGCGTCGATAAGATGCTGCCGCGTTGGATAAAGCTTCTCGATCCTAGAAAGAAACTCACTGTACTTTGGGGATTGGCGGGGTTTTGTAAGGTCATACGCGAGAATCTGCAGCTGGTGGCCATCCGTCCTGATATAGTTGTTGAGGGCGTAGCGGTAAGAACGCGGCTGCTGACGTGGGGTGGGAAGAGGCGGTGGGGTGGAGGTCGTCGATGACGATGACGTTGATGATGGCAACGGTGGTGTCGGGGCCGTGAGGGAGGCGTTGTGCCGTTCTCGGAAAAAATTGACCTTATTCGTCAAATACCGTGCGAGCTCTAACTGTCCGTAGATGTGTGGATGGGCCTCCTCACGCTCAGCCATGGTTGTTGTCCTCTTCCCGTATGTCGTCTGCTGCTTATTCCTGGCTTCCTTGATGACATCTCGGTCACCGATGAATAGTTCTTTGATCACCTCTCCGTACGAAGAACGCTGTTTTGCCGCTGCCCAGTTGTGAGTGTAGCGGGTGTCCTCCCATACGTTGTCCAACTGAACTGCCTTCTCTCCCCAGAGAAGCGCAACCAACGCTTCCTCGTTGATGTCGATGAAGGAATCGCTCATTTTGGCCTGGGTGCAGAACCGGGGCCGCTTGGATGATGGTAAGAGGAGGAAATATCGCCAGCAGAGTTGAATATGACCCGGCTTGAAAATGATCTTCTTGGATCGCTTGAGGGCGTCGTCGTCGTCCACACCCTCGTTAACGTCAGCAGCCCCGGCATCACCATCAGCGTCGGTGTCGTCTTGATCTATTTCAGGAAGACCATCGCAATCAATGGACAGCTTGGAGAGCTGGCATTGCATAAACAAAAGGAGTGTTAAAATATGTTTTACACCCCATTGAAAATATTTGACAAACTGAATGGATATGGATAGATGGTACCTTTGTTCTAAGAGTCTCCGGTATTCTCCTGTAATGCAGTTTCTGATCTAGGCAGATCTTGGGTGCAAGTTCCGCGATGATATTACTCAAAGCCAGATCCGTTGAGTTGAGGGCTTTGAACCCTGGGCACAGCGTCTTCTTGAACTCGTTAAACGTCGAGATTGCTTCAGCGACAGCATCCTTGCTCTTGTCCGACGCGGGTGGACGTCCTTGGGGGACAATGGAATTCCTCAAGACGAAGGACAGTAGGTTTTGGACAAACCTTTCCGCCCAATCGGAATCCAGGATCTTCTCCAGGAAGCTCTCGTCCGGTCCATCCTCTGCCTGGTTCAGTCCAGTCTCGATCAGCGGCTGTAGAATGCGCATCTCGATAAGCTTGTACACAATGTGTTTGGCGCTATTGACGGTGGAGACTGCCGAACTCACGTGTTGGGTTAGCTGCGCAACCTCTGCTTTCGACAGATTGGTTGATCTTCCTAGGCAGCCTTGCAGGGATCCAGTCGTGAGCGTGACCGTTGCGAAAACAGACTGGAACGCTCTCTTCAAGGCCTTGGGTCCAGCTATTCCTTTAGGTTCGCCAAGGAGTTTTTTCTTTTTCTTCTTGGCAGCGGGGGCAGGCACTTGGTCGATACGGGGGGATTGCTCCTTGGGCTTTGAAGGACGGGGGGTCGACGGCTTCAATCCTGAAAGTTCCACGACATCAACAGGGCTGGCCTTTTCTAGGAAAACAGTGTCCGGCACATAGCGATCTTGCACGTCTGTGCGCGAGCGGAATCTAGATGCGATTTTGCAATGAGTTGTGTTAAGGTGGAAATATATGTATATAGCTGGACAAGGCGGAGAAAAATACCAGGAAAAAAGACATACCTGGAACGACGCCACTTCTGTCGTCGCCGCTGGAGGGCACGTGAACCATGTCGGCGTTGTTTTTTAATCTTTTGCTTGTGCGATGGTGGATGTTCGGCTGGGCCATGCGTCTGCCTGATGGAAGGTGATCCCGCTGATGTAGCTTGCGGATATGGTGCTGATCCTGCCTTGGGTGCCGTTGGGAGTGGTGGTGGCGTTGCCTCTGCGTCTGTCGCCGCCCCCTGAGAAGCTGGATCTACTAGCAGCCCAGGCGGCAACGATCCCCTCCGACTCGCGGAAAAGCGACGCCAATCATTGTAGGCTTTGTTGAATTCTGTTTCCTTAATTATGGCCATCAGTCGTGTGTGTGTATCGGCCGCCGGGCTGATCCTGTTGTTGTCCAGAGTGGTTTCCTCGCAAAGCACGAATGTCTTGAGAGCATGGCCGAATTCTGTCACATCTACACGCAGCTGTCGATCGGCCGTTTCGATCCTCCTCAGATCCTTGTCGTGTGCCTTCACCGTTGGGTTAGGATTGCATCGCAGTCGACGACGTGCGCTTTGGGTGGCTGAGTCCTTGATTGTACGGGCCTTTTGGTGTATTATGTCAAGGTAGCGCCTAACATAGATCCGAACCACCTCCACTCGATCTTGGCCAACCGTTCCATCAAGACCTGTCATCTTGAACTGACGGATCGTATCGACATTGGATGTCAAGCCATAGGAAAAAACTCCGTTGGTGTAGTCGTTGTTCTATACCAGAGCGGCAAGCGTTAGATGTACAGGGGTCGGAAGGCCATGCTCGTTCAGAAGCTCATCTTTGTGGAAAGTAGTCCAAGTGTTCTTGACTGGCATGGTGACGGACATGATTGACTCGAATGCCATGAGATCGGAGTCCTTGGTGATAACTCGGATATCTCCGGGTACGGCAGCGTTGTTGACTGTCCGCGCAATGCACGTGTCGCTTTGGTTGAGACATTGGCAAATCGTCCATCCACTCTGACGCAGTACTTCCGAAACGGCGCGCAATGCCTCCGGTGGTGCTCGGTACGACGCCTTCAGGCGTTTGTATAGCTGTCTTTTGTTGTGCAGCTTGCCCTCCGTGTAATCTCGTTCAAGTGTTTCCAACTGCTTGGACAGCGCCTGATCTCGTTTGCCGTGCGCCCATTCCTTCTCCATTGATCGTAGACCATCCATATGGAGCATTGTGATGTCCTTAGACAATCGTGAGGAGAGAATCTTCTCAATTGCGGCTCCGACAGATCGAAAATCCTATTGGAAACAGCGAATTATTATTTTGGTCACAGCAATTTAGCTTTTCTCCAGATAGCATGAATCATTTAACTTTTTTCCAGATCAGTACAATCCATTTAGCTTTTCTCCAGATGGTATGATTTATGGTACTTACAATGACCTTTTCCTGGGCGCAGATTGTGGTCAGAGCGCCGCTCTCGTCGAACCGAATCTGGGATGGCTGTGTTGACAGCAATCGCTGCATGTCTTCAACGAGAGTCGACGACCCGGAGCTGATTTGGAGGGGTCGGAGGCGTTTGTTAGAGGAAGCAGTGTCGGCGGTGTCCGCATCGTCGACGTCGGCTGCTCGTTTTGGGCTGGATGAAGCCTGCCGTGTAGATGTTGTTGTGTGAGTAGACATGCCCGCGCCATCGACGTCGGCTGCTCGCTCTGGGCCGGATGAAGTCTGCTGTGTCGATGTTGTTGTGTGAGTAGATAATTGACATCGGGCGGACTTTGCAGCGAACTGCACTGTTTTATGGAAACTCAGCGAGTTCACCAACGCAAAAAACATCGACGCAAAATCTACTTCACATCTCTTCTTGGTTAGATCTTCCTCCACTCCGTCTGTCGCCTTGATCCACCCGGTGAGATTTGTGATGCCCATTGCTGTAATTCTAAGTAATTCACAATTGAAGGTTGATGGTTAGCGCGAGTCTGATTTCATAGATTCTCTCAATAGCACGGGTCGCAATCACTTTCAACATCGGCCTTACATAGGTCTGTTGAAGCTCAATTGAGAAGGGGGGCAGTTTAGGAGAAGGGGGAGAAGGGGGTAGTTTAAAAGAAAGGGACACGAGGCGATGCAGAACGGTGAAAAAGAAGCTGGTGGTCTTCATTCACTCAGCCTCAGCCGCTCACTCAGTCACCGTGAACGTCAGAGCTATGAGCTAGGGGTGAGCGAATTAAGGGGTAGGATGGTTCTTTCGCACCAATCCCATCAGTGGACAGACACTGAGATGCAACGCTATCGGCGCGGGCACAGGACCCTTTCTAAAACTCAGGGCGCGTATGATACTCCTAAATCATTCTTGGTGCAAAGAAGACCTTGCAGAGAGAGCAGATTCGCTGGGTGGGTTGAGGATATGCTTGTGTTATGCCTTCTCGTTTATTTTATCTGCACAGGATGCAGCCAGTCATGAGTAGTTCAGTAATTCATCGTTTGGTCCCTTGAATTTTTTCGAGACATAAGGGGATACTTAGGTAGGGGTGTCGCGACATTTGGCGGACACTATCAGATCCTTAGCCAGGAACTATCGGAACTCCCTTTGATGCATGGAAGAGCCGAAGAGTTTGTTGATAAGGTACGCATTGATGATTGTTGTATCCAGTAATCAGAAGAAGATCGGAGCCCATGCGCGATAAGTCCTGAGCTGAGTCGAATAGTAGTTGCATAACTGGTCGGCAATGTCGACTCCGTTCATGTGGTGGTTGTTGTCATCGATGATTTTGGGATGGGAAGTAACGCCATGGAACGTCCTTTATGAGCAGCCCGCACTGACTTTGCGCTGGCGCTTGTCTCTCGAGGGCGTCTGCGATCTTGGACAACGGATCAGTCGTTGTCGCCGAGGCTGAGGGCATGGATGGTGAAGAGTATGGAGACAGGTCTATTGTCCATCCAGAACACGGTAAGAACCTGAAGTGGGTCTGGCGATTGTCGCAGTTAGCTTTTATAGCCTAGCAGAGGGCAAGAGTGGTAACTCTCTTCGTTAAATAAAAGAAAAGGAAGCGAAGCACCTATCTATCACAGGCTCTACTTTTGAGAACCAATGTTGCTCAGGCTCGTTGGGGTTGGAGACATGAAAAAAACGCTTCAGTTGTTCGAAGCGGACGAGGGACATGAAGGTAGTGATGTTGTGTTGAGGACATTCAGGGAAGGTTGACCAATACTCAGAGACAGAGTTCTGCCTGAACACGCCCATGTAGACAATGATGCCGAGGAATGTGCGCAGTTCGTAAGGTGTGGTCTTTACCCATTGGCACGATCCCTCTCCTGTGCCGGCTCCTTTTGATGCTGCATATGCGTTAGTGTTGTCTGCCAAATCCGTCAATACTGGGTCGGAGAAGAAGAGTGTGAAAATTGTCAATGGTGATAGTTCACTGTCGAGTCGAAGTGCACGGGGAAGGTTGGATTGTGCTGGGTGCCCATCCTTGTAGTGGCGAAAGATATTGTCGAAATCTGGTACAGGCGGGAGTTCTCTAGTCTCACGAACGGGCTTCTTAGCAGCCTTCTTGGCAGCCTTCATTTTCTTTGTCGGTGGAGCTGAAGCATCTATCACCCCTTCATCTCCTGCCTTCTCCTCCTCCTCGTCCCCAGAGCTATCTGTACCAGGCGTTGGTCGAGTACGACAACGGACCGAAAACAACAACTCCTCCTCCTCCTGTGCCTCGTCAACCTCCTCCGCAGATGCTACTACGGTGCCTTGAGAGTCAGAAACGTCAAAGGAACCGAGGAACTCGAGACTGGAGTCCATGAGTGAGTAGGGTGAAGTCGATGTGTGAGAAAAAAAAGGTAATGGGTTGCGGGATGATGATGAGAAAAAAAGAGCTGAATTCGAGAGTGATGAATGTAATGTGACGAAGACGACAAGGACACTCCCACGATGTAGTCTTCTAACCTGTTTTATTGGAAACCTGGATAAATCGAAAAAAATGTGGTGCAAATTTGCACTACAAACAAACTAGGGGATAACGACCTCGTTGTTTTCAATCACTTGTAGACATGGTAGAAGTTGTACGCTGTTTCTCCGACTAAGGCCCTCTTCCACGAGAAAGCGTCATCGTCTGCACACGCCGATAGAAGCGATTGAGGATGCTGGTCTCGCCAAGATAGCTATGGTGGATGGCGAATCTGACCTCTCTTGTCTAGACAAAAAACAGAGAGTCGTGCTGCTTGGTTCCATTGGTCAAAAGGTCGATAGGGCGGACACCTTTCGCTCGTTGTATACCACTATCCAGGAATTACGAAGTGCCATCATCGAGGACATGGACGAGTTTTCGGCTCCTCCCGGTACCGAACTTCTTGGCGTCGGCACAAACGAGAACGCCAGTTACGACTCGTTGCCTACTACAGCCTGCGAGTTGAAAGGCAAAATCAAGGCCATGGACATACTATCAGCTCCTCCCGGCACCGAACTTCCTATTGTCGGTACAAAGGACCTCTATGTCTGAGAGGCTTACAAAGATCTTTACGACACAATCCTCAGGACGTTTGAGAACAATCGAACGCTCACTACAAACACTAAGAAGTATGCCGTTGTTACAGGTACATCTGGGGTCGGCAAATCCGTTTCCTTAGTGTACTTCGCCATCCGACTTCTTGCCGAGAGCGACGACGACAACCCTCCGATTATCATTTTCCACACCAAACAGAGCGCTGAATGCTATGTGTTTGGAGGGCGCTCTACTGTCCGATCCGGCGATATCCAAGCCTTTAAAGCCTTTCTCAGTCTACTCACATGGTATTTTGTCGACAGCTCCCCTCACCCAGTACTCGATCAAGCCAAGACCGTCGTTTCAGTTTCACCAAAAGACCCTATTTTCCGAAGCCCCCCAATATAAGGACGTCGACAAAGAGGTATCATAGCATTACTACATGGCCCCATGGAGTCTGGAGGAGTTGAAGACGTGCAGGATCAGTGTTGCATGCTACAACAAGGTTCCTTTGGAATTGACGGGTGACCTCTACTCAAAGATAGGCGGTGTGCCGAGATATGTCCTAGAAAGGCCGATGAAGGTATGTTGTGGGCCCAAACCACAACGCTTTTCTTTGAGAATGACTTTCACTTTTGGAGACAATAGAAACGCGCCTAGCCTCTTTTCCATTTAACCCATGACTGTTCTAATACGCCTTGACCTAATTCATCGCTAGGAATTATACTTCTTTCCCAAAAACGTTGGGAGTGCCTATGTCAAGGCATTAGGTCGTCTTTATCAAGCCCTCGATGGAGACAAAGATCCGGTGACGTTGATGCATTTATTCATGCAAGCGAAAGACGCACTAGACTTCAGCAGCCGTGTGATTATCGCGACTTTCGATTGGAATGGCCTTCAACATATGCTGCCCAGAAGATTGCCGATCTACAGAATCGGGAGACTCGCATCAAAATATCGAACACGCTCATCTCGAATCCCTACGGAAGCGCTAGCGGGGAAAGCAACAGGTAATCAAACATAAAGGACAAAGAAAAGCAATAGTAGGATAGGAGCAGCGTGATGGATATTAAATAGGAGCCTGTTCCCCTCTTTCATGCAGGCATAACAAGTTCACCAGCGTTTTCTTTTATCACCAGCGATAGCGACAAATACAGCGACACATCATATATATCCCTTTTTTCATCTCATTTCACCACCACTCAAGCCAACTATAACCGAGACTACAATCCAAAAAGAAAAAATATATATAAAAAAATAGACACCCACAACCGCCAACAACGCAACAACATGTCAAGCCCAGCCATCAACGAAGTGACCCAAACTCTTGGAGACGACACTAGAGTCATTAGAAGGGAGGAAGGCCCAGTTAGCGCCTTCCTATTTCCTAGCAACTCTTCCCCGCTCTCTCTTCGAACCTGGGGTTCAAAACTCTCACAATTGAGCGATCACATTACATTGTCTAGAAGGCCACCCTGTATGTTTATCTTTTGTTCGCAAACACACACAGACAGATACCTTTTTCAGTCATCCACATATAATACCGCAAATGATTCGACAAGCTGGAAGTGACACTAGAATTGGACGACGAGGATGGGTGCTTTATTCCACCGCCAGGCGAGCTGAAATGGCCCTATGGAATCGAAGACGACGGTCGAGTGGGCACAGAGTTCCAGGAACCCCCCGAGATCTTGCGACCTCGATGGACGTGGAATTGTTATCTTCCCTGCCTGGCGGATTTACAGCTGACTTCTGAGTTTGCATATATTATCCTCGAGGATATTATAATGACAGTCTGATTATGATCCCCGCGGATCCGCCCTTCTAGTGAACCTGTTCGTCACTATCGACAAACAGATCCAGTACCAGTATGGAATGGGGCGCAGTTGGTGAAAAAGAGAAAACACGCAATACGGGAGAGGTAAAGATGTGTCTAACACTGCACGGGCAATTGAATAATCGACAAGAGAGTGAAACGAGAGAGATCATCGTAGTGATGGTACCTGAAGTTTGGTTCATGATCAAATGATCCACTGTTGTCTCTCGTTGAAAAAAAAGAGGTATTTTCGACTTGTGTTCTCCCATATCCTCCCTTCCGCCAGACCATGCTCTCTTTGTAATGGCGAGGTTGAATACCGGAGCTTAAATCTTCGTTTTTTTACTTAGCCATGGCCATGGGTGGAGTAATGACGCATTCAGCACTGAGTAATGAGCATTGACACCAAACAGAAAGCACTGCCACTCTGAGCTATAAGTGGTGATCCCTTTTTTTGTTCGTCCTTTTCTTTCCTTCTCACTCTTACTCTCACTCTCCTCCTCCCCTTCCTCTTCTATCCCTCCTCGCCCCTCCCTCTAACGCACCAAAACAAAGAAGCTCCATGTCATATCTCCAAAAGAACACTCAAGAAGGAGTCAGTGGCCCAGAAATCCTCCAAGAGTGGAAGTTCACCTCGAGAAAAGGCCTGGTGACGACTCGGCAGGACGAGAACGGCGACAGAATCGTCCTCTGGCGAGATGTCGAAAACATGGTCGCCTACAATGATCCCAAATACGCATACCTTGGAGATTTTATGATTCCCTTTCATGTCCACCTCAATCTCACCGAGTATGTGAGCCTCCAGTTTGTTTTTCTGTTTTGTTGTTGTGAACGATGCCGTCGAGTTGAGAACATGAATAATAACGACTCCCCCTTTTATTCGTTGCTGTTGAATAGGAAGGAGCCAAGGAGGATCTCGTATTTTCCAGGCGAAAGGATTAATATCGGACCCAGGGCCGACTTGAAATTCCCCGACTCTGGCTTCATACTGAGCGTCATACTGAACTCCCTATTGGCTTTCGGCGTTATATACACTTTGGTATACATCTACATCCGATGGTTTTCGAAATGAAATAAAGGTGCTAATATCCCACGCTTTTGGTGAAAATGTACATCTCGCCTCTCACTCGCCTCTCACTCGCCCGTCATTCACTCCTCACTCGCTATCATCCATACACAGCATATTGTCCGTGTATTGGAATGAGCCATGGTCCAAAAGGTACATTTTCTGGCTAAAAGAGGGTTTCTGCAAATAGGGAAGGAAAGAGCAACAGCAAAAGGAAGGTGCATTTGTGCAGAGTAGTTTTTTTTGTCTTTGCCTTCATAGACATCGACCTGTGCATTGGAGCTAATGCCTCGTCAGTATGTTTGTCGACTATAGCCAGAAGACGTGTTCACACGTGTCTGTTGTTTTATGGCCTCGGTGAGTTCAGGGCTACCGTGCAATTATCCCATCAGTCCACGGCGGGCGCGGCCTTGGCCATGGTGGCTGTTCTGGCTGGCAACCACATTGAACTTGTCAACCATCTATATCATTCAAAAAGTAATTCAAGTTAACCGTTAGCAACTCCTCAAGGCTAGAATCACAGCGAGTTGAACAAGGCCAAGAAGTCATACAGTCGATGAACTTACGTCGCTCATGGCGTGAATGCCCTTTGTCACCGTTGCCAAGTAGGATGTCAACAGGACATCATTGTATTCCTATAATATCGAACAAGAACACGTGTGTTAGATGGTCATCGCACGGACGAAACATCGCTTGCCCTTACAACAGTACCCAACGCAACTGGATAAATGGCGAAGCATACCGTCATGAATTCCTCCTCGAATGCTTGTCCAGAGATGGTCGGCAAGCGGTTGCAAAGACTTGAAATCTGTCTCTCCAAATCATGGTCCTTGGGCACTTTCCCTGTAATGATAAAAGCAAAACAAAGTTTCATTGTTAGTTATTTAGCCCAACAATTATCACCCGCACAACATTCATACTGAAGCGAGGGCTGTTGTTGTTACCATTGACAGAGTCCTGGAGGTACTCATGCAGCAGCTTGATGCGTGTATCCAACATCTTGATGGCATTCTGCTGTCCTGAAAGATGGCTGACCAAAGAGCTCTCTCCTTCCTGGTGCGTGGCAGCATGGGCAACGTGGTCAACAGCAATTCGCTCCGCCTCTCCTGTCTCAACCTTGTAGGCTGCTTTGATGAACACTGGCTGGGGCTGACCATCAACAATGTCGACGATCGACTCGTACACAGTAATAGGAAGAGACCGTGCTGGTGTGGGAACTTCGTTAGGGTCCATCTGAAGGAACAGTGGACTCTCGTTATATGTCATCAACTATTTAAGTAGGAGAGATGGTATAAGTCTACGCACGACTACAAGCCGACTCGAGCGAAAACATTGTCCTGTGATAAAAAAAAAGAAAGCCTTACCTGTTGGAGAACATCAATGTCAATCATGGAAGGCTTGCGGCCTACTGTGTACCAGCCCAAGAAATCATACGAAGGGAACACCTGGCGGACTATATTGATGAAATGCCACCTTAAGAGTTAATCTGGCAGGTCGAGAGCATGGCTCCTGACAAGAAGGGTAATGCTCGTAAAGAATCGCACAATGGCACCCATGCAACTTACACTGCTCCTGCTTGGTGACAAAGTACTCCTCATGAATGCGAATAGAGCCATCAGGCTGTATCATAAACTGCAGCTCGTACGAGTTGAAGATTTCGACCTCTCGTCCAGACTGAATACCCAACAAGGCTCCAATGACTAGTGACAGCAATGGGTGTGCAAGTGTAGTTAACAACGTTGGTTAGCACAAAGAAGAAACGTGACTCCTGAAGTGTTGGTTCCTGATATGCAAAGTGAGTTGCTGTGGCCGTACCATGAACTGGACCAGGGCTGGCTTGCTGGATGACTGTGCGTGTAAAGTGGTCAGAGATGTTCAGGAGAGTCAAGGGGTGGCTATTGTTGTAATAGAGATAGGCGGGCAGATAGGTGAGTATTATTTTTCGTGGTCAACAAGGCGGAATCAAGCCTTCTTATTGTTCGCAAGACGTAGGGTTCGTCTACGGTTGTCCTTCACCCGTATGCCTCCATGTCAGACGCAGTTTGTTGAATGTTGGACTGATGCCGTTCTGTCCAAAAAAGTATACGAAGCGATATCTCGCGTCCTTCTGCACTCTGCTCTATTCGCCTCTTTCTGGTAATGAAACAGAGACATTCTGCAGTACGAATACAGATTCCGAGTTTGTTTTCGCAGAGACATCCTTGACAAGGGACAATGACGCGTACTACTACGCCACCGCCACCACGGTCGACTGGCGTTGTTCTTTGTGTCTGATTGTCGAGACTGGTGTACGTACATGGCGATGAGCAAGCCAGAGTTGTTGGGCTGGTTGAGCACAACAGAGGCGGTGTCCTGATTGACTGCAGCCATGGTGATTGGATAGGTGTGTGTTGTGTGTGTTGGTGAGAGGAGGAGGAGGAAGAGGAAGAGGAAGAGGAGGAGAATGGAGGGTGAGAAAAGATAGAAAAAAAGGTAACTGTGTGCGAGTGACAGGCACAGAAATAAGAAAAAGCGAGAAAGAGACTCAGCCGGGCCATTTGCACTTAGCAGTCAGTCTACACCTGTCTTTTTCGCCACCATCTTGCGCAGAGCAGTAAGGGTTAGATAGTCACGTGCAGTGCATGGTGTGTGAACAACTTGTCTGGATTTTATTTGTGTTTATTTTAACGATCCTTTTGAGTTGGGTAATAGGAGTAAAAGGGATCAGGAAAGATAAGAAAACAAGAAGCACAAAGGATGACTAAAAGATAGTAAGTAAGGTCAAGAACGAAGGAGGAAAAATGAAGAAGTAGAGTATAGTTCGTTGTGGGGCAGGAAAGGGATATTTCTCGACAACATCCTAGGTTCAATCGTGTCGGAGGGATCGTCCTGCAGAGAAAAGTCATCTTAGAGAACAAGGCAGGTCTTGCTCTTGCCACGACCACCCTTGGGCTTGGCCAACAAGGATGCTCGGGTAGCTCCCTCAAAGACTTCACGAACACCCTCTCCAGTCTTGGCAGAGCACTCAAGGTAATCCCTGGCTTTGATATGACGAGCAATCTCAGCACCCTATTGAAGGAGAGAAAAAGCATTTACAGATAATTAGAACAAAGAAAAATAGCGCTTCGTCCGTTGGGTAAGAAAAAGAAAGTGAGTAAAGGGGCTGGAGAGGCTGAATCCACATACACGTTCAGGGGAGACGGGAGCCTGGTTGATCCTCCTCAACTCCTCGATGGTGCGCTGATCGTATCTCAAATCCTTCTTGCAGGCAACCAACAGGATGGGGAGACCGCCACAGAAGTGCTGGACCTCGGAGAACCACTATAAGGTAAACCAAAACAAGAATACTTTTTGGTTAGAACTGAAACCATGTTTTTGGGTCTTCCAGGACAACATGACCTGTTCCATAGTCCTAGTTCCTTTGTTCCTTGTTCTTACCTTCTCCTGGACGTTCTCGAGCGAGTCGGGCGAATCGATGGCGAAGCAGATAAGAATCACATGCGAGTCGGGATAGGAAAGGGGGCGGAGACGGTCATAGTCCTCCTGGCCTAAATAAACGAGCATAGGCAATGGACTTGGTCAGGAGAGGATTACTAGTTGTGTTGCATGGCACGATACCATGATGCTGTGATGCCCAAGGCGATGATATCAATGGAGAATAGAAGAAGGCGGCACTATATCAAGGTTTCATAGATTACCGGCGGTATCCCAAAGTGCGAGCTCGACGTGCTTGCCATCGACCTCAACATCTGTAACGTAGTTCTCAAAGACAGTGGGAACATAAATCTATCATGACAGGCGAAAGCAATGGAATTAAACAATGAAATTGAGTGAATGAAAATAACTTTTGTTTTCGGCCTTATTTGCTGGTCGCTGGCGAAAGGTCTTCACTGGGTTATAGTCATGTGTGGAGCCTTGATTGAGAGAAAGGGGAGCCAGATACAAGATACAACTGCTCTCCAACGCATTTTTCTTTTTCTGGTCTTGTTCTTTTGAACATATTTGAGTGTCGAGTGTTGGGAGTGACAAAAGGGCGACAAGGAATGACCCTCTCTGTCACTGCCTCTGTCGTTTCCTTCCTGTCGCTCTGTATGCCGTTTTCTCTCTCTCTGTCGTTTTCTCTATCGTTCTCTGTCGTTCCCTGTCACTCCGCGTGTTCTCTCTGCCACTCTCACAGCATATCTCCTTTTGCAGCCCTGTAAAGAGAATCGTATAGGAGGACTCACCTCGGGGAAAGTTCCCTTGGAGAAGACGATGAGGAGACAGGTCTTTCCACAGGCACCATCACCAACGATAACGAGCTTTCGGCGGATTTCAGTCATGGTTTGTTTTTGTTAGTTTTGTTTTCTAATGGATTGTCGAGAGCAATGAGAGTTGGAGTTCGTTAGCGAGGAGTTTTGCTTCTAATGACCCCGTGCGTCGCCGTTGTTGCGTTGTGTGATGAAAAAAGAGCGCCTCTTTTAGCGTGTGTTTAGGAAGAAAAGTAAGGAGGTACACGAAAAAAAAGATAAGGGTTTCCATTAAGAGAGAATGCGACATCGAGGTGGTGTCCTGGAATGTACACATTCTTGAGAAGGGAGTGTCCTGAAGAAGGTGAGAACGACGAACGTACGAGTGTGTGGCGTGTGTGTGTTTGAAATGAAGGGTTGAATGTAAGTTGAAAGGGGTGAGTGAGGGGGTGGATGTAAGGTGAAAGTGGTTGTGGTAAGTCGTGGTAGGCTGTGCAACAAGAAGAGGAATACAAAAGAAAGGCTGTGTGTGTGGAAGAGGGAGTGAGAGTTGAGTTGGGGCAGGTGGAGACACAAGGAAAAAAAGACCACGAACGGTCCTTATTCCAAAAGGAAGGTCCGCCTGTCCTTCATTCACTAAGTAAGTGTCATAGCCGAGAAAATAAAAAAAAGGGCGAGTAAAAAAAAGAGGGTAAAGCGACCTAATAGACACTTTGACTGACTAACTGACTGACAACGAGGGGAAGACACACACACACACACTCACTCACACTCTCAACTCGTTGACAAGAAAGAAAAGAAAGAAAGAAAAAGAAAAAAAAAGAGTCGACGGTGGGAAAGGAGTAATAGATGGACTATGATCGAACAAACAAACACATATCATGATATCGAACGGACATGGAGCAAACGAGAATAAAAAGGGCGACAACGACGACATTTATATAAAAATACATGTCCCGCAGGACAGACATAAAAAAGGGAGAAGAACGGAGAGAGGGAGAGAGGGAGAGAGGGAGAGTACAAGGCAAGGGAAGGGAGGGACAGAGAGAGAGAGAGAGAGAAAGAGAGGGAAAGGTACACTCGAGAGCCAACTTGTCGTCTTCGTCCTTCAAAAATAACAATAAATGACGATAATAATAATCCATCAAAGAAAAAAAATGAGCTTTTGGAGTGGAGAGTCGAGAGTGAGGAGTGAAGGTGGCCCATATAAACATGAAGATAGAATGAACACCAAAGACTGAAAGAGTAGAGTGTTGGGTTGTTGCGTTGTCGTTGTTGTTGCTGTTGTTGTAGCAGTAGTAGTCGCGGTGAAAAGAGTGTGTGTGTGCGCGTGGGATAGGGAAGAGCGAGCGAGTGATGGTGATGAAGACGGTGAGAGTGAGAATGAGAGTAGGAGAGAGGATGATGAGACTCACCTGAGAGAGAGAGAGAAAGAGAGAGAGAAAAGAGAGTAAGATGTAGATAAAAGTGTAAAGCAAAGAAGGAAGAGGTGGATGAGAGGGAAAGGAGGGAGGAGTGATGAAAAAGGTGAAAAGGGGCGGAAGGGATGGTGAGGATGAAAAAGAAAGAAGAGAAAAGATGATGATGGGCGTGAGTTTGTGGGAAGGAGTCAAAATTGAAGCTAGCAAAGTCACCGCAGGCAACGTGTGACAAGGGGGACGGGGGATGAGGGAAAAAGAAAGGATAGGACAAGGACAAGGACAAGGACAAGGACAAGGACAAGGGTCAAAAGGGACGCGAGCAGGGAGCAGGGGAGCTGGGCACACACAGGCTCGGCAATGGGATACTACAGCAATGCAGCAATACAGTGGTGGCAAAAGAAGAAACAGCGCCTCTCTGTTCCTATCATGGCATGGTCATGCAAGCACCAACCCCTGAGATGGTGCTGCACACATGTAGCAAAAAAATAGGCTCGCCTTCTGTTCTTCCAACACGCCACCATCGCCATCGTCCACTTGTATTATTCTGTACGCGTGTGCAACTGCTCTGGCATGATTCAAAGCAAAAGCCTTTCATCACCTCAAGCAAAGCATCCAGCGTCACCACAATCATCCTAAACAGTAGCCACAAGAGCTCTAAAGCAGGAGCCATAGTGGATACCTGTATCCACAGGGACAAAGCTCAAGGATCAAAAAAAGGCGATGCTTCATGCCGTCGTCAAAAATACAAAAAATGAACAAGCGAGCAAAGCCACCCACTCTCTTTTGTCCTTATCCTCTGCGAGCAGAGACGCGTTTCTCTCTCTTTTTTGTTTCCTTTGCCACCCACCTTGCCCTTCGCTCACAGCCTTTCATTACACCACCTTCCTCCCTTTGTCCCATTCCCCAGCACTTCGACTTCACCAACAATAACCTCCATACAACATCGCGACTGTTTCAACAACAATGTCTCTCTTCTCAGGGCACGTCTCTACATGCACGATCATGCACCGCTCACTGTCAACTCAAACTGATCTAAATCAATCAGGCTCGATCACTAACCTGCCAGCATTAAACCACGTCTTTACCGTATATAGACTGGGAGCTGCCCCCGCGGCATCTGCTCCAGCAAATCCCTTTGGAGGATTCGGCGCAGCATCAACGGCATCAGCTCCCGCCGCTGCTGCCCTGACCGTCTCGCCATTCGCTGGATTCGGAACAATGCCAGCGGCGGCATCTGCCGCGGCAACCACAACAAGTTCGCTCTACCCTAGTCTGACTACTTCGGCTGCTGCCCCGAATAGTCTCTTTGCAACTGCACCTGCGACTCTCTCAACAGGCTCTCTCTTTGGCAGCTCGACCTCTACCGCAGCCTCGACTGCTCTCACCAACGCCGCCTCAAAGAACCCTCTCACCACATCCACCTTATCCACCGCGCCTGCCGCCGTGTAAGTCTATCTTTTTTTCATTGGATCTTCTTAGAGGGCGTAACATACAGGGCACACTTTGCAGGGCACAGGACGCAAGGATGCACACATTATATTGGACGCAAGAAATCCACAAACAGCAGGATTTATTGAACACATATAGGAAGCTGAGCATAACGAAACAGGAAACACACTCCATACAGGACATAAGAAACACACCTGATACAGAGTACACGAAACACATATATAAGACAACACAGGCGAATTACTTTGAACACGTTCAGACACAGACTGTCCAGGAGACTGAGATTCAGAGCAAAACGCACAGCGGACGATGTTAGGATGTGACATCGGCGAGTCAGAAGTGATGGCCATTGCAACGTAACCTGATGTCTAGTGCTTACCATGACTCCTTATCACCAATAAATAGGGCACTAACTCCGGATACGATTGCAGGATCGACCAAATACACTGAACTTCCAGCTGACGCCAAATCCACACTCGACCAATTCCAGTAAGGGTGATTGTAATTGTTTTGCGCATACTACCAAGTACTTTTGCCTGGTTGAATGAGACCCGTACTGGAGCCTAACAAACACTATGCGTCCACTTCCGCCACTTCTAGCACTTTCTTGCAGGGACAGATTCACCTCTCTGCCACCCTCACAGCCCGCCCATCAGAATCTCTGGACAAAATCTCAAAGGACACTGCAGAATTGTCCAAGGTGCGTACACATTGACTACACCATGTCAGACCTACATAAAAGGTGGAAGCTTGTAAGACATGTCACTAACGACCAAAACCGTTGTTCACACTATGGAATATTAGAGATTGGAGACGTTGAATGATGCACTGGAGAGAGATACAAAGATGATTGGCGCCTTGCAGGACCAGGTTGTACAAGAATTCAAGCAGGCCGACTCTGCTGGACGGGTCATCGAAGCTTACGCAAACACATCGCATGCCAACTTTCTCTACGCAGGCAACAACTCTGCAGGACAGTACGTTATTTGTTGCATTGTGAAATGGCGTATGCTAGGAAAAAGTCGTGTCTTTGTATCCTACAAGAACCACTGACTTTGTCTTCTCCTGTCGCATTGGTAGATATTTCACAGAGAGATGCTTGGACTTTGAGGAACAGCTTCGCCAATACAGGAGCACCATCGAGGTATTTATCGTCTAATTATTCTTTCGATTGTTGGACATGTGGAACACAAGACTGTTTCACTCTTATTTTTCGGTTAACGCGGCTAATCCTATAAGCAACCTACCATCCCTATCCGAATAGGAAATCGAGCGCCATCTGGCCTCATACGGCGCCAGGAACCCTCAGGTTCCATATGGTATGATTTTTAATCTCCGTTCAACAGATATGCCGACCAGCTTTTAGAAAGTGTGCTTGTACATCGTTTCTAATTCGGGGGGTTATTTTATTTTTGTGGATAGCGCTTACTGAAGTGTTGAGAAACCAGCACGAGGGGTTGTTGGCAATTGCAGGAAGGGTGGCGGCTCTCCATGATGAGATCAAGGACAGGGAAAAGGCGTATCTCATGTTCAGGCGAAAGTACTTTGACGACGATACGGATCCATTCCAGGCCAGCAACAAGCACAGAAAGACAGACACTGCCCATCATGGCCACAGTCTCCGCAGCAGTGGGCGTACGCCTGAGGGTCAAAAGTCGTTCAGGGAGATTGCCAAGGAAACACTTCGTCCAGGCTGGGGCGGTTCTGCTGCTGCTCCTGCTGCTGGAGCTGCACAAACTGCAGGAGGTAGCTTGTTCAGCACTGCACCAGCTCTTGGCTCAACCTCCTTATTTGGCAAACCTGCAGGATTTGGATACTCTACGACCACGACTAGCGCCGCCCCCTCCTTTTCGCTCACAGCACCCACATCTGCAGCACCCACGACAGGACTCTTTGGTGCGCCAGCAGCAGCCGCACCCACGAGTTTGTTTGGCGCCCCCGCTGCATCAGCAGCGCCTACTACCAGCTTCTTTGGAGCTGCTCCTGCTGCGTCAGCTGCTCCCGCTACTGGATTGTTTGGATCACTTGCAGGGTCTGCCCCAGCAACTGGACTGTTTGGAGCACCAGCACCGACCACTGCAACACCCTTTGGTGGACTGAGGTTGGGAGGCAAGTAAGAAGCGGAGCACAATTGTGTCGATTGGTCCTCATTCAACTCGCCTCAGCACAGCATAGGACAAAAGGAACTCCAAAAAAATATTACAAAATAAAGCTATTGTTGACAAGAGAATATAATGCTGGAACTTATTGTAAAATGCCTACAGAGTTTCAAAGTGAACAAATCTGACTCGTATGTAAAAAAAAAAAAGAGTAGACAAGTTTGGAGAAATAATCTACGTCTACTAAAACTCTATGATATCGAGTGCTGGTCTTCGTTACTTGATATTCCGGACGATCTTTGGGTTTCTATCATCCGGCAATGGCTTTGTATAACCACATCTCCAGAACGATACCAGTCTCACCGCTGGCAAATGAGTTGCAAACCAGTCAACCTCATACTAGCCTATGTTCTTTGACACTTCCTCGGTCAACACCGAGAATGATCCACTGACTCACGCAGCCTTGTCAACCTCGCCCACCTCGACAAGAATCCAATCTTTCCATTCGCGGTATCCTCCAACGCCAAGAGACCAGGGAGACACGACTCTCGGAGGGGCAGATCACTTAATCTCATTCCCCGTATTCGAGTTCCTGCCGCCATGAGGGTCAAGTTCTGGAGCTCCTTCAGCGATCTGATGCGGGTGTAGAGCGTGTCCAACATCCTCCAATGGTCGTGGTCCTTCTCCATCCACGTCGCCATATTCTGGTCAGTGAGTTACTTGGGATCCCTGCCGTCACTGGTAAGAAAACTATGAGGACCTAATGTCGGAGCCGAGTGCACGCCCACTCGTTCATCTCAGATTTCTCGTCCAAGTTGTAGGCAACACCCCTCTTATACTCGTCACCGGCAATTAGAACCTCGAGCGCGCAGCAGGACTCAAGGATGGATTTGAAGGTCGAGGCGTGAATTTGTCGACACGGAAGGCGCAACGATTACTCACTTTGGTGACGTTATTTATGCGCCCATTGACGGCCAGGGGTTCCATTTTTTATGGTTCTTCAATGTTAAGATGACAAAGGACATCAGAGATGTTGCAAACGATTTATTCAAAAGTGTATCGTTCCGAACCTTGTGCGGTTAGGCCGCCAACTGCGGATCCTTCTGGAAAAGCCCATTCTCCATCTCCCAGAACAATACCTGGCGAGATCCGATGACAACAACCAAATAGGCTGTTACCACGTTGTCCACCTTCAGCTCCGTAATCTCTGGACTGGCAACGTACTCTTTGAGTTGTTGACGTGGCGATATCTTGTTACCTCTGATAGGGCCATCCACAATCCATTGTCGGATGGTTTGTCCTGGTTTCCATAAATCGCGCAGACTAAACTTGAGCTCAAGAACATCTTCCGCATGGGTCATGCCTCTAAGGCGCTCGGCTTTTTCCTGGCGTCCCCCCCAGCGCCAATAACCAAGAAATCAACCTGAATCGCTTTCCACTCCAATAGTAGCACTCGATCCTTCGGCTTCGACGGGACCCGATTCAACATGTCGACTCGCCCGGGATATTGCGACGGCTAATATTGCCATGCAGAAAATTGAGGTAGTTACAAAGTATTAGTGCACAAGGACAATTGTTACAACTGGATCTTGTCAAGTCAATATCGTGTTACCTTTGTGATTTGAGTCTCCAATCCAATTTCCCGCAACGAGGGATGTGAATTGCCAAGCAGCGCGTAGTAAAAAGAGTCCCGGTGGTTCTCCTCCGTTTTTTTAAAGTCATTGTCACCTACATCGCGGATTTCCATAGTTCGCTTGTATAGTGCGAATGCCTGACGTACATTCCCGCTTGATACGATGTTTCGAAATGCAAGATCGACATCTTCGAGGCGTAGTTTCAGACGGCCCAAAGCGGCATTGCCGAAGCGCTCGGCAGCAACGAGATTTGGAATCTGTAGTTGCTTGGAGTCGCCGCAGAAGGTAAGACCGCCAATGTGAAGCATATAGCTGAGCCACGACGGTTTGCTGGTCGCAATGTCGCTAGCGTATTGTATTTTGGGACAAGAGGTAAGAAACCTCTGCTTCTATATAGGACGAACATTAGGATGAATACGAAGAACAGCATTCATCATACGTGCCAAACCAGTAAGGCGGAATGACTGGGAAAGGTCTTGATATGGGATTGCACGATTCTGCGCAACGTTGGGTGGCATGATCTGGCTCCTGAGGCTGTCCAAAATAATGCCGCTTGCGACAGGCGAGGTAGCAAGAATCTATAGTGCTGGCTCAGATACCTCAGAGTTGCTAACGGCTGATGGGTTGATTGGTACGCCTCTTACCAGACTCTAACACCAGTAGCAGTAGTGCAAATGATAATGGTATCGCACTAAGTCAGCAATCATTCAATAGCAGAAACAAGCTCTTTTGGTCTTGCAGCTCACCTCCAGGTATTCCAAGCAAGTGTTCGTGTTGAAAACTTGTTGGACCTTGCTCGAAGGGGCGAATGTGTAACCATTGTAGTTGGCCTTCATGATGTCAAAGTGATCATGGACCTTGATTTCGGATTTGCTCACACTGAGTAGATTCAAAGCGGCGTAGACATCTTCGTCGGTGAGGCCACAAAGGCCAGACAGCTCCTCCCGCCATGATACGTATGTTGCAACATTGAATCCACTGGTATGGTCGGCCATGGAAAGTGGTGATACGCCTGTGATGAAGCATTTCGCAATGCTTCGAGGGCCCAGCTTCGACTTCACCGTCGCCCAAAAACCTTTGAGCAATGAGTTGGCCCTGGAACGGAGGTGATCCCATGGTCTAGGGTCGTCGGGGCTCAGAAACTCATTGCTGAAAGCGTCATATTCATCCGCCAAGAGATGGATCTACAAATGAGCAGACTGCAGCGTAAGTAATGGTAGTGGTTAAGCTCAGGTAGAAAAAAAAGAGTACTGTATTAGCACTTACCCCTTTCACACCATACAGTGGATCGTTCAATTCCTTGATGGCTTCGAGTGTCTCTGTGACCAAATTAACGCACCCAGAAAGACTTCCAACACCAGAGGGAATAATGTTTCTGTCAATCAGGTGCTCGCTCGAGGCCTCTCCGAGATACTGGGCATATGTCCTATAGAAGTTCCCGATGGCGCTGTTGATCATTGCACTAAGGCTGTCCTCAGCTGTTTTAACGTCGGGAGAGCGGTTGACAGCAGAAAAATCAAAAGTCAAAATCAGGTACTGGCCTGGTGTGACTTTTTCGCTCCTCACGCCTCGGTCCACGTCAAGGCCCTATTAGAGAAAGTAAGAGAAAGTAAGAGCGGTTTAGTAGTGGAGTCAGATCAAAAAGATAAAAATAGTAAGAATGGAGGGGACATACCTGGAAAAGTTTTTCGTAGTTTTGCCTATGCTCAACTCCATGAAAGTGAGCCAACATGCTGAGGAAAAGAGACTTTCCGAATCGACGTGGTCTTAGGAATAGTAGCACAGCCTCCAGAAAAGATTCCAGCACAGATATGTAGCCGGTACGATCAAAGTAGGCGTATTGCGGATTCGTACGGATTGCCTCAAAGCTGCGCTTGTCGTTAAGTGGGAACCCTTTAAAGTCATCTTTTCTGAAGGTCATCGATGCCTCGCGACTGTCGTAAGGTGCCACTGTCAGGCATGGCCGAACGATGCGTCCATCCGCCTCTGACGAGAGCCATTTTCTCTTGCTTGATGTCATGGCTGCGCAGGAATTATAAAACATCAGTAAGTCAAATGTAGATGAAGTGAATAATGCGAGCTTGAAATGCGTACAATCCACAGTTTACCTTGAGGAGCTCGCTGGACGATGATGTGGATTGTTTTCTTGGGTGGTTTGTCTGGAAAGACATCGGAAACATCGTCGGTTGGGTCTAGCTCTGTTGACGACTCAACTTCATTCCGGACAATCGGGTTGTGTTTGTTGGCTGCAACGACGGGGATCGAGATGCGCCAGAGGGTGAGGTCCTTTGAGAGCGTGTCGATATCCAGTCTGGCACTGATGAGTACCCTGAGATCATCAATGGTGTTTGTTGGTGTAGCTTTGACGGAGAAGGCGTTCGACTGGCTATATCACTAACTGTCCGTCTTTTCGTTATAGTAACTGGCAGGCGTGACGGAGAGGGCTGGCTGACAGTAAGGGAGGGTGATGGAGGGAAATAGGCACTCGCCAGTACCCTGGCGGGTTCAGAGATGTTGGATATGGTGGAAAAAGGGAGCTTGGGGGTCAGAGCAGGTGACAATAATGTAGGGGTAGAAGTGGTTGAAGGAGGGAGCGCCTGTAGGTTGTGTTCAGAGGAGGGCAGAGTGGGAAGTGGTTCAAAAGGAGAGAGTATGTCGCTGGTGGAAGGAGCTGACGCCCATTGTTCCTGGGTGTTGTCAGAAGCAAAAGCATTGTGCGATGAATACTGAGTTTGAGGGAAGACAGGGCTGTTGTTATATAGGTAAGGGGGTTGGTTGAATCTGAGCGATCTTAGTTGGGTGATGTTGTGTGGGTTGTGTTGATTGTATCTAATATGGCTTTGTTGATTGATGGAAGATTGCTGATAGTTGGACAGGTTGAGTTGGTTGTCCGATTGGTGTTGTGTTGTTTGTTGCATCGAGAGGAAACCAGGCAGGGGTGGGCGGTGCTGGTTCCTTTCCGTTGCCATGCCTGAGGGAGGTAGGTTACACAGTGAACCACACCGCTCTACTTCAGGTGCAAAAATTGGCGTCTTCAGCCACCTTCCGGTGTGGCCATCGGTGTGCTGAAGTGGTGGTCCACCGGACGAGAAATTAATTAAACGGTCACACACCTGTTCTCCTTCCAGTGTACAACCTGTTCTCTACCAGTGTACACCTGTTCTCTACCAGTGTACACCTGTTCTCTACCAGTGTACACCTGTTCTTCTACCGGTGTACACTGGTTCTCTATCTGGCTCTCTGTTGTACACTGCTTGTGTTGCCACCCAGTATGCGTCGTAAAAACCATGCTACATTTGACCTGCGTCCACGCACATCAGCCTTCGCTTTGCCTTTCAACATCGCTCCCCAAACGGCAATTTCTTCCCTAAAAGCATTTCCTCACTGTTGTCACTTCTCTTGCTCATTATTATTTTCCTGTCCTTCCTTCGTTTCCAACTCACTCAACTCACTCTCCCACCTTCTTCACCCGCTGGTAAGTCCTCAGTTTCATCCATACCCGCGACTGTATCAGCACATACACCAATAAAGCAGGAGCAAATACGTGATTTACACGTTATGATCTCTCCATAATATCAACGCGACACCCCTCATGTTTGCTTTCTTCTTACTCATATCACTTGGTCGCCACCCGTTCGTTCGTCTGATATGCTTTATAAAAGAAGGGATTTAATGCCAATAAAGATACCCAGGATTCAAGTAATGTGGAAATCTACAGAAGAATTTGTTGAAACTATGGTTGCGCATCAAGTTCCGGAAAGTTGTATGAAGCATCCTGCACCTATTGGTTCCTAGGATTCGTCCGGCACGACTAAACGATCGTTCGGATTCAGATGATGTAGCTGGGATTCCCAAGTAAGCGCGAGCCACGCGGATTAAATATGCTGCCTCGGGGTCTTCCTGCCATTCGTTCCAGTAATCCAGAGGAAGATCTGCAAATTCGGAAAAATCATTCTCCTCGGCCGCTATTTGCTCGCAGTAATCCTGCACGATCATTGCGGCATTCATCCTTCGCCTGACCAATGTTTGAATGGGCCCGGAGTGGAATCTCTTCTGGCGGCTTGGAGTCGATACTTGGGAATCCTGACGGTTCTGGGCAGAGCGTTGGGCGTCCTCCTCCTGTAAGCGAATGATTTCTGCGACGACCAAATATTTAGCCTTGCACAAATATGTCGATGGATCGCTTCTTCCATTCAACATTCGGAAGACCATATCTGTCACCTCGAAGGCCGGGGGGAGGCGTGCATCGGCGGGGAGCGGCGTATTCCACATGTCGAGCTTTCCATAAGCTGGGGTTAGGAACATGGCCACCAGCATGGAATCGGGGATAGTCTCATAGCTCCATGATTGTCGCAACTCTTTCTCCAGCTGTTGATGCATCTCTCGTGGTCCGTCGGTGACGAAAGTGTCGATAGCAGGAAGGATTCCTTCAATCCTGGGATAGACTTGTGAGATGGTCGGGTTCTCAAGTTGGCCTACCCAATGGGTGAAGTTGGCTGCTCCTTGGAGAAGTCGAATGAGCTCGTTGAGGATAGCGACCTCTTCTCCGGATGGAATGAGATTTTTGAGCGTGAGGGCGTTGGCTCGTTGGTCGTTGTGGGCTGCAAGCATTCGTCGGTATGCTTTTTCGAAGGCCGGAGAAACCTTGACGACCCGGGCGATCATTACATACTTGGAGTTCCATCTAGTGTGGTTCATCGCAAGAAGTTTGTAGCTCTTGCCGAACAGGACCTTCTGCTCCTCTGCCAGGATTGACATCGCATTCGGGTGGGTTCTAAAAAAACGGACACTTCCGAACACTTGCTGATCAGGGCTGCAACCGTGGCCGATGCTTCCCACGCTTTGCTGATACACAACTGCATTTTATGTGCAGCGCACGCGATCCAGGCCACGTTACTCGTCTCTTGCTGATAAAGAGACAGACACTTTTTCATATTCGCGCCTTGATCTGTTGTTGCGGCAATGACCTTGCCTTCCAAAGCCCAGGCTGCGAGAACTTCTTCTATATTCGAAAGAAAAGCGGAATACGTGTTAGGATCTGATAATATGATTCGTAGATTAGCCCAAACCGCCTCCTACCTTAATAAGACAACAATATCAAAAAAAAAAAAGGAACCTTACTAAGCTTTATCAGCAGATACTCTCCCGTCTGACGCTCTCCTTCAATTAGCACCATGTCGAGGAGGATTGTTGCCGTCTGTAAGCTTGGGGTAATGTAGTGCATTGTGATCCCCAGATACTTGCGCTGGTCCGCGCTTGTCCAGCCGTCGAATGTAATAGCGCAACGGTCCAAGTCCCTGGCAAACAGTCCTCGAAGATGGAGATATTTGTCACGGGTGGTATTGGCGACTTTCTTCTTCATCGTCTGTGAGGCATGGACGTCGAATCCCCGCATGCTCACTGCCTTGATTTTCCGAAAATTAGGATTGTCGAACAAAGAGTAGTTCACCGCACCCTCGCTGAGGAGATTTAGCCAGCATGTTTCCACAGTTGCCTTATCTTCCAAAGTAGGGATCGGAATACCGGGTAAGGCGCTCTGAAATTTCGATTTCCTGGGTGTCCGCTTGGGGGTCGAAGGTGCTTGGTATTCTTGTTGCTCCTGGGACGCGTGAGGGTCGACTGGCAAGCGATCCAGGCAATTCTGGAGCCCCTGGAATAATCGGAAGGCCTCGTACACTGCTTTGTGGGTGCTATTCATATGACTTTCCCGGCCGATCATTCCAGCACCACCGGATAACTTGGTCTTGCAGGAGTCGTCGGTCATTATGGCACAGATGTATTTGCTCTTTTCTTCTCCCTCATCGAAGACTTTGACCGAACGGAAAAAATGAGAGAAGATGGCGTTACCACGAGCCCGCGCACGGTTTGGAACATGTATCAAAGCCTTCATCTCCTCTGGAGCATGCTCGCTACAATCCTCAGGCGAAGGGAGCTCATACGGATGACATCTCTCCACCACCTGCAGCCATCGCTCCGAACACGCATATTGGGCACGCAATTGGCGACGCTGCTCTCCACGAACTTGAGTTGGGTTCATATCATACAACGGGGTCCCGGTCCTCATGTCCTCAATAATGGCGATTGAAGTGGCCCTGGAGTGAGATGTTTGAGACTTTGGAATACCCCTTGGAGCATCACGCGTCTCGGGGTCATCAGTACTCTCACGTCGAGATAATCCAGAAATCGATGTCGAATCCGTGGTATCGGAGAGCGCTGAGGAAGCTTGGGAGCGGTAAGGGTGGTAAGCAACTCGTGAACGAGAGGGAGACGCTACGGGGTTGGCAGTTGTTTCGGGCATTGAGGCTATGCGAAGCAATGGAGGGGGCTCAAGAACAGCAGGAGGTTCCGCACGAACGACCGTAGACATCTCTCCCGGTTGTCCCCAAAAACGCGCTTCCGCACTAGGCTGCAAGAATCGAATAAAGGGGCAGGGTCAGCAAGTAAACTCGCACAACTTGGGACGGCACAAATTCAGATCCGATAATTTCAAACAACTTACTGAAAGGAGGAACTCAACTTCGCCCTCGTTACTGTTTTCGTCAACAGGTCCGTCAGTCATTTCGTCATCAGCGTTTCGGGCTCCAATGGCACTTCGCCTAAACTTCGAAGGAAAGTCTTCCTCGAACTCTTCTCCTTGTGGACTGTGAATAGGGATCTTCTTCCAAGTCATCGTATGTGGTATCACCGGAAGGTGGCTGAAGACGCCAATTTTTGCACCTGAAGTAGTATAAGAAAAAGGCTAACACAACTTTGAGGCAATTTTTTTTTCAGAATCGCTTTTGGAATCGGCATCGAAATCCATTTTTAATAAGGAGGGAGGCTATTGGCGGGGCGATTTACTCACTTCGGTGACATAATTCTCGCGCCCAGCCAGAAGTGTTCTGTAACCTTCCATGCCTTTCTTCCTTTCTGCCACCATTCTCACACTTCCAACGCCCTCACCTTTCCACCATCACTCGATTCCTTTCCTCACTCTTCCCTCATCTCGTTGCTGGGCCACCTTCCCTGTGCGTTTTTATCGTCTCTTCCCCACCTTTTTCCTCTGTTCGACTTTACTGCCAGTTTGTTTCTCACCACCCTTATTTCTATTTCCACATCTATCGCATTTGCCACCGTTCTTACGCCCTTTCATCCCTTCTTACTTTTCCTTTTAACCTCACACCTTCTTCTATCCCTTTTTTTTTTTTTTTTTTTTTTTTTTTTTTTTTTCCATTCACCCCTCGCCCTCACTACACCCTGCACCTTCTCCACATCCCTCACTCCGTTTACAACCCTCATCTTTCCCCTTCCACTTACTTTCCTTTCACTCTTCACAACACCATGTCCAACAACCTTCTGAACCTGTTCTGTCTTGTCGACGGAGAGGCCGCCACCAACGCGTTCCCTGTCGAGATCGAGTCAACCAAGACCATCGGCGACCTCAAGGACTTCATCAGGGACAAGAATGCTGTCGAGTTTACAGATGTCGATGCCAAATCCCTTACTCTCTGGCGCGTCTCGATCCCAATCACAAAAGGCAACGAGGACACTCCCATCCTGCTCGAAGATGTCCCCAGCAGCGACAAGAACAAGCTCGGTCCAACAGACGATGTTCCCGAGTGGTTTCAACAAGTACCACTCAAGAAAACGATCCACGTCATAGTCCAGCGACCCCCACCAGGTACAGTATTCTTGCTTTCTCTAACCAAGCCTCATCATGTAGCATAAACTGGTTCATTTTACTGACTTTATTGCATGTATTTCATCATGGTCTGCGTTGCATGCATTAGCTGTGGCAATGAAGAGACTGCTTGAGCAAGGTAAACGCTGGTTTGACACATCTCCCTGTATGAACATCCCTATATTACAAACGTCTTATTCTCCAGTTTTTTCACCAAATAATAGATCCTCAGTACTTACCTCAGAAGAAGAAGATTCGTATTGAGGAAGGTTGGAAGCCATTTACGGCATCTGACGGAATCCGAGTGGATTTGCCTCCTTCTTGGATCGACATACTTGCGAGCACCGAATTTGTACCCGAACCGCGAGCAGCCTTCGATCACCTCAATGACGACCTTCGAGCTGGCGACGCAATCATTGTACCGAGTATGGGCCAAATCCCCAAGGACTTTGGACTTTACGGCCAAGGTCACAAACTTCTCGTCACCGAGCAAATGCTGGAACTTTGGGATGAAATACATCGGGACCAAGAGCGTACGTACAGACGAATCCTGTCCGGTCCGATGGGTGTTGGCAAGTCGTATCTCTCCTATTTCCTCGCAGCAAGGGCGTATGCTGAAGGATGGCTTGTCCTCTACATGTCAGATGCCGGAGAGTTGGACAGGGACGACGAGAACGAGTCAGCATTGCAGGTGGTCAAGCGATTCCTGGCTCTCAACAAAGATGTTTTGACCGGCGCCGAGTTGGCGATGCTTTTAAACGACTACGACGGCACACGCAACATATCAAGGAATGCTATGTCAGTAATCTTCGGGACGCTACTCAAGTCGCGGGATCGGAAGACGCTGTTGCTTGTTGACGAGCATGGGAAGTTGTTCAGAAAAGAGCCTTACATTCCGGACAAGTTCAGGTCGCTGGTACCTCTTTTGTTATACAACTGGTGGGGTGAGGACGCCAAGGGGTCTCGGGTGGTTTTCACAGGCACCGCGCACGCCAAGTACGAGATGGAGATCTTGGAGGAGAGCTATAGGTTCATGTCGGTGGTTTTTGTCGGGCCGCTATCAAGACATGTATTCTCCAAGCTACTGGACATGTACCCTCGCCTGGCAGCACCAGCCATCAGGAAGGAGGTCACAGCAATCACGAACTGTGTGCCGCGAGAGCTTGTGCATCTGTCAGACTATCTCGAGCTTTTCCCGGATCCCATCGCTATAGACAACCTTCAAGTATGGTCGAGCAAGCGAACCAAGGTCTTCCTATCGACTGCAAAGACGTACTACGATAGTCGCACTCCGTTTAGGAAGAACGATTTCTACGAGGCCCTCGTGCATACGTTCCTTGGCAGCACTAGCATGGTCGATTTCGAATGGGACTTCCTGGATCTAGGACTCATTTATCGGTGCAAGGACGTCGGTCGGATCGGAACACAACACCACATTTTATGCCGTCCCGCCCAGAGGGCTCTTCTAGAGCTGTTCAAGAATATGCCGCTACCTGACGCTATCAAGACGCGAATTTGTGACGGCAGCCTCAATGGGAACGAATTTGAGGAGGCTCTGTATCATCAGCTCATATGCACCGCCAAACCAATCGAGCTCAAGACAACCGATCTCAACGGCCGGCACCCGAGTACCATTTTACTGGATTTTTCCCATTATGAGACCCTCCGAGCTGGTATGACCTCCCTTGGATCCGGCCACGAAAAGGTTCTGACCCGCGGCTACTGCAATCACCCTCGATTTGACTTTATGCTTGGACCAGTGTTCATTCAAGTATCCGTCAGCGACTTTGCAAAACACAATAAGGATTCGGCGGACTTCAGCATCGCTTTCACCGCCAGGGATATCAATGGAACGAATCAGATTGAGCGTTACCTAAATGATCTGTATGGTCCCGGTCACTCCGCGAAGATAGAGCACAACAAGTTTGTTGTCACCAGGAACGGTGAGGATGTGCTTGGATTTAATGTAGTCTACATTCGTGGCTCTCCCGGCCAACCTTCGCACCCCAAATTGGCCAAGCAGTTCCCAGATGTTCGACATATCTCATTCGAGGCAGTCATTGAGAGCCTTTTCAAGAATATTGTTACAAGTCAGCCCTCCAAGTAGTAGAACTTTAATACATCCCATGAAATTGTCTCGAACTGACTACAAATCTCGAAATATTCCGTGTGTGCATGGCCATGGTTTCTTTGCCATCCTATGTTGTCACTTTCTTAGACACCATTGCCATTGCCCCCATGGCCACCTCACATCTTTCATCTACTGTTCACTTTTACTTTTCAATCCACTCCTCGGCGCATCAATACATTCCTCCAACGAACGCGGACACTACTGTAAGAGTAAGAAATGGGGCGTCGAGCGGTCGCCATCATACTATTATATCACGGGATCATATGTCAAAAAGAGAGCACTAACCTTCCTCTTGCTCATCGTTTTCCAAAACTTTGCGACTTCTTGAGAGAACAATGTCGAAAGCAGCTGTAGACTGCATTTCTCCAGCTTCGTTCGCTTTGAGTCCCACGCGTTTGGCAACCATCTGAGCACTGGCTGCATCCCCAGCTTCAGGAACAGCCATACACATATCGACCACTCCCAGTCAGAACAACACCGATGTGCAGAAACTAGTGGTGGACTGTTTGCAAGATGCGTCTCACCTTGCGGCCGACAAGAAGCGTGAGGCCCAACGACTGATCGGCGTGTTTGTTGAGACATTGCGTGATCGAATGAATGCAGCGGAGAATAAGCTCAGGACCAAGCTTCTGTTGGAAAAGCCGCCTGTGGTTATGTCGGAGGAACAGAGGATCAATGCTCGGAGAGACGCGGTCACGAATGTTGAACGACGGATTCTGGACCACTTTTCCGGTCGGATCACAGACCAGGACATGGACAATAACTAGGATGAGGTCGATGACTCCAGCAAGAGCAGCGAGAGCAGCACCGACCTCGACGACAAGAGCAGTCACCAAGAGGGATTCCTTCATTCTTCCCTCATATTCCTTTATTCCGGCAACTATCCCAGGAAGAGAGGAGAGGGATTTGATTTCGACAACATTGTGCCCAAGGACAATATCAAAGACAAGGACAAGAGTCAAATCAAGGGTACTGGGGTCGGAGCGGTTTTGAACGACTTTATCGACTGGCTGACCGAAAAATCGTTCTACAAGCCCAAAAGGGGTCGTGGTGAGCTCAACGAAACGATGCTGTATACTCCCACATACTTGGTCAGATCGGTTGCTGGGCAGTTGGCCATCGAACTCAACAAGGTGTACGGGCATGGGAGTCATGAGTTGTACAAGAAGGTATGTCTTGAAGTATCTTTTATCACGGCTATGTCTTTTCAGCTTGTACGACTGTCAAGAAAGCAGACCAAGCAATAGAATGAAGTAGATAAAGAGAACCTTGATCAAGGGCTGGGAAATGAGTATGAGGACTAGATTAAGGCGTATGTTATATTGGCGATACCAAGTAAAGAGCTATAGATTTACTATCTAAGGCCCTTTTATATTTGTTAGGGCGAAGTCACAAGAGCAAGCTCTTGTCTCGTGACAACCTCCCCCTCTAGGGCCGAGTTCCAAGAGGCCTTTGGCTGGGTTTGTGAGGGTGTTGCAGATGGAACTCGCGAACAAGGTCCGGGGAATTCTTGACACAGGCGGCCGGTTCCCAGGTTCGTTCGGATACGGGGTAGCCTCTCCAATGTATATAGTATTCAAGGTGGTTGCGCCTGATCCGTGAATCCAAAATGGCCTCAACCTCGTACTCCTCATCGCCGGAGACGACAAGCGGAGGAGGTCGTTTTGGGGCTCGACCGGGGATCGTATCTAGATGCGCACGCTCAAGTAAGTTTACATGAAAGACAGGATGTAGCTTGGTCGTTGGTGGTAAATCGAGACGGAAGGATCGAGTGCCGATTTTTTCGAGAATACGGTAAGTGCCCACGCGCTTATGGTCGAGCTTCCTGCATGGTCTGTTCGTTTGGAGGTTCCGGGCGTCCAGCCATACAAGATCTCCTACTTGCAGATTGGGTTGTGGTTGGGCCTTGGTGTCGTAGTTCCTGGCATGCTGTTCGATGGCGGTGTGGATATTGAGTTGCATCTCCGCATAGAGGTTCTTTAGGGCCTGGACGCGTTCCTGGGCTGGGACATTATCCTTCGAGACTCTTGGGATGGTGATGGTGAATTTCGGATGGTAGCCGAGGTTGGCAAAGAATGGTGTTGTTTTTGTTGTTGAGTGTGTTGCGTTGTTGTATGCAAATTCTGCTATCGGTATGCAACAGGCGAAGACTGGGACAGAGAAGTATAGGACGGGAACGAGAGTTGAAGCAGTGATGATTTTTGTTATTACTATGATACAACTAAATATATATATATACAAAGTCGCCAACTAGGTTTCTAGGAGGCCTTTCACGTCCAAATTATCATATGGTGTTTGTTACATCTCAGTAGATCTCGACGATATCCATGGCGACTATGAGATGAGAATGTATATATGATACCAAGCATGTAAGACAACCATTGTGACATTTTTTGTTTGACTATCCTACTAAACAAAGTCTTCTTATTTTTTGCACACCAATCTCTTGAATGTCTCCATCTACTATTAAACTGTACCCATCACTGCGAGATTAAGGGAAGAAACCGGGCGCTTACACCGTTCCAGATCTTTTAAAAGCTCTTGGTGTCACCCGTTCCCAGTTGACCGCTCTGGCAGTTGTGAGTCGCAACGACTATAACAGGAACATTCACTCCCTCGGCCCGGCGACTAATTTTTCTATTATCAAGTCCATTGACCGTACAGGTAATGATCAAATGGGGAAATTTTATCCCTTGATATTGATTGCTTTTTCATATGACATTCTGACAGTGCTCGATATCCTGCATTACTAAATAGACCCGAAGGACATCGTGTTGAACTATCTATCTAACAGCAGGGTTGTCTCAAAAAACACCAATAATCAGAACTTCGCCTTCTCGACCAGAGTCTTTGTGGATCTCCGACAAACCAGACTTGAAGTCGACGGATCCTGGCCCGGTTCTCAGATCCTGTTCCAGCAACTACAGGACCGATTTCAGGATTTCTGCACGCGATATGACCAATATAAACAGAGTCAAACGCGGGGAGTTCAGCCCAAGTAACTATTTACTGTTGGGCCAATCGAGATCAGGCTATATACGTGAACTGTATCTCATCTTGTTTGTATTTTTTTAAAAAAATTGATAGGTCCTCCGACGATACTATCGCACGATTGCGAGCTCCGGGCTCTTTTAATCGGTATCGGACTGTCGAATCCCCAGCACCGGTTTCCAAGGACTCTGAATCCTTTCCTCAGAGGCCACCCACTGTTAGTTTGGAGCCTACTGCTTCGACTTCTTCGGATCCGTAAGATCATAGCCATCCGCCATTAACCAGAACACAGATACCTCGACATCTTCAACGATTTTCCTTCAGGGAGCGACGAGGGAACGTGGCTCATGACTCCCCACCCAAGGCCAAGCAATTGGTTTGGAAACCGCCCAAGAAGGCTTCTGAGTCCCCCGACGACACTTCCACCAGCAGCACCAAGAAGGACAGCAAAAAGAAGGATGCAAAGGCTAAGAAGACTCGGGAAAAGCCGTCATCCAATGAAGGATCGAACTCGCACGCGGAGAAGGGCAAGCAAAGTCTCGTGAGGTCTCTCGGCTGGCACCACCCCATATCATCGCTGGAGGTCGGTACTTTGAAGACCAACATCGATAGAGTCTTGACGGATCGGCCTGATCTACAGCTCGAGGTGATCAACTGTATCAGCGAGGGTTCAGAGCTTGCAGTGGATATCAAGAGAAAAGCTCAAGGCCTCATTGGTGGGTTTCTGGAGAAGTTGCGGAATCGTATGAAGGCAGCGGAGGAGTCTAAGCGACAGGAACTGAGGAAATCAGGCAAGACCATGTCGGAGTCGGAGCGGCTGGAGGCACGGCGGGATGCGGTGACGATGGACGAGCGAGATACTCTGGATTATCTGTGTGAGAGGGTTGAGCCCAAAGTCAACAAGTGTGGTGACGACGACGTCGACGACAATCAGGAGGTTTCAGGCGACCTGGATACAGAAGGGAAGGGTAACAAATACTTCCAATTCCTTCTGTCTTTCTTGGCCTACTTGTACTCAAGGAACCTTCCAGACAAGAACTCCAAAATCGGAAAAGTCGTCAAAACCTTCATCAACATCCTGGTAGGGCTTCAACTCTTCGACATCTGTAAAAATCGAAACGAGCTCAACGAAAGAATGCCGTTCACGGCGAGCTATCTGGTGCGGTCCGTCGCTGGACAGCTCTCGGTGGAACTGAAGAAGATGTATAAAAATGGCACCCACCTTTTGTATGATCAGGTAAAGATACCAGGGCTATTAACAAAATGGGCTGAAGTTCATTGCTGCAAAATATATAGCTCATGCTTCTTAACTTTTCGCTATAGGTCAAGACCTTGAAGGATAAGGGACGACTAGAGGACCATATCGATATCCGGATTCAGGAAAACATCTCGGCCGCGGAAAACTACCTTACCCTCAACGAGCTCATACCGAACAGCTGGCGACTCGCTCCCATCACCTCTTCGCAGCAACCGTTTGTGACATTCTCGGAGCGAGAGCTGGCTCTTTTCTTTTGGAAGCGACCCTTGTTGAAACAGAGACTGGTCGAGCTGGCCTTCTCGGATGAAGATAGTACCACCCTCACGTCTGCTAAGGATCTCGAGGACTGGATCGGAGGACGAGAGCCTGGGGTTATCGTCAAGAAGTTCATCTCCGACATTGACCCAGATGGGCTGTCAAACCGTCAAAAGCGCAAGACTGGTCATCGCGGGGCCATCAAGCTGCTCTCCTTGGGTCAGATTCGGGATCATTTGGAGTTGGTTGAAGAGACAAAGCCAAAGGACTATCATTATAGCGGCTACGTCCCTCAAGGATCGATACGGACGGACGGTTTCCTGGTCCAGGTTATGGCCTTCAAGTTGCATGAACGACAGGACGCTCGATTCAAAAGACTGGCCGAGGAGGATATGCCCTCACGAATCACTACAACCGTTGCAGGGGTTAACGGTTTCCTTCAGGAAATTCGGAATGTGATCAAGAGCGAGCAGGACATCAAAGAACTTTGGCCTGGAAAGGACGTGGACAGGATGAAGATTCTAACCTTGGATGGGAGCCAAGTGTGTGTGGTTGGCGCGTTCGCACATCTACCCAATGGCTTGGGTGGCAAGGAGAAGGCTGAGGAGGAGTCCAGCATGGACGGAATCATCACCACCAACCAAGAATCGACCAGCCTCGCCAGCCAAGGGTTAGCGTCCGTGGATCCAGTGCCCGCGTCAGCTTCCACCATCACCTCTGCGCAGCCTCCAGTAACGGATTCGCTCGTGACCATTTCGAGACCTGCCTACTGTAACTTGGCGGTGAAGCAGAAGGCCGTATATCAGCCAACATTTCGCTTCAGAAGGTGGCTCGAGAACGAGAAGATGGCTACACCACAAGGCGACGAGGAGAAGTCGATTACTTACATCGAAACCCATCTGCCACCTCTTCGAGGACAAGATGCGAGCGTTATTGAGTATGTGACAGAGCTGGAGCAGGTCGAGCAATGGCTGAAAAAGTTCTATACTGGAGACGACCATCGGTATCAAAGACATCGTTGGGATATGGCACGGACCCGACAAGCAGAGTATCAAACGATCGCGGAGAGACTGCTTGGGATTGTTGGTGGCAGTCTAGGTCGGCGTGTGGAAGATAACAAGGACACCGACCCTATCCTAATTGGCGTTGGTCTTGGACAGTTCGCAAGCAAGTCTAGGCTCTCGTCCCTACACTCGACCTTCCTATCGTACTTCATTCAGAAGGTAGGCTTGTTTTTATCGATACCTTTGATACAAGGCACTGCAAGTGAATATCATTGAATGAAAGAAAAAAAAATAACTAACATGGTTATTTATTCGCGATTTTCAAGCACGCTCGTTGGGCTATGTGGTTGTTGGCCTGAACGAGTTTTATACCTCGAAGAAGTGTCCGAGGTGCACTTGCTTTGTCGCACAAGTGACCTTACGGACCTTCTACTGCTTCCACTGCCAGATATACCACCACAGAGATGTCATGGCAGCCGAAAACATGTCCAAGATCGCTCTAGGACACCTGGTGAGGCAGGAGAGACCCGATTACCTCCAGCCTATCAACGCAGATGGATCGTACCCTTGGAAGGCTAGGTCTGGCGAGGGATCCGGTACAAGTTCGAGCAGTATGGCCACCGGCAGCACCCCCACCAATCGAGTCCCAGGACGTCGCAAGAGGGCCATTCCCCCTTCTAGTCAGGATCAGGGCAGGAAAGGCAAATCGGCCCGAGCTTAGACTGTTTTTTACGCGTGTGCGAAACCACGCACTAGTGATGGATTGTGGGACTGGATTCTACGATGGAGTTACTTTGGTGACGTCATTTTGGCGCCCATTGTCCTGCGGCCGTTTTGCCTTTTGCCTTTCATCCTTCCACCACTCCCACGCTTTTCATCTCTTCCACAGCAACCTCATCCTCACTCCCACGCCTGTTTCATAACATCTATACCCAGCCCTCTTTTTCCTCACCCAGCAAGCTCATCGTCGCCCTTCTCTTTCCCTTTACTCTCTCCATCATCCTTTTCTTTGTACCCTTCCTCCTCAGTTTGTTTACCTTCGTCCTTTCCCTTCACATCTCTCTCTCTCTCTCTCTCTCTCTCTCTCTCTCTCTCTCTCGCACATTCTTTACCATTCTTGCCTTCCAACTCAACCTCGCGCACCATCCTGTGCTATTCTTCCTTTCCTTGAGCATTAGTTAAGTGTCTTTTTTACATCAGTAGTACCGTTTTCCGTTGGTCGATGGACCACTAGGTTGACCACCATGTCTCCTTGTCACCACAATATCGCTGGTGACATTGCGTGTCTGTTCAACGGGATTGGAGTGCTTTCCTTATGAAGCTCCTGTAGAGACAACTCCGCATTGCGGTTTCTCTCTCCGAAGTCCAACACCCAACAGAGTTTTCGTCATTGCTAGAAACTCTGCGGCTTTGCGCGTTGAAAGTACCTGGTATTCTGACATCAAGTCGAGCAGGACTTTGTCAGATATGAGACTTCCTTTTTATTCATTTTTATTTATTTATTTTTATTTTTCAATATTTTTGGGTTACACACACACTAACAGTCATTGATGCCATATGCAATAGGTCCCGATATGTCTAAGGGCAAGCCCAAGGCGACTTGGTGCTACGCACTCAGAAATCTGTACACGAGAGTCGTGTGACAGCCCACAGGACTTCGGGTATAAAGACTTTTTGTTATGGTCGAAAAAACAACAGATGAGCAAAATCAAGGCACAGCAGGAATGGAGTGTTGCGAGAAAGTTCCTTACCAGGAGCCGCCTTCAGTCCTTGCAGGAAGCAGCCGCTAGGCTCAATACTGCTTGGAAATCAGGCTTGGACGCCGAATTTGAGAAGGATTTTTTTCTGGAGCGACAATCTCAGAGGACATTCGAGAAACGCCGTCGAAAGCTACATGGTTTGATCGATGATGTGATAAACAAACAGCGTCGCAAAGACTATGCAAGCGAGAAGGCCTCTTTGGACAAGGAGCTCCAAAACGGTAAGTAGGTTGACTGAGTTCAATTTTCTTTGTATAGTGCAACACGCCTTACGTTCCCCTTTAACTCCTATTTTCTGTATGCAATGGTTGTAGATGAGGACGGCGTCGACGAGGACAGCGACGACGAGATCGACTTGCGGGACGGAGAGGAGGATTTAACATCAGGTTATCACACACCACCACCAAAGCAAGTCCAAGGGTATCATGATGAGGTCCCTTCTGCGGAAGAGTAAGTAGTTTTGCCGTTTTAACGCGTGAGCTATTATACCTGACTATTACTGAAATTATTGTACTTTTCTTTTTATAGTTCCGAGGCATCATTTCACTATCAGGACAATACAAGCAGCTCCACATTGAGCGATGAAGATCAGGCGCTGTACAACGAGGCTGCAACCTGGTTCAAGTCAATGATTGGGCGAAACACTGAATCTGCAATTCGAAAGCTACGAGAGGAGCGGTTTCGCGAGCCTTGGGTGCACGACCTCCTTTACGACCGGTAAGTCACTATGCCAACATCGTAGCCATGTCAATCATCAAAGACGACATACGATTGATATTCTTTCTTCTTTATTGTATACATAGGCTCAAGATTCTTCGCACTGGCTTAAGCGCTCAGACCGATGAGAACACATACACCTCATTTTGGGTCGCGCCCGACTTTGTGGCATTGCAGACCGGCATTCCAGGCCTCATCTCCAAGGGCTTTGTCAACGAGAACCACTTTACTCCATCTGCATGGCGACGAGCACTTTCGAGAGGCAAGCTGTTTGCCAAAGGCACTAATGTTGACGCGTACTATCTTGCTCGAGACAATCACGTCAATGTCATCTTCGAAAACATTGGATCGCCGACGTGCACCAACCACGGGAAACATGACGACGACAAGAAGAAATGCTATAGGAATGCCGCGGACGCACTTCTGGATCGCTTCTACAATTCTTCAGGATCCTTTGAGATTGCGAAAGACTACAGAATCATACTAGTCGTCGTCTTCGGTAAATTTCGTGATTTTACTTATGCCATTTGGCTCCCGTCTGTAGACTGGGTCAACTAATCCACTACTCCACCGTCTTTTAGGTCATGATGTGACCATATACACCGCCAGCATCAAGGGCAGCAACGAGTATAACGTGTCCAAGGTTTTCCAAGGAAGGTACCATTTTTCCAAGGATGTTTATGCAACATATTAGGTTTATCATTGCTCTCTAGTTAGTCATTCCTTGTCACTCTCTATCATCTTTGACTCACTATGACACTACACCTAGAAACCTAGTTGGCGACTTTGTATATATATTTAGTTGTACCATAGTAATAACATCAATCATCACTGCTTCAACTCTCGTCCCCGTTCTATACTTCTCTGTCCCAGTCTTCGCCTGTTGCAGTTTACCTTGCCAAGCTCCTCGTTCATTTGAAGTTCTGTCTGACAATTAAGGTACCTTCCATTTCTTGCCATCAGTTGACTTTTCGTCTCATTCTCCTTATCAATAACCACTGACTAGATGCTCTTTCCATACAGACCATCATGGAAATGAATGTAGATGTGTCGGTCAGATTTGGAAATTCAATTGAATCGGTGTCAAAGGAGGAGCAAGCGCATTACAATTTGAAAACTCATACGACGCCGACGACCTAGCGGATTTTAAGTGACGATGAGAGCGACAGTGAAAGCGAGAGCGAGGATAACAACGGCGACGACGAGGAAGACGACAAGGAAGACGTGGATCAGGAGGCTGAGACTTCTACTGACATGGATAGCGTCTCTACAATAATTGTTGCACTACGTCACTTCTTCATTGGTTTAATAAATGATAAACAACTGTAACCGAAGTGTGGGTGTGTACAAGTCAAAATTCAGGGGGAAGAAGGAAGACGAGAAAGGCGGTCGTTGACCCGTTTGTTGGACACCAAAAGGGAAGTGACCCTTAAAGGAAGGCAGATCGAAAAGGGGACAAATGTGGACATGACTCACACGAGTGTTTTCTTAATACATACCAATTTTTTGGTCATTTGTGTATCCCCTAGCCATGTATTTTTTTCTTCGTTCGCTCCACTCCATCCCACTCCTATCTCTCACAAAATGCCCCAGCCGTCTCGTCCCGCCACCAGCGATGCAGCCACAGACCTCCTTACCAAGGGTTTCAAGAAACATTTTACTTTGCGCCATTATGAGTTTATTCTGGACTGGTTGGAGCGGCCAGGGAACTACGACAGAGTATTTGGCTCGTCGTCCAGAACCCAAATAGGACAAACCAAGTCAACCGCGAGCGTTGGCGTTCTGAAGTTCTGGGCATCGGGTCAAAATTTATGATGGACGAATGTGAAAAAAAAGCGTTTATTTTCGAAATGCAGGACCTTTTTCGCTCATGCATTTCAAAATGCAAAAAAAGCGCATACAGTCGAAAATGGTTTTTGGGCCCATTTTACTAGTGAAAATGGGCCAAGAAACGAAACAAACAGACTGAATTACCTCCATGAAAGAAGTATTCTAAAACTTGAAAACACAGTCCCGAGTATTAGTGCACGTGAGCATTGACGCAACCATGCACAGAGAAAGAAAAGGAAAGTCGTGTTTTATTCATGTCCATTCGCAACTACTTCAACCAACTCTTCATCCCTAACGGCCGTACAAGCACGCACAAGGTGTTTTACTGCTTTTCGGAGCTCCTCCTTACTTCCTTGGCCCCGTCCCCCACTCTGTCGCACTCGCTTGATACCGTCGATTGTAAGAACATCACTGTCTCCTGCCAAACGTTTCAGCGTCTCAATAGTTCCATAAATATCTGTGTCTGCGATGGGTGAGCTTCCAGGATCCTCGTGGCTTGAGCAATCGCCAGTGCTTACTTGATGACCGTCCACGCTTTCACGTTCTCTTCCCTCCTCATCCACTTGTTGTAGCTCCTCCTCGACCTGCTCATCTCTGCTCTCTACCGCTCTGAAACCCACTACATTCGCTGGCCCAATCTCGGCGATGATATGTTCGAAATATGCCTTCTCCTGCTCTTTGTATCGTTCGTGCTGGGTGGACTGAGGCTTTATCTGCTCATCCTTAGTTGGCCGTCGTCGTCGAAGCTCCTCGCGCATTTCTGTTGGAAGGACAGGGGTTTTGGCGAAGCAGTTGCGCAGTGTGGAAGGTTTGATCTCACCCCATGCGTCTGGGATCAGTGTCCAAGCGCGCCCATTGGAGATAGTCGTAGTTTGGTCGAAGTTACGAGCAAGATATATTTCACGGCCAAGTTTCTCCAGAAACGCTCGTTTGAAAGCGCTGATAACGCCGGCATTGAGAGGCTGGGTAACCGATGTCGAGTTTGTGGGTAGTCGCCGGATGCAAAGATACTTCCAAGGAATTCCATGTTGATGGTCGCGCATATCGACATCATTGTGTAATCCTGCGGAATCCAGAAGAAGAAGAATTGGCTGTGAGAGCTCATCATCCAACTATTCCAGCCAGCGTACGAATACATCGCCGGTCATCCATCCTTTCTTCGTTCTCACCATGATCATCTTCGAGGCCGCCTCTTCTTCAACGTCTCTAGGGATGTGTTCGCCTAATGGGTATCAAGCAGCCATAAAGGTTAAGATCTGAAAAAAGAATGCTGTCATTTGTAGCACTGTCATACATGTTGCATCTCAGTGTCTGTCCACTCACTCCTCATTCTCTATTAAGGGTAGTAGTGTTATATATATTCTCATAGGGCTCAATAAAGACCCCAGCTTCTTTCTCACCATCTTCCTCTCCCCAGCTGTTCATATTACAATACATATAGTATATTACCGATAACCACTGGCCTCAATGACTGTTTAGTCTTGGCCAAGGCGAGAGACGTGCCAGAGGCATTGATGCAAAATAAAATGGATACTTTGCAGTTCCGGAGAGCCTTGGCGCCAGATTTGAAAAGCGATGTCGTGTAAGATTTGGTGTTCAGTTCCTTTACACACATCCCGGTCTCATCGCAGTTGAAGTGCAACATATTAGGCTTATCATTGCTCTCTAGTTAGTCATTCCCTGTCACTCTCTATCATCTCTGACTCACTATGACACTACACCTAGAAACCTAGTTGGCGCCTTTGTATATATATTTAGTTGTACCATAGTAATAACATCAATCATCACTGCTTCAACTCTCGTCCCCGTTCTATACTTCTCTGTCTCAGTCTTCGCCTGTTGCATGGTACAGTATGTCTTGAGGTTGACTGAAGGGTAGGGCGGCATGTGATCCGTAAATCCAAGCATAGATAAGGCTGGACTGAATAACACCCCTTATATTTTCAATTCAGTGGAAAAGGCCCACATTTACTATGAAAAGTGGGCCTTTTCGCAAAAAGGAGTGTAGTAAAATGGGACCAAAAACCATTTTCGACTGTACTCACTTCGGTGACGTAATTCTCGCGTCCTGCTCCCTTACGTCAGCCGAAGTCACCATTTGTTGCCTTTGCCATCATTCCCACACTTCCAACGCCCTTACCTTTCCACCACGCGCTTTCTTCACCGCCTTTACCATCATTGTCTCTTTCCTTCCTTTTTCCTCTGTTCGACTTTACTGCCAGTTTGTTTCTCACCGCCCTTATTGCTATTTCCACACCCATCGCCATAGTTTTTCATCCCTTCTTACTTTTCCTTTTAACCCCACGCCTTCTCTTTTAACACCACACCCTCTTTCATCCCTTTGCTTTTTTTTTCTTTCACCCCTCGACTTCCATATCCTTCACCTTCCAGCCTTCTTCACCCCATTTCCACTGATACTTGGCAGAACCATGACCGACAACCTGACCCTGTACTGTCTTGTTGATGGCGAACCTGTGAAGGATGCCTTCAAGATCAGGGACATCCCATCGTCGCATGACGTCGACGACCTCAAAGACGCAATCGTACGCAAGAAACCCAACGATTTCCGCGATGTTGATGCGAACAAGCTCTCCCTCAGCTGTGTCTCCATTCATGACGACGGAACCATTCACGACAAGACGGAGCTGAACAACCCTAGAGCACTCCTCTCCACGCTGTTTGCCGCGAGTCCCGACGACAACACCTACATTATCGTCCAGCGACCTCCTCAAGGTAATGCACACGCGTGCTATATTGTCACCTTACTCGTGAGCTTGCATATAATCTTGTTCATCGTACTAACCTCAATTTACACATCCGATTGCACTGACATAGCTCAAGCCTCTGTTCTTACCCGTGTCTCCGCTCCTCGTTCGGCCCATCCATGGGATAGGTCACGTTCTGGTGAGTGTCATAGATCTAGTTTTAAAACTTTAATGGGTAAGCTTGTCTCTATTAGCTAACTTTCCTTTTTTCCCCTTTGATTATGCAGTTTCACCCATACAACTGAAGTCTGTTCCGGTGGACCTCATTGAGAAGGAGTTGGCAGTCGTTCTCAAAGGCGTCGACCATCACCATATCAACCATGCCGTCGATCCAAAGGCCGTCGAATCCTCTCAGAGGAAAAGACTAGGGCCCTTTTACAAGAGGACCTTGCCATATCACAATTCAGCGACGGAAACAAGCCTGGTGATGTTGGGACTTGAGCTGGACAAGCAAGCGAGGACGAGCAACGGTGAGACTCTTTGTTCTATTGTCGAGGACGACATCGGCAAGTTCAGCGGTCACCGAGTGGTCGCCATGGTTGCCCCGTCCGGCTCAGGAAAGACCGCCACTGTCATTGATCTGGCAGCCAAGCACTTTGTCGTCTACAGCACCTGTTGTTCTCCGGGTCACACCGTCTCTCCCGACTTCAAGGATCCAAACTTTGTCACGCTTGCCAAAGACGTCGAGCGTATATATATGAAAAGGACCGAGAGGGAGCCAAGGACATTGCACGAATTGTTGGATCTCGATTCCAATGTAAAGGCACTCGCAGGAGAGCGCGTCGAGCTCGAGTTCCTTGCGCGGTTTCTTTTCTTGCAGCTGCTTCTCAACGATAATCCCGATCTGGAGCCAATTCAGTTCTTCCGTGAGCAGACCACCGGAGGAGCCTCGACTATCTGCGAGTTTGTGCAAGTGCTGCGGGAGTACAACCGCCTAGCGATTCAGTACATGCTCGATGACGTCCAGACCAAGCTTCAGTCTCTTCTTGTTCCCAAACGACTTGGATTGGTGATTGCCCTTGATGAGGCTCAAGTTGCAGTGACCCACATCTTGTCCGGCAAGCTCCTCTCGCCATCCGCTTTGATGAAGAGCAGTGACGTCCTCTTCGACAGCAACAACCAAATACGATCCAATTTCCGCCGTGGTTTTCTCACGCCTTTGTCCGCAACACTGAGCAACATGCAGGCAACACTAGTGATACTTGGCACAGCCCTCACATTACAGGTTGCCGACCCCGTGTACATGGCCATCGCCAAACCCACTAATTTCTCAAGGATAACGGACTTTCCTCAGTTCGACGAAAATGACGTTGACAAAATTCTCGCGGATCTGGTCGATATGTCGGACTGTGAAATCCCACCTGCCAAACGCCGCAAGCTAAGAGGACGAGCTCGATTTTCCGTTGACGTCGTCAAACGCCTTGCCACACCCTGCTCTTCTCAGGACTCGAAACAAGCTGCTCTCGTTGACGCTGTTGACAAGTCGATTGAGCATACAACAAATGGCCTCCGGGTTGGGGTACGCACTATTCTTGAGAGAGACAATACAGGCGAGGCAGCGCGGCTTCTTAGTCGAATGGTCTTGGCCTATCATCTCCAAGATGCCAAAATTTCGTTCTCGAGCCAACAGCAGGTCGACTTTGTGGACAAGGCCTTGTGTAGGCTTCGACCACATTCTGATGACATTCACTTGATCTTGGACGAGCCAATGGTGGTTGAGGCGGTGGAGGCAGAGTTAAGGGCTTCATGCAAGGACCCATCGTTCTTGGAGTACATGGATGAGTTATATCGGATTGTCACCAACTTTGGCATGGCTTCAACTTCAAAGGGAGATGGACTGGAACCACTTGTCCGTCGATCGCTTCAACGCTTCAACGGCTACCGTCTTGTTGATCTTCCTTTCCTTCGAGGTGTCGCATTGCCCAAATGGTGCGACGATCTCAATCTTCAAATCGACGGAATCAACACGGCCAATGGATTTGGATATACCGACAGTGGCATTGCCGCCGATCTCGCCTTTCTCGCCGATCGTCCTCCGAACAAGATGCTTATTGCCAACTTTGGCACACGTCCGAATGGAGCTTGGTTTTTCTCTGACAATCAGTACGCCGGCTCTCTTGCGATCAAGTTCTACAGCAACTCTGTGCCACAGAAAAAGCACAATGAAAACGAGACGTCCAGCGATATTCGCGCGTGTTTTTTGAAAACGAACGGCACGGAGAGCAAGAACTTGGCCGGCATTCGACGTGCCTACGTGGGTACAGGCACTCCTTCCAACCTTAGGGGCATCCTCCGGATCCACCTCGAGTTCCCTGACGTCGATCTTGGTATGCCAGCTACCCATGTCAAGACGAACCCTGCGACTGGCGACGAGGATGTGATGGTGTATATCAATCTTTTGAACATGGACGATTTTTTCTTTGAGGGCATCTCAGAGCACAAGGACGATATGGTCTGGCTGAAAAAGTTGATCAGATTTGTCTGCCAGAAATAAACGCTTCACGATTTGCAAACCTATTTCTCTTCTTTTTCACCCTTATGTTCTAATGCTACTTCGTCATTTTGACGCCATATTTTGAACGCGGCAGCTTGTTTGCCGCAGATCGTGAAACAAATCATTGGACATGTAGCCTTACTAGAATAGTACCCGCGGCTTCGCTCGCGGAGGTGTGGATCAAGTGTGAAGTGATCAAAAAGTGGTGGTGGTTGAATATTTAAACGTTTATTTGTGTTTGTCAGTTCCTTATTTCTCTCTTGCTTTTCTTGTCTATCTTTTTCCTGCTTTCTCTTTTTTCTTCTTTTTGTCCTCCCTGACTTTTTTTTTTTATTGACGTCAGATCTCCCACAAATCACGCCGGCATGCCAGGCCTGACTAATCCAAGCTATGGGAAGGAGGTGTTAGACGGGACCCCTGGGAGTCCGAATGCCTATGGTTACACAACTTGGGTCGCATGAATGCCTTGAAGTGGCCAGCACCGAGCCAGCCCCCCGCATCCCCTACGCGACCTGTCAGGTGTGATGAGTCGAGATCTCGGGTCAAAGATATTATGTAGCAGTCTCGTTTCTTTCCATTAAATGCAACACCATCTTGCCATGTACGTGCTGGACAACCTTCTCGTCTGCCTCAGTCAGACCTTGTTTGACAAATCGACTCGTCGCCTTGGCGGGCCAAACCCTGTCGGCTTTCCTCCCTTGCTCAAACCCGCCTTGTTCTCTCGAGGTATTATTCCTTGGGTCCTCTCCTATTCCACCATTACCCTTGCAACGTACGTGCCATATCTCCGTCCGCCAAAAGTCCTCTATCGCACTCACAATACCTTTTTTTCTTTTTACTTCCCTCTGCCAGACGGTCAACGCATGTCACGGTTCTTGAGCTGATACCGGAGGATGTAAAGGCAATGACATTGTTGAAGATCCAGAAGGTTGCAAGAAATAGTCCGGAGAAAAAGGTACCACCTCTGAAAGGCTTTGTAATTCACATATGGACATGGCACCGTAGACAATGTAATTCAGCAAGGGAAGCTTCAATGGCCGGCGTTTTGACTCTTAGACAGCAGAGAAGCGTAGATTAGCGAGTGTACATCCAACACACTCCTGCGTTTTCAAAAGAAATGATTAAATCGATATCAATAAAAAGTGTAAATTAGCTGTACAATGCTCCAAAAAGTGAATGTTCCGACCGGCCCCCAGATTCCTGTTATTCATTCTCTCGATTCGTAGCCTCATTCATTACAACTTGCTTCATTTTGCATGGACCGACATCGGGTCATCGTCGGAATCGAAATGCCTGAATCGAATGTTTTTTTTTTTAAATTTTTTTTTTTTGAGGGAAAAGAGAGGATTTATTGTGGCTTAAACAGCCTTAATAGAGTTATTTTGTGCTATGGTTTTGGTGATTTTGCGAAGTATGGTGTGGATGATATCGCTACTAGATTGAGTGTGTTGATGAAGAAAAAGAACGGTGTTGGCTGTTGAAATACCAATGAGGCAACAAGCCAGCAATTGTGAGATAGTGATGTTAAATTGGGGTTTGATATCAAAGGTTGGAGGATGGAGCCTGAATCGAATGAATCAGTTAATTGGATTAATGCATCCCGATTTTTTTTCAACTTGCGGGGTCTTTTTAGTTTCTAACTACCTTTAAACTTTAATGAGTTACGTACTGAATCCTATAGGACCATCTATCAAAGTTTGTAGTTCTTACTCATAGTCTTTTCTATATGACCTATATGCCTGATTTTAAATGGACTTAGCATGTGTTTAGTTGTGTTTTTTTAACCACAAGCTCAGTGCGCTTACTACCGGCAAACTGAAAGCTGGTCCATGTATAAGACATGGAGTGGATTATCATCATAGAAAAGGTACGGGATTATCATAACGCTAGCATGAAATATCACTAATGTAAGTATTGTTACATGGAGCTAGCATGATTTCACACATTGTCATGATATTGCGCTCCATAGGGAATAACTGGCCTCTTACATTGACCACATTTAGATTATACACCATGCGCTACAAATGGCCCAGCTTTCAGTTTGCCGGTAGTAAGCGCACTGAGCTTGTGGTTAAAAAAACACAACTAAACACATGCTAAGTCCATGTAAAATCAGGCATATAGGTCATATAGAAAAGACTATGAGTAAGAACTACAAACTTTGATAGATGGTCCTATAGGATTCAGTACGTAACTCATTAAAGTTTAAAGGTAGTTAGAAACTAAAAAGACCCCGCAAGTTGAAAAAAAATCGGGATGCATTAATCCAATTAACTGATTCATTCGATTCAGGCATTTCGATTCCGACGATGACCCGATGTCGGTCCATGCAAAAAGAAGCAAGTTGTAATGAATGAGGCTGCGAATCAAGAGAATGAATGACAAGAATCTGGGGGCCGGTCGGAACATTGGTGAATGAGCATTTAAAAAAAAAAGACAATTTTTTGGAACACAGTACATTCTCATCTAATAGTCGCTATGGATATCGTCGAGATCTACAGAGATGTAACAAACACCATATGATAATTTGGACGTGAAAGGCCTCCCTAGAGAGGAAGACGCCCCCACTAGCATCCTTCCTTTACCTAGCAACTCTCCCTCTCTTTCCCTTCGAACGCATAGTTCCAAAACTCCCACACATCACTTCTAAACACTCTAAATAAAAAGGGAAGGTGCAACAGTTGAACCTCCGATCAGAGTAGCTTTAGATAACTAGACACACACTACCATAATACATCCACATCTCTTACTTCCACTCCTCCTAAAGTTGCATGGTAGCAAAGGTTCACCAATCTACTGACCAGACCCCAGACCCCCCAGTACAAACCCCAGACCCCTCCAGTTCCCCTGACACCTCACCCAGCACCTCTTCCATCCCCTCGCCCTGTCTTTCCCCTATCGACACGTATTTTATCACAGATTTTTTATCGGAACTCACCATCATGAACAACGACAACCAATCCCTTCCCACCATCATTGAACTCGACACCACCTCCAAACCCGCCAAGTATGACGGCACTCGCGATGGCTTCAAATGCCTTGCGTGGCTAAAGGAGGTGCAACGCTACTTTACCATGAAGAACGTACCTGACAGAAAACGCACCATTCATGCCGTCAACCTCCTTAACCAAACCTCTCTCCTCTGGTGGGAATCCCTTAACATCGACGACACCTGCGAGTACCTCACCTTCACAACCTTGTTAAAGAAGGCATATATGCCTGACGGCTTCCTTGAACACGTCCGCGGCCTCCTCCTCAATGCCAAGCTCACCACCAACCTCGCCGAGTACCTTACCCGCATCCGCCTCTATATGAACATTTTACTTGCGGAGGATCCCACCGGCCGCGTCTTCCTTGAATCCACCGTCAGAGTTGTTTTTCTCCAAGGCTGCCCCGACGACCTGAGGCAATTACTTCAGACTGATCAGGTATCTAACCCCAACAACACTTTTTTCGACATGTGCTCCAAGGCTGAAGGATTTGACACCATCTATGCTTTCGGACCCAGAGGCGCCACCAAGGGTATGTTCGCCAAGGCTATGAATAACATCCGCTCACAAACCCCGACCTCCAACTCAGCCCCAACCTCCGCCCCCGCCTTCGACCCAATGGCGATGGAGATTGATAACATCAGTGTCGACCCCACCACCCGCGCACTCATGTCCTCGGTCCAGTCCCTCACTATCGCTGTCAACGCTATGGCATCCCAGTTCAACAACCAGCAACAGCAACAAAACCGCCCGCGCCTTGCCCGCCTCACCGATGAAGAAAGACTATACTTGGAGAACAACAACGGCTGTTTCAAGTGCCGCCGACCCAATGCCGGACATTACTCCTGGGACTGTGGGAAAAACCGCAATACGCCCCGACCTCCCAGGTCCCAGGCCGTTAACAACATTGCTTACGCGGGCAACCCCCCAACAGACCAGTCGGGAAATGCCCCCAGCAACTAGGTGCAGTCCAGGACCCAGTTGCCGAAACCCCCTCCCTTTACCCCAGCGGTGAAGGGAGTGCTCACACACCAGAGTTAAGCTCAAAGAAAAAATAAAAAAGTCGCCAGATCTATCAGTTGAAAGTACTTCTAGCCAAACTCAGATTTCAAACTCAATTTGTGATGCTCACTCCCCCCCACCCTGGCACCTTCACTGGACCAGACCCCAACCTTTGACTCGTCCCATATTGTGTCTAGAACTTCAGATGGCCCAGACCTGGACCTGACCGCCCCTGTTGTGTCGACCACACCGCCTACGAAGCGACAGTTGAGAAGACGGAGACAAAAGCAATTGCGTCTCTGTTCATTTTCTATCGCCGAGGCTGAGCGCCAACTGCTCACTTTTAATTGCCTTGTCAGCGGCTTTCCGGCTCGCGTGCTGATTGATGGCGGTGCTGAAGGTAATGTGATCAGTACCTCATTTCAAAAGAAAAACAATTTGTCACGAACCGTTATCAACCCCATTCCTGTCCTCCTTCCCAACGGCTCATCCTCCATCACCAACCATACTGTCAACATCACCATCGAACGCAACGGCTACTCCGACACTCTCGAACCCATTCTCTGCCCACTCAAGAAATACGACCTGATTCTGGGAAAACCATGGCTCACACACATCAACCCTCAAATCAACTGGCGTACAAATGCTCTACACTTCACCCACAACAACACATCCATCAAATGGGACTGCACAGGATTTAAATCAAACAGCATCCAAACCCGCACCAAACGTCTCCTCCTCTCCCACCTACACTTTCATACCATGGCTACCCTCCCCGGCTCGGACATATTCTTGGCTCTGGTCAAGTCCTCGAAGGATCTGCAGAAGGACAAGGACAGGAATGACAAGGACTCACCATCGCCACCCAAGCGCCCTCTTATGACACTTGAGATCAGGTCAATCGTCGAAGATGAGTTTAAGGACGTATTCCCCAACACACTTCCCAGCGGCCTCCCACCAGACAGAGGCGATGCGATGAAAATCGAGACAGACCCCACAGCAGACCCACCATTCAAGCCAGTCATTCGCCTCTCCATTGCAGAACTCGACGAACTCAGGAAGCAGCTGGATGAATTACTCGCCAAAAAATTCATCAAGCCCAGTACATCACCTTACGGCGCTCCAGTACTTTTCGTTCGGAAAAGGATGGCACCCTGCGTATGTGCGTGGACTACCGAGCTTTGAACGGGATCACCAAGAAAAATCGGCATCCACTCCCCAGGATCGACGAGCTAATTGACCGTTTTCGTGGCGCACGTTATTTCAGTAAACTGGATCTACTCTCAGGATACCACCAACAGAGGATCTACAAACCACACACATACAAAACGGCATTCCGATGCAGATATGGACACTTTGAATTTAACGTCGTCCCATTTGGCCTCACCAACGCACCCGCCTCCTTCTCCAACATGATGCTAAGGGTACTCGACCCGGTTTTGGATAAATGGGTTGTTGTCTATCTAGGAGGCCATCCATGTTCGGCTCCACCAACCATAGACTACAGTATAAAAATATCTGTCAACACCTATTAAAACAGTGTGTTCCTTGAGAGTACAACAAATCTCATCAGCTTTTTCCTTCCACCAGTCTCCATTTTCTACATTCACCACCACTACTTTGTAACATCATCTACTTTAGCTGAGAAAGCCTTGGACATGATCATCTCATATTGGATCCTGGATATTACAGATAGTAATTTCCTTTCCAATATGAGATGATCATGTCCAAGGCTTTCTCAGCTAAAGTAGGGAGGCCATCCATGTTCGGCTCCACCAACCATAGACTACAGTATAAAAATATCTGTCAACACCTATTAAAACAGTGTGTTCCTTGAGAGTACAACAAATCTCATCAGCTTTTTCCTTCCACCAGTCTCCATTTTCTACATTCACCACCACTACTTTGTAACATCATCTACTTTAGCTGAGAAAGCCTTGGACATGATCATCTCATATTGGATCCTAGATATTACAGATAGTAATTTCCTTTCCAATATGAGATGATCATGTCCAAGGCTTTCTCAGCTAAAGTAGATGATGTTACAAAGTAGTGGTGGTGAATGTAGAAAATGGAGACTGGTGGAAGGAAAAAGCTGATGAGATTTGTTGTACTCTCAAGGAACACACTGTTTTAATAGGTGTTGACAGATATTTTTATACTGTAGTCTATGGTTGGTGGAGCCGAACATGGATGGCCTCCATATATATATTCCATAGTACCCCAAATAGTTTGATCCTTACCTAGTAACTTGAATAATACTTTGTCTACACCTTGAAAACCCATATCTGACTCCCTATTCCCTTTGTTCTCTTCCTCCACCTCTCTTCCTGATCCTGCCTAAGAAAAGGTCAACTCTGCCTTGTTCTAGTCTAGATTCTCGACATTACTAGGTCAAACAACTTTGACCTGTTTCTTATCCTTTCTGTTTCCCTGTTCCTATAACCCTCCCTCCTACCCTACAATGACACCCGAAGAACGACAAGCAGCCGATGAGGCCTTTACCACCCTCCAGAACCGTGTTCTTGCTCTCGAGGAAACCCTCGAAAGACACAGAGAGATTCTTGATCTTTTCCTCACTCACAAGGATTTATTTGCCCAGCTCTCCACCCACTTGGAACCAAGATTCATTAACCTTGAAAAGTCCCTCTCGTCTCTGGAGGATGTGGTTAGACGTGATGAACTCGATCGTGCCCTGGCTACCCAGCGCGATAACATTCTTGCCAGTATAAAAGTTATGGTCGACGTTTCTCCCTCCCGCTCATCTGCCCCCTCCAAGCCCAGGTTTGAGGCCCCCACTGCCTTCTCTGGAAAAAGGGAAGACTGGAAGACTTTCCAATCGCAGTTGGAGCTATTCTTCCTCAATGCCGCTCCCTTGTACCCCACCGATGCCGAAAAAATCATGTTCTCTATTTCTCGCCTCGGCGACACCGCAGCATTCAAGTATATGGAGAAACATATACCGTCCTTCAAGCTCCCCGCGGAAGAAAGACCCCTTCTCCTCAGTGACCTCAATGTGTACTTTAAGTCCATGTCCAAGACTTTTGGAGTCACCAACGCTCACGTTTTGGCCGAGTCCCAGCTCCGAGCCCTGAAACAAAGGGATTCTGCACTGGACTACACGAACAAGTTCATCAACCTTGCCGCGGATACCAAGTGGAATGATGCTGCTATGATCTCGCAGTATCGCATCGGATTGAAAGAGTCTGTCCAGGAAACAATGGCTATACACGATGAACCCGACACATTTGCAGATTTCTCTCAACTGGCTATTGACATCGACAATCGACACTTCGGCTACTCTTTTACAAAATCTACTCAAGCTCGATCATCCACCGCCCGTTCCTCAACTACATCAATCGCTCCTCCACGTACTACTTCTTCTGTCCCTCCTGCTTCAACTCCTTCCATGGCCATGGATCTTAGCCAGGCTCAACATCGACCCATTGACGCTCAAGAAAAACAACGCCGCAAAGACAACAACCTTTGCACCTACTGTGCTGCCGACGACCATTGGCTTAAGGACTGTCCTACGAAGCCCAAGTTCTCCCCCCGGCCTTTCTCTAAGAATACTCAATCCGTCGCCGCTGCTCAGGCCACTTCTGATGTATCATTCGATTTGGGAAAAGACGAAGCCTAGTAAAGCACGCAGAAGTCCACCTAGGCTTACTCTATAATTTTTCTTCTGCCGACCCCAATGATTCTGACTCTGTACCTATCACCATCCCCGTCACTCTTTATTTTCAAGGATCTTCACTTCCTGTTAATGCAATGATCGACTCGGGAGCCACTATTTCTTTTATTCATCAAAACCTTGCCAAACAGTACGACCTCCCTCTTGCTCAACACCGCCTTGCCATTTCTCTTGCCGACGGATCCGTTCAGACCTCACAACATGCCACTCGCCTTGTCATGCAGTCAAGTTCGGATCACTTTGAGTTGCAATCCTTTCAATTAATTTGTCAAGAAAGCAGACCAAGCAATAGAATGAAGTAGATAAAGAGAACCTTGATCAAGGACTAAGAAATGAGTATAAGGAATAGGTTAAAGAGTATGTTGTATTGGCGATACCAAGTAAAGAGCTATAGATTTGCTATCTAAGGCCCTTTTATACTCGTTAGGGCGAAGTCACAAGAGCAAGCTCTTGTCTCGTGACAATATCCCGGATTGAGATGCTTGAACAACCCTTCGAAAATGGGGGACTGGAGGGCCTGAAAGCTGATCCCGAGTCTTGCCACCAATGACAAGAGATAGTTGACGAATACCTTTTGTTCATCCGCCGTCGGTTGTTGAAAGGTTCTCATGACATCTTCCCGAATGCCTTCGAAACCTCCATTAAGAGATAGTCCTCCAAGATTGGTCTCTCGCTGGACAAAGGCTGCCAAATTCCTCTTCTGAACCATCTCCTGCGTCGCTCGAAAGTCATCCAACGCTCGGCGGATCTCGGCATGGCACTTGTCAATGTGAGCCTCGCGTGTGCCAGGCCCCCCCCCCCCCCCCCCATAGGAGAGATTATGTCCGCAGATGGTTTCGATCTCTTCCTTTCCTGTAGCTGCTTCCTTCACTATGACCACCTTGACTTGACACACAACCTCCTTGGAGGCCTTTCAAGTCCAAGTTATCATATGGTGTTTGTTACATCTCTGTAGATCTCGACAATATCCATAGCGACTATGGGATGAGAATGTATATATGATACCAAGCATATAAGACAACCATTGTAACATTTTTTGTTTAACTATCCTACTAAACACCAACCTATTCTCCAAACAACAAAGTCTTCTTATTTTTCGCACACCAAACTCTTGAATATGTCCATCTACTATTAACCTGTAACCCTCACTGCAAGATTCGACAGAGTAGTTCTTGTATGTGATCATCTAAAGCACTTGTATTCTCAACTGTATCTTTGTCGTGAAATACAGGGGAGAGATTACATTTTAAAAATTCTTGTGCTGTCTATTGCTATTTTATTCTGTGTTCTGTTGCCCACTATGAAGAGATATGCCAGTTATGGAAGTCAACACTCCGTTCCTTGGACTTTGGATATTTTTTATATGCCTTTTTATATCCTCTGCACATGAAGGGGCCGCTACCGAATAAAATATAAAAATATATTTGTATTCTCAACTATGTGCTTGCTGTATGATAGATACCATCCTACATGCTGTTGTGTATACAGTTAAGTATAAGCCTTTTTAAAAAATTGTTATTGTTGGTTAACGTCATGACAATCCAATACATAAATATTATTATGGATCTAACAAAACACTTCCAACAACTGCTTGATGACCATTGGACTTTCCTCAACGCTGGATGGCCAACAATTACACCACGTAATAATCATCGTACTGTAAGCAAGGAAATTGGGTATATGCCAGAAATAAAAGAAACCCTAAATCGACGCCTTGGTCCTATTCCAGTGTACTTCTTTCTTGTTGACATCTGGCCAAAGGTTAAGTATCCTGGTCCATACAAAGAAGTGGAGAAAGGTCTTTTAATGCTCTATCATCTTGTCAAAGGACTGTCTATGGAAGCAATGGAACCACACATGCCAAAAAGTAGTTTTCATGCAATGCACTCTGTGTTTTATAAGAAAGAATATACTTTGCACAATAAGTACATCACCAACTGTATTGCAACAATGTTCTCCACAATTAAAATACGCCTATTGTCTGCAAAGGAAAAGAATCCTCCATTATTTAAGCATGTTACATTGCATCTTGATGGTCATGATACAAGAGCAACATACAAAGGTGAGAGTAGTGCTGATATGTACTCTTACAAGCTGAAAAAGTCAGGATTACGCACACAGGTAGCAATGGATTGTAATGGCATGGCTTTATTTGTCTCCAAATCTGCATCTTGCAAGAACAATGCTGATGGAACAATGCTGCTAACGATGAAGTTGGACAAGAGAGTGCATGAGATGGATTGCATTGCTCTCGATGGAGGGTATCCACAGTTCTTAAGGAGGCTTATAGATGAGTCTGATACTCTTAAAGTCCAAAATTTCGCTCATCCATACCGTAAACAGAAGAACAAGGAACTTACACAGGAAGAAGCGTTATACAATACCACCTTTGGTAGTTTCCGCTCGCAGATGGAATCTCTGTTTGCAGACCTTGGTTCCACATTTGAGAAACACAACAACCGTACTCCTGTGTTGGTGGATAAGAAACAAACATATAATTTGCAGTTGAAGTTATCTTTGTTACTCTTAAACATGAAAAAGATGGTTGCTTTGTTGAAGATTTCTGCAGAACCAATTCATACAGCATGGCTTCGCGAAGGATTCGAGTATCGGACGACAGAGAACGACGTTGAGCAACCAATGGGATATGTTGATGTTGGTGCGCTAGTGGAGGATGGAAATACAATGGCACAACTCCAGAACAAATTTCTTGGTATTAATCTTTATGGTGATGTTGATGTTAATGTTGATGAGGACACACCAATGGATCAAGCAGTAATAATGCAACCCGGTCTTTCCATTGAGCTTAGAGGTACGAAGCGACAAATGGATGTTAATGGTAATCTGTAGACTTATTGCAGGTTTTTAAAAGAATAGTCACACATAGCCTATTTAGTCAGCGTTGAGATACGGTATTAACTGCCTAGACGCTAATATGCACCGGTATCTATTATTAAAAGTCAAGGTATTATTGTAGTAGATCGGATGCTATTCTATGCTATTCTACAACATTCCTTTTTATTTAACAAAGAGGATAAACACATGTACAAACCTACGTCATAAAAGAATACATAAACACATGTACAAACCTACGTCATAAAAGAATACTACATTCTTAACCATTTTTACACCCCGTCTTTAACGCCAAGCAGTCTTAATAAGCAAGATCTACGTCATACGAGGAACACTACATTATTAACCACTTAGATGCCTTTTTAAAACTCTTTTGTTACTAAGCGCCAAGCAGTGTTAATAAGCAAGCGCTATTAATATCCAATGTGGCAGTGTCCCATGAATTAGTATAAATAAAGGACTCCACTTCCCTCTTGCTTAATCTTTATCTTATCTAGTAACCAACCAACCATTATCCATATCTATACAACCATCCATACCTATACAACCATCTTTTATTGCAATTCTTTATATCAGTGTACTAAGCAGCTGCAATCTACCACACATAAACTGAAAAGTCATTCACACCCACCATATCACAAGTACAATCTATATCGTTCATATCCAAAAACATGCAGTACGTTCAGCTTACAATCGAGCTCATCACCAAGGCCTTCGAGACATTTTCTTCTAAGAAGGGAGTGGAGTTTACCAAGAAAGATGCAAATAAGATCTTTAAGGCGCTTGATGGGGATAAGGAAGTAGAGAGATACTACTTTTGTGGAGCAAAGTGCGTCAAGTCCAAGCGTAAATGCATGAAGGAAGTTGACGATGAAGGCATGCATTGTTATGTCCACGATCCTGCGCGCAAGTGTCAAGGCACAACCATTAAGGGCGCTAATTGTGGTAGTGTAGCCAAAATTGGTAAAACATACTGTGGGCGTCATCAAGATCAAGATAGAGGTCATATAAAACGTGGTAACAAGAATGCACCTGTCGTTACGCGTCCCAAGTCTTCCAAGGCTTTAAAGAAGACACATACTTCTAAGTTTGTATCATCTGATGACGATATGACTTCCGAGGATGAAGAGCCGTCCGACGATGATGATGAAGAAGATAAAATTGCCGTCTCCTTTCCGTTGAGTCCAAAGGTAGTTGACATAACGTCCAAGAAAAATGTACCACTCGCTAATACAGGCATATGGATGCGTTATGCAACTAATCCAGCTTTTCTGTATGCAAAGAACTTTACTGTAAATGGCAAGTACATTATTAAGCTGAAGGAAAAGGATCTCTACATTGTATTGTGTCCACCTGAGCTCATGGGCAAAAATCTTCCTGTACCGGAAATATCTGAAAAAGAGGCACGTATATTACAAAAGATGGGACTCCAAGAGGCAACTCCTGCAGATGTAGAAAAAATAGAAGAGTCTTCTGCTGATGATAAGAAGAAGACTCTTCGAAAGAAAAGGCCTTCAAAGATGCCCAAAAATGCAGAGCCATCTTCTAATGTAGACGTTTCTAAGGATGGAAAAGATGAACATACATTTGCACTGGCCACAACGGTGCATAACATTAGATCAGAGAAAGACATAGCACGTGCGAAGGACAGAGGATGGATGATTCATCCTAATAACGACATGCTTGAGTATGCAACTAAGTTTACGATGAATGGCAAGTACATTGTCAGGCTATCTGGAAAGAATACATACGTTGGCCTGTTTACGCTTGATGCTCTGCGCGGTGTCGGTGATGTTCCAGAGTTGGATATCTTGGAACGCTCCATGCTTAGCAAGATGAAACTTCAACCATTGTCTGATGAAGAGAGAAAGACGCTTTTCAACGAGGAGATCGAAGTAGAAGAAGAAGTACCAGTAGAAGGACCAACAGATAAATCCAAGGTGATATGGAAAAAACTTAACAAGTACTTGGAATATTCCGAGAATGTACTTGTAAATGGAATGCACATTCTCAAGATGCGCAAAAAAGACACTGTAATCGGCTTGATGACTGATGACCATATTGCTGCAGAGAATGTAGAGTGTCATTCTCTTAGCCAGAAGGAAAAAGAGAAGTTGTTTGCTATGGGATTTAAACCGCATGAGCATAAGCAAAGCTTGCCACAGAAAGATGAGAGCACATGTGAGGATGATAAAGATGCTGAGGGCGATAAAGATGCTGAGGATGACAAAGATGCGGTGGGTGATAAAGATGCTGAAGATGACAAAGATGCTGAGGGTGATAACGATGCTGAGGATGACAAAGATGCTGAGGGTGATAACGATGCTGAAGATGATAAAGATGCTGAGGATGATAAAGATGCTGAGGATGTTATGTGGAAAAGGTACCCTAAAGATAAAAGCTCCTCGGGTATAATCGTCATAGATAAAGACGAAATTAAATGGACAACATGTTCGTTTGACAACAAGCATGAATATGCAACCAACTACCTTTTCGACGGATGTCATCTGCTCAAGAGGTACGAAGAGGACATTATTGTTGGACTGCTGTATAAGATACCTGCAAACGGTGACAGTAACTATAGTCGAGACAAATTTACCAACAACAAACAAAAGCAGAAGTTAATTGCCATGGGGTTCACGATCGAGGAATTGCCTAAATTGTACTCTACAGATGTAAAGTTTTGGTAGTTGTTGAGACAGATGAAGAGTAGATATTTTAAAAACTATCCAATTGTCAACAGTTGGCATTTGTGGTTGTATATATAGCATGAACTTTTAAAAAATGTAACATGTCTTCGACACTTCCACCTAGGAGGCCTTTCAAGTCCAAGTTATCATATGGTGTTTGTTACATCTCTGTAGATCTCGACAATATCCATAGCGACTATGGGATGAGAATGTATATATGATACCAAGCATATAAGACAACCATTGTAACATTTTTTGTTTAACTATCCTACTAAACACCAACCTATTCTCCAAACAACAAAGTCTTCTTATTTTTCGCACACCAAACTCTTGAATATGTCCATCTACTATTAACCTGTAACCCTCACTGCAAGATTCGACAGAGTAGTTCTTGTATGTGATCATCTAAAGCACTTGTATTCTCAACTGTATCTTTGTCGTGAAATACAGGGGAGAGATTACATTTTAAAAATTCTTGTGCTGTCTATTGCTATTTTATTCTGTGTTCTGTTGCCCACTATGAAGAGATATGCCAGTTATGGAAGTCAACACTCCGTTCCTTGGACTTTGGATATTTTTTATATGCCTTTTTATATCCTCTGCACATGAAGGGGCCGCAATGGCATCGTGCTTTCAGGCGGTCATAGGTAACTTGACGACAAAATCCATGGTAACGGTATCCCAGCGCTGCTCAGGAACTTCCAAGGGATGGAGCAGACCGGCAGGAAGGCGACGAACAGCCTTGTTTCGCTGGCAGCTTGAGCAAGAAGCCACGTAGTTACGGACATCAACAGACATCTTGGGCCAGTAGGCCAGGCGGCGTAAGGTAGTGTACGTTTTATCGAACCCCAGGTGGCCAGCAATGGCAGCATCATGAACATCATGAAGAAGAAGAAGGCGTAGGTCAGAGAACTTTGGTATGCAGAGTAGGGTATCACCATGCCGCTCAACATACAATAAGCCATTATACAATGAGTAAAGGGATGGTGACTTGCCTCGGAGGCAGCTTTGATAGATAGGGCCAAGACGAGGATCGTTTTGATACCCTTCGATCAGGCGCTGCCTCAAACCTGTGTCCGCTTGAAGGTCAAGTGCATTGACTGAGAGGGGTGGGGGGTTTGGTACGCGGTGGTCCGGACGCCGAGAGAGGGCATCAGGAACGACATTGTCAGCGCCACGCTTGAACTTGAAATCAAAGTCATACTCTTGTAGAAGCTCCATCCAACGTGCTTGTCTTCGAGTGAGCTTGGGTTGCGTGGGGAAATGACGGAGCGTATCATGATCGGTATACACAATAAAATGGGAGCCGTCAAGGTAATACCGCCAGGTCTTGAGTGCGTGGACCACAGCGAGGAGCTCTTGCTCATGAGTTGGGTAATTCCGTTCTGCAGAATTCATCTTTCGCGAGGTGAAGGCCACGGGTCGTGCAAACCCATCAGCGTCTATCTGGAAGTGGACCGCGCCAACAGCATAACCCGATGCATCGGTCTCGACGATCGAGGGTAGGTCTGGGTCAAAGATGCGTAATACTGGGGCAGAGCTGATGGCATCCTTGAGTGCACGAAAAGCGGACTCGGTGGCATCATCCCAGACAAACTGGCGACCTTCACCTAGTAGAGACGTGAGGGGAAGAGCGATGTCAGCAAAATTGTGGATATACTGCTGGTAGAACTGAGCTAACCCAATGAACTGTTGAACGTCCTTTTGTTTTGTTGGGCGAGGCCACTCTCGAATGGCGCGAACAAGACCGGCATTGGTGTGTAAACCATCCTTGGTAATGACATGACCGAGGAACTCAGTCTCTTCTTGCATAAAGGAGCACTTGCTCAACTTTGCATAGAGACCGTACTGGCGGAGGAGAGAGAGAACACTACGAATATGACGGAGATGTTCGGCCTTGGTCTTGGAGTATATCAGAATATCGTCAAGATAGACGACCACCCACTTGTCAAGGACGGGATCAAGGACCTTGAGCATTATGTTGGAGAAGGAGGCTGGGGCGTTGGTGAGGCCTGTCGCATATTTGCCTGTCTCGGGGGTGTCAGCTAATGTAATTAGGCTAGAGACAGTAATTTAGTCATATGACCAGACACCGACATAAATGGAGGTGTCTGGGCTGTTAACAAAGATCCCTCTCTTGTCTTATCAATTCGATTGTGCGTGACTAGCGTAAAAATTTTCATTTTTTTTGATAAATACAACACGGATCGGGATCAGAATCCGTCCAACGATTGACAGGATCCATCCACTCATTTATTTATTCATTCAACCCATTACGAGGAACACTCCATCAATCTACAGGAGCGATTCAGGACGTAACGGGAGCATTTACGGATCATTACAGAACAGGACCTTTACTGTCAGGATTTTTCTCTATTTTCAGGATAATCCAACAAGGACAGGATCCTTTTCTTTTATTTGTGGTCATTTCGTGCGTGTATCTGGTCACTAGTGACAAGGTTACAGCAGAGACTGATCATTAATACGAAGTGTAACAGGCGGTTACTTTCGTTGTTATTATTTGGTTACTATTCTACCTTTTTGTGTTGGAGCTTTCAAGTGCGATCATACATCTGTGTGGTCATTTGAGGTCTTCATATAACACGGTAGCAGAGATTCATTAGAAAACTCACCGTTAGTTTTGATCAAGGACATTCTTGTTCAAATAAACGCGGGATTCGTCTTTGTTGGCATTTTGGTGTGCCCTCATCCGAATTCATTTGCATCAGAAAACTTTTAGTTTTTTTCTGGGTGTTGTTTTTTATTTTTATTTTGAATCAAGTGGATCACTGAGCAAAAAGTACTGGAAGTTGACGTTAGTAGTAACAGTATTATTTTTTCTGGGGTGCAGTCTGGTTGATCATCAGTTTTCAAAAGCTCATTTCGTTTTCTGTTTATTCTGTTTGTCTGTTTGTTTTCTTTTCCTTTAATTGGGTCATAGAGAATGGCAGCGAATACGGCAAAGAAGAACGAGGACGTTGGCAATAAGGTTGTTGGTGCGTTAGATGCACTTACCTTGACGTCGGGACGAGATGAGGGAGCAGGCATGGACGTTGATGTTGACATGCAGGAGACTGTTGACTCTGACTTTATGGATGCCCATGCAGCCAGAGGAAAGATGAAGGAGTATTCGATGCAACTGGCGACGTTGACGAGACAGAAGATGCAGTTAGCCGCGCGCATCCAAGGGTTGAGCCAAGAGGAGGGCGACCAGGAGCGACCAAAGTTGGCGGAACTAACACGTCAGATCGCTGAGGCCAAGACCGCGATGAACGAGTGGAATGTCATGCTGGATGACCTAGAGAGTGCTGAGAGGTCCATGGGGAGGACGGCATTCTCTAGTGTTGTGACCAGAGAGGAGAATGAGGAGTTGGGGGTTAAGAAGGGTGGAAAGATTGACGAGATCAAGTTGTCGAATGAGTTTCCGCGTTACCATCGGTTGGTCGAGGCTCATCTGCTTCCTGTTCTTGACATCAAGATCCATGGTCCCTTGATTACCAACGTCCGAGAGTTCCTGTACGAATTCCATAGAATAGGAGTAACAAAGTTCACGACGGGCGGGTTCGATGAGAGATGTTCAAGGTTGTTGTGCTTGGCGAATATGGATCGCAAAGCGTCTGATGCCATGAATGCAGTCTTGAGTCGTGACCCTGAAGGAAAGTGGCCGTGGGCGAGATGCGAGAAAGTGTTTGTGGAGAGTGCTATGACGCAGACTGAGAGAACAGATGAGGTTGAGAAGGTGATCAAGATGGGATTAGAACGAGGTGAATCGTACAAGCAGTACTACCATCGGATGAAGAGGTTGATGGATGTGTACCAAGTCAAGGACTTACCCAAGTTCGCTGATTTGTTATTCTTGCTGCAGAGAGCGGTCGACCCGAGCGTTCTTACGATGATCTTGTTGCAGAAGCGCATTGCAGTCCTTGAGGGGATGCTGGGTGTGGCACCTGATGAAACAACCTTCGAGTCTTATATGGACAGTTTGCAGCATATGCAGGGACCCGCAGACAGTGATGAGTGGGCACCGGTTATTTTGGAGAGGAGACGATTGACCGGGGCTGCAGATAACGAAGCAGCGAGGCAGGCCCAGAGTTTAAAGGATAAGCTCATCAACCAGCAGAAGAGGGCAGCGGCAGCAGCAACGCTTGCGACGACAAGTGGAACGCGTGTCGGGGGGACTACTGGTGGTAGCATCAACCAAGTTCCTACAGCGGGTGACAGTTCGGTCCAGAAGGGGAATGCTGGATTCGGCGGTCAACGTGGCGCCTTCGGTAATGGTAGTGGTTCTGGTGCGCCTAGAGGTCGAGGAGGTAGTCATGGTCGTGGAGGTTACAAGAGGAACTTCAACCGTGGACACCATCCTTATCCTGGCAGAGGAAACAGCAATGGTAAGCTAAACCACACTGTTGAGTATGATGATGCATCTGAAGAAAAAGTTGAAGTAGATGGTGGTGAGATGTCTGTTGTCGACCAAGATGTCGTTGAGATGAGTAACGAAAATGGTGACGTCACCGAAGTCGAACATGACCGCATGACTAACGACGCGTCTTTCATTCTGCATTCCAAACAGGTGGAAACAAGCAGTGAGATGCAACAAACTGATGTACATGAACTGGAGGAGCAGTCGCACAGTTTAACAGAAGTAGTCATAGTGAATGAAACAACAACTGACGAGAAGAATGTCAGTGACATCAACCCACGGAGTGAAACAGTGAAGAAGAGAAAGAAGAAAAAGAAGAATGCAAAGGGTATTGCGAAAATCGAATTGAAGAGCAAACTGCGTGGTGAATCCGGTTTGGGTATGAGAGTTCATGTAGGTCCATTGCCGATGCATCCTCTCGACGGGGGGGAAGGTAGCGGTGATGCTAAAGTGGCTGTCGACCAAGCAAAGGTGAAGTATGGAGCTATGGGCATTGTTAAAGAAGGAAGAGATAATGCACCGGCCGAGTACAACATCGAGGATGTAGTAGACGACGAGTACCTAAGGGCCTTCGAAAGATTTTCAATTAGTGATAACCCAGTGTCAGACGCATGTGATGGTTACCCATTATTCTCCTTTGGAGAGAAGGACTTTGAGTTAGTACACAAGCACTATGGTTCAAGCGGCCCCTTCATGTGCAGAGGATATAAAAAGGCATATAAAAAATATCCAAAGCCCAAGGAACGGAGTGTTTACTTCCATAACTGACATATCTCTTCATAGTGGGCAACAGAACACAGAATAAAATAGCAATAGACAGCACATGTTTTTTTAAAATGTAATCTCTCCCCTGTATTTCGCCCCAAAGATACAGTTGAGAGTACAAGTGCTTTAGATGATGACATACAAGAACTACTCTGGCGAATCTTGCAGTGAGGGTTACAGGTTAATAGTAGATGGACATATTCAAGAGTGTGGTGTGCGAAAAATAAGAAGACTTTGTTGTTTGGAGAATAGGTTGGTGTTTAGTAGGATAGTTAAACAAAAAATGTTACAATGGTTGTCTTATATGCTTGGTATCATATATACATTCTCATCCCATAGTCGCTATGGATATTGTCGAGATCTACAGAGATGTAACAAACACCATATGATAACTTGGACGTGAAAGGCCTCCTAGGTGAATGTTTTAAAAAAATATGGGTAATGCAATAATGGTGAGGGTGCATGCATTGTGGAACGTCTCAGATGAAGTTATCGTGGTTTTTATAATGTTTGATGTAACATACTTTGTAGGAAGTTACGATTGTTATAATATTTGTTGATATGCGGCCTCCTATACAGATCGTTGGTAAATATGCCAATGGTGAAAAAATAAATGTCATAAAGAGTGCATGCATTGTAGAACATATTAGATATAGTTATTGTAATTTTCGTAATGTTAAATATAAGTAGATTGTGGATAAACACCACTGTGATCAAGAAAGAAATATTGTAAATTGTGCAAAGGATGGTGGAAGTTTTTAAAAAGATGGGTAATATATCTGGTGAATCTTATTGGAAGGGACGAGGATAATATTACATGTGTATTCCATATATAAAAGCTTTATTTGTGCAAGTGGTATATCTACAGTTTTTAAAATTCTTGATCTACTCTTCTGCGGTCTCAAATGTTACTTCAAGAGGCTTCTTTTCTTCCATCGTACTTTTCTCTTTGGCTTGAATACTATCTAATACACTTTGCACTATGGTTTTTCTGTTGTTAGATCCTTCTTTTGCAAACTTACATAATATATCGGAATGTGGTTCGCGGGAACCAAACTTATCCATGTGCCATGTTTCGTAGTTGGAATAATCTTTCTCCAACAAACCTAGGTGAAAAATTAGTTCTTTTTCTTCTGCATTACCATCTGCCGAAACGTATTCCTCGCGGAGTTCTTCTTCGATAGCTGTTATTTTGCTATATACTTCTCCCATTGCCTTCAGAAAATCATGATGGTCTTTTGTAGTGTAAACACTTGAGGCATTCACATTTTCGCTTTCCATAGGTCCACCATCTTCTAGAGTTTTCTTAACATCCGACTCTTGCACCTCATCATCTACTTTTTCTACAAGTTCATCTAAAGTTTCCTTAACATTCGACTCTTGCACCTCATCATCTATTTTTTCTACCGGTTCATCTTTCTCTGTCGACCTATCCTTAGACCATTGTGGCTTAAAGCCCATAGCAAAGATCTTTTCTTTTTCCTTTTGGTTAAGATTATCATAGTCGACATTCTCTGCACCAATGTGGTCATCAGTCACCAAGCCAACTACAATGTTTTGCTTGCGGATCTTGAGAATGTGCTTTCCATTTACAAGTACATTCTTGGAATACTCCAATTGCTGCTTGTGAAACCTTTTCCATTTCATCTTGGATATATCTGTCGGTCCTTCCACTGGTAGTTCCTCTTCTACTTCGACCTCCTCGTTGAAAAGCATCTTTCTCTCTTCATCAGACATTTCTTGAAGTTTCATCTTGCTAAGCATGGAGCGTTCCAAGATATCCATCTCTGGAACATCACCACCGCCACGCAGATGATCAAGCGTAAACAGGCCAACGTATGTATTCTTTCCACATAGCTTGACAATGTACTTAGCCTTCATCGTAAAGTTAGTTGCATACTCAAGCATGTCGTTATTAGGATGAACCATCCATCCTCCATCCTTTGCAAGTGGTATGTCTTTCTCTGATCTAATGTTACGCACCGTTGTGGCCAGTGCAAATGTGTGTTCATCTTTTTCATCCTTAGAAACATCTACATTAGAAGATGGCTCTGCATTTTTGGGCATCTCTGAATGCCTTTTCTTTCGAGAAGTCTTCTTCTCATCATCCTTAGATGGCTTTTTATGAGATAGTTTTTCATCAGGGTTATCCTTAGAGGTATCATCTTCAGATTCTACATCAGGTCTGTTATTGGACTTGCCATCATCAGAGTCTTTATCTTTAGAGGAATCATCGTCAGAGTCAGCATTATCAGACGTATCACCATCATCTGTATCATCGTCAGAATTCTCATCAGCAGAAGACTCTTCTATTTTTTCTACATCTGCTGAAGTTGCCTCTTGAAGACCCATCTTGGCCAATATGCGTGCCTCTTTCTCAGATATTTCTGGCGCAGGGAGATTCTTGCCCATGAGCTTAGGTGGACACAATGCAATGTAGAGATTCTTTTCCTTTAGCCTAATAATGTACTTGCCATTTACAGTAAAGCTTTTTGCATACAGGAAAGCTGGATTAGTTGCATAACGCGTCCATATACATGTATTAGCGAGTGGTACATTTTTCTTGGACGTTATGTCAACTACCTTTGGACTCAACGGAAAGGAGACGGCAATTATATCTTCTTCATCATCATCATCGGACGGCTCTTCATCCGATGACTCCTGCTTGTTTCTCTTTCGCTTCTTTGGTTCTTCATCCTCGGAAGTCATATCGTCATCGGAAGACACAAACTTAGAAGTATGTGTCTTCTTTAAAGCCTTGGAAGACTTAGTACGCTTGTCGACAGGTACGTTGTTGTTACTACGTTTTATATAACCTCTATCTTGATCTTGATGACGTCCACAGTATGTTTGACCAAGTTTGGCTACACTACCACAATTAGCACCCTTAATAGTTGTGCCTTGACACTTGCGCGCAGGATCGTGGACATAACAATGCATGCCTTCATCATCAACTTCCTTCATGCATTTGCGCTTGGACTTGGTGCACTTTTCTCCACAAAAGTAGTATCTCTCTACTTCCTCATCCTCATCAAGCGCCTTAAAGATCTTATTTGCATCTTTCTTGTTAAACTCCACTCCCTTCTTAGAGGAGAATGTCTCAAAGGCCTTGGTGATGAGCTCGATTGTAAGCTGAACGTACTTCATGTTTTTGGATATGAATAATATGGATTGTACTTGTATGGTGGGTGTGAATGAGTTTTCAGTTTATGTGTGGTAGATTGCAGCTGCTTAGTACACTGATATAAAGAATTGCAATAAAAGATGGTTGTATAGGTATGGATGGTTGTATAGATATGGATAATTGTTGGTTGGTTACTAGATAAAGATTAAGCAAGAGGGAAGTGGACTCCTTTATTTATACTAATTCAGGAACACTGCCACAATGGACATTAATAGCGCTTGCTTATTAGCACTGCTTGGCGCTTAGTAACAAAAGAGTTTTAAAAAGGCATCTAAGTGGTTAATAATGTAGTGTTCCTCGTATGACGTAGATCTTGCTTATTAAGACTGCTTGGCATTAAAGACGGGGTTTAAAAATGGTTAAGAATGTAGTATTATTTTATGACGTAGGTTTGTACATGTGTTTATCCTCTTTGTTAAATAAAAAGGAATGCTGTAGAATAGCATAGAATAGCATCCGATCTACTACAATAATACCATGGCTTTTAATAATAGATACCGGTGCATATTAGCGTCTAGGCAGTTAATACCGTATCTCAACGCTGACTAAATAGGCTATGTATGTCTATTCTTTTAAAAACCTGCAATAAGTCTACAAATTACCATTAACATCCATTTGTCGCTTCGTACTACGTACCTCAAAGCGCAATGGAAAGGCCGGGTTGCAGTATTACTGGTGGATCCATTGGTGTGTCCTCATCAGAGTACTGGTCCTCATCAACATTACCATGAAGTTTAATACCAAGAAATTTGTTCTGGAGTTGTGCCATTGTATTTCCATCCTCCACTAGCGCACCAACATCAACATATCCCATTGGTTGCTCAACGTCGTTCTCTGTCGTCGGATACTCGAATCCTTCGCGAAGCCAAGCTGTATGAATTGGTTCTGCAGAAATCTTCAACAAAGCAACCATCTTTTTCATGTTTAAGAGTAACAAAGATAACTTCAACTGCAAATTATATGTTTGTTTCTTATCCACCAACACAGGAGTACGGTTGTTGTGTTTCTCAAATGTGGAACCAAGGTCTGCAAACAGAGATTCCATCTGCGAGCGGAAACTACCAAAGGTGGTATTGTATAACGCTTCTTCCTGTGTAAGTTCCTTGTTCTTCTGTTTACGGTATGGATGAGCGAAATTTTGGACTCTAAGAATATCAGACTCATCTATAAGCCTCCTTAAGAACTGTGGATACCCTCCATCGAGAGCAATGCAATCCATCTCATGCACTCTCTTGTCCAACTTCATCGTTAGCAGCATTGTTCCATCAGCATTGTTCTTGCAAGATGCAGATTTGGAGACAAATAAAGCCATGCCATTACAATCCATTGCTACCTGTGTGCGTAATCCTGACTTTTTCAGCTTGTAAGAGTACATATCAGCACTACTCTCACCTTTGTATGTTGCTCTTGTATCATGACCATCAAGATGCAATGTAACATGCTTAAATAATGGAGGATTCTTTTCCTTTGCAGACAAAAGGCGTATTTTAATTGTGGAGAACATTGTTGCAATACAGTTGGTGATGTACTTGTTGTGCAAAGTATATTCTTTCTTATAAAACACAGAGTGCATTGCATGAAAACTACTTTTTGGCATGTGTGGTTCCATTGCTTCCATAGACAGTCCTTTGACAAGATGATAGAGCATTAAAAGACCTTTCTCCACTTCTTTGTATGGACCAGGATACTTAACCTTTGGCCAGATGTCAACAAGAAAGAAGTACACTGGAATAGGACCAAGGCGTCGATTTAGGGTTTCTTTTATTTCTGGCATATACCCAATTTCCTTGCTTACAGTACGATGATTATTACGTGGTGTAATTGTTGGCCATCCAGCGTTGAGGAAAGTCCAATGGTCATCAAGCAGTTGTTGGAAGTGTTTTGTTAGATCCATAATAATATTTATGTATTGGATTGTCATGACGTTAACCAACAATAACAATTTTTTAAAAAGGCTTATACTTAACTGCATACACAACAGCATGTAGGATGGTATCTATCATATAGCAAGCACATAGTTGAGAATACAAATATATTTTTATATTTTTTTCGGTAGCGGCCCCTTCATGTGCAGAGGATATAAAAAGGCATATAAAAAATATCCAAAGCCCAAGGAACGGAGTGTTTACTTCCATAACTGACATATCTCTTCATAGTGGGCAACAGAACACAGAATAAAATAGCAATAGACAGCACATGTTTTTTTAAAATGTAATCTCTCCCCTGTATTTCGCCCCAAAGATACAGTTGAGAGTACAAGTGCTTTAGATGATGACATACAAGAACTACTCTGGCGAATCTTGCAGTGAGGGTTACAGGTTAATAGTAGATGGACATATTCAAGAGTGTGGTGTGCGAAAAATAAGAAGACTTTGTTGTTTGGAGAATAGGTTGGTGTTTAGTAGGATAGTTGAACAAAAAATGTTACAATGGTTGTCTTATATGCTTGGTATCATATATACATTCTCATCCCATAGTCGCTATGGATATTGTCGAGATCTACAGAGATGTAACAAACACCATATGATAACTTGGACCTGAAAGGCCTCCATGGTTAAAGTTGTTAACGAGGGTTATATCAAAGACAATAGTTTTTTTAGCTCTAAACTACTAGAAAAACATAGAAAAAAGTTTAGAAGTACGGCCTTATACCATGCAGGATATTTCAGCATTAAGGTAACGCTCAATGAACTGGAGGCCATCTCTTTAATTTCCGAGTTACCACCAATATTTCATGAGCTTGAGGTTGACTATGTTATTCTCCATGATATAGACATTGCTACGGATTGTAGATATGTTACAAGCCGTCCAATTCTTCAGCAATACCTTCAAGAGAGATTTGGAGAAGATTTGGATATTGCCGACGATCTCCATAAGGTTGGTAACCACTTTCTCTCTTGGTTTGGAGTTACCGAAAAAGACCAAAAGGTCCGTTGTAAGGTTTATAACAAACTTGTACAGATGTTGGAGAGTGCTGAAGTAAAAATGTCGTTGGGTTCAAGAATGGAAAATTTTGTTATGGATGTGGATAAGGACCTACATAAGAGACTTCGAAAGGCGAAGAAAACAGGTCTAACAAGACTTGAACTTACCTTTTATGGACAGGAGATATATACATTCTCCTATTATAAAGGAGTCTTGGATGCCATAAAGGAAGAGATCCAAGAATGTCCCACCTTCTGCGTAAAACACAAGGCATATTGGAAGTATATAGTTGGTAATATATCATCCATGGTAGGTATTCATGTAACAATGGGTGAAAAATCGGCATTCGCATATTGCCATTGGTGGAACTCTGTTACAGGTAAGAAGTATGGTTCATATCGTAACAATGTCGAGAAAGAGGAAGCAATGACGTTGTTAGCCAACTATAGCTTCAACGATAGACCAATATACTTTTTGGAGGTTGAGATGGATGAGAATAGCATCAAGGATATTACAGTTACCAAGTACAAACGGCCTGACGAATGTACAGCAATAACACTTGTTGCAGGAGCACATAAAGGCATGTACCCATACATTTACGATGATGACGTTTTACAATTCGAGGATATGGGTATAGTGGAGGTGGATAATGTAAAGATCCAATGGCCTGAGAGAAGAATCCGCAAAGGTGCACCACCAATTGTTGATATTCATCTAGAAAACATGAATGGTGAGAATTTTATACAAGTCCATGATAGAGCTATCCACAAAGCAACATACAAAGCTGGATATAATGTACTTGAAATAAATACCAGCTATACAGTCATAGCAATTGCAATGGATATGTATCACAACAAAGAATATATTTTTGCAACATTGTCCAACGGTATTAAAGTACGATGTGGACTTAGTTTAGAAACAAAGATCGTTGCATGGCTGGAAGAATATCCCGATGGCCAAGTTCCGTATATGAATTTCACCACATTGCAATGCAGAACTGTTCGCGGGTTCAAGGATATTTATATACGTTAAGAATGCTAATAGATAGTTTTTAAAAATTACAATGGGCTTACTTTGTACGCTTATATGATGGAATCTCCACTCCTGCAAAAATTTCACGTCGCTTATTAGTCGGCTCTTCCCGTTGTTTATCCTCGACATCCATAGTAGTCATCTCCAAGAACTGCTCTTGTAACTTTGTTATATCTCGTGCATCATGCAACATCTCATCCACTGGAATATAATCCAAGATTTGTTCCATTGCACCATTGGCATATGGAAAGTCGAAGCCATCTCTAATCCAGGCACTATGAATGGGTTCCAGATTTAACTGCAGTAGTGCCACCATCTTCTTGATGTTCATAAGTAAGAGACACAATCGCAATTGCAAATTATATGTTTCTATCTTGGTTACCAACACTGGTTTCCTATTGTTGTGCTTCTCAAAGGTTGCTCCAAGATCTCCAAATTCGGCTTCTATCTGAGAGCGGAAACTGCCGAAAATCTTATTGTAGTTAGTTTCATCTTGTGCAAGATCTTTCCCACGGCTTTTGCGAATTGGATAACAAAAGTTTTTCTTGCTCATGCTTGTTTCTTCTACTATTTTCTTAATGTATTGTGTGTACCCTCCATCCAATGCAATACAATCTAGCTCGTGGATGTGCTTATGTATCTTCATACCAACCAACATAGTACCATCGTTGTTATCCTTGCAAGGTAGCGATTTAGAGACTAGTATTGCCATGCCATTGCAATCGACACACACTTGCGTTCTTACACCAGATTTCTTCAGCTTGTAAGAGTACATGTCTGAGCTAGACTTTTCTTCACATGAAAGACGTGTATCATGACCATCCAAATGCAATGTTACATGTGGGAATAGTGGTGGATTCCTGAGTTTAGCAGAAATCAAGCGTATAGGAAATGTGGAGAACATATTCGCAAGTGCATGGTTAATATGCTTCGAATGCACATTATAGTTAGTCTTGTAGAACTCTGTATGAATGGAGTGGAAACTACTTTTTGGTATGTGGGTTGA